AAATATTGAATAATAAATAGGTGACAAAAGAATTATTTGGACCATTTTAGATTGTTACAACATATTCTTCAAATTAAATAGATGATGTTTTAAAAATTATAAATTAGTTTGAGAATCATTTAACAGCTGGTATAGTGAGTAATGATGTAAATTTCTTAAGATATGTTTAATCAAATACAACAAATGGAGTAACATATAGGTAAATAGAGATGATAATATTTTTAGTGGTATAAGAGCAAGAACTACAGGTGCTCCTTAAAATCATTGGTTTGGACCATGTGGTGATCCAAGAGGAGCAGGTATTGGTACACCTGAAGCAATTTTATCAGTATGGACTACTCACAGAGAAATTATTCATGATACATAATTAGCTCCAAGTGGATTCAAAGGATAATAAAGTTGAACAAAATTAAACCATGTAAACAATATAAAATTAATTGTATATCATTCTAATTGATTTCATGATCTAGCCCAATCTAATAATTTGAAGGCATCCTACCATCTATGATCAACTGATCTACAATTTAAAAGTACAATAATTAAAGAATTTTAATTGTCTTCATAGTATTCAACAACGCATGGACCAGCTTCTTTAGTTATACCAGTCTTAACTCCTCTAAATCCTTAGTATAACATTTTATTTGTATTTTCCCAAAAAATTTCTTTAGATTCACCAAATTTATCTTCTATTTCACTGTAATAGATTTTTGTTTTGACAATGCTTGCAAATTGTAGATTTTACATAGCATGATAAGTCAAGATACCAATGTCATAAGCAGAAGAATAATTAGTTTCATGATACAAGCCTTTTTTGTTAAATAATAAAATACCATGAGGATTAGCATAGGATGTAGATTCCATTCCAATATCTAAGGCATTTTGATTCATTTGTAAAATAAAGTCACAACTTTTCTTAAGTTCAAAATTATATTATAGGGTGATAGCAGCATCATTGCCAGATGGTAACATTAGACCATAGAGCAGATCTCTAATGCTGAGTTTATCATCACTTGAGAGTTGAGCTGATGTTCCTCCAATCCTTTCTGCCTATATTTATGCTATGAACTACTTTTTCAGGTACTGTGAAATATGTATTATCAAGGTCTAAATTAAATTACTACGTGAGTTTGAGTGCTAACCAACAAGTCATTATTTTAGTGATTGAAGCCATTTGTCTGCTTTTATATTGATTATGACCATTAATTAATTAACCATTCTTTCCATTAATGATACACCAACTTTATGCAGACACCAATGGAATGTCCATAGGAACAATAGAAATTTATTAAGGTAACATTTATTTAGCTCTAGTTATAGCAGTCTTAGGTTTGACCGGAGATGATTATTATTGTTTTTCTACACTTTTTTTAGAATAGAAAGAATTGTTAGCAGTAGAATTTAATTGTTTAATCTTACTGTTTTTTGAATTGCTATACATATGAAATCTTTTAGTTTCATTGATGGTTGTCTTCTGCTTTTTATAATCTACTTCTTTATATTATTATTGTTTTGGTTGTATGATAGAAACCTTTCTAACTGAAAACTTATCTAAAGGTTCAATAGATCCAATCAATACTTTACTTATGCTCTTTGAATATTCTCTGAGACAAAATTAATGCACTGTTCATATTCTCAGTTTAAGGTGACCAAATAAGTTGATGGCGATAATTGTTTGAATTTGTAGGTTGATATTTTAGATAAAGAGCTTGATATTTGTTTTCTGGGTAATCTTACTTCATGTANCCATGTGGTGATCCAAGAGGAGCAGGTATTGGTACACCTGAAGCAATTTTATCAGTATGGACTACTCACAGAGAAATTATTCATGATACATAATTAGCTCCAAGTGGATTCAAAGGATAATAAAGTTGAACAAAATTAAACCATGTAAACAATATAAAATTAATTGTATATCATTCTAATTGATTTCATGATCTAGCCCAATCTAATAATTTGAAGGCATCCTACCATCTATGATCAACTGATCTACAATTTAAAAGTACAATAATTAAAGAATTTTAATTGTCTTCATAGTATTCAACAACGCATGGACCAGCTTCTTTAGTTATACCAGTCTTAACTCCTCTAAATCCTTAGTATAACATTTTATTTGTATTTTCCCAAAAAATTTCTTTAGATTCACCAAATTTATCTTCTATTTCACTGTAATAGATTTTTGTTTTGACAATGCTTGCAAATTGTAGATTTTACATAGCATGATAAGTCAAGATACCAATGTCATAAGCAGAAGAATAATTAGTTTCATGATACAAGCCTTTTTTGTTAAATAATAAAATACCATGAGGATTAGCATAGGATGTAGATTCCATTCCAATATCTAAGGCATTTTGATTCATTTGTAAAATAAAGTCACAACTTTTCTTAAGTTCAAAATTATATTATAGGGTGATAGCAGCATCATTGCCAGATGGTAACATTAGACCATAGAGCAGATCTCTAATGCTGAGTTTATCATCACTTGAGAGTTGAGCTGATGTTCCTCCAATCCTTTCTGCCTATATTTATGCTATGAACTACTTTTTCAGGTACTGTGAAATATGTATTATCAAGGTCTAAATTAAATTACTACGTGAGTTTGAGTGCTAACCAACAAGTCATTATTTTAGTGATTGAAGCCATTTGTCTGCTTTTATATTGATTATGACCATTAATTAATTAACCATTCTTTCCATTAATGATACACCAACTTTATGCAGACACCAATGGAATGTCCATAGGAACAATAGAAATTTATTAAGGTAACATTTATTTAGCTCTAGTTATAGCAGTCTTAGGTTTGACCGGAGATGATTATTATTGTTTTTCTACACTTTTTTTAGAATAGAAAGAATTGTTAGCAGTAGAATTTAATTGTTTAATCTTACTGTTTTTTGAATTGCTATACATATGAAATCTTTTAGTTTCATTGATGGTTGTCTTCTGCTTTTTATAATCTACTTCTTTATATTATTATTGTTTTGGTTGTATGATAGAAACCTTTCTAACTGAAAACTTATCTAAAGGTTCAATAGATCCAATCAATACTTTACTTATGCTCTTTGAATATTCTCTGAGACAAAATTAATGCACTGTTCATATTCTCAGTTTAAGGTGACCAAATAAGTTGATGGCGATAATTGTTTGAATTTGTAGGTTGATATTTTAGATAAAGAGCTTGATATTTGTTTTCTGGGTAATCTTACTTCATGTATTATATTTAAATAAATTACTGATTTACTGCTGTAAATATTAATAATGAAATTTGGATTACAAAAAATAATTTAATTGAGAGAAGTACTTCTAATTAATAGAAGTGCAATCTTTGAGTAGTAATGTATTGTGTTTAAATATATATTTGTAGAAGTTACATGGATAAATGAATATAAATATATATAAATAATAAATAATAACTGATGGGTAATGAAATTTCTAATGGAAGTCCAGGAGACCTGGAATAAATGAAAAGATTCATGAATATGTCACCTGGTTAAGTTAAATTGATAAAGTAATCTTGATTTACAAATTGTATTTTAGAGAGAAATTTGAATTGATGGCAGATGAGGATCTGACTATTGATAGAAATGGCTTTATTCAATTGATGAAATTGAAAGAGACTGAGGTAGACAAAGTGTTTTAATTCTTCGACATTAGTAATGATGGTCGAATTGACAGTCATGAATTTGTATGTGCTTTGAGTCTTTTGAGCTAAGCAACCTTAAAGGTATTCATAAAATCATAATCTTAAAGGATAAAGCAAATATTATATTTTCATTATATGATTTTGATCATAACAAAACAATAACAAGAAATGAATTGGTCATTTTAATAAAAACAACTTTGACAGCCTTAGGAGCAATGTCATAGAAGGGAGAATGTACAATTTAAGAAGCAGAAAGAATCTCAGATGAATTATTAAGAAAATATGATACAAATAAGGATGCCTCTATATCTTTATCTGAGTTTTAAAGGTTTGTTTTATTTTTTAATTATTTTTATAGTCTTTTATCAAAAGATTAAGATGTACTTAAAATGCTTTTATCTTATGGATTGTGTTCCTTAGAAGATTTGAGATCTGATTTTGGAGGAGCATAACAAGGAGATATACCATGTCCAGATTCTGATTTAGAGAGTGAAACATAAAGGAAATTGTTGGCTTATGATTAGAAGAGAGAAATGAGAAAGATTGGAATTGAAAGTAATCTTGAGGAAGATAATGGGTAATTCTAATATGATTAAAATTTGAAAACAGTCAAAGTACCGAACAAAGAAGTTTGGAAAAATTAAGTAAAAAATGGATAACCTTCAGCTTGGAAACCAGGAAAAGGTGATATCAATCCACCAAGTACTTTTATGGAATTAGATTATATATATGGATTTAGGAGTTTCGATTCTAGAAATAATATTAAATTTGTAAATTAAGATTTAGTTTATTTTACTGCAGCAGTAGGAGTTGTCTATAATCCTTAAACAAATTAATAGAAATTCTTTTTTGAACATACAGATGATATTACATGCATAGATGTTTATGATAGATATGTAGCAACTGGTTAAGCTGGATAAATACCTCCAATTTATATTTGGGAAATCAAAGATCAAATGGAACCATCTAAAGCAGCTTTTAAAGGAATCTTACGTTAAGGTGTATAATGCTTAGCATTTTCAACTGATGGTAAGAAATTAGCTGCAGTCAGTATGGAAGAAGATCATACATTGGTTGTTTATGATGTAGATAAAGGAATGGATGCAAGACTAAAAGGAGATGCAAATCAAACATTAATAGCTACAGGTAAAGGTCCAAGATCTTTTGTATTTGATATTAAATTTGATAAAGTTGATAAGTACTTGATTTTAGCATGTAAGAATGAAGTTTTCTTTTGCAGTTATGATCAAGGCTAAGTTAAATTAAATCTAGGAATTTGGGATACAAAAACATGTCCTTTCTCTTCTGTCTTATGCATAGCATTATGTGATAATAATGTTATAACAGGAACTTATAGAGGATAGTTATTGGTTTGGAAAAGCAATAGAGCTACTACAGCTGTTGATGCTCATAAAAGTGCTGTCTTAGCTATTCATACTAAAAAGAATTAAGAAGGAGGTGTTGTATCTGGTAGTAAGGATGGAACTATCATTGTATGGGATATAAATATGAAAGCAAAAGAAAAATTTAATGTTCTAAACTTGAACTTAAAAATATTCAATTTCAAAGTTTAAAGTGTTACTATTGGACCTAATGATTAGGATAAATCTACGCATCTAGTCTTTGGAACAAGGGGTTCTGATATGGTAGAAATATAAGGACCAAAAAGTAAGATTTTGATGAGAGGACATTCTTAAGGAGTTTTAAGAGGGTTGGCTATGCATCCTAAATTTCCAACCTTTTATACAATTGGAGAAGATAATATCTTAGCTTCTTGGTTGATTAAAGATAAAAAAATGTCAAGTTGTATGAGATTAGATTATCCCAGTAGTGCTATACATATTAGCAAAGATTATAAATATTTAGCTGTTGGAAGTACTAATGGAACTGTACTTATTATTGATCCTAAAACATTGATGCCAACTTTTAATTTCAAAGATAGAGATGCTGAAGTTTCATGTCTTAAATTCTCTCCTGATACAGAATAACTAGCTGTTGGTCATGATGCACCTAGCTGTGATGTCATCATTTATTCTATTAAGAATCATTTTAAAAAGACAAATGTTTTACGTGGTTCACCAGCTAGAGTTATTAGCATTGATTTTTCATCTACATGCAGAGTATTATAGATTAATGATTGGAGTTAATAAGTTCTTTATTATGAATTAGGAGGAGAAAATAATTAAAAAGTATAACCTGATGGAGCTTAAAAATATAAAGATGAGAAATGGGCTACATACACAGCAATTTATGGATGGCATGTATTGGGAGTATGGCCAGCATTATCAGCTGGATGCGATATCAATGCAGTAGATAGATCTAATAAAGGAGATATATTAGTTACAGCTGATGATTATTCTGGAATAAAGATATTCAGATATCCAGCTTCATAGCCAGGTCAAGGATATTAAAGATATGTGGGTCATGCAGCTCATGTTACTAATATTAGATTTTCAGCTGATGATGAATATATAATATCTTTGGGAGGAGCTGATAAATCTATTATGTAATGGAAAGTGTCACATGATAAGGATGCTTAGATAGAGTAAGATCAAGCATGTGAATCTATTCAGGATGTTTAGATTTCTAAGGATTATTATAGACTAAACTTAAATGAAGAAGAGAACAAATAAGAAGGGTAGAAATAATATTAGGCTTTTGTTAAAGCTACTTAGCCAACAAATTTTAAATTTGATGAGAAGAAATATAATGTGTTACCTTAGGGTAATTTAGCACTGGATTATGTTTTGGGAATGAAAACAGATTAGTTGGGTTAAGATTATCTAAATGGTGTTAAATTATTAGAGAGTGGCAAAATAGCATTTTCATGTGGAGCTATTGGAATTATTATGGATCCTAACATTCCTATAGGATAATAATACTGTGGTTAAACTTATTTTAGATATCATTAGGATGAAATATCTTGTATTGCAATTCATCCTAGAGGAAGGATTGTGGCAACAGGAACAAAAGCATTTGCTTTGAATGAAAAATAATTAACTGCAATATTTGTTTGGGAAGCTGAGTCAAAGAAGGTTTTATCAATGTTAAATGATTTTCATACAAAGATGATTTATTGTTTAGAATTTTCATATGATGGAGTTTTCTTATTATCTTTTTCTTCAGAATATTCTATAGCAATTCATGATTGGTAAATTGGATCATTGATTATCACTGTTAAGACTATGAGATCTAATATTTATGGTATATGTAGTAAATCACCAAATGAATTTATGTCTTGTGGATAAAGGAGTGTAACATTCTATTAAATGAATGGCAGAAATGTTAAATGTTATCCAGGTATTTTAAATAGTAATCAATTTGAACCAATGTTATGCTGTTGTGTTGCATTTAAAGAATCATATGAAATTACTGGATCAGATAATGGAAATATATTTTTATGGAAAGAAAATAAAAACATCAAAAATTATTAGGCACATAGATCAAAGGTTACTTCATTAATTGCAGTTGGGAAAACATAATTGTATAGTAGTGGTTTAGATGGATAAATAAAATTATGGGAAATGAATGGAAATAATTTAAATAATGTGGCTACCATAATAGATATTACTGAAGCACTTCATTAACCAAAATTAGTTGGTATAATATCAATGGATATAAAGAATGATAATATAATCATAGCAACTAAATAAGCTTAGATATATCATGCTCCATTAAAAAATTTACAAAATTTAAAATTACTACTTGATTGTCACTATGGAGGAGAGGTATGGGGAATAGCAGCAAGTAGAAATTCATAAACAATTGTAACATGTGGAGGGGATAGTGTTCTTCGTTAATGGGATATTAATTAATATACATTAGTAAAATGTTCAACTCCATTTGAAAATGATATTAGAGCAGTGGATTGGAGTTCAGATGGAAAATACATAGTAGTTGGAGATGTACGTGGATGTATTTATTTGGTAGAACCAACAAATATGAATATTTTAGATAAAAAGAATTCAAAAGCAGGTAGTTTGAAGTAAGGTGCTTAAGGTAAAACATTTTGGATAGAGGATATAAAGTTTTCACCTGATAGTACTAAAATAGCATTTGGTGCTCATGGTACTTAATCATAAGTAGAAGTTTGGGAAATTGAAGGAGGTAAATTTAATAAACAAAGTTCAATAAATATTTCACTAAATAGTAGTTTAATAAAATTAGATTGGGCAGTAGATTCAATGCATATAGTAGTAAATTCATCAACTTATGAATTAAAATTTGCAAATGTTTAATCTTTAAAAGATGTTCCAGGACCTTAAGTAAAAGAATTAGATTGGTTTTCTTGGACATGTTTATTTGGATTCAATGTGTAAGGTATATATAAGAAGGATGAATATTCAGTTACAGCAGTATGCGTTGATAATCAAAAGTAAATATTAGCAACTGGTGAATATAATGGTATTATAAATCTATATTAATATCCTGCTGTTTGTTAATTTAATTAGATTCATAAGGAATATCCTGGACATGCAAATGCAATCACAAGAATGAGATTCTCATTTGATGATAGTAAATTAATATCAACTAGTGGTATGGATAGAGGAATATTTATTTGGAGAACAGATTGGTCAAAATAATAATAATAGTTAATGTTATAAGAAGAAAATGCTTATGGGAAATTGGATGAGGACATAGATGATTTAGTATCTTTAGCAATTCCATAGGAGAAAACAAGAAGATTTGGATCTGATAAATATGGGAAAGTGAGAAGAAGAGACAATTAATTAGAAAGAAATGAAGATCAATAAAATTATAATGATTAAAATGATAAAGGAGATGAATTCACTATTATAAGACCTTGGATGGGAGCAATTAAAGAACCTTCAAATTATTATAAAGATCCATTAAATTAAAATAAATAACCTCTTGTAGAACTTACATTAGAATTTGTTCATGGATATCGTAGTAGAGATTGTAGAAACAATGTAAAATATTTAAAGGGAGGATAAATAGTTTATAATGCAGCAGCATTAGCTATTGTTTTAGATCCAAATCCTAATGCAAACACAAATTCAAGTTCATAAAAATTCTTCAACTAACATACAGAGGATGTAGTTTCTTTGGATGTATCAAATGATCATCTCAAAGTCGCAACTGGACAATTAGGAGCTAATCCATAAATCTATATATGGGAAAGCAACACTTAAGCAATAATTTGTTAATTGAAAGGATACTTTACTAAAGGAATTCTACAATTAGCATTTAATTTATCAGGAGATAAATTGGCTGCTATAGGAATGGACGCTTGTCATTAATTATGTGTTTTTGATATTATTACTAAATCTTCAACCGGTGGAACTTTATTAGTTAGAGACTAAATTGGTAAAGATATTGTTACAGATATAAAATGGAAAAATGATTTAGAATTTGTTACTTGTGGATTTAACCATCTAAAATTCTGGAAATTAGGTCATGGAGGTTTGACTTATTCTAAAGCTTATCCTTAAAAACCATTATCTTATAAATATTTATGTGCTGCTCTTAATAATGATGACTATTTATTAGGAGCTGTTGATGGATCTTTATAAATATATACTGGTGGTAAATTTACTTCTTATTTCTAATATTTAGAAGCTAATAGATCATTAGAAGCTATTAATGTGTCTAAAGATTTGTAATTTTATATTATTTATTATTAGTGTACTTATAGGAGGAGCTGATTCTAAAATTGTTATTATTGATTCTAAGACTTATAAATAAATACTTTCCTTTAAATTATCTGAATGTATGAGAAATTCTTTAGGATTAGAAGTTAAATCAATCTAATTAGGTTATGATTTAAAAACACTTCTTGTGTCAACTAATGCTGGTGATATTGTTGAATTATCTACTAAAGATGCAAAAATTAATATTAATTCTAAATTTGCAGTTTCTAAAATCTTAATGAAATCTCATTGTTCCCCTAATAAAAGATCTTTAAATGAAGTTTGGGGTTTAGCCATAAATCCTTAAGATTCAGATCAATATTATACTTGTGGTGATGATGGTACTTTGAGATCTTGGTCAATCAGTCAAAGAAAGATGCTCAATTGTATAAAAACAAATCTTGATATTAATGGAGCTGAAATTAAATAAGATGAAGTAGGAGAACTTCCAGATAATACGAAAGGAAGATGTATAGCAGTATCATTAGATGGAATATCAATATGTGTTGGTTTTAAGGATGGAACTGTTAGAGTAATTTTAGATTAATTAATTTAAGATTTATGATAAAGAATTTAAATAAAAATATGTGAATAGATTAGCTAAGGAATGGATTTGTGATATTAAATTTAGTCATGATTAATCTTGGGTTGCAATCGGATCTCATGATAATTCTATTTATATTTATAGTTTCCCTGACATGAAATAACGTTACAAACCTCTCAAAAAACATTCAAGTTATATTACTCATATTGATTTTTCTATAGATGGAAATCATCTTCATAGTAATTGTGGAGGGTATTTATAATATATTAATCACTTTTAGATATGAGTTATTATTTTGGGAATTATAATCTGGAAAATAGTTACCTAATGGAGCAAATTAATTAAGAGATGAAAAATGGTTAACTTGGACTACACCTTATGGATGGCCTGTTTAAGGAATTTGGCCAGAAGTTTAAGATGGTAGTGATATCAATGCAGCTGTACGATCTAATAAAACTTACAATGAAAAAGAAAAACCACCTGACAATTATTATCTTTTAGCAACTGGAGATGATAATTCTTAAATCAAATTATTTAGGTACTCTCTTTCTATATTGAAATTAGATATCCTTGTGTAAAGAAAGGATCAGGTTATATTTTAGGAAAAGGACATTCATCACATATCACAAACATTGCCTGGTCAATGGAAGATCATTATCTATTTAGTATTGGAGGTGAAGATAATTGTATTTTCTAATGGAAAGTAAATAAATTGAGATGATCTATTGTTAACAATTATAAATAATATTTATTATAAATATTCTAATACTTTAATTCTCAACTGCTTTTTAAATTCTTTCTCTTAAATATTTTATGTAATGATTTAACAAAATTATTATCAATTCTTTTTATTTAAATAGTATATAATTCAAATATTACATAAGATAAAACTACTCTTTCAATATTCAAAATTTCTATATATTATTTAATAACTATTGTTAAAATGTCTGCTCATACAAGTCCTAAAAACTCTTTTCTAAGTTCTGCTCGTACAAGACCTTAAACAGCTGTTACCAGTCCTAGAAGACCTTAGCTATAGTAATTTAATATAATATGTTAGAATATCTATCCCAAATGATGATTAAGATCAATAACAATAAATCAACAAATATACTGCTACTACAAGTCTCACACCAAAAAGTTTAATGAAGTTATAAGAAAGAAAAGTCAAAGTAGAACACAGATCTGAAAATGTGTCTTGCAATTTAAGAGTTACTAAAGAATAAGCTGAAATTGATCCACCAGACGATTACTTTGAAAAAGAAGTTTAAATCAATCAAGATGAATATGAATAATTCAAGAAGAACTTTCATAGAATTGTTTTCGACGCTTTTGGAAATTATATTTATACTAAACCTGGACCTATTGATGAAGAATTTAAACTTTAAGTTTCTGTAAAATTAAATTATAAATAAAGTCAGCATTGAATACACATAAGCATACTTCAAGGAGTCTTAAAAAAAAACTTTAAATTAAAACTTAAAGCTTCTAACCAAAAAAAACTATTGATAATTTAGTCAAAAGTACATCAGAAATAGCTAAAATGAATCCAAGAAGAAAAGCCATTTTGGACATTAAATAAAAAGCAGAAAACTCTCTTTATTCAATGATTAACAATCTGGCTAAAGAAAAAGTTCTAAATGAATCCAAATCTTAATTAGAATAAGTTACACAATAAATGCTTACATATATTGATAAATTTACAAGAGAAAAGTATTATTTTTTCTATAATTAGTTAAGAACTTATTGATTAACTTGAAATGGCTAAAGGAAAAATTTTTGAATTATAAAGTTCTAATGAAAGCTTAAATTTTAAGAATATCTAATTACTTAAAGAAATTAAGAATTCTAAATAATAATTGGATGAACTAAAAAGAAGTACTGTAGAAATTGAAAAATTCATTCCTCAATTTAATATTATGACAAAAAGATTTGAAAACTTTTAAGCTGAAAAATTTATTGATAAATATGATTATTTTGAAAATTAAAACTTGCTCCTTACTAAAAGAGTATCAGATTTAGAATTAGATAATATATAACTTGAAAAATAAATTTAACATTTACAAAAAGATTTAGAAATCAAACAACAAATAAAAAAAAATCAATATGATATGAATTTTAATTCCACTACATATAATTAAGATGCACCAGATTAAGATTATGAATAGTATAAAGAAATGTATTTGAACTTGTTTAAGAAAATTTTACAAATTTATAGTGATTGGACTAGCAAATCTAAGGCTCTTTTACCTGATAAAATGGATGGAGGACCAAGAGCTAATTTAGTTGAGCCTTTAGAAATGTTATAAAATATGGAAAAAATGATAACCATTTCTTCAAATGAAAAACTTCAATCCTATTTAAGAAAAATTATAGTTAGTGCTAATTAATTATAAAGAAAGTATCTAACTGAAAATGTCAATGAAAAATTTGATCCTGACAAGATTTATGAGAGAATAATTAAATTAGTGGATAATTTAAAGGCTTAGATTTCTAATTTACAATGTTAAGTGCAGAGTTATAAATAATCTTAGAATGTATTTTAAAATATATTTATATAGTGTTTAACCCAAGTTCAAACATAAAGATCAAAATCTTTTCTACATGAAAAAGAATATATATCGTCATGAATAGCTTTAAACTTTTATTACATATAAATTGCTTCTAATTGATATAATTTAAATAAATTATAACTTTCAAGATAGTCTTTTAGATTAGACAAAATTCATATAATCTTCTTTCAATCTCTTTTCTTCACTAGCATCACTTAATTTTAAATTCTTAATAATTGAATCAGCAGATTTATATTTCCAACATGAAACAACTTTCTCTTTTGATTCAAAATCTCTTCTAACATTTCGAAATGAAGCTTAAATTACTTATTAAATTTGTTTGGCCTTTTTTTCTGGATTATCTGATTTGTATGCTTATTAGTACATTAAAGATAAGACAAGATTATCTCTTGGAATTCTAGGCAATTTACTAATAGATTCAAAGACCTAGTTCAAATCTAATTTAGAATTTGAAGATGAATTTGACATCATGGTTGGAAGTTTAACATTTAATTAACTATTTTTTCTACATGGACTACTTCTTTCAGTAAAAAATGTTCTTTAATGAAGTTAAAATTATATACTTATCTTTTTGACTTCTAATGCAATGATCATCATTACATTGAGTTTATTAAGGTTTTTTAAGTAATCTAGCTTAGTATTATTAAAGAGCATTGCTATATACTCTTTGTATAATAGTTTTATTACTAGAATTTTCAATTGAATTAACATCCTTAATATTGCTATCAGCAAGGTTTTAAAAAACTTTGACTTAACTAAGTTTATCACCTTAAACTTCAATAATCTTTTTATTAACAATCTTTTTTGATGTATCATTTCTTCTGTTAGTTAATTAGTCTTATGCTGCTTGATAAATTTCGTCTTTTTAAACAATTGAAGATTTAGCTGTATTATATATGAGAGTCCAATGTTTAAGTATAAGTTTAGTAGTAATTTTAAAATTTTCATAAATTTGAATATTTCCTAAATTATCAAAAAACTTAGTTTATCTAATTTTATAAACAATTAGTCTAGGAGATATTACTCGTGCTCTTGTAAATCTTGGTATTTTATTAAATACTTCTACATCTCCAAAATGCTGATTTTCACCATAAGAAGAAAGTACTAAATGTTTAGAATTTAATTATTTTGATAATTCTACTTGACCATTAATTATGAAATAAATATGATTGGATTTGTCATTTTCTTCATAGAGAATTTCTGATGCTTTAAAGGTAATTTAATGACATTCTAAAAGTATCCCCATAATTTCATTTAATTCAAAATCAATTTCTTTGAAAATTGGAGTTTGCGTGAAATATAATATTTTATCATCTAAAGACTTGCTTAAATATGGATCAAGAAGAGAAACATAAGCTTATTCACTCAAAAATAACAAATGAGAATTTTCAATAGCAAATACAGTAGAAGATCTTGCAATATCAAGTTTAATTGCTGCCTCTCCAAAAGCGCTATAATTATTTGAAAGATTACTCTCCATTTATTAAGACTTTAAGTATTATATAATCTGGAAAAGCACTTCTTAATCCATAAGGATCAGGATCATTTTTTCTCATTAATTATATTTAAGCTTTTCCTTCTAATTCTTACTATAACTTTTTAGAACCAACCATTTTCTCTTTTGGTTTCATTACTACACATTTTCCATCTAAAATGATGTAATATTTTTTATTTTAATCTCCTTATCTATAAACTGCAGTGTTTGCTGGAATATATAAATATCTATGGTCTATCTTGAAATTTACCTAAATTCAGAGAAAACTTTATTCATAATTTCAGGGGGAATCTGCTCTTTCATTAATCTGATGGCTCTAACCATTTATAATTGTTCAATTAATATTGGAGAAGTTGGATATATAAAATTGGGCAGACTTTTAGCCATCAATCGAGATTGTTTTTTACCAATCTTAGGAGTATTTTCATAATCAATTTATGGTCTATTATTCAGCTCTTATTTAATAGCTTCTATATCCAAAAACTTTTTCTATCTTTTTGTTTCTTTGTTACCATTTTGTAAAAGTAATTATTATTATTACTATTCTTCTTCTGAATCTGAATTATTTTAAGGTTTCTTGAAATCAAAAAGTTAACGATCAGAAACTGCAAATTAGGAAGGCATAATCATTTTAGATAAAATATAAAATGACTATAGATTTTATTATATTATTCACTTTTAATAAAAATTATAATAATACAAATACGAACTAAAAGATAATTATATATTATTTAAATTTCATAATAAAAATTAGATTAGTAAATGTAACATCATTTATATCATAAATAAACGCAATCTAAAACACATAAAACCAGTATATTTAGAATGATTATATTTAATTTATTATTTTTAATTCAAATAATTTAATTAAATGAGATAATTTATAATTATGAAAAGTAATAAGATAAATTTATAAAATAGTATTATCAAGTGCAAATTCAAGTATACTCTAATTATGCAAATACTTCAGCAATCATCTCTAATTTAACAGGTTTAGTAATAAAAGCATCAAAACCAACATTTTCACATCTTTCTTATTCACTTTCATCATCAAAACCTGATATTGCAATTATTTTTACCTCCTCAATTAATTTTTTAGAAATCTAAATTTATTTAATATTAATACCATCTCTCGTATTTTAGATGCTGCTTTCCAACCATTTAAAATTGGCATAAAGAGATCCATTAAAATATATTTAATGTTTTTACTTTTTTAAAATGTTTGTAACTATAAATATAGTTATTAGAATTACTTTATTAATAGCTTATTATCCATTATAAGCCTCTAAAAATGAAACATTTGATGAAATATCTTATAACAATAATTTTAAAGCTAAAACATTAAATGGTTGATCATCGACAATCATAATTGAAAATGTTTTATTTTGTAGAATTTTGTGTAATCTATGTCTTGGATCAATAATTTCTTATGAATCATCTAAAGTTTATTCTTTAATTTTAATTCTGCTAGCAGTTGGAGATCTTAAATTTTATAAAATATTAATATTTTATAATTTCTGTTATCCTTCATCTTCATATTCTGGATTAAAATCAAAACCAGCTTCAGTATCATTTTTATCCACAGGTCTTGAATAAACACGTAAAACTGAAGATCTTACAAATTTTTATTGCATAGATTCTTATTCATCGATTAATGAAGGACTATCTAAATTAAAATTTTTAGAACTACTCTCTTATTTAAAAACACTTATATAATTAGGAGATCTTTTTGGATCATCAGGTAATCGAGAATAAATCTAAAATGACATTTTAGTTCCTTTATTTTATTCACTCCAAAGTTCTATTTTTTCTGATGGACCCAATAATTTAATTAATTTCTTGCAAACCATTAATCCAATACCAGTTCCAGATTTATTTTAAACATCATTACTTGGATATGTAGCATACATTTTAAATAATTTAGGTTTAATAACATCTGAAATACCACAACCCGTATCTTATATAGATATAGTATAGACCATTCTATTTTATCCAGGAGAAGACTTAACTGATTTCCCAGATAATTATTTACGCAATTATCCAACTGTTTATTAATTTTATTATTAATTGAAAACATTCTTAGACGAAACAGTACGAATTATATGATTAACTCTATCAGTTTATGGAGATTCTACAGATATTGTTATTGATCCTTATTCAGTAAATTTTAATGAATTAGAAATAAAATTCATAAGAATTTATTTAATTCGATTAGGATCACTATATATTTAATATGATGGAATATCATAATGGGTATGTATAACAACTCCTTTTTATTCTGCTTAAATGGCAACTAATTCAATTACTTCATCAATCACTTCATTTAAATAAAAATCACTAATACTCAATCTTAATTAATTTTTCTATATTCTAGCAAAATCTAAAATATCATAAATCATGTATAACATTAGATATACATTCTTTCTAATTATTCTTAAGTAATATTTAGAAGGGGCATTAAGATTGTATCTCTCTTCCATAGCTTCAACAATCGTACATATTCCATTAATTGGAGTCTTAAAATCATGAAAAACTGTTGCCAATATTTAATCTTTATTATCATTTTATTTTTTGCTTTCTTAAAGCTCCTCAGATAATATTTATAATAATTTTTAATTCTCTAAATCTTTTAAAGATATCATAAAAGCTTCCTTCTTCTTCCAAATACAGTGTTATATTGATATATTAATTTTCTTTTATTTCAATTCATTTAATCCAAATAATTTATTCTAATTATTTTTAAAACGGAATTTACTCTTTCCATGTTAAGGAGTATCATCATTTTATTAATTTAGTCCTTGATATTTCAAATTTTCTATTTAACATTTAGGACTGTCAATATTTATCAAGTCTTACTTTTCTTAATTTATTTCATCTTATAGCAATGTAGCTATTTTTTTACTTTATTAAGTTTCAACGTATTAATAATCTTCATTCAATATTTCTTTTAATTTTAGATATTAACCTTAATTTTTTTACTCTATTTAGAATTTTTATTCTTCTAAAATACTTTTTAAAGTTTTTTATTATGAATTCTAAAATTATTATAGATAATGTATAAAATAATCTTAATTTGTAGAAGTATAATTAAATTCTGATTCCATTTGATTTGTATGAAAAAGAGGCTCTTTTGTTTTAGCATCAATTATTAGAATTGGATTCGTTAAAGTTTTTTAAAAAAAATCAATTAATGAAGAAGAAAGATTTTCTGTAGATTAATCAACAATAAATATCAAAGGTGCAAATGCTAAACCTAAATATGAAAACATATTCATATAAAATTGTAATCTGATTCCAAGGTAAAAATAAATTACAGATAATATTATGATTCGAAAAGGGATTCTTTTTAATGATGTTGTTAATATAAATAATCTGAGACTTAAAAAGAAAATATATTCCTATATATTAACATAGTTTATACAGAAGATTAAAGAGATCCTAAGAACTCAATCTATAATATTTAGCATACAAGGTAGGAAACCCCTAAAAATATTTCTCTAATCATCTCATTCAAAAACCTTTTATATTACAAAACAATAAATGCAGTCATCAAAATTAGTTCTGCTATGAATATTATAGTAAAGTTAAAACAACAGCTAACCTAAATAAAATTAACTATTCCAGCTATTAAACTAATTACCGCATCGCAGAATCCAAAATATAGTAATTTATTATTCATATTAAATTAAAATTATTATAAATCAATTCTTCCCATTCGAAAATTAGCTATTTTCAAATTTCAAATCACTCATTCCAAATTACTTTATAATTTCATCATTGTTGCTATTCAACCAATAAATTATAGTTATATTTTCCAGTTAATTAAGATATTTTTTTTTAACAATTCATTAATAAATAAAATAAAATGATATACAATTAGAATTTACAATTTCACACTTTTTTGTTGAATAAAATATAAAATATCATTCTTAAGAATTTCAATAATTTTTATTTTGGAATATCTAGAATTAAATTATTCTAATAAATCTTTACAAATATTATTAATTATTTAGATATAACATTAAATAGATTTAATATTTGAAGCTAACATCAAAATAATATCTTAAATTAAGCTTAAATTAAGGAAAAGAAATATTTTAATAAATAGAAGTCTTCTATTGAATTGAACTTGTATGTATCTATTATTTTAAAGATACATTATTTAATTAATTACACATTAGTCAATAAATTTTTTTAATTTTATTTTATGAATAATTACTTGAGTGTTTTAAAATAAATAACTCATGAAAAATATCAATAACTCATTTAAAAGGAAAATGTTAATTAAAATGCTGTTTTAGCTTCTATATCATTAGTTTAAAATGAGTAAGATATAATTTTGTGTTCTTTGGGAACAGGATCAAAAGCTGTAGGATTAAATCATATGAATGAATAAAATCATTGTTTACATTCTTGCCATGCTGAAGTAATTGCTAAAAGGGGATTTTAATTATGGTTATATGAAATATTCTCAAACCCTGATGAAATTGATAGATATTTTGAAAAACAAGAAAAAAAATATTAATTAAAAAAAGAATATAAAGTTTGCTTTTATGTTACTTAACCACCTTGTGGCTAAGCTTAATTATTTCCAGAATCACAAATATATGGATTGAGTGCTGCAAGACCTTTTTCAGAATTTTAAAAAGAAACTGAAAATATTCCAAATTGTGATCCCAAAAGATTAAGAAGCACCCCTGCAAATTCTAAAACACCTATTTAATAAAAAAATCCAAGTTTTTGTTGTACAGATAAACTTATGATATGGAATGTAGTTGGAATTTAAGGGGCTTTGCTTAATAAATATATTAATCCTATTTATATAGATAATTTAATCATAGAGTTTAGGGAAAAGTTTAGTTTAAAATAAGTATTTGATGTTAGAAAAAGATCTGGAAAAAGTAAAAATGATGTTTTAAAAATAAATAATAAATCAATTAGCAAATCATTTCGAATTCAAAAACCAAAACTAATTTATACAAAAAAGAATTTATTTCCCTATAGTCCCTATCATCCGAAAAATGATGAATTAAATAAAAGAATAAATAGAGATATAAACTAATAAAGCCTTTAATCATTTAGTTATTTGTATGTGAATTCTTTTGGAACAGAAAAAATTAATTCAATAAATGGTTTAAAGTGGGGAATTACCAAAAAAGATATATAAAAATTGTAATTTTTACCAAAAATAACAAAATATCATTTGTTTTAAAAATTCAAAGAATTATATGGATCTCTTGAGTCTAAACACCTTTAATGTAATTATAGAGATGCAAAAAATAGTAACATTAAATACCTTTGCTTAAAAATGAATATAAAAAAATGTTTTTAAGAATGGAGTTTAGATAAGACATAATTTGAGCAATTTTAATTATGAAAAGACTTTTAATTAGTTTTATACATTCTTTTGTAATTTTTATATTTTATTTGAATCTTAAAATCTTAAATAAAGAAGGATACAAAATTAATTAAAAGAATAATTTCCTTATATAATCATAAATTATTAACAAAAGGTCTTAATGTATGTAATTTTTTGAGATTCTTTTATCTCAGTATTTCCTTACGATAAATTTTAAATTCTGCAGCAATATTTGTGTTACTTTAAAAAGATAGTTGATAAGCTATATCACAATAATCATCTATAAATTATTTTTATTTAGTATTCTTTTATGATATTTTATTTTAAATTTTTTTTGCAATTTGATATGCTTATATTTATGTTGGATCAGAAATTTCTTATAAAACACTTTGTAACTCATTGGGAAGTCGTGACTCTTTAATCTTTTTAGCATAAAAGTTTAACATTACAATATTCTTAAATAATTCTCTTGAATTTTTATCAATAATATTAAACTCATATAATTTCTCCTAATTATTTTGTATTTGATGATCAATCATTACATTAATAATATGTTTTTATTGAGAAATAATTTTTAAATATTCCTTGTTTAATAATCTCATTTCAAACACTTGCTATACTTATAAGTATGGAATGACGAATTTAATCACTTTTTTAAATTTATTTGATTCTTTTAAGACGAAATATTGATTTTATGATTAAATTAATTTAAGTGTCTCTTATTATTGGTAAAATTCCAACCAAAGTTATTCAAGGTTTTCTGAGAGAGCAATAGATTTTTGCTTTAAAATTTATAAGTCTTAATTCACCTGAGAACCTTCCATCAATAAATTTATTCTTTAAATAAAATATATTGTAAATATTTAACTTTATAATTATTATCTAATTGAGAATAATTGATATTTTTAGAAATGATGAAAGTTCAATTTTTAATAATGTAATTTAAATCAGAACTAATTATATATCTAAAAATTATACTAGGAAAAATAAAAGTTTCTAAATTTCTCAAATTCAGATCAGGTTGTTATTATTTACTCTATATAAGAAACCTTTTTTTTAAGAAGTGTATTATTTTCTTTTAATATTTGATTTAAGATTTGTTTCTTATTATCATATTTTTAATATCTTTACTAATTTATTAAAGATAATATACATCAGTGTCGCTGATTAACATTATCCATCTCTTTTCAATTGATAAAAATTAATATTTTTAAGTTAGCTATTTCAGTAATCTACATTTACTTTTGATTTCAAATTTGAAATAAGATTATTCATATCTTAATAAATTATATGATTATAATAATCAGTTTATTTAGCTTGGAAAGTTTTAGATAAAGTGTCTAAATAAATTGCCACTTCTTATATATGTAAATATTAAAAATTTTTTCAGTATATTATGAACATTTTTAATTGAATTAATGTACTAAAATATTGTATTTCTGATGTTTGAAATTAAAAAATCTTTATTTCAAATATCTAATATTATTTCATCAAAAAAATGTATTTCATTTTTTCAAGCATATATTTAAAAGAGGAACAGATATATAATCACTTGAATTGAATTTTAGTTAATATTTTCTAAAGCAGATTTAATAGGTTGTATAATGTATAGTTTTAACTTTATGTATTTATGAATCTTAATTGGTTCTGTTTGAAAATATAAGAATACTATCAAGGTTTTAATCTGATAAAAAAGGAAAAGCTTTTTCCATTAGTTTATGCTTATACAATTTTTGAATTAGGTAAAATTAATAATTTTAATATTTTTCTTTTATATATTTGATAATCTAAAATTCTAGAAAATTTATAAAATAAATATTTACTACTCCCTTAAATATTCTTATTTAAATACTTATTTTAATTAGCAGTATCATAGTCTGCAAAAATAAAATATAAAGTATTATTTTAAATTAAACGAGGCATCATAAATTGTTAAGCCAAATCAATTTAATTTGATGGTCTCAATTAGAATGATTTAGAAAATATCAATAATAAATAACTTAAAATTTCACGCACATAAATTTTAAGTCATAAACTAATAAAAAAATTCAATCGTTATACTAACACCAAGATCATTCTACCTTTAAATTTCCTTATATAAATCCTCATCTTTTCCATTTTCGCAATAATTACAATTACATTGTACAGTACATGTTTTTTATCTGATTTAACATTCATAGTATCTTTTTAAGATTACTCATATAATAATAATTAAATATTATGTGTTTAGTATCAATTATTAAAGAAAGCTTAATTTCTTTTCTTATTTATAATTTCATTAAAAATCATCATTTATTCGTATAAATATCGAATTATTTCAAATTATCATTAATATTGTAATGAGATAATTTAGCTGTTTAAAATAGTAATGATAATATATAGGTTTTTAATTATAATTACTCTGTCTAAATCAATAAGTTATGTTAAATATTGATTTTGGTATATAATTTTTAAATAAATGGATTTAAAGAGTATTGGTTTTTGATTAGGAAACGTTTGTATTTAATAAAAATTAAATGTTAGTAATAAATAGATGTTAATAAAATTTTGAATTCAATATTAAATTTCTAACTAGAAATGAATGAGGTATCTGTTGCTGATTTTGAAATTTTAAGAAAGTTAGGATAAGGATCTTATTCGTCAGTTTATAAAGTAAGAAGAAAATCTGATGGATAAGAATATGCAATGAAAAAAGTTGAGATGACAGGATTATCAATAAAAGAAAAATAAAATGCTTTAAATGAAGTAAGAATTTTAGCTAGTTTATCAAATTTTCATATAGTTGGATATAGAGAGGCATTTATAAAAGGAGAAACATTATTTTTGATTTTGGAATTTGCTGGAGGTGGTGATTTGTAATAAAAAATAGAGTATACAAAAAAGAAAGGTATAGGATTTTATTTTGATGAATAATTGATATGGAATTATTTAATAGAAATGTTATTAGGATTAAATGAATTGCATAATAATGGTATTTATCATAGAGATATAAAATGTGCAAATGTATTTTTAACTTAAGATCATAAACATATAAAATTAGGTGATTTAAATGTAGCAAAGATAGTTAAACCAAACTAGCTTGCAAATACAAAAGCAGGAACCCCATATTATGCAAGTCCTGAAGTTTGGAAAGATGAACCTTACGATTAGAAATGTGATATATGGTCATTAGGTTGTGTGATTTATGAAATGGCTTAATTATAGACACCATTTTTAGCAAATGATTTGTATCATTTATAAAAGAAAGTTTAAAGAGGAATTTATGAACCATTAAATTAAAGATATAGTAAAGAATTAAGTTATTTGATTTCAAGATGCTTATAAGTATCTCCTAAAACTAGAGCATCTTGTGAAGATTTATTAAATCTTGATGAAATTAAAAAAAGATAACTGTATAATGATTCTGGTTCATTATTAACTAATGGATCAAAATTATTAGGAACTATATATTTACCTAGAAATTATAAAGATATAACATTACCAAGACCAAGATATTAAACAGATAATAGTGATGCTAGTTTAACTCTAAATAAACGTCCTAGTTCTCGTATTTAAAGGACTAAATCAAATAATATTTCGAATGATTCTGATAGTCCTTCATTCAAGAAAATTAAAATAAAGAATAAATTATCTAATAATCTTAATTTATAATCTTTATAGAGAAGTATCTCTTAAAATAATAGTTAACTTAAAGAAAATATTCCAAATAGTAGTAATATTTATTAACTACAACCTCTACATCATTAACATCATCCTAGTCATCAAGGTTATTAAAGTAATAATACTGGATAATGTAGTCCAAGATTAAGGAAATAATTATCATCACCTTAATAATAAAAATAAAAACTACATTAAATTTTATAATAAGATTTTTATTTACCAAGATTAGAGTAGAAATAATTGAACAAACATTAAAAAATAAACTCAAAATGTTTTATTTCAGATATAAGGAAATTATTATGAGTTAGTATATAAATTAATATATAGCAATTTTTAGTTTATTTTATTATTAATATAAATGTATTCAAATCATTAAAATGCAATATCCTTAAATGATGATTTGGATCCTGATAATCTCGATGTTGAGGATATGGTAAAAAAAAGATGGAAACAAACTCAAGGAAAAGTAGTTGGAATGATAAATAATAGACTGCCTCCTTTTTAAAAATAATTTTTAGATGTAATTATATTTTTTTATCTTTAGCCAAAAAAGGCATTCAATTAAGAAATGACAGAGGCAACAATAGAATTCTTGAAGAAAAAAGAAATAGCTATAAAAGCCTTTGATGGATAAAAATATCCTCATCCTTTTCTAACATGGGAAAGTACATAATTTCATTAATAAATTATGTTTGTTATAAATAAACAAAATTTTAAAAGTCCTACTCCAATTCAATCTGTTGGTAAATGTAATTGATTATAAAATAGTATTTCCTTTGATTTTAAGTGGGTATGATGTTATAGGAGTAGCAGAAACAGGATCAGGCAAGACTTTTGGGTATTTATTACCAGGTCTTATCTAAATAGCTTGTCAGAAGTATCCTGAAAATTTTAGAAATAAAATAAATGGACCTGAAATGTTGATTTTAGCACCAACTAGAGAATTAGTTATGTAGATAACATAATAGGTTGAATTATTTGTTAAATCATATAATTTCAAAGTAGCCTGTGCTTTTGGTGGATAAAATAGAAACGAGTAAGCAAGCTAAATATATAATAACCCAAATATTTTAGTGGCTTGTCCTGGTAGATTAAAAGATTTTTTACAAGAAGGAATTTTAGAGTTATCAAAGGTGACTTATCTTGTGATAGATGAAGCTGATAGATTATTGGATATGGGTTTTGAAGATGATGTTAGATTTATTGTTGAACGAACTAGATTAGATAGATAAACTGTTTTCTTCTCAGCAACTTGGCCTAAAGCAGTAAGAAATTTATCTTTTGATTTTTGTTCTGAAAAGCCAATATATGTATAAATTGGTAGATCTAATCTTACTGTTAATAAAAATATAGATTAAGAAATTATATGTTTATATAATAATGAAAAATTGCAAACCTTATTTGATATTTTAGATTCATTAAAAATTCATGACAAAGTTTTAATTTTTGCAGAAACTAGAAGAAGTTGTGAATAATTATCAGTTGATATGACTAATGAAGGATATTATGCAGTTGCCCTTCATGGAGATAAATCATAGAGATAAAGAGATGAGATTATGAAAAATTATAAAAAAAGTGAAACCAAATTACTTTGTGCTACTGATTTAGCTTCAAGAGGATTAGATGTATCTGATATTACTGTTGTAATTAACTATGATTTTCCGAAATATTTTGATGATTATATTCATAGAATAGGTAGAACAGGTAGAGCTGGTAGAAGAGGAAGAGCATTTAGTTTTTTCTCTATAGAAAAAGATTAACCTTAAATGGCAAGAGAATTATTGAAATTTAATCAAGTACATTAAATTAAATTTAATTTTTAAATGATGAGTGATTTAGCTAATGGAATAAGTAAATTATTATTTTATAATCATTTAGGATAATAATTTAGAACTAGTAATACTTTATAAACAAATTCTAAGTATAATGGTTAAATATTGAACGGCAGTAAACATGATCCTAATGAATTATTTAAAGTGCCACATTTAACTCAAGAGTAGAAAGCAAATCTATATCTATAGCCTCATCAGTATGAAATCATGTAATCAATTCAAATATTTTTTAGTTAAAATAGAAACAATTAAAATAATTATGGAAGATAAAATCAAGGCAGATCTCATTATGGTTAACAAAATTATAGATAAAATTAAAGAAGAGAAGATTTATTTTATTAAGATAAATTTAGAAATCGAGTATCAAATATAAATATATATTAGGGATAAAATGAATAAAGAAGAAATTAAGAATAAAACTGGAAAACAAATAGGTTTGGTTAACAAAGTGATTTTTAAGGATAACGTAGGGAAGATTATTTAGATTTTGGTAGAGATAGAGATAATGGTAGATAAGGTTATAATCAATCAAGATTTGGATTCCAAGGATCAGATAATCCTAGATAAGATAATAATAGATGGTAAAATAATGAATAAGATAATACTAAAAGATTTTAAGAAAATCGAAGAGATTAATTTGACTATAACAGAGAAGATAAATTGGATTAATAATAAAAACAAAATCCTTTTACATAAACAAGATTCTCCGATTAAAAATGGGATTAACCTTTGACAAATTAAAGAAATGAAAGATAACAACCTTTTAATAATTAAAAAGAGGAAAGATATTAACCTTTTCCTAATTAAAGAGAGGAAATATAGTAGTAATCTTTTAACAATTAAAGAGACCAAAAATAGTAACCTTATGCAAATTAAAGAGAAGAAAAATAGTAATATTCAACACCTTAGTAAGGTTTTTAGAGAGATTAATAAGATCAAAAATATAGAGCTTAGTAAAATTATTATAAAGATTAATAATTTAATGAATAAAGATAATAATAGAATTAAAGAAATTTTTAAAATGATTAATAAAGAACTCCTTACAATACTTTTAGTTATTAGCATCAAGAATAAAATCCTAGTTCAAGATATGGCTATGGATTTGACAATTTTCAAAATGATAGACAATTTGATAATTAAAGATTTTCAAATCCAAATAAAAGATAATAAAATAATTGGGGTGATAGGGAGAATAATTAAGGTTACCCTTAAAGACAATATGATTAATAATAATAAAGAACTTCTGCTCCAGATAATTAATGGAATAGAAATTCTGATCAAGGCAATAAAAATTAAAGATATTAATAAGATGATAGAAATTAAAGATATTACTAAGATGATAGAAATTAAAGATTTTACTAAGATGATATAAATTAAAGATATTACTAAGATGATAGAAATTAAAGATTTTAACAAGATGATAGATAATCTAATTAAAATTAAAGAGTTTTCAATTAACAAAATGATGATTAAAGGCCAAATAATAGAAGAAATTTTGTTGATGTCAGCTAACCTGAAGATGATAAATTAAGGAAAGATTCAGCTCAATAACCAGATTCTACAATTTTTCCAAACTTTAATAATTTTGAACCTGAAGAAAATCAAATATAGAAGAAAGATAACATTTAGGATTTTAATTAAAATTTATACAACAATCTGAATACTTAATAAAATTAAGATTAGAATGAAAGATCTTAAAATCAAAGAAACTATGATTTCAGATAAAATGATAATTTTAATCGAGATGAAGGAGTGAGTTCAAATACAAGATCATTATAATAATAAGTAAAAACTTTGTTTTATATTTAGGGTGATTAAGCACCTTATATGAAATAAGAATAATAATTGTTTAAATAATAATTTGAATAAAAACCAGTTCAAAATAATTTTATCAATGAAAGGTTTCAAAACTAACCATCAAGGTAAATTAAAATATAGTTATAATTATGATAGATAGAATGACTAAAGTTAAAGATCTTTGCTAGATTAAAAAATGGATCAAATGCCCTAATATTTGGAAAATTAAAGACAAAATAATGAAAGATCAAATTTCGTTAATCAATAGTATATAAGAAAATCATATAATAGACAACCTCAGAATATCTGTTAGAGTTTCAACAGGAATGAAAGAGTTTAAGACGATTAGGACAATGATTAAATGGATTTCAATAGATATTCTAAAGAGATGGATGAACTTGAGCAAGCACCCAAGTATAATATATCTTTCTAATTTAAGATTAAATTAATAAGAAAGAAAGAATAGTAGGAAGAACTCAGATTAACAATAAAACTAGAACCTTCAATAAAATCAATTAGATTCTTAAGACCAATATTGAGCATCTTTATTAGAATTATAATAATTTATTTTTGTGCCAAGTTTATATTAATTCTAACGTATTATGAGCCGTCTTTATACACTAGAAGATGAATAGTTAGATTATGGCTTAGATTATGAAAGTGTCTTAGTAGTTAAAGAGTATGATTAAAAAAGAAAAGAGTAAGGAAATGAAAAAGATCTACAATAATTTTTAAGTCTTCAATTTTATAGCAGACATCAATAATAATAAAAATCAACAGCCAATTTAAAAAGCATATAAAGATTAATAACAGAGCAAAAGGAGAACAATAAAAAGTAAAAAGAGAATAAGCCTATTAATTACAAAATAAAGACTCCATCTTTAAAACCATATTAAAGTTCAATTGTTACTCCTAAATGTTTAACAAAAACACCTTCACTTGCAAAAACATTAAAATCAACAATTACTATTACACCGTTAAATTTTAAGGATTCCTTATAGAAAATTAAATAGTTAGTTTCTAAATAACAGCAAAAACATTAGTTAGACTTTAGCAAATTTAAAAAGTCAATATATTGATTTAATAATTTGTATTCTGATTCTTGATATTAGTTTTATAAGTAAATATTTGATTCTAAACAATAAATTGATCTTCTTTGTTTAGAATAAGTATAAATAAATAAAAATTGTAATAGATTGATATTAATATTATTTATTATAAATATTGTATTAAGCATATGTAAATAATATCTATTATTTAAGATAGAAATAATTCTAATTGAAAAGTTCTAGATTTTTTTTTAAATCATCTATAAATTTGTATCAAATTACCTTTCAGAGTAATTATAGGAATTGTAAGTAAAAAAATGTAAATTTTTAGGTAATAACAAAAATAAATTATAAATTTAATGTAAAACAATGTTCGACAATCTTCAAAGAGTAGATTATTACTAACTATGATTGATAATTATTAGAAATCTCCTGATGAAGAAGCCCTACTTGAAGCTTCAAAAAATAGTTCAGTTGCTTAAATTGAAAAGAGGTTCAAAAAAAGCTAAGTGAATCTCACATATGCTTTTCCTAGAAAAGATGAAAATAATTAAAAGTTTAACTCAGAATCCCCAATTGCTAAGTAATTCTCACCTAAGGAATAAACTTAATAGAAAGACAACTTCAAAGATCTATTGAAAAAAATTTATCTCTCTAATTTAAAGAAAAATTCAAGAAAAACATAAATTAATCCAGAATTTATCAAGTAATAATATTCAATACTGCAGCAATCTCATCGTAAATCATTTTAGACTGCAAATAAATCTAAATTATAACATTCCTTAAGTTAAAATAGACTTTTAACGGACGTTGGTTAAAAATAAAGCTATTCCAGGGGATAATCCCCAGATAATAAATTGTTCTACTCTAATCGTCCAGTTGGAACTCAACTTTATAAGTTTATAAATTAAAATGTCAAAGAAAAATAAAGATCGTAATAAAATTTCAATTCATAAAACTCTTGTAGAAGCTTTGAATTAAGATATTAATTTAATAAATCCCCTTATTCCTTACTTTAAAATAAAAGCTTTGATTTAATTAAATAGCTTACATAATTTTCAAGTCTATAAAAAGTAAAATCTAAAAATAATTGATATTGCTTCAAATTATTAGTTTATAATTCAAATAAATATAAATGTCATTTTTTTAAATAACAACAAACCCTTCTCCACATCTTTTCGTTTAAGAAGATTTTTCTTATTTGCTAAACTTATTCAATTTGTGTATTCTATACTTTTGGTTCCTAAATTTTAGAATTTGCTATTATTATTTTATTTCCTCCTTTTATAATATTCTCCTAAAACAATAATATTATACTCAAATCTAAGTTCAAAAGCTAAAAAGATTATTTAAATTGCTAAATCTTTTGTAGAATTTAGAAATTCATTTTTAATAAACACTTTTCTTATTAAATGAATATTTTCATACAATCATATTTTCCTTCGATAATTCATTTTAATTTTTATTTACTTAGACTGCTTTTCAATTATCCTCCCTAATTATCTAAATATCTAATAATATTTGTTATCTATTCAAAATATTCATTTAAATATATTATAATAAAACAGCTGATGTTGAATAAATCATTGCATGTGATTTTCTTTGATATCTTTAAGTAATATTATATTTCTTGGTTGTTATACATTCCTAGATGAAACTTCTCAAATTGTTTGATTAAAAAATTGATTAAGAGATTATGACTTTTTCAGATCTAACTAATCTGCTAATGTAAATATTATCATTTTCAAAAAATATATTCGTTGCTTTTCATCTTAATAAATGTAATCCAAATCCTTCAAGAAATGCTAAATTTAAAATAATTGCTAGTAATTGTAACTACTAATAACTTGTTCCTAATTTTATTATCTAACAATTATGTTTTATAAAACTTTAATAAAATTTTCTTTTTCATTATAATCAATTTCAAAATATTATACAATATATGGAAGGTTTAATTACATTACATTTTCATACACATTTATTAAATAAACTTATTCTATTTCATCAGTAATACATTTAGCAATAAATTTAATTAACTAGAATATGAATATAAGTTATTCCTTTAAAAAAATAATATATATTAATATAATCAATTTTTGATGAACAAATAATAATAATAATCTAAGTCTCTTTCTAGTCGTAAACCTTAAGACAATGCTAAATCAGTTAAGAAACAAGAGAAACTTACTAAAATACAAGAAGCTTTTAATTTTAATAAAGCATCAAAATATATTGTACTTTTTAATTATGAATGTAGTTTTAATCTGGATTTTAAGAGAGAGCCTGGTTAATAAAAAGAGGATATTAGGACAGGATTGATTTTAAAGATTCTGAAATAACTGAATTGAGAAAATATTTTTCATCATTAGATGGAGATGGATCAGGTGCTATTGGGATTGAAGAATTAGAAGATCCATTAATTGCTTTAGGTTTAGTTAATTCAAGAGAAGAGGTTGAAAAAATTATGAGTGAAGTGGATGAAGATGGAACCAATGAAATTGAATTTAAGGAATTTCTAACTATAATGAGAGGTGTTTAGAAAGGTGGAAATGTAGATCAAGGAGAAAAAAATCCAATTTATGATTTTTTTAAAAGTAATCTTTTTTCTCATTTTTTTTAGAAATGAGTAATGGACAATTAGAAAAAGGAATGGATAAACATATTCCATTTAAATTAAATGTAAGTTTGTTTCGAAGAAAATAAATATTAAGTATTAATCAATGAAATTTTTAGATGCAATCACTGGTGATTAAAAAGAAATAAAAGACAAAGGATAAAAAATTTTATAAGCTTATAAAAGATAGTTACTGAATTATAAATAATAAGATAGAATTAATAGAGGAGAAGATCCAAATGGTAAATATTTAAATACATTTTTTTTAGATATATCCTTAGATTAATTTCCAAATAAAGATACTGGTCCAAATCCGAGAAATGGATTTCCTAAACTATAAAGAATTATATAACCTGAATAAACAATGGGAAACAATCATAAACACTATGACAAATGAGATTGATTCAGTTAAATCATAGTATTATTAATTATCTTATTTGCCGGTGCTATTAATCAAGTTTACTAGTTCTTGTCATTTGATTATTTGTGGGGAAGAAATTTTGAAAAAACAACTTATACTTGTTAGTTTTATCTAAATTTAATTACACAAAAAAAAATAATTTATGAATTCCTTTTTTGGGTAATTAATATATGTTATTTTAGTAAATAATATTAAACTTAGAATCTCTGTGCCTTTTTATAATAATTTGAATAACTTGATATTAATAAATATATATGCGGATATTCTAATATAAAATATATTAAAGAAAACTCTTGAAGAATTATTATTTTAAATGCTAAATTAGGTTCAAGTTTCCGAAATACTTTTAAAAAAATAAATTTATTATTTATTACATATAATGAACTTTAAATAAAAAAATAATCGGAAAACAAAAGTATAGTTTTACTATGAACAAACATAAGAAAGAAGAAGAAAATAAGTCACTAAAAATGTTAAAACTTATTAATTGTTTCAGTCTCCTTAAAAAAGTTCAAGACTAGTTAGGAAAAATAAATTTGAGATTAGTTCATAAAAATTGGGCAATTCAAGCTGTTGTTGTTCAGAATGTGGAAAAGAATCAGGTTTTAAATAAAGAATATTCAAAATTTATACATTTACTGAGACTTAATAAACAAAAAAAGAATAGTAAAAATAGTAATAAATATTGGATCGTTACAGAAATTCTAAATATATTAAAACCTTTAAGAAACTAGTTTATTGCTTACTTTTTATAATCAGATATAAATTAGTTTAAAATATAAGATATAGATAAAGATAAAGAATGAAAAAAGCATTTAAAACAAGAATAGATAATCCAAGGATGACATTTCTTAATGTGTTAGAAATTGCCACAAAGTAATTTCATATAAGTCCTAAATTTAAATCTGCAACTAATTTTGATTATGTCTTTAGCTAAAATGCTACAGCAGTAAATTCTCCTTAGGATTCAGATGATGATTATAATCATCTTAAGGCAGGAAAATCTTTCGTTAATAAATTTTCTTCAGATGAATAATGTATTCATAAGAAATTATCCAAATCTCAATAAAAACTATATTTTATAACTGGAACGAATTCAGTTTTAAATCAATATGTTACAAAGAAATTAAACCAATCTAATTAAAAATTCAAGAATTAGTAATAATAATAAAAAATATTACCTCCATTACTTTCTAAGCATACTTCTCCAAGATAAAATTAATCTACTTATTTACCTAATATAAGGTTTAAATAGATTAATTGAAATTATTATAAACTTAAAATTTTGGTTATTGATTTCATAATTATGTATTAAATTCTAAAAATAATCTACGTTAATTGGATGGATCTTTCTAAACTCTTTTTTTCTAATGTATTAAGAAAAAATATGATTTATATTCAAATTAAAAATATTTATTTTTTAAACTTATCGAAAAAAAGAAAAAGAATATTCGATTGGATGTTTGAAAGAATAAAAATAAAATATAATGATTTGATGGAAATTTGATTTTATTTATAGAGTATTACATTAAGCCCTAATAATAATTAAGTTATTAGTTCTTGGAGACCAAAAATCATTAATGGTAGAGCTGCAAAGTTCAATCGATTAATTTTCGTGAATTTAAATAAGAATATTTTATCTTTATCACCAACCTTTTTCTTCATCATTTAATTTCTCTAATCTAAAATATTACTATGGTAAAATATCGTCATCAATTTAAGGCAAGTACGGTAACATTTTTTTCTTTTCTGAAAGCTCTTACCAGTTTAATCCTTAGAACCATTTATGAGATTGGATATCTTTAAAGTCATTTTCAAATCCAATCCGACTTTAAGCTTCACTTTATAGTAATCTAGTAATTAAGTCCTTACATTCACTAGATATCAAAGTAGTCTTAGGAAATTATAAGCTTCCTTTACAAAGCATTCTAATTGCTATATCATGATTATGATGATAAAATGGAGAAATTCCAACTACTAATTCATATAGTAAAATTCCTAAACTATACCAATCTGACATTCTTGTTAAATCTCCTTAAAGAAGATATTCTGGTGCAGCATATTCAACAGTAAAATTGATTGCCTATCCTTTTTTATATTCCTAATATACTCTTAATCTTCCAAATCCAAAATCAGTCAATTAAATATATCCATTTTCATCAATTAGAATATTTTCAGGTTTTAAATCTCCATATATTATACCATTTTCATGTAATTGTGATAATCCTAATGCTATTTATGCTATAATATATTTAGCTTACAGTTCTGAAAACTAATTAATTTCTGAAAGATGAGAAAACAAATCTCCACCTTTCACAAATTAAAAAAAAAATAGAACTTAATCTTACCAACCTATGCATAATTGCAATTTTTCTAAATATGTAGATTGAGAATAATTTTCCAAATGAAATTTCAATAAATTAAAATCAGTATTGTATGACTTAATACTTTTAAGAACTAAATATTAATTTTACTTTTCTATTTTTTAGTTTATCAATATCACTTTATTAAAAGAACCCTGAGCTATTGAGGCAATTTTTTAATAATCTTCTAATTATATTCTTAAATTTAAAGGATCATGAACATATAGGACACTTATATTTTAATTTTTAGTCTTTTAATGTTATGCAAACATCAAATTTATATATGATAATTAAAAATTATCAGGATACAACATTTATAATTTAGTTTTAGGATGTAGAGCTATTTATTTACCAAAATCAGATGTTGCATCATGTAAACAAAATTGGCCAAGTTCTTCATTTTCAACCAAATAAATCCTTAGACCATCTTTATTATTTAATTTAAGCACAATTGATAAGTAATAAAGAATAATATCTCTAAATTCTTGTGATTTGAAACGATAATCACTTTCTTATGGAACATGCAAAATAAATTCATAACTTGATCTCGAAACTGTTACACCAAATATTTTATGAATTGATATCTTTCTTTTGATTGATTTTTTCTCAACATTATAAACATTTTCGCTTGATATAATAATTGTCCTTTATTATTCCGTATTTCTTTTATTTATTTTTCCTGTCAATCTTGAAAGTAAAACCATTTCTGACTATGAAGCCTGCTTTTTGAAAAATTTTTCATTGCTAATATTCAATACATCACTTATTTGTAATTTTAATTATCCTAAATAGGACATTACAATTTATTGCTAATGCATATTTTAAATTTATTATAAAATTATTTAATAATCTTCTAATAAATTTTTTAAAATATCCTTCTTCCAATATTATTCATATTTTTTGAATTAAGAATTCTCTTTTTGATATTATATTACTATATTTTGCTCAATTAAAAATTATGTTATTTTTTTATAAGTTAAAAACTTTAAAATTGTGAAAACAATTGATTTTAAAAAATGATATTTTTGGAATGCTTAGCATAAAATTTATTGCTCTAAAATTGATATTTAGTAACTAAGTAGGCTTATTTAATATTTAATTTATTGAGGTTGATACAAAAAAAATATCAAATTTAATAGAAATGAAAAAAATAATTTTAGATTCTATTTTTAATTTAAAATTTAATTGAATTAAGTTTAATGATATTTTCAGCCTTCTACTAAGAAGAAAAATAGAGAGAGATTTGAAAATTAGCAAAAACTTTTTGAAAGATCTTTTTAGAATATAAGTTAACTATTAATTTATAATGATTAAGTGATAAACTTTCAAATTAAATAATTCTTCAGTTTTGTGTATGTGTATGTGTATAAAAGGATAGTCGATTTTACTTAGAAAATAAAAATAATTTGATTAAGTTTTATTTTAATTTATGATTCGTATTTAATAATTACAAAGTTAAATTGTGGAAACAGCTGGTCTTAAAGGATAATATTATGAATAAGTAAATATTTATATTAAAGTTATTTAGAGACCATAAAATAAATTGGAATGGTTTAAAAATAATGGATGGGGATATAGAGATACAAAATTTGTATTAGAATAAGATGGAGGTGTAAGATTGACCGGAAATAAATACAGATTTTCAAATTAAAAGATGATGAAATTTAAAGAATGGGCAGAATAAAAAGTTGGAATAGATTTGAGTCTTAATTGTGAAGCATAAAATGAAATTCCTGGAGACCCACCAATAATAAATGAATAATTTATGAATGCAATAAAAGGATAATTTAATGAAATTTCATTTGATAATGGATAAAGAATATTACATTCACATGGACATACAATGTAAGAGGTATATATATATATAATATTATTTAGATATATGAATTGAGACATGGTAAATTAGCAAGAATAGTAGATTGTGTAGTATTTATAAATTCTCATGCTTAAGCAGAATTATTAGTGAAGTTAGCAATGGAATATAATGTAATGTTAACAGTTTACGGAGGAGGAACAAATGTAACATGGGCATTATAATGTCCAAAAGAAGAAAGTAGAATGATTGTATCTGTAGATACGTCAAGAATGAATCATATAAGATGGGTAGATAGAAAGAATATGACAGCATTAGTAGAAACTGGTGTAACAGGAAAAGATTTAGAAAAAGAACTATCAAGGTATGGAGTAGTTTGTGGACATGAACCTGATTCAGTTGAATTTTCAACACTTGGAGGTTGGATAAGTACTAGAGCTTCAGGAATGAAAAAAAATAGATATGGAAATATTGAAGATATTATTTTATCTGTTAAAGTTGTAACACCAACTGGCACATTATCTTAAAGTTTAGATTATCCTAGAGTTAGTAGTGGTCCAGATTTAAATTAAATTGTTTTAGGATCTGAAGGTACAATTGGTATTATTACAGAAGCAGTTATTAAAATTAAAGCATAACCTGAAGTAATTTTATTTTATTTATTTAAGGTTTGCAAATATGAATCTATTCTGTTTCATAATTTTGCTTTAGGTACTGAATTTATGTACAAATTATCAAGAAGTAAAGTATGGCCAGCATCTGTTAGATTAGTTGATAATAATCAATTTTAATTTGGAATGGCTTTAAAAACTATGCCTCATAGTAAAAGGGAAGAATTTATGGATAAAGTCAAAAAATATTTCATTACATAATTTATGTAATATGATCCAGATTAAATGTGTTTGGTTACCGTTGTTTTTGAGGGAACTAAATAAGAAGTTGAATTCTAAGAAAAAAAAGTCTTTGAATTAGCTAAATTCTATAAAGGTTTTAGAGCTGGAGCTGAAAATGGAGAAAGAGGATATTTTTTAACTTATATGATTGCATATTTAAGAGATTTTGCTATGTAATTTTAATTTATTGCAGAATCATTCGAAACTGCTGTAGGATGGAAGAATGTTCCTGCTGTATGTGAAAATGTAAAATATTCTTTTATTATTAGATATAAAGAAGAATAGTAGAAGAATGTTCAAAAAGAGGAGTTGAAAAAGAACCATTTGTTTCATTTAGAATTTCTTAGGTTTATGATACAGGAGCTACTATTTATGTTTATTTTGGATTTGGTTATAAAGGAATTGCTGATCCTGTTAAATGTTATTCTGAAATTGAAGATGCTGCTAGAGAAGAGATTATGAAAAATGGAGGATCTATTTCTCATCATCATGGTAATTCATTATAATTTATTATTTAGGTGTTGGTAAATTAAGAAAATAATTTATGTAAAGATAAATTGGAGATACTGGAGTAGAAATATTAAGAAGGATTAAACAATAAATAGATCCAAAAAATATATTTGGAAATTAGAATTTAATATGAAATATTTATGTGCATCAAATTATTTAAAACTAACAGTTAAAAGAATTTGAATTCAATTAATTTAAATATATTTTCTAAGTAAATGAACAAGTCTGATACTCTTCACAATTAAGAAAACATTGATCCAAATATAGTTCGCAATTCTGTTTCTCAATAAAAAATAATATCAAGAAGTTCAGGTTAAAAAACACCTTGGAGTGCCAAGTATATATTTTAAAAACATTTTTATTAGTACTGGAGAAATAAGTCATTCTACTAATGATGATATTGAAATCTCATGTTTTTAAGTAGGACCAACCAAATAATCATCGCTTTCAACAAATTAAGCTGTAATATGCTAAACGAGATTAGAGTAATATTTGACTTCAAATAATGTTCCTGATATTTTATCATATTTAGATGAATTTGAAGATCTAGATTGGGTTAAATCTAATTATTTAACTCATTTGATAGAACTTATTGTAAAATAAGAGAGAGAATATTTAAAATAAAGGATTGTTGGATTAACAGCGATATTGACTAGCAAAAATTATTTACTCAATAGATAAATTATCAAAATGATTTTCAGTGTGTCATCTAGAATTGGATCTTAAGAAGGATTCTATGCATTACATGAAATACATCATCTTTTAGAAACAATGATATTTAAGGAAGAATTATAATAATATAATTAGATATAATATTTCCCACTTATTGTATATTGTCATACACATTAATTAATATATTGGGGATTAGCAGCAGAATGTTGGGAATTATTGAAATTAAAATTAAACAGATAAATTGAAGAATCAGTTAAGGATGAATTTGAAAAAACTGCTTAGAAAATCTGTGATATGCTTTTAAGATAATTAATTGAATTAAGTAGTTCAAATGATTAATGGTATTAAATTTTCAATTAAGTTCTATATGAAGGTGTAATCAATTTACATCCATCCGATATCTTTTTCAATAAATTAATTGATTATGCTTTCAGAAAGTCTTAAGTTTAAATGGCAGAATATCTACTAGTATTTATGAGAGATTAAGCCAAGATTCAACCTACCATTGTAACTATTAATACTATGATTGATTAATACTTCAAAAATAATTAGAAAGAAAAAGCTTGGAAAACATTTGAAAATCTTAAATTAACTTAAACAAAACCTGATAATTTTACTTACACTACTCTTATTAATGGATTAAAAAATTCAGATAATATGGATTTAAGATTGGCATTTTAATTATTTGATGAATACAAATAATCAAATTAACCAGATTAAATTATATATAATTGTCTTCTTGATGCTTGTATAAATGCTGGAGATTTGAATAGAGGATTTTAGTTATTGAATGAAATGAAATAATCATAAACTATTCAATTAGATGAAATTACATATAATACATTAATAAAAGGATGTGGAAGAAAGAAAAGATTGAATGAAGCAATAAATTTATTTGAAGAAATGAAATAAATTGGTATTAAACCAAATAGAATAAGTTTTAATTCATTACTTGATTCTTGTGTTAAATGTAATAAAATGAATATTGCTTGGAGATACTTTGAAGAAATGAGAAAACAATATGGTATATTTCCAGATAATTTTACTTATAGTATTTTAGTTAATGGAATAAAAACGAACCATTCTAATCGAGATGAATTATTGAGAGCTATTTCTTTATTGGAATAGATCTAAGAGACAGGATAATTTAAACCAGATGAAATTCTTTATAATTCTTTGATTGATGCTTGTGTAAAATTTAACGAGATTTAAAAAGGTATGGAATTATTTAAAGAGATGAAAAATAAATAAATTGAGCCATCATCTGTAACTTATGGTATATTAATTAAAGCATATGGGAAAATGAATGATTTAAATGGAGCATTTAGAATGTTCGAAGAAATGAAATAAAAAAAGATACCAATAAATGATGTTACATATGGTTGTTTAGTTGATGCATGTGTTAGAAATGATAGATTGGATTAGGCTTTATAATTTATTGATTAAATGAAATCTTAAAATTTACCTATTAATACAGTGCTTTACACAACCATCATCAAAGGATTTTGTAAATTGAATTAGACTGAAGATGCGATGAAATATTTTAATTTAATGAAACAATCTTCAAAAACATATCCAAATCTCATTACGTATAATTCCTTATTAGATGGATTAGTAAAGAATGGATTGCTCAATTAAGCAGATAAATTATTTTAAGAATTACTTGAATCTAATATCAAACCAGATTTAATTACTTTTAGTACTTTATTGAAAGGACATTGTAGAAGAGGTAATATGAAAAGACTTAATGAAACAGTTTAAACTATGATTAATAATTAAATCACTCCTGATGAATCTTTATTATAATTGATTTTGGAATCTTGTCTTAATCAACAATAATTTCATAATGGTGTTTAAATATATGATTAATTTTGTCATTAAATTCCTTAATCAATTTAATTATTATTAATAACAATCAGATTGCACAGTTAGGATAAGTAATTACTTTAAATAATTCCATTATTAAATAGATTAAATTAATTGATGAATGAAAATAGAATTTAACATTAATCTCTAGAATAAACAATTAATTCCTTATTATAAAATTAATTAGATGAATAACTATATCCAATAGTTACAAATATAGTTATCATGGCCTTAAAGATGGATTATAATGTATATAATTTAGAAACATTAGTATCAGTGTAAAATTCTTAATTGATGAAATTATTATAAAATACTACTTAAATTCCATGTAATAAACTAGCTTAAATAATGGATGAATTATCAAATGAAGATTAGAATATATGTCGATAATATATAAAGAAAAATAGTAAGAATGATTTGAAGGAACCTTTAAATGAATAATTTGGGTAAGTATTTTTATAATGTAACAATAATACTAAAAAGAGTAAACCATAAGAAAGATCATCTCCATTTAATAATGAAAACAAAGAGAATATGTATCATCCAAAGCGTTAGTATAATAATTATGGAAAGAATGATTTGAATGAATTCATGCCAAACAAGGGATATGCAAAAAGAAGATGATTAATTAATTAATATTATAAAATGAATAATGATCAATCATAAGAAAATATTGACTAATATCTTCATTCTTTTGGAACATAGTAATCTATACCAAATATACTGTAATAAGCTATTACTTAGGATTAACTTTTAGCTTAAAATGTTAGACTATTATAACAATTACATGAACAATAATCTTTTTTGAATTTACAAAGTTTAATGTTACTAAACCCTATAGTTTAAACTTAAATGAACTAAGATAGTAAAAAGATAAAAAAATCAAATAAAACCATTTAAGTAATACCACCAGTTAATACTAAAGAAGATGGATAAAATCTATTGGATATAAAAGGAAATGTGAAAAATGCATATATAAAGAAAATAGTTTCATTGTTAAGTGTAGAAGGGGATAAATTATTAGATGATGATTTTCAGGAGGATTTAGAGATTGAAAGTTGTTCAGATAATCAGAAACAAGATAAGTTGAATGGATTATTAAATTGTAACAATGACTAAACTTAGATGAAATAAAAGGGTAAGTAAAGTGCAAAGATGTCAAGACTTAGAAAAAAGTTTTATATAAAATTGTTGGAGAAAAAAGTATAATATAGTAAAAGTAACCAATAGGTTTCAGATTTAGATTAATAAATATCAGAATACAAAAAAACTACTCGTTAATCCTTTGAATATTTAACTTAAATTTTATAATCACATCCAATTTTAAATAGTATGATAATTGGAAATTCTGCAGCAATAGATTAGGTTATGGAATGTTACAGTTCTGATTCAGCTTAATTGATATTGGATTCATATATTGTAAAAATATTCAAATTAATATAAGATGAGATATGGTATTTGTGGGATTAAAAGAAGAGATTATTTTAAATATGCAGTAAAAAATATTTAAAAGAATTTCTTAAAAGGGAATTATGGTCTTTTATTAATGAGTTGGAATAAAGAGATACAGAATTGTATTTGAGAATCAATTATTTATAGATGATTAAGAGTTTAATAATTATGTGGAGATAGTAAAGAAAGAGGCTAAATTAGAAGATGATAATCAAGTGTATAAAATATTGGCAACAGTAGATAGAATGTTGAATCATCGAAAAATATCATAATAGTAAATTTATTAATAATTATTTTAAAGATTATTATTAAGATTCAATTAAAATATCAAAAATCTTAAAAATCTTTAATAAGAGGTAGAAGAAACATTAAATTAATTTACTGAATGCTTAAGCCCTATTTAGCATTTAGATTTCATTAAATAAATTGAGAAACTAGGTTTTTTAAATAGGTTTATAAAATGATTAATATAAAAGCATTTTTGTTTTCTATTAAATTATGAAATCTATTTACAATAGCATAGCTAAAATTGGATATAAGACAAAAGTATTAATAAATAATAAGTAGGCAGCTTTTTCAGGTGTGACTGATATTGTGGTTGTTGATTAAGGAAATGACAATTATTCTTCAACACCTTTTAATGTGAAATTTGGGAAATTAAAATTTTAAAATGAAAAATAAGAAATTCTTACAGAGAGTAAAGAATAATCAAATATTTAGTATTGCATATAAGAGAATAATCTGTGATAAAATAGATAAAGTTGATTAAAATAGAACTCGAAATAAATGGAGTTTAAAGAGATGACATTTAATTTTATTTAGATGATGATTAAATTGGACATTTTGCATATCATGAAGAAGAAGATATTATTGAACTTAAATAGATATATCATAACTAAAATAAATAAAATTAGAATTAATAAAAATAGTAGGAAATCAAATTGTCTAATTTATCATAATATATTGTATTATCAAGAGTACCAATTAATAAAACTATAATTAGTATGAAGTTGAATAATGGAATAAACAGACTAATATTCAATGTAAATTGCAAGAGATTAGGATTATAATAAATAGAATGTGAATTATATAAAATAGAGCAAAATCAAAAAATTTTTATAAGTGATATAGATGGAACAATAACAAAATCACCAACTAAGGGAATGATAATGTCTACATTTGGTAAAAATTACACTTAAGATTATATTTGTTAATTTTATAGTAAGCTTGTTGAAAAGAACTATTTGATTTTATACATGTCTGCAAGATCAATGGTATAATATGAGAAAACAAAAGAATATTTACTACGTTAATTTTAAGATGAAATCTAATTACCTTTTGGTCCATTGATATTGTCACCTTCAAAATTATTTGAAGCATTTACTATTGAAGTGATTAAGAAATAAACTGATATTCTTAAATCAGAAATGTTAAATGATTTAATATATTCAATAGGAATAACTGGAACAATTCAAGGAGGAATGGGGGATAAAAAAAATGATATTGAGGCATATAAAATGGTTAATATAAATTAAAATAGAATTTTACGTATTAATAAAAAAGGAGAATTATTAAGAGTGAATGAAGAAAATAAACAGGAATAGTATACAATGAAAGAATTCATTTAAAAAATTGATGAAATATTTTGAATTTATATTAAATATTATTTAATTAATTAAATGCATAAACTTAATATTCATATTAAGAGATATTAAGCTTAAGATTTATTAACTAGTAATTTAATTACTATAATGGCCATTTCAGATTTTGTAAAGTGAATTTAAGGAATAAATAAATGCTTGTAGATGAAACTCTAGATATTGTTATAAAAATGATGGTGGACCTACTATTTTTAAATAAATTAAAGTTGATTATTCTACTACATCATTTATTTTACTAATAGCCGAATTATATTGAAAATTTTTGAATTACTTACTTAGACCAACTAGGATCAATTAATGAATTTATTAAAATTAAAGTTTACTCCATCATGATTGTAAATGGATGCTTTAAAAGAGAGAACTAAATTATTTTTATAAACAAGAGCTATTAAAAGAGTTTAAAGAAAGTGGAATGTTAGGAGAGTCTGAACTCAGTTAATAAATATAAAACAGGAAGCGATTTAAGAATTCAGTATATTTTAAATGTAATAAAAAGGGAATAATCAGTTAGTATTATTGATAGAAGTGTAAATTGCTATTCTAAAAATATTAGCAATAAAGGTTTTTAAAGATTCTATAGCTTTAATTAGCACATTAAATCAATTCTCAATAACTCTGAGTAGATTGAAATGGGTTATAAATACAGTGGTTTAAATCAAGTTAAAGAAGAATTCAGACCCAATCTTAAACATCATATATTAGAATAAAGTAATTCAATATCAATATTCCTGTAGCTTTACTACAGAGACTGCAATAATAATTTTGAGAAGATATGATATGATTAAATTAGAACCAAAATAAGAATAAATGGCAAATAGACACTTAGATATGGAAAATTACATATATATAATTAATCAAGTCAATATTTTAAATTCAACTAATTTTTATTAATTTTATGTTTAAGCTTTTGGATTTATTAATTTTTTGTTTTTCCTTTAAATTAAATATTAAACCAATAACAAGACAACTTCTATTTAAATATTAATTGATTATTTCATTTACTCATATAATCAAAATAAAGAATCTAAAATAATTTTATTATTAAGAGTAATGAATCGAATTATTATTACAGAAATTGGAGACTCAATTAGAAAAGATCTCAAAGACGATTGTAGTCCAAATGATTACAATTTTACAACAAGTAAACGACATCTTCGCTTTAAAACTAATACTAGTGAATCTACAGTTGAATTGAAAAGGTAAACTACAATTAATCCACTTTTATATCAAAAAGAACTAGTTTCTATTGCTTAGACTAAACTATATAATAAAGCTAAGCTTTCCCTTTAAGGGTAAACTTAATAACTTAAGAATTGTATTTAAGAAGATCTCAATCTACCAAAAAAGAGTTCTTACTTAAATAAGAATTTAGATAAATTAGTACATAAAATTATGGATAAATAAGGTATTTACAATATTTTTAAAAGATTGAGATTAATTTACAAAGCGAAAAAGTTAGTTACTTAGATAACTTATGTTAATGAAATAGAGTGATAGAAGTAAATCAAATTACACTTTAGCTTTCAAAGATAATGAGAAAACATAAACTATCCTTCAATGTAGATCGATTGTAAATGCTGAAGGAAAATTAGAATAATTGTAGAGAAGATTTCAAAGGCAAAGTTAAGCTGATTTAAGAATGAGACAAAGATTAGCTAGTTATTTAGAATAAAGTTAAGAAAATAGTTAGAGTAGATTTAATATAAATTACTCAGGTTTTACGATTTAAAGAAAAGAGTTAATAAATAAAAGTAACTCTCAAATAAGAATTAGAATGTAATAAAATTATTGTAATAAACAAATAAATACTGATTGATATATATATTAATATATAATATATATAAAATGAATAGACTTTTGATTACAGAATTAGGGGATACGATGAGAAGTGAAATGAAAAGAGATTTAACTAAACCTAAGAAATCAAATAGATCTAATTTAAAATCTTAATTGCCAGAAATAAAGAATAATTTTGGTAGTTCTGTTTTCTTAATGGAAATGGAAAAAACTTAGAATCCTCTTTATTAAAAAAGTCTTTCTGATTAAGCTCTTTTAAATCTGTCTAAGGTTGCCAATCTTTCTTTGTTTGGGCCAAAAAATAAACAGAGTTTAGAGAATCATTTAAGAGAAGATCTATAAATAAAGAAGTAAAAAGATTATTTGAATATATGTTTAAATAAATAAGTAGATAAAATTATTGATGATAAAAGTATTTAATTAGAAATAATAAATAGATTTAATGAGTAAAAGGAAAAGATAATTATTGAATGAATTAAAGAGATTAGAAGGAAAGGAGAAATTGAAACAGTTTTATAAAATAGTAACTGAATAATCATAAGTGAGTTCAATAATAGAAGATATTGATAGGGAAAATAAATTAATGTCGATAGTAAATGCAGAGGGAAAATTATTATAATTAAAAAGAAGATATGAAAAGAAATAATAGGAAGAAGAGAAAATGAAAGAATTAATAAAAATGAATTATTGTAAATTTAAGGACAATTAGATTATGAACATAGAAGCATTGAAAATAATGGAGCATGAAGATATGGAGAATGATGTAAAGGATATTTTCATGAATAAAGATTAATCAGAAAAGCGATTTATAGAGAGAATGAATGAGAAACATATAAAGAGAAATGAATAGATTTGGAAATAGCATCACTTTCCTAAAAAACACAGGAAATGGCTATCAAAATGATTAAAATATATAATAAAATAAAATTGATAAAAAAATGACAAGAGCAATTAATCTAAAATTATAAGATAAGTTAATACTAATAGAGATGCCAAATGAAGCTACTTTAAATGATCTATACAAGCGAGTAATAATGAATTAGAGCAATAGATAAAAGAACATCCTTTGACTCCGAATCCAACTTAACTGATTGGACTAAAAACAGTATAAGGAGCTTTGACATTAGATTATATTCTATCAAGACCAGAAGATAGAAGTATAAATTAATAATGAGTAGGTTTATTTCAATTAAATAAATTGAAATAGAATGAGTGGCTTATTGGAATTTATAAATAGTAAACAGGATAGTTGAGTTTGAAAGATTTTGTATTTGAAAAATGTATAGGCAAAGGTGGAACATCAGAAGTATATTTGATAAGACATAAAGGGAATGCAAGACTTTATGCATTAAAAATGATAAAAAAACATTATATTACGGATTGCAGACGCTTAGAATAAGTATTAAGAGAAAAAAAAATATTATCAAATGTACTAAATTAGAGTCCATTTATTATACCATTATACGCAACTTTTGCAACAAAAGAACATTTGTGTTTCTTAATGGAATACAGTCCAGGAGGAGAAATGTTCTTTCATCTTTAAAATTATAGATTTACTGAAGATGAAGCAAAAAAATATTTTTGTGAAGTAATTTGTACATTAGAAGAGTTGCATAAACATAAAGTACTTTATAGAGATTTAAAGGTATGTAATATTTAATATTAAAATATAACAGCCAGAAAATATTTTGATAGATATTCGAGGTCATATATAATTAACAGATTTTGGACTATCTAAGTTAGATTTAATGAATGAAGATGTAACTCATAGTTTTTGTGGTTCACCTGAATATATGCCACCAGAAATTGTTAGGTAACATTATTAACTAGTTTAGTCGTTAAGGATATTCATATCCAGCAGACTTTTACACTTTAGGTTGTTTATTACATGAATTATTGTTGGGATTACCTCCACATTATTCTTAAAATACTGATGAAATCTTTTAAAAAATTATCAATGAAGAATTAGAATTACCTGATGATCTTACTATAGAAGTTACTCAATTGTTAATCGATTTATTATAAAAAGATGTCAATTAAAGAATTAAAGATTTCAAAGTCTTGAAAAAGTATCAATGGTTAAATGATGTCAATTGGGAAACTATTAAAAATAAACAATTAGAAATGCCTATTGAAATAGATATTTATGAAACACATATTCACGGAGAATTTTTAAATGTAGATGTAACAGAATTTAATTAAAAAAATGAATCAGGCGATTTAAAACCTTAAGATGATTTATTTGAATTCTTCCATTATATTAATCCTATCTATTAAGATTAATTTTTAATAGAATCGAAATAATAGAATGTAAAAAATAGGGCTTCAAGTGATATGGTAATAGAGAAGAAATAAAAGTTAGTTTTAAATGACAAATAATCAAATATGAACCTTAGTTAATTAAAAAAATGTAATTCAGTGAAATAATGTTTGAAGTCTGCTAGTTCTCCAAGAATAAGTAATCAATTATTCAATACTGGACATCATAGTACTTAAAATTCACCAAAGAAATAATTACAATTGAATTTATAAGACATTGATAATTAATTAGCTATGAAGACACCAAAATAGCCAAAATCTTTAGCTGGAACAACTCCAACAGCTGCTACTTTGGCTCTGTTGAGAAAAAGTTTTTAGACTTTGCTTAAAAAAGCTCCATCTTTAAGAAATTAGGATAATAATCCAACTTTGAGAACTTTATTGTCAGAAAGATCTTTAATGGATAGGAACTATGTTAATCATATTAATTATAATTAGATTTAAAAAATATTACAATTATAACATAGTAGTCCTACTAATAGAGAATTATCATAAAGACCACCTCAACAATAACAGAAAAGAATTTCAAGCACTTCCACACATCTAAAATCATAGTTATCATAATTATCACTTTTTACTTTATCTTCATAAATTACTTAAAGAGGTAGTACCTCGCATAGACCAAAACTAAAATAATGATATTAATATTTATATAGATATTATTTGATCAAGCTTCATCTATTTCCTCATTTCCAGGATAATCTCCATTTGGTATACCATTAGCAACTCCTCCAATAATACCAATTTAATTTGCTGTCTTATTAAATATAGGAATTATAGATAATAAAGCAGGATCACCAAAGACCATAAAAGGAGGGCCACTTGTATAAGTGAGCATGACTTAACACTATTATCCCTAAGCTAATATTATAATATTTAATACTAACGTGCAACATAATAATTTTATAATAAATTAAAAAAGGGAATAGTAACATCTACTACATTAAATGAAACTGTAATATTTGGTAGATATTACAATTCCTATGCTGTTGGTTAACAAGGACAATAAAGGCTGCCACTCTAAATACATCCTGCAGGTATCAAGTAAGTTTTTAATAAAATTCCATAAAGTGCTTCTGTTACTATTAAATCTGCTGTTCCAGAATCCAAAATAGCAGATGTAACTGATCCCATTTATGATGAATAATCTTATCCATTTATCGTAAACTTATTAATAAATAATTTCCATCTATAAATGTCATTAGGAGTTACCCATTATACTTAATTCATTAAGGATGGATTTATTTATCCAAAAATCAAATAAGAATTCAAAGGAGGTTAATTGAATACTAAGCCATACAATTCAGTTTTTATCTAACCAGCTTTAAAAGACGCTTAAAAGATATTTGTAAATGATTGATTGTTAGAAATACCCATTATCCCATCCATTATAGTTGGGAATGAAAACCCTTACTCCATTGTTGCAAACATCATAGTAAATGTTGTGTTTATTACTGTATTTTGTATATTCACAATATCTGATGCAACATAACCACTGCATTCTCCACTTCCATATGCTTAATAATAATTGCTACCATTTGGTTTGAAATAACNGCTCCATCTTTAAGAAATTAGGATAATAATCCAACTTTGAGAACTTTATTGTCAGAAAGATCTTTAATGGATAGGAACTATGTTAATCATATTAATTATAATTAGATTTAAAAAATATTACAATTATAACATAGTAGTCCTACTAATAGAGAATTATCATAAAGACCACCTCAACAATAACAGAAAAGAATTTCAAGCACTTCCACACATCTAAAATCATAGTTATCATAATTATCACTTTTTACTTTATCTTCATAAATTACTTAAAGAGGTAGTACCTCGCATAGACCAAAACTAAAATAATGATATTAATATTTATATAGATATTATTTGATCAAGCTTCATCTATTTCCTCATTTCCAGGATAATCTCCATTTGGTATACCATTAGCAACTCCTCCAATAATACCAATTTAATTTGCTGTCTTATTAAATATAGGAATTATAGATAATAAAGCAGGATCACCAAAGACCATAAAAGGAGGGCCACTTGTATAAGTGAGCATGACTTAACACTATTATCCCTAAGCTAATATTATAATATTTAATACTAACGTGCAACATAATAATTTTATAATAAATTAAAAAAGGGAATAGTAACATCTACTACATTAAATGAAACTGTAATATTTGGTAGATATTACAATTCCTATGCTGTTGGTTAACAAGGACAATAAAGGCTGCCACTCTAAATACATCCTGCAGGTATCAAGTAAGTTTTTAATAAAATTCCATAAAGTGCTTCTGTTACTATTAAATCTGCTGTTCCAGAATCCAAAATAGCAGATGTAACTGATCCCATTTATGATGAATAATCTTATCCATTTATCGTAAACTTATTAATAAATAATTTCCATCTATAAATGTCATTAGGAGTTACCCATTATACTTAATTCATTAAGGATGGATTTATTTATCCAAAAATCAAATAAGAATTCAAAGGAGGTTAATTGAATACTAAGCCATACAATTCAGTTTTTATCTAACCAGCTTTAAAAGACGCTTAAAAGATATTTGTAAATGATTGATTGTTAGAAATACCCATTATCCCATCCATTATAGTTGGGAATGAAAACCCTTACTCCATTGTTGCAAACATCATAGTAAATGTTGTGTTTATTACTGTATTTTGTATATTCACAATATCTGATGCAACATAACCACTGCATTCTCCACTTCCATATGCTTAATAATAATTGCTACCATTTGGTTTGAAATAACTCTAACCACTAGGATTATATCTAGTATTTATATCACAATTTGAACAAACACTGTAGGGAACCCATAAAATATTTGAACCTGTATCAACCTATACTGAAAAATTTTATGCTGGAACACCTATTGATATATTAACCAACCATAATAATTATTCATAGTTCTCAAGAGTTGCATTCATACTCGGCAATCCTTAAACTTTATTCCAATTTGTATTTGCGTAATTAGTGTTCTAACAAAAAATACCTACTACAAATGATGTAATTAGTATAAACATTGTTAAAAATATAATAAATACTTTATATACATTTTATTATTAAAAATATAGTTATTAATTATTAACTAATTGATATTCCATTTAAAAGTATTACTATGAATATTAAATAGCTTTCTTAAAATAATTTTTCTTCACTTAAATCATTGCTCAAAAATTAATATTTTTCTATTATAAAAAAGATACATAATAACACACCATAACTAAACTTCAATATTTTCATATTTCTCTCATCTTTAATTTAAATTACAAAATAAAACTATTAATAAGATAACTTATTATGGCAAGAAGAACTGATTAAAATAAAGTTTTAAATAAAACCTTTAATGAGCTGATAAGATGATGAATTTTTTTAAAAAAATCCTCCAAATATATTTTGAAAGATATCAAAATAATAATAATAGCAATAAATTAGCAAATGACAATAGATAAATTATTTATGAAAGTCCTTTTATTATCTAAAATACTCTAGCTGGATTATTTGATTAATAAATGAAGTAGACCTAAAAATTTTAAAAACTAAAAACATAAAGTTTAACAATGAACAATTCTTACAAATGAGTCATTTTTGATAATTTTTAATAATTTATGTTATTTGAAAATGTTTATTTTTATGTTTATTTATTAAAAATCTGTGGAAATTCTGTTGATTAAAATATTTCATTTTAATTTAATGTGATGTATATCTTTAATTTTTTTATTACAAAATATCTATTCATAAATGGGTACTTAATATATAGTTATATATATTAGCAAAATAAAGTACGAAGAAGAATGATAAGAAGAAAGATAAGAAATTAACAACTAAAAATGTTTCAAAAGTGATATAAAAGAAGGTCCCAAAAAAGTTAGTAAAGAAAGTTTAACCAAAAAAGACTGTTCTTGCAAAAAAGAAAGTTGTGGTTAAAAAAACATAAAAAAAACTTGTTGTTAAAGCAGTTCCTGTGAAAAAGGTTGTTCCTAAAAAAGCAAAAGTGGCTCCCGCCAAAAAATAAGTTTCAAAAAAATAAAATGCTAAAGAATAAAAAGTTGATAAATAATCAAAAAGTAAAGTTCTTAAGCCAGTTACTCCAAAGGCTGATGCGACACCAAAAGTACCAGGAAAGTTTGCAGCATATACTTTAGATTAATATNGTATCAACCTATACTGAAAAATTTTATGCTGGAACACCTATTGATATATTAACCAACCATAATAATTATTCATAGTTCTCAAGAGTTGCATTCATACTCGGCAATCCTTAAACTTTATTCCAATTTGTATTTGCGTAATTAGTGTTCTAACAAAAAATACCTACTACAAATGATGTAATTAGTATAAACATTGTTAAAAATATAATAAATACTTTATATACATTTTATTATTAAAAATATAGTTATTAATTATTAACTAATTGATATTCCATTTAAAAGTATTACTATGAATATTAAATAGCTTTCTTAAAATAATTTTTCTTCACTTAAATCATTGCTCAAAAATTAATATTTTTCTATTATAAAAAAGATACATAATAACACACCATAACTAAACTTCAATATTTTCATATTTCTCTCATCTTTAATTTAAATTACAAAATAAAACTATTAATAAGATAACTTATTATGGCAAGAAGAACTGATTAAAATAAAGTTTTAAATAAAACCTTTAATGAGCTGATAAGATGATGAATTTTTTTAAAAAAATCCTCCAAATATATTTTGAAAGATATCAAAATAATAATAATAGCAATAAATTAGCAAATGACAATAGATAAATTATTTATGAAAGTCCTTTTATTATCTAAAATACTCTAGCTGGATTATTTGATTAATAAATGAAGTAGACCTAAAAATTTTAAAAACTAAAAACATAAAGTTTAACAATGAACAATTCTTACAAATGAGTCATTTTTGATAATTTTTAATAATTTATGTTATTTGAAAATGTTTATTTTTATGTTTATTTATTAAAAATCTGTGGAAATTCTGTTGATTAAAATATTTCATTTTAATTTAATGTGATGTATATCTTTAATTTTTTTATTACAAAATATCTATTCATAAATGGGTACTTAATATATAGTTATATATATTAGCAAAATAAAGTACGAAGAAGAATGATAAGAAGAAAGATAAGAAATTAACAACTAAAAATGTTTCAAAAGTGATATAAAAGAAGGTCCCAAAAAAGTTAGTAAAGAAAGTTTAACCAAAAAAGACTGTTCTTGCAAAAAAGAAAGTTGTGGTTAAAAAAACATAAAAAAAACTTGTTGTTAAAGCAGTTCCTGTGAAAAAGGTTGTTCCTAAAAAAGCAAAAGTGGCTCCCGCCAAAAAATAAGTTTCAAAAAAATAAAATGCTAAAGAATAAAAAGTTGATAAATAATCAAAAAGTAAAGTTCTTAAGCCAGTTACTCCAAAGGCTGATGCGACACCAAAAGTACCAGGAAAGTTTGCAGCATATACTTTAGATTAATATTAAGCTTATCTGAAGGCAATTAAGGATTGGTCATCAAAAACTAATTAAGAGATTAAGGATAATTTACGAAAAAATTTATAAAGTATGACTGGAAACAAAGATGAATTATTGAATAAAATTGCTGATGGAATTGTATTAGGATCAATACCTAGATGTCCTCATTGTTTTGGTGGAAGACCCAAATTCAATTAAGCTACTGGAAGGTATTGTAAAATAATTATTGTTAGCTATTTCTGTGTTGGATATAGAGATGACACTGATTTTAAGTTTTGCAACAAAGTGATTACATCTTTGGATAGAACTCCATGGTAAGTTTGAATTTATCAATTTAATAAATACAAAAACAAAATATTTGCACTTAAGGTACTTCTCTATTATTTATTGTTTTAATAGTTTCGATCATAATTATTTCCATTTTATTAATTCCATTCCTAACTTAATAGTCTATCCTAATTATTTATCATCCATTTTATATATTTATGTCTTTATAATTATATATTTAGAGTTTATAATTAATATTTAATTATTAAATGAAGTAAATTTAAAGTTAAATTAACCATTAACTAATTGGAAGAATTCCGAATCAATTGAGTATATGTAGTTAAATATTAAGGTAGTTCATATAGAAAAATGAATGATCAAATACTTGTATATAAAAATAGAATTCAAGTCACCAAAGATAATAATTAATTTGACTTAAAAATACTTACTCCAGGATATTTAAAGAACAATAAATATCAATATATGTTTAATTGGAAAATCAATTTTATTGAAAGTCAGATTTGCTAATTTTCAAGGGAAGAGTTTTATTAAATTTATTTGTACAATTGTTTCCTTTTAGGAGATTGTTATAAAGCAAATAGTTTATCATATATATAATAAAAATATCGTCCTTTTGATTCATATTTTGATTATAAAAATGAGAATAGGAATAATATTCTTTTATATGGTGAAAACATGAATGAATTTAATAAATTTAAGCTATAGAATTCAGCTCAAAATGATTTTTCAGATTTTAATCGAATATATGTAAATAAGAAAAATCCATTTGTATCCTTTTCAGTATATGATATTATAAATAGCAATGATAAGGCAATTTCTTTTTTTTAGAGATTAGTACAATAATAAGCATTTTAAAATATAGAAGAAGCACTAAAATATTATGGTGTTAGTTCGAATGAGATTGAAGGATTGAATGTTCATGAATTATTTCATTCAGAAAAACTAACTCTAGGAAATGTATAATCATTTAGATAAAATTACTAAAATTTTCATGAATATATAGCTCTTAGTGCTTATACTTTACATGTTAATTAGTTTCATAGAAATGTACCAAATATGGCTTTTAGTACAAATGAATGCGAATAATGTAACTCATCAAACCCAAAAGAATATTGTTCTTGTTTGAAACCTATTCAGCCTTTAAAGTAACCATAATTAATTCCAATTTAATATTTATAGGAATACCCTTTAGATTATTAAACATATGATATTATATGCATTCTTTATCATTCATTAATTTGTTAATTAAAGATTTGGAGTCATTAAGACTCTGTTGAAAACATATTAAATTATTAAGTTGCTGAGGAAGCTCTAGTGACCTCTTCATCCAATTATAAAAGAAACTATGAAAATTTAGAATTATTGGGTGATTCTGTTCTTAAATATGTAGTAACAGTAGATATTTTCAAGCATTATGAATTATTAGATGAAGGAGAAATGACAACTTTACGAAGTCGATTAATTATGAATACATATTTAGCATAATTATTTGAATAGTTAGGTCTAGAACATTATATAATAAATTAAGATTTGCATTTTAAACAAATTCGCAATCCATTAATCAACGATGTCATATCTAGTGAAAATAAATAATTGTAAATTAGTTAGAAAGCTGATATTTATGAGGCTATAATTGGTGGAGTGTTCGATACTACTCAAAGTCTTTATGAATATATTAAAATTTTGATAAGAACCAATTTTCCAATCTCTTAATATTAGGATATTCTACTTGATTTTTAACCAATTACAGATTCAATTCAGCCAATCCATATTAAAGATTATTAATTTAATAATCCTTAATTATATGAAATTGCTATTAATCCATCATAATATGATAGATTAGAGTTTTTAGGTGATGCTGCTATTGAATTATTGGTTATATCTTATGTCTTTAGACTAGCAAGATAAAAACAATTGAAAAATCCTAATTGGACTTTAAATCCTGGATTATTGTCAAATTGGAAATAATATTTGTTGGCAAATAAATTTATGGGAGAATAAACTATTAAAATGGGTTTAAAGCCTCATGTTGATGATATACCAAAATTATATGGTGATATTTTTGAAAGCGTTGCTGCTGCCATTCTTCTTGATAGTGGATGGAAAGGATTAAATTAAGTTTATGGTTCTCTGTATAAAACCTATATGGATTAAATTAATGAATAATGATATAATATTTAACTAATTATATATAAGAATAAAAATATTTAAATGGGATATTGTATAATAAGAATATTTTTTTGGGCATAAATTCTTGTTTAAGTAGTTTTCCTCAAATTTCTCAAACTATTTGCAAAATGTAATTATGATTCATCTATTATTAATTAGTTTTATTGTATTTATTATCATTCATCTGCTTTGAAAATTAATATTATTTTATTATTTTATTATTTTAATATAGCATTTTCAAGAAATTAATTTTACTAGTTAATCAACAGTATAGAAAGTTTCGCTCTTAAAATCTAAAATTTTAGAAAATATTTCATCTTTGGATTAGCTTTGAATATGAACCTTGAATGGCTTGATTCGATTTATAGCTAGTTTATTACTCTCAAATTTTAAATAGTCATCTTCTTTGGAGCAGGATAAAGATGGAAGGAAATATGCAAAACTAACTTTACCTTTATTAGGATTTGAGCAAGTAGTTGCTAAAATTATATATCTTAAATTTGGATTAATAATTAAATACTAATATAGTGATTTATATTTTACTGTTCTATTTTCATCAATTTGGAAATAATAATCATTATTAAAATAAGAAATTTCTTAATTAACAATATATTAGATCTTAGGTGATTATTTATCAAAGTCCATCACCAAACATTTCAAAAGAAGCCAAATATAAATTATTTTAAATTGTGCTAATTCATTGTCTCCTTCCCAGTTTTACAAATCTTCAAGTGTAAATGTAGGTTAAGAATTTTTGAAGGTCTTCCAGTCTAAATTTTAAATTAGTTCCCAATTTGCTTCTAGAGCTTCTAAAGATGTTTTCTATTCTCTACAATTATTTATTAGCTCTTTAACTTTATTCTCATATTCATAATAAATATTTAAGAGTATATCGTTATTGATATCCTCATTTATTAAGAAAAAGATTATTTAATCAATAACTTTTTTTGAGTAAAAAACTGCATCTTAATGTTTTAATAACTAATTTAAAAGCAAAAGATACTTAAATAATTTAGGAAATTGGCCTTTGTTTTTGGTTATTTTGTATTATCTACCAAATAGCTAATTGTAGAGATAATATACTATTTTTTCTAGGCTTTAATATTAATAACAATAAAATACTGTTAAGAGTTGAAACATTTAGCTTTTGTAAATGTTTTAAAGATGATCATTTGATTATTGATTCTAAAGAGCATTAATTTATTTTTCATCAGTTTCATCTAAATAAATTTATTCAAATTCTTCAAGGTAATTTTATCTTTCATAAACCCATTTTTCAGGTTTTTTATAATAATATTTAGGAAGGTCAAAACTTTCTTTTTTAATCACATCTTCAGAGAAATAAATAAAAATTTTTTTAAATGGGAGTTTTATGATGATTTGATATATAAGGAAGAATCCTGTATTAAATTCAGGTTGAATATCTGATTTTTGATTTAGTAATAAATAGTTAAGGATGGGTAAAACTAATTAATGAATAATGATCTATTCGAAAAGTTGATTCAGAAATGGACATGATTTAAGAAGATCATTGAAAAACATGAAAAAATCTTCAAATTGATCTTAAAATGATTATTAAGTAATATTTGGGAGTATTTATTAAATAAAGTGGATTTATTGTAAGTATAAAATGATGAAGGGTGATTTCTAGAGGTATATCTAAAATTTTTTCATGCCTTAATTCTGCACTATTAGTATGGATTATGTGGGGTTGTTGGATTGATTGAATACTAATATCAATAGAATAAATAAAATACATTTAGAAATATTTAAAATAATAGCTTTAACAGCGCTTCGTACTAAATTATCAGGATAATTAATAAATTTTTGAGCTTACCATAGTAATGGGAAGGAGGGATACCGTTAGTTAAAATAGAGAAAAATGTTTTCCCTGTTAATTCTTATGGCAATAATTTTTAAAAAATTAAGATAATAGTCAACCATTTCTTAGTTATTGAAATCATATGAATAATTAATGAAATCATTAAGAATTGGGTTACTGAGTACATAATTGATATTTAGTGTGTTTTTAAGATTGGATCTAAAAATTATTTGATATAATTACATGATGAAAGAAATTTTAGAAATTATGAATAGGTCAAGTTTGGGTGATGTGTTAGCAAGTTTGGAATGAAATAAAGCAAGGATATTATTTTCAGCTAGATAACTAAATAATTATGAAGAGAAATTACTCAAATAGATCTTAATTTTAATGATCGCCATAGATGAATAATTAAGATAGTTCTTCAATAAGAGGCTCAATTTATTAGTACTTGTTAGATTTAATGAGAGCTTAATATGAAATTATAGCATTTTATAAAGACATTAATATAAATATTAATATGTCAGCACTTGAGATAGCACGCAAGAAAATATCATTTGATGTAAAAAAGCTGTCCCACTTCATATGGGAAGGAGAAGAGAGATTCAATAGATTCATGGCATTTTAGAAGTTATGTAGTTCAGATCCACTTCTTCGTAATAATCCAAAGGACATCGGAATAGGAAGAGCAGAGACATATGAATTATATGCAAAAAAAATGAAAAAACTATTAGAGGTGGCTGATTTACGTGATATAAAGGAGTTCGCAACATTGATTTATCCAGAAGCTGTAAGATAATGTTAATATATTGAATAGTTAGTGTCATCATTGAATTATGAGATGTTCATGCCTACAATATTGAATTTGGGAACAGAAGAATAAGTGAAGTTATTTTATGAGCCAGCATCAAGATGGGAGATATTGGGTTGTTATTCATAAACAGAATTAGCTCATGGTTCAGATATCAATAGAATTGAAACAATAGCCACATATGATAAATAAACAAAATGTTTTATAATTCATACTCCATCATTAAAAGCAACAAAATGGTGGGGTAGTGATATGGGTATAACAGCTACTCATGTTGTAACTTAAGCTTAATTATATATTGATGGTAAGAGATGTGGAGTATAGAATTTTGTTGTATAAATAAGAGATGTTAAAACTCATTAAACATTACCTGGTGTTTTAGTTGGTGATATTGGAGCTAAATTTGGATATAATTCAAAAGATAATGGATATTTAAGATTTGATAATGTTCGTATTCCTAAAGTAAATATGTTAAGTAAGTATGTGAATGTGTCAGATGATGGCTAATTCACTAAAACTGGAGATGATAAGATTTGGCATGCAACTATGCAATTAATGAGATAACATTTCTTAGATTCTGTTTGGAAATGTTTAGGAATTGGTTTGACTATTGTTATTAGATATTCTTTATAAAGAAAATAATTTAAAGATTCTTTAGGTTAAGAAATTCCAATCTTTGATTATTAACTTTAATAACATAAACTTATCCCTTTGATTGCTGAAATGTATGGATGTATGATAGGAAGTAGGAGAGTATTTGCTATGGCTTAAGATAATGTTGCTAGAATCAAACAAAAGAATGATTTCTCTAAAATGATGGTATAACATTAATTATTTATTTTAGGAAGTTCATGTTGTATTGAGTGCTTCAAAAGCATATTATACATGGAATTGTTTCTTTGCTCTAGAAAAGGTTAGACAGTGTGCTGGAGGACATGGTTATTCTTATTATTCTGGAATCCCACCTCTTATTACTGAAATGAGTCCATGTGTTGTAGCTGAAGGTGATAATACTGTATTATCCTTATCTGTTGGTAAAGTTTTGTTGATGTATCTTAACAAAGGTATTAATATTTATATTATTAATAGCAATGTAATCAGGAAAGGCTCCTAATACTACTTGTGATTATTTGGAAGATATCTTTAATTATTTGACTGAACTCAAATAACCATTAGTTTCTAAGGAATGTACTAGGGATCTTTCTAAAGTCTTGGCAGCTCTAAGATATAATGTTGCTTTCAATGTTGCTAATGCTGGATAAAAACTACAAACTCTTATGGGTGATAAAGGATTAACATTCAAAGAATCTACTGACAAACATTTAGGAATCCTTCTATAAGAAATTGCACACACTTAATCTAATTATTGGACTTATAGAACTTTCCTTGAAGAACTCAATACTTTAACTGATCCAAATATTAAAGCTGCCCTCACTTAATTATGTTTATTGTATGGTCTCAACAAGATCTTGGAATAATAAGGATAATTATTTGAATATGGAGTCTTAAGCGGTCCTCAATTTGTTTGGATCAGAGAAACTAGAGATGATATAATTGCAAATTTGAAAGATAATGCATTAGGATTAGTCGAAGTAACTAATTTAAATATATTTTTAGGCCATCGCTTATGATGATAATAGTGTTAGATCTGCTATTGGAGATTCATAGGGTAATCCTTATGAGAAATTATATCATTGGGCTAAAGATCTTAACCCATTAAATGAACCTGAGTTCCATGAATAAGTTTTTAAAACCATTAAGACTATTAGAACAGCATCTCCACATGCTAAATTATGATTAAGATTAACAAATTATTAGATAAAATTATTATCTTTTATTTTTACATTATTTACTCTTCAAATAAGAATTATGAAGTTCTATCTATGAATTTACTTTGTGATTATTTTTATTAAATAAATGGAAGGATATTTAAAAAAATGGACTAACCTTTTTTCAAGATGGCAAGATCGTTATTTCATTCTTAATGAAGATGTTCTTCTTTATTGTGATTCTTAAGGAGGACCAATCAAAGGATAAGTGCATTTAAAAGTAGCAGCTTTAATATTAGTGCCTGAAGACCCTTTAAGAATAATAATCAATACTGGAACAACTGAAATACATTTACGAGCAAACAATATTAATGAAAAGATAGATTGGATTAATGCTTTAAAATCAGCTTAAGATAGATGTCTAAGTCGTTAAAATGAAATTAAGTTTGAATAAAAGGTACAAGAATTGCTTACTGATGTTTGGTAAACTGGAGCCATATGTATTATACATAAATTATTCTAGTTGATGAAACACTCAGTATGTTAATTCCTAAATTGGAAAAGAACTCATAAATTAAGGAAATGGCTGATAGATTAGAAAGTATTGGAAAAAATCTAAAAACGAAAATTACTCTATGTGCTCAAATAGTAGAAGAAGAGAAATAAAAATTATCAAATTAAGAAAATGGAACTGTTTATGAAAGTTTTATACATTAAAACTCTGCATAATCAATTATAAGAGAAGATATATTGAATCCCTAACATTATTAATAACATGTTTAATCTTAATTGATGAGTGTGAGTGAACTTGGATTATAAATTAGAGATCATTAACCTATTAAATATGTATTTCAAGAATTAGTTATATTAGTTTTTAGAATAATCTTATTAACAACCCTGTGTTTCAAAAAATCAAGTTTGGAAATACTCCTAAAAGAGATAGATTACCTTATAAGAAGGATCCAAATGAAAAGATAAATGTTTGGTATTTATGTAAGGAATTAATTGGCAAAGATTTAGGAAGATTTTCAGTTCCAAGTATAAATAATAAAAATTAGTCATTTTGAATGAGCCATTATCAATGTTATAAAGATTAGCAGAATAAATGGAATATTCTGAATCATTAGAAGAAGCAGATAAAATAATTGGAGATAGTGCATTAAGAATGTGCTACATTATGGGTTTTGGTGTATCACCTTATTCAGCTAATATAGGAAGAACAAAGAAACCTTTTAATCCTATTTTAGGAGAAACATATGAAATTTAAACATCTAATTGCAGATTTATAAGTGAATAAGTATCTCATCATCCTCCTATATCTGCAGGATATGCAGAATCAAAGACTTTTTAATTTTGGGCTCATACAGATGTTCAATCTAAATTTAATGGTTTATGTTTTTAGGTTAATCCTGTAGGGTTATTTAATGTGATATTAAAATCATCAAATGATCATTACTAATTTAATAAATGTATAACAAAGGTTTAAAATATATTGTGGGGCTAATAATATTTAGATCATATGGGATAAATGAAATTTGTGAATTTGACAAATGGTGATAATGGAGTATTGGAATTAATAGAAAAATCAGGTAAATCAGAATGTGAAATGAGGGGATATGTTAAGGATAAAAATGGAAATGAAAAATATAAATTAAAAGGTTTTTGGAATGATCGTTTAATAGCATATGATTCTTAAAGAGAAATAATTGTATGGAAGAGACATTAATTACCTTAAGATTCAGATTGGTATTATAATTTTACTGAATTTGCAATGTAATTAAATCATCTAACAATTGATATGATAAGAGTAAAAAATGATGAATAAATTAGGAATTGCCTTGTACAGATTGTAGATTAAGACCAGATTAATTAGCATTTGAAAATGGATGGGTTGATTTGGCATCAAGTGAAAAGCATAGATTAGAAGAGAAATAAAGGGCTAGAAGAAAAGCTATGGCAGCAGCAAATTAAATACATGTTCCAATGTTTTTTGAAGAAATAGTTGAACCTAAAACAAATTTAAAATGGTATAAATACAAGGGTAATTACTTTTAATAATAATGGAAATAAGTTGGATAAGAATTATTGGATTTGTTTTGATTGTTATGAATAACAATAATTAAGTAATTATATTATACATTTAAAAATATTGTTGTTAAAAAAGAGTCAATTTAAAATAAATATTTTAAGACATATTTCTAAATGTTTAAAGACATATCGTTCATGTTTCCCTTGTCAACAGTGAATTTAACAAATACAAGAATCAAGACACTTTAAAATTTGATAGAATCTAATGGTGGAGAAATGAAACTAGGTTTAAATACACTAATGATAGTTGGTTCTGATGCAACCCTAGAATTGTGTCAGAAATAATTTACAAAATTTAATCTTGATTTTGAAAAATATCGGTATTAATTTTTGAATGCTGATTGGGTGTCTTAATCATTATTGAATAGAAAATTACAAGAAAAGAAGAAGTTTTAATTGTTCAGAGAAGAAGAATTTTAACCTGTATTTGAAGAAGTTCCAGATTACAATACAAAATTAGTTTATGTAGAAGCATTAGCAAAGACGGTTCCAGTTAGAGAAGAAGTACATGAATAAGAAGATGGAGACATTCATATTTACAATATAAAAGATGATGAAATAAGAAAAAAGTATTAAAATAGAATGGAAGAATTCAGAAAGGATATTATGAAAGAATATAAATTACTATTAGATTATGAATATGATTATGATTTGGATAATTTTCATAATTAAGTAGATGATGGTTATGAATATTTATTAGAGGATTTATCAATACTTAAAAAAGAAGAGCCATAAATTCCTGAATATGAAAAATTCTTTGGTGATGAAGATTGTTAAATAACTGAAATAAGAAAAGTCAATTTTGATATTTTAGATGGATTAGATTTAGGAAAATCTGTGGTTAATGTAGATCAACCAATTTTATCTGCTTAATTAAAAGAAACTAAATAATTTAATCCTGGATTAAAAAGAAAATAATAATTCTGGGAAGCCAAAAAAGGATATTTTGCTTGTGAAGCTGGTGCAGCTCATAAATGTTAAAATAATGAGATTATTGAAGAATTAGAAAAATTGTTGAAAATATATACTAATGAAAAAGATAAAGGAAGATGTATTGCTTATAGAAAAGCAATTGGTTTTTTGAAAGCACTTCCATATCCAATTAAATCAAGTGAAGATCTTAAGGATATGCCAACAATAGGAGATAAGATTAAGAAGAAAATTATAGAAATACTGTAAACAGGATAATTAACAAAAGTATAAAAATTAGAAGGATAAGAAAAAAATGTAGCAATTACTGAATTAAGTAGAGTATGGGGAATTGGACCAACAACAGCAGCTACTTTTTATTTTAAGGGAATTAAAACGTTGGAAGATTTAAAAAAGAATTAGCATTTACTAAATAGAAATCAATAAGTTTGTTTAAATCTTGTTTAAGATTTAGAATAACGGATTCCTAGAGAAGAAGCTACCTTAATATTTGAGATAGTAAAAAGAGAAATAGATGATTTAAGTGGTGTTTAAGGATTATATAAAGCAACAGCTTGTGGATCTTATAGAAGAGAAAAAGAAACATGTGGAGATATGGATATTTTAATAACAAGATGTGATGGTAAAAATACTGAAGATTTTCTACTTAATCTAATCAAACGACTTGAAGGAAAGTTACTTACTCATCATTTAACAATGCCAAAAAGAACAGAATAAGATTGTGAAACCTATATGGGAATTGGTAGAGTATCTAATTAAGCTATTTATAGAAGAATTGATTTAAAATTATATCCAAAAGAACAGTATGGTTGTGCAGTTTTGTACTTCACTGGTTCTGATCATTATAATAGAAGTATGAGATTATGGGCTTAAAAAAATGGATATACTTTAAGTGATCATGGACTCTATCCTACTCAAAGAGGTGCTCATAACAAGAAACTTTGGAAAGGAGAAGTTATTCCTTGTGAAGAAGAAATGGATGTTTATAAAATATTAGGATTAAAATATAAACCCCCCAAAGAGAGATCAGTATGATTTTAATTTTTATTTTGTTTTTTAATTATATACTCGAACAAGATAGAAAAATATACATCAAGTCAATCAAATATTCAACTATGCTGCCCTAATTCATATTCTATCCTAGAATTTAATCGATAAAGAGGAATTGGTAATAATTAATTGTAATTATTCTCTGATTCCTCTGATACTCCAACTCCTAATTTATCTTCTTCAAAAAATGTATTTGTATCAATTATTGAATAAGATTTCTCATAATTTATTAGTTTCATTCCACTCTCACTTGACATCTCCTCAATTTTTACTAAAGGAGTTGTTATTGTTTAATTTGTTTCTTTTTATGAGATTAAAGAAAACACTGACACAAGAGTCAAAAGTGCAAGACTTATTTTACCTAATCTAGATCCACGACCTAATTGCTACAGTATTGATAATTGATTTCTTATTTATTAACTCTTGTTTGTCAGTTTATTATGTTTCTCTTAAAGTTCTTCCAATTATTTTCTTAGTTCACAATTATAGTCTAATTCTTTTTGAGCTTAAGACTCCAACTAATGTAAATATTGCTTTTTTCTGTCTCTTGAATTTTAAGCACTTATTCTATTGCGTATCATCTATATTGTTTTCTTGTCATTCTCTCTTAATGGATCTTCTTCTTCCTTCTTTCTTTTTATTTTCTTACTACACAATACTATCTCTGGCTCATCTTTTGGCTTTCTTTATTTTGCCTTCTCTCTTCTCATTGTTCGCTTTAACTTTTCAACAAGCTTTTAGAAATCTTAAAATATACTAGATAACTTATCTTACTTTATGGATTTGATTTTTGCATTTCTAATAATCCCTTCTCTGTGGTTTATAAAGTTTCACTCATATAATCAAATAACTCTTGTTAGCTAGTGCTCATTTAACAAAGATTTATATTATTTTATTGCATTAAAAACGATAAATTTTCTACGCTAAATACACCAACTTCGCAAATTAACTGCAATCTAATATAATTCTTTAACATTAATTAAATACATTATTATTATTCATTTAATAACAAACATTCTCTTCATCTCCATCAACAATCATATAGTTCATTATATCATACTTTCACCTCTTTAACTTAATTGGTTTTTTTATTATTATTTACNTCATGGACTCTATCCTACTCAAAGAGGTGCTCATAACAAGAAACTTTGGAAAGGAGAAGTTATTCCTTGTGAAGAAGAAATGGATGTTTATAAAATATTAGGATTAAAATATAAACCCCCCAAAGAGAGATCAGTATGATTTTAATTTTTATTTTGTTTTTTAATTATATACTCGAACAAGATAGAAAAATATACATCAAGTCAATCAAATATTCAACTATGCTGCCCTAATTCATATTCTATCCTAGAATTTAATCGATAAAGAGGAATTGGTAATAATTAATTGTAATTATTCTCTGATTCCTCTGATACTCCAACTCCTAATTTATCTTCTTCAAAAAATGTATTTGTATCAATTATTGAATAAGATTTCTCATAATTTATTAGTTTCATTCCACTCTCACTTGACATCTCCTCAATTTTTACTAAAGGAGTTGTTATTGTTTAATTTGTTTCTTTTTATGAGATTAAAGAAAACACTGACACAAGAGTCAAAAGTGCAAGACTTATTTTACCTAATCTAGATCCACGACCTAATTGCTACAGTATTGATAATTGATTTCTTATTTATTAACTCTTGTTTGTCAGTTTATTATGTTTCTCTTAAAGTTCTTCCAATTATTTTCTTAGTTCACAATTATAGTCTAATTCTTTTTGAGCTTAAGACTCCAACTAATGTAAATATTGCTTTTTTCTGTCTCTTGAATTTTAAGCACTTATTCTATTGCGTATCATCTATATTGTTTTCTTGTCATTCTCTCTTAATGGATCTTCTTCTTCCTTCTTTCTTTTTATTTTCTTACTACACAATACTATCTCTGGCTCATCTTTTGGCTTTCTTTATTTTGCCTTCTCTCTTCTCATTGTTCGCTTTAACTTTTCAACAAGCTTTTAGAAATCTTAAAATATACTAGATAACTTATCTTACTTTATGGATTTGATTTTTGCATTTCTAATAATCCCTTCTCTGTGGTTTATAAAGTTTCACTCATATAATCAAATAACTCTTGTTAGCTAGTGCTCATTTAACAAAGATTTATATTATTTTATTGCATTAAAAACGATAAATTTTCTACGCTAAATACACCAACTTCGCAAATTAACTGCAATCTAATATAATTCTTTAACATTAATTAAATACATTATTATTATTCATTTAATAACAAACATTCTCTTCATCTCCATCAACAATCATATAGTTCATTATATCATACTTTCACCTCTTTAACTTAATTGGTTTTTTTATTATTATTTACTTAATTTCTAAATAAAACTTAAAATGGTATGCTTCTAAAATTTGAAATCGTTTTTATAATTTTAGAAACTCAAAACATCTAGAAATAATATAAAATTAATAGAGTAAAAAATAAACAATACATCAAATATTTTGATAGATATTTATAATATGCTTTAATATTATTGTTAATAACAAAAAATATTAAAAAGAACCAACTGTTTTTTGATATATAGGTAAATAAAATAACAATAAAATTTAACATCTTTTGTGTTAAGTTAAAGTTAAATAAATAATTTGTAATTTTGAGGGGAAAAGAGATATCCTTACCATTTAGAGGGTGATTGGACACAAAAAGATTTTTGGAACAAGCAATTAGATAAGATCAATTATAAATTTTTGATCGTTTTTCAATTATTAATATATAATATATTCATGAGAACACTAATTCTAACAATGCTAATTTGCTTTGGTGTTTCATAAATGTTGAGAGGTTCACCTAAATTGTTGATTGAAGAAGAACAAGGTAAATGAGATGATTTAGAAAAGCAATCTTCGAAGCTGAATAAGAAGATTAAAGTTTTTATGTTGGAAAGGATGATGTTTCAGCAGAAACCCTTTAAGGAGAATAAAATCAAGAGGTTGAAGCTAGTTTGGCAGTGTTTAAGAGCGATGATACACCAATGGTTTATATTGAAGAATCGATTGATTCAAGTAATGAATGTAGTTAATCCAAGACTAACAAGATGGTTTTGAGTAACAGGAATCTTTGAAGATTGAAAAAATAGAAGATTAAGTGTAGTAAGAATTAAAGTGATCATAAAGAGCCCAAGATTTATAGGAAGCAATACCAGATTCAGCAAATTATGTTGATAAGGCAATATCTTTAGATGGAGATGCTGAAGTAGAACCTATTAATAATCCCCAAACTGATGTTGTGTTAAATATTGCCCCAAAGACTGAATCTCTTAGCAGTTCTGAAACTAATAAGAAGCATGTTTATGTTTACAATCGTATATGAATTTTTAATTATTGTAGCTTTGGCTAAGAAACCATTTGTTGGAATAAAGTTCCCACCAATGCCAGTTACCAAGGATCATAATTACTTATCCAATTCTGATACTTTAACAATTAAATTGCCACCATGGTCAGAACAAAGCAATCACAGAGTAGAAGATGATTTAGAATTCTTCTAGTTCATTAGACGTATTAAGCAATAAATTATGTAGCATCTGATGTATCAGTTAATGAATATTGATCTAATATTATTATATATTTCATTCTTTTTAACAAGTTAAGAATAACAAAGTTATAATAATTTTCTATGCAACAAGATGACAAAAAGAAAGATGACTCTGGAAAATTGGATACTATTGTAACTATTACAATTTTCATTAGAAAATTATGAATTGCTTCTATGATAAGGAAATGAGCAATATGGATAAAATAAAAAGAATCGAGCTTATATTTGAAGATTTTGGCAGAATGAACATCATTTAGGTCTTCAAAAACTTAAAATCATTAGCATTAATTACTATGGGTGTTGCTGTTATTGGGGTGATCATTCATTCATTTAACTATTGATTAGATGATTTAAATCGATTAGGAAAATTAATTCTTAATGAAAGTTGAATTGCCAAAATAAAAAGTTTGAAAGGATCAACCAATTTTAAAACCCTATATATTTCTCATAATGTTATTCAAAAATTATTAGAGTATTTGGATAAATTAGAAACTTTGTGGCTTTGTGGTTATAAAATTGATAAAATTTAAAATCTAGATTAACTGAACTACTAAAAATAACTCTGTTAAGCAGCTAACTTTATAAGCTACTTAAGAACTTCTTTAGATAAATTAAAAAATTTGCATGATTTAAATATCAGTAGAAATAAAGTATGTAGTTTCAAAGAAGCTTTGAATTTAAATCATTTACCAAATCTAAAGGTTTTAGGTTTTTATGATAATCTAATTTGTAATCTTTGCAATTATTAAACCTATTTTCTTTATAATGTAAGAAATATTTTTAAAATTGGGCACTCTCATGATTTTGAATGATTAGAAATCATTTACAGAAGGGAACCTTTATGAAAAAACAAATGAATTATAATATGAGAATAAAAATTATGTAAAGAACCTTTTCAACATTATTTAAATTGAAAAAAGGACAAATAAAACTAAACTGACTCATTATGTGAAGATTAATCTAATTGAAATACAGAGAGACTTTTAACATATAATTTCTAGAATAGAATCATGGTATATATCAGAATATATTTAATAAAAATAGAATTAAAATACTATCTTAAATTAGCTTTGAAATAAGATAAAGAACTATAATAACTAATAGAAAATAAGTAAGAGGAATATGAGAATCAAAATGAAATTATAATAGCATACTCTCATTAATAGTTATAATAAAATTAGTAACATAATAGGTTTTAACGAATTACCAATTTAGTGAGACTCGATTTATCACATAATGAAATATGTAATCTAAATATTTAGAAAAATTAAATCATTTAGAAGTATTAGATTTAACTCATAATAATACCTCAAATATTGATTAAGTTTCAAGGTTTAAATAAAATCAAACTTTTTTTAATTGAATGAGTGAATAAAAAGAATAAAGAAAAGAAAATTTAGCATTCTTATATTATCTTCCAATTACTGAAGAAGATAGAGAACCAACAAATAATTAAAAATAATTAATTACTAATGGAATTTTATAAACTTTCAGTTAAGTATAGCATGATTGGAAATAACATTTTCAATCAGTTATGATTACTCATCAAAAATTAAATAGTATGAAAGGTTTAGAAGATATAGTACAATTAAAACATTTAAATCTAAGTCATAATAAAATCACTTAAATTACATCAATCTACGATTCTGTTTTACGAGATGAACTTTGTTTCGAAAAGAAGGCTATTACTTCAATTCTAGAATTGGATAACATGTAATACTTAAAGAAATTAGAAAATTAAAAAGAAATCAACAACATTAAACATTTACAAAAACTTATCATCTTAGATTTATCAGATAATCCTTTTGCTAGATATACTAATTATGGAACTTATGTTCTTTGTATCATACCAAAATTAAAAGTCTTTAATTGATTTTAATTAGAGGCTTTTGAATAATAAATGGCTAATAACTTATATAAAGGTCGTTTAACTGAGTAAATTCTCCTATATAGACTATAAGCAACTTGCCAATAACATAACTAAACTTTGTTTACAGAATTGCGAATTAAGAGATTTTAATGATATTTTTAATGTTTAAGCTTAGATCTAAGTCAAATCTATTTACATCATCAAAATGGATGGATTTTTACCTCAATTAAAAATATTGATATTAGCTTCAAATAAGATTAATTAAACGGATGTTAGTAATTGCTGATAATGTATCATAGAATTGTTTGAAAGAATTTTATTTATTGTAATATTGGTTGTTAAAAGAATTTAAAAATTATGAAATGTGAAAAAAATGAAATTATTTGAGTTGACTATTTGGAGAATTTAAAGTAGTTAAATGAATTAGATTTTAAATTAAAATAAAGTAAGATAATGTGATCCATAGTCATTTGCTGGATAAAATCTAATTAAAGATTTAAAAATAGATAGCAATGGATTAAACCATTTTCAAAATATTTAAAAACTATTTAAATTACTTGGATAAATTTTTTTATATTAAAGCATCTATTCGCTAATTCAAATAGGATAGATGATTTGCCAGACATAAAAAATTTAGTTGCTTTAACTTAACTAGCACTCTTTGGAAATTCTTTGAGTAGACGACTGGAATACAGATAAATGATTTTAAGAAAGTTACCAATTGTTTTGTATTTCAATGGAAGAAAAAGAGATAAATTAATATTATAAGAATTAACATAAGAGGAAAGAAAGAGATTTGAACTTGCAGATAGATAGGCTAGACTACCTTAAATATAGAATCAATAGTAACCAAATAGTAAAGTGGCAGTCGAATTGAGTTCTATCAACTTTGATGGGATCTTCAGTAAATGAAATATATAATTTTATATATTATAATGGGGATTATACAATATATATTTGATGTTATTGAGCATTTTTAATTGATTTAATAAAAATTTAATTTTATGATATCCAAACTTTTACAATAATTATAATTTGATGAAAATTTAATATATTTACCAAAGAAATTTATAGACTATGAAAAAAGGGGTTCGAAAAATATTTAATTAATTCAAAATTTCACTTCATTGTTGTCTTTATAGGGATGTGAAATTTATGAATTATTTTTATAAGTAGTATACTAAATAATTTTTAATTATTATTAGTTTCTCTGAAAGAAGAATTCAAACTTTTAATTATTTTGAAATGCAACTGAATTTTATTTATGTATATTGAAAATTGAGTTTTATTGTGTTTAAAATATTATTATATTCTATATAATAATTTAAAGAAGTGTTTCATATACACTATGATAATAATGACATCAGTAAACTCATAAAAAAATATTTGTTTATCAATTTAATTGCAGATTGAGGTGGATTGGATAATTGAATAGTGATAATTAGTTAAACGAGATAATATTTTCAAAAAATAATTGTGAATTCTAAAGCTGACCATACTCTCTTCTTTTTGTATGAATTTAAGTAGATTCTGATATCGTTCAGTTACTCTGCACCCTTTATAGTTAGTATGTTATAGATGATTTCAAAGATAATTATTTTTTTATTTTTAACAAGGAAATATCCTTTTACTAAGTGATGTTTTAACAATTCCTTGATGAATTAGGAGAGCTAAAGCATAAACCTGTTGCCTTGAAGCAGGTGAAAAAGATTTTAAAGATTGAAGAAAAAAGTTTACCTAAAAACATAACAAATTACTTTGTAGAATTTACTAAACATACATCACACAAATGGTAACGAAAGGATAAAATGATTTTTATTTGGACTACTCTAAAATATTTGGAGAAATAGGGTCGTATAGACTTAAAACCCGTATTAAATTATGTTTAAATTGATTAGAACGATGATGATTGGATAGCGCTATCAGAAATTCTTGGAGTCCCTCCAGAACTGCTGAATTCAAAATGGATTGGAATGTTAAAGACAGATTTGAAATAGTCCCCATGGACTCTTGAAGAGGATGAACTTCTTAAAAAAGTGATGACGCAAAAATTTATTTCTTGGACACATGTTGCTTTAGAGTATAACCGTTTCAGTCCAATTATGAGACATGCAAAATAAGTAAGGGAACGATGGAATAATTATTTGGACCCAGAGCTAAACAAATTTCCATGGAGTGAATCAGAATAAATTCAACTGCTACTATTAGTTTAAAAGCAAGGAAAAAAGTGGTCTGTTATTTCTAAATAAATAAAAGGAAGAACTGAAAACTAAGTGAAAAACGCTTACAATTCTCTGATTAATTCCTACAGAAGAAATCATGTAAACTTTTTATCATATAACAATATTAGATGTAAACCCTTGATTCAGATGAGATTATTGTTTCTAAATTATTATCTAAATTAGATCCACCACTTTAGTAAGCCAATGCAAATACCCCTATGATTCAACCATTACCAACTATTCAATAACAATTATTGATGTAGGCTTTCCTCTTTGAGAGATTAAAAAGCATGGCCTTTTTAGCCTAATTACCTGCTTTCTTGGCAGCCCAATAATAACTAAATTGAGATCTATTTATTGTATATGAATTTCATTATTAACTATATTCATCAATTATTTCCAAATTTCTATATTACTTAGTCTAATATATGTTAAACAACCACCTTCTTCTAACATTTAGTAATCTTTCTATTTTTGAATAATTTTCAAACTCATGTGCATCAATTATTAAACTTAAGGATGCTGAATTTATTAATTTCTACATCAGTTCTATCCATATTAAGTTATCAATTTCCAAATCTAATCTCCAGAGTCATTTGTAACAAAGAAATAAATATGATTCCCCAATTAGATGATAATGCTATAAAAAATATTAAACTTGTTAATTCCATTATTGATTAACTATAAACTTATGAATCACTCAATAATATCAAAAAGTTGACATTAGTGATGCTGATGTAATATTTGTTTAAGATACTAAACATGACATAATTCAAAATTAATTATATAAAAAAATTATATTACCAATAAATATCCAATTATAATATCAATTATTTGAAATACTAAGATATTTTGTTTAAGAATTGTAAAAAATATTTTCCTAAAGTTCTAGTTTTGAACATCTTACTCTAAATTTATTTATTTTTTCTTTCTGATTGTCAGTTAAATCAATAATATTCAGATAATTATTTCTCTGACTTCCTTTGATATTAAAATATTATTCAATGACATATTGCAAAGTTTAGTTAAATTTTGCCCAATTATGATTATCTTAAACTAAAATAATCAGAATGATATTATATTAGTTTATTGAAGAGCAAACAGAGAGAGTAATATTATATTGAGTAAATTAAGATGGAAATTTTAAAATTAGAATCTCTTATAAAGGTTTAAACACTTCATAATTTGTAAATTCAAAAATTTAAAATTGTTGAGTATTACCTTATTAGGATTATATAGATTAATATCTGAAGAAGGAAAAAAAAAAGAATAATATTACAATTAAGTGAGAGATTAGTTCATCAATGATATTTAAAAGTTAAGAGATGTAGTGAAGCATTTAAGGTAAGAAAATACAAATTTAAAGTAAGCATAAAGTATATGATTTATTTTTTAAGTTTGGAAAGGAGATATAAAGATAATTTAAGGAGGATTAAGTTGCCCATTAACACTTTGAAAATTAATAAATAATAAACTGAAATTAAAAATTAGAGGAATTGCTTTTGCAACTGAGCCGCTTTAAACTGAAAACATAAAATAAAACAAGGAGAAGATTAATCTTATCTCGAAATGATTTAAACAAAATTGAAATCTAATAAGAAGTATTTGTTTCAAATATCTAATAAAGTTTCAATATAATTAAATAGCATTTATTTTTCCTAGCAAAAATAGAAATAAAGAGAATATATTCTCTCCTGATTAAAAAGATAAGTAGAATGTAGATATTGAAAGAGTAAATTCTTTTTTGAGGAATATCTGGAGAGCCAGTGGTGACTATATGATAGAGACTTATTAAAAAGAATTATAAATATTTGATAAAGTAGTAAAACTGCTAAAACTTTAACATCATTATATATTAAAATATTAATGTACGATTTTTTATTAATTTCAATCAAATAAGCCACCCATATCAACATCTTCTTCTGGTTCTTCAACTTTTTTAACCTCTTTTACAGGTTCAGCCTTCTTAGCTTCTGCTGCAGCTGGTGTAGCTGTAGTTTAAGCTACTGGTGCGCTTCCTGCATTTCCACTACTTCCATGTAATAAATCACCAACTTTTTTCCCTTTCAAAGCCTTTTCAAAAACCTTTGCCCAAATTGGTTCAACTCTCAAATTAGCTGCTTTAATTATCTTAGCTAATTTAGTAGCATCGATCTGATTTAGATAGATTCATGTACATCTTGATTATCTTCATACAAGATGAGAGCGGCATAAGTACATGCAGCCTCTGAAGTAGCTTAGTCTGCAATTGGTCTTGTGTCTTTTGCTGCTTTTGCCATTTGATTTAAAAAATATTAATTAAAAAGATATAAAATTTAATCCATACTTCTTATTCTCTTCTTCATAAAACAAATACAAAAATATAAATTTTATCATTTTAATACCGTGTTTTATATATTCGATATCCTGATTTTTATTATTTATCAGTATAAAAGCTATTAGATTGAAAAAATAATATGTATTGTTTATTTTAAAACATCTATTAAATTTATTCAAATAATGAATAACATGTTAGTTATATTTTTCATTTAATTCAAATTTAGAATTAATCACCACTTGAAAAATTAAACTTGATAAACTTTTTTATCTATGTCCACTTATAATAATTTATTACATTTCATTATATATTTACATAAGATTTCTAATAATAATTAAAACATCAATACAATTTATTTTTTTTATTAAGGCAATATTATTATCAAAATAATCCACTTAATGAATTAATTTATACTTCCTTATTGCCCAAAATATCATCAATTAAAATGGAAAAGTGAAGTAACCCAAAGTTGCCTGATTTGCTTCAAAATAAAAAAGGGATCTCAATATTATTGTCCAGAATGCAAATAAGGAGTTTGCAATCAATGTATTAAACCTCCTCTTGATGGATTTTATTGTGGGGGTAACCATAGGTAGTTTGCCTTAACTATATAGAATGCAATTTATGAGTAATTTGCCACATCATTCTTGCGATTTGTGTGGAAAATCTATATCATAAGCATATTCATGCAGAACATGCGATTTTGATATTTGTGAAAATTGCAGATAACTTGATGATTGATTTGAATGTACGCATAACTTTTTATTATTGTTTAAATTAATTCTCACCATTTAAGTTCTTTTTATGAAAAATAATGGCAATTTGAGAAATTTTAAATTACAGAAATTAAAAATGAAATTAAGAAGATCAAAAAAAAAATTGTTCTTTGTAATCAATTTTATGTTTATTTTATGATGATTACTTTTGAGTTAATAAAATGAGTTTATTAGAAAGTTTTTATTATAATTAATTTGTTAAGTGGATAGATTGAAGACGAAAGATGTTAAAATTTGTGTAAAAGGATAAGAAAAAGAAAATAAATAAGATATAATAATTTGCTTTTAGTTTTTATATTGTTTTTATATGGGACATCCTATTTCGATTTTACATCAAAAATGAAAACAAAATAATAAGCATAAATATGTGAAACAACTTAAATAATTATAAAGAATATGTAATTATGGGCATTGTAATTGATCAGACAATAGATAAATTGATATAATTATTAGTATATTATTTGAATATATGAGTGAAATTTTTACACTTCAATAACTAGCATAATTGCAAAGAAATTTTGTTAAAAGAAAAATCTAAATCAATTTAGAATGTAAAAAATAATTAAAGCAAATAAGAGACCAAATATAAAGTAATTGATGAGGCAGTTTAAATACTGGAATGGAAGACCACTCCATCGGAATTTGAATGCCATATCTTTTGGAAGGATACTTATGTAACAGATGAAGAATATCGTCGTTTGTTGCCTTATTAGAGAATCAATCATTTTCCAGGATCATACATGTTAGGAAAAAAGAATGAATTATGCAGAAATTTAAATAAGATGCGTAAACAATATCCTTAGGATTACGATTTCTACCCAAAAACATGGCACTTACCTTATTAAAGCGAAGAATTAAGAAATAAATAAGGAACAGGAATTTTTATAATAAAACCAGAAGCTAATTGTTAAGGAAGGGGAATATTTTTGACAAAAAAATTAGATTCTTTTTTGGATAAGCATTATGTAGTATAAGAATATATAAGTAATCCTTATCTAATTGATGGATTGAAATTTGATTTAAGGTATTAATTTGAAAAGAATTTTAGAATATATGTTATGCTAAAATCTATAACTCCATTAAAAATCTTTATGTATTAAGAAGGATTAGCAAGATTTTCAACTAAAAAGTATGTAAGACCTTAAAAGAAGAATTTAAGTAGTGTAACTATGCATTTAACAAATTATGCAATTAATAAAAGAAGTAAAGACTTTGTGTTTAATGATGATACAAATAAAGATGATGTTGGTCATAAAAGATCACTTTCTTCAGTATTTAAAGTAATTTTATATATTATGTAAAAGTACTTAAAAGATTAGGGTCATAATGTAGAATAATTGATATAATAAATTAAATCAGTGATAGTAAAGACTATTTAAAGTGTATAAGCTGATTTAGCACACTTGTATAGATCGTAATAACATAATGCTGATGGAATAGAATAATGTTTTGAATTATTTGGTTTTGATATTCTGTTAGATTCAAATCTCAAACCTTGGTTACTTGAGGTTAATCATACTCCTTCATTTTCTACTGATACACCATTGGATAAAATCATAAAAAAAAATTTAATTTTAGATACATTAATTTTATTAGATATTAGAAATAAACCCAAGAAAAATTATTTAGATTAGAAAAGAGCTCCAACATTTTAAAGGCCTCTTAAAATGAGTTAAGATGAAAAAGAAAAATAATTAAATAAAGTAGCTATTTTTGAAAATAAGCATTTAAATGGCTATCTTAGAGTTTACCCTGATGAAGTATATTTATAACTAATTCAGATAGAATTTTGAATATTTTGAATAATTTATGCCCCCTAAATAAAAAGAGAAAGAAACACAAATATTATAGCTATAATTTGAAATTACAAAGCCACCTGAAAAAATTTAGAAACTCTAAACAGAAACTCGACCTCCTTTAGGTAAGGTTCCTAAAAGACTTTCAACAAATCAATCATTTAGTGAATTAGAAGGCTAATAAATTTAGTAATTAACAATGAGGAATGTTGTTGCTCCTTAAACTAGAACTTCTTCTTAACAAAGACCTTTTAGTAGTATAGCTACCATAAATCGACCAGTTAGTGCTATCAGAAAACCTTTATATGGAACTTAAATTTAAAATCCTAATTAATCTTCTAATTAATAAAAATTAATATATCCTCCTCCTATTGAATTACCACCAAGACCTGTCTTTAAAATAATTCCAATAAAGACTTTTAGTTTCTAGAAAATAGAAAATACCTAAAAAAATGAATGATATTTATGATTATTCTCTAATAGGATACAAATCAATTTAAATAAAAAAATAATTAGATTTAAAGATTCTTTTAAAACATAATAAATTTTTGTTTATAATTGAATTAAATTAATATCTTATAAATTTTCAATTATAAAGATTTATTTCAATTTAATTCATTTGCTGTTTATTTTAATTTTATTATAGTTCTAGTGGTTTAAATACCTGGTTGCAATTAGAAGATGGATATTATAGTTTTTTTATTGCTTTCGTTTTATTCTTTATTTTTGTGAATTTTTTTTCCTCTTCCTCTTATAATTCATCTGGATAGAGATATTATCTATTTTCATCATTTTATTCTTCCAATGTCTCCCTAATTCTTTCTCTTATTATTAACAATTTTTTTGTTTTTTAAATGGCTGAAGCTAATTTTTGATCTAATGCAATTTTAGTTTCTAAAATATTATTACTTTCAAGGGCTTTTCTTAATCCCTCTAAATACTTTCTCAAATTCTTTACATCTTCAATAAGTATATTTTTCTCTTTCACTATCAATTTTAATTCTTATTTAAGTAAAAATATACCTTAATCTTTAATTTCAGCCTCATCAAAATTTTATTCAACATCCAATCTGTCTACATCGTATTCCAAAATTTTAATTTTTTTATTAAGTTTTACTAAATTCATTTACTTTTTTTCAAGCTATATATTTGCTTGAATAATTTTAATATAAAGTTTTTATTAGGACTAATAGCAACCCAGGATATTAAAATTATATTTCTATTTATTTTTTATTTGAAATATGTGAATCTAATTATAAATTTTATTCTATTTGTTTTATTGTTTTTTTCGATTTTTTTAAAAAAGAGATATTATTAAAATATATAATTAATAATATGAATATTAATTTTTTTAACTTAATAGATAAATATTTTTCACTATTCAACTTAATTGGCATTCTTTATATTTTCATTATTCCCCTCTTCATCTTCATAGCTTTTCCTACAAATAGGACAACTTAAATTCACTTTAAACCATGCTGATATACATATATAGTGAAAATTATGAGATTCATGACATGGTAATTTTAATACTTCATCTTCTAATTAATATGTTTACATGCATATTTTGCATTCAGGATTTCCTTCAATTAGATTTGGGGAATATTTAATCAAATATTATTTTTTAAGATCCTCTAATATTTAATTTGCATCTTTCTTTCCCTTTGGTTATTTTATTTTTAAGTAAATCAAAAAACATATAAAAAAAGGCAAACAAAGCCCAACTATAATTATTAAAAGATAAACATCCAGATATTAGCATACAGTATAAAATAAGAATACATATATTGTTATTAGAAGTCTGTTTCTACATTCATCATCAGAATCCCATGGAACTTCAAATCCTATTATGAATCCCCATATTAATAGACCTTAGTTTATTAAAAACACAAAATGCTTAGAGTATTTAAGAGGGGAGTGTATTTTTAAAATTTCTGACATAATTTATTAAGCTAATAATAACTTTTTTTTATCAAACTCTCTTTCTGGATAGAGTATCGTTTAATCATCATTTTCATTAGCTAAGAATTCTGAAATGTCCCCATAATTATCAATCTAAGAATTTTCAGCATAAATAACTTAATGTAATTCTTCACCAACATTCAAGAGTGTAGGCTAAGTTTTGAAATGCTAAATACTGTTTTTTTAATCAATTTCATTAAAATTGAAAATAAAACTATTTCTAATATAGATTCAGCTATCACAATTATCATCCAAGTATTTGCATCTTCCCATAAACAAGATTTTATTCCATTTATTGTCAATAGTACTACTGCTATAATTATTTTACAAATGCAGTAAACTAGATGTCCTAAAGCAATTCTTTTACAAGATTCTACACTTTTACAAAATAGTTATGATACTCTCCTATTCTCAATCAATTATTATTCCATTTAATATTTAAATAAATTAAATTTCTATTAAGGTTTAATAAGAGCATCATCAGGTAATTCTGAATCATAAATCAATATATCTTTCTTAAAAGGGTCATTTAGTCATCTCAAAATTTTTGATAAAAAACATTATTCTCAAAAGGAAAATATTTTATTTACTTTTCATATAGAATATATAAAATATATTTAATATATCAGATAACAAAGATTAATTATCAAAATATCAAGTTTTATAAGGAGACTCTTAGTTATTTATTACTCGTTCCTAAAATGTCGACAATTTTGCAATCATTTTATAATCGATATTTAGAGCAAAGCAGTATTATTTTAAATAAATAGAAAATACAACCTGAAGAAAATTGCATCCAAATGGAAAAACTTCTTAAATAAATTATTTTTTAATTAAATCTTTTTAGATTATAGATTATAGATTAAATGATTTCTTGGTTATTAATTTCCTCCAAATAGTATAATGAACGATTTTTTTATTAGGAAAATCTAAATAATTTGAGACTTATTCAAAAACATTTGTTTATTTCAATTTGGATAAATAAGATTTAAGTTAGTTGAAATTACTAAAGGTTTTATTTTTTTATTTGTCATCTATTATCTTCCAGATCTAATTTTAAAGAACCTTCATCATTTTAAAAACTATTTTTCATTTTTAAAGCATTTCTTAGGATAAAATTTATTCTAATTTATCTTAAGAATATTTTCACTCATTTATAATTCAAATTATTACAATTTAAAAAATATTATATTTGCGAGATTCATAGCTTTAAAATAATGTGTATTAGAATTTATAGTTTATAAACTTCTTACCATAATTTATTAAAATTTTTCAATTCATAAATTAATGTATTTTTTCAATAAATCTATTTTATAAATTATTTCAGATGTTCATTTCTTTTCTGACTTATCAAAATAGTGTTTGGTTAGCAAGTAAGATATTTCTGAACAAAACGATCATTTTCGAAACCATTATAGATCGTTATATATTAATAATAAATATATCTTAAAAGTTGAATAATTAATTGATTTTAAATTTTAAGAATTTTTATGACACCAAATATCTTTATTTTTAAATTATTGAATTAAAAAACCTATATTCTAAATTTTTTAAGGATGATTCTTGAATTTTAATATGTAAAAAGGTAATAAACTATTAAATTATTATTTTTTTCTTTTTTCCATCATTTTATAAACAGTCTAATATTAATAGGAAAAACAGAGTAAATTTTTTAGTATTTTTCTGAAAGGTAAAATAATGGCTTTTCATAAACTTGTTTAATTTAATTTTGTAGATGTGATATCAAAGCATGTTTTATTTTTATATTTTAGAAATTAACACATTAAATAACGAATTTAAAAAAAAACATTAATTATTTCATACTTAATATAAATTCTAATATTTTGAATTTCTTTTATTCAATATCCTATTAATTTCATGATGAATAATTACTTATAATGATGTAAATATTTAAAATTGAGCAAAAAACTTAAAAAATTAGAAATACTCTAATAAAAAAGCATTTAAATATAAATTTTAATTTTCATTTTGATTCATTATTGATCTAAAATAGTACTTATAGATTTAAATCCACATTTTTGAAAAGAAAAATATTAGCTTACTTAAATAGATCAATTTTGCTTTTATTGAAATATTGAAAGATTAAACAGAAACCATTTTTTTGATTTTAATTTAAATTAAAAAATCGTTACTTTACTTTAAGATTGTAAGTTTATCATCCAATAGGGTAATTAATATATTGAAAAGTGAATGAAGCCTTGTTATGATTCAAACCAAAGCGACTTCTTTTTAGTTAAAAAATAAATAAATTAGAATAAATTATAAGTAATAATTAATTTTAATATATAAAAATAAACAGCATATATAAATTCAATCATTATATCACTATTAGAGTAAATTTATTATATCTCTTAATTTTATTTGAATATCATCTTTGAATAGATGCATATGAAAAAAAATTCCCTGGATCGCCAAGCAATTTAAAACTTATTCACAAATATTGACAATCAATTTAAAATATAGCTCTTATCCACAAACTGTTTTCCGTTTCAATATATTCCAACATCAGAAGAGTTAACTACAATTTTAAATACTTTTGAAAAAAGTAATTTTAGCAAAAAAGGAGTATGGACCCCTTGTTAGGAAAAATTATTAAATGTAGTAGTATTTGGTGTATGTTTATCGAGTCGAATGCTTCCTCATGATTTGGTATAAAAAATATCTATATTATAGATGGTTTAAGATTGGGAAAAGATATCTAGATTGATAATTCATCATAATTGGAAGGCATGTAGGAATAGGTGGCTTTAAGAAAAATAAGCAAAAGCAAATTGGACTTTAGAAGAAGACCAAGCCCTTATATAGCTATATAATTAGCATCCTAACAAATGGTGTGATATTGCTATTGAATTAATGAAGAAATGTCAAACACCTTATGCAAGACAAGGAAAGTAATGTCGAGATAGATGGGTTAATAAATTAGACCCAAATATAAAGAAGTAATATTAAATTATAATTGGTATAGAGATCCTTGGACTAAAGAAGAAGAGCTCTTGCTTTTTTAAGAAGTAAAGAAAAAAGGAAAGAGATGGGCAGAAATCTCATTATAAAAATTTTAATTAAAGAGAACTGAAAACACTATTAAAAACCGATATTACAATCTCATCAAACAAGAACAAAATAAACTTAAGTTGAACAGAATGAGTAATGATGAAAAGGAATATTTTGTGATGAATAAAATAGTAAAGGAACTTTAAGAAAAAGTTTATTAAAATTAGAATAATTGTCTTGATGATACTAATTGGAAACAAAATATGAGTTCAAATTTCAAAATTTCTTAGTTTTCGTAACAACTTTGTAATAATGAATTTCTTGTAATAATTAAAGGAAGAAAATTAGTTAAGCTAAATGAAACGTTATGAGTATATACATATTTTATAATAAATTATCCATAAATAAATTCTAATACTTTATTTAAAATACTAAATAATATCTTCGGTTTAAATCAATGAAAATATTTAAATCTAAAGAAGTTAAATATTTCTTTTAATTTAATTTTTTTTTGAAAAAATTTTTAAAGTTTAATCATAAAAATCAATGAAAAATATGTTTTTAGTCACATCAAAAAATTATCTTATTTCTTTTTTAATCATAAATTTCTTTTTAACTTAAGGTTTTTTAGTTTTTGAAAACAAAATAAATCAAATACTTAAATACTAATTATTTTGATTGTTAGAGAACTGATTTTTTTTGGAATTTTTTTCAAAAATTATAAAAATTGATATATTTCTTAATTAATCTAATTTCAAAGAAGTTTTAAATTATAAAAATAAATAAAAATTTAAATACACATGAAGATTAGTTTCAATCAAAGAATTTTGATATAAATGATTCCTTTAAATGTTTAAAAATAGATGAACCAAGATTATATTTAAGTGATAAATAAGTTTTTATCTAAGAAGTTTTACATAGTAAAAATTTTTAATTTAATTCTCATCTTTCTTCAATATCCTTCTAATAACAATAACTCTAAATGAGTTCCTGAAGAGGAAGTATTTATATTCAAGCAGATCAAAGAAATTGGTAAAATTTTATTTTAAACTCTTGTGTTTATTTCTATAATTTATAGAACTATTACTCACTTTATTTAATTGAAAAAAAATAAGATACCTATAAATATTTTCAGAATATCTTGTCTTATAAAATTTGATACCTTTTTAACATAATCAATTTAAATGCTTTTTTTTTATTTTTCAATAAAGGATTTTATAATTTCAATTACTTTCTTGTCTTCAAAATATTATTGATATTTGACAAAAATAATACATATTTGGAAATGAAAAAATTTAAGAAACAACTTTTCTAGTTAAAAGAATCTTATTTTAATAATATTATAATTAGAAATGGTTATTTTTAGATCAATTAGTGAATATAAAAAAAAAGTTCATAATAATATCATAATTTCTTTGCTATTGTTTTAAAATTAGACGGAAATAATTAAAGTATTTGGAAAGAGATAATATTAAAATAATATTAAGCATAATTAAGATTGATTTAAGCGAACATTAAGTTGAATAAGCCCTTGAACTACTATATTTTAGAAAAGAACTTTTTCATTATTATCAGGCGAACTTAATAATAAATTTAATTTATGAGTTTTAGATTAAGAATTTATATAAAATATACATGAGGAAAAATTTTTTAACTTTATTTAAGCAATCTTAGATTAAGATATTTTAAGATTATAAAATTAAAATAGAGATAGATTGTGATTATTTATTATGGAATCCAAATAGTATGCAATTTTTTTCTAAAATCCTATTGATATTACCTTTGGAAAATAATTAAATGAATTAGATAGATATTAAAAATTTTTTTATAACTTTTTACAAATGAAGTTGTAATATAAAAAGTAATATTTTTTTTAATGATTATCTTTATATTTTAAGAAAGAATGATAAATAATTGAGTAGTAGAGTTAGTATTTTGTTCTATTTTGAAAATATAAAAATAATGGATAAAAAGAAAATAAGCATATGATATGAGATTATCATTTATTAAGGCTGTTTTAATTAGATTTGAGTGATTAAAAATGTAAAGTAGAAAATATTAATAAAAAGGAAATAATATAAGATCTATATAAGTATACTAGCTTATAATATTGTACTATTATGATTATAAATGAATCACTCTTTCAAAGCAAACTTTCTCAATGGGAAATTATTGAGTCTTTTCCATTATCTGTCAGTCTTTTAAGCTAATTGATTTTTAGAATATATACCTCTTTCACTTCTGGTTAATCTTTATCTAATTGCTCTAGTTTATTTTCCTCTGAGATCAACAGGGAGTTTACCATTTGACTTAGTGGTTGATTTAACTTAATCTCTTCTTTATTGATTAATGACTGTTAAGTATTTTGCAATTCGTTTTCTCACTAACTTAAAAATTAACATTTATGTGTTACTCCAATTCTGCCAAGTTTTTATGCATTACCAGCTGAAACTTTGGATGTTCTTAATTGAATGAGTTCTCCTTTAAGCTTTTCTAAATCTTTTAAGAGCTCTTCTGGCTTTTAATCTCTGAGCTTTCTAACCTTGAATTTTTGTGACATATTTTAAAAATAGATTTAATTTTTATTAAAAATGGGGAATTGTTTCAATTAAGATGAGACTCAAAATTCATCATTAAAAACAATGAAAAAAGTGGAGAGTGTTTTAAGTTAACCAGAACATGAGAATGAAAGTGGAAAGATATGTTTGAAGGATTTTCTTAGTTAAGGTGAAATTGGCAGGGTTATAAATATTATTAGTATAAATAGGGTTAATTTGGTAAAGTTTTGAAGGTGAAAATGAAATCTAATTAAAAGGAATATGCAATGAAAGTTATAAAGAAAGCAGACATAATAAAATATGGTTTAGTAAATCATACTATGCTTGAAAAAAATGTTTTAGAATATAGTAATAATCCATTTGTAATAAAATTACAATATTCATTTTAAACAGAACAAAAATTATATTTAGTGATGGAGTATAATTAAATAAATAGAATTAGGTTAGTTAATGGAGGGTAATTATTAAGAGTGATGACAAAATAACCTTAAAAACATTTTTCATTTAATTAAGCGTAATTTTGTGCAGCAGAAGTAGTTCTAGGTTTAGAATATATGCATGAAAAATTGAAAGTAATCTATAGAGATTTAAAACCAGAAAATATATTAGTAACTGAGTAAGGACATTTAAAATTAACAGATTTTGGATTATCAAAAAAATATGAATCGTTAGATATGAAATTCTTTACTGTAATTATTTGTATTTTTCACTAGATTAGATAGCCGGTACTCCTGAGTATCTGGCACCAGAAATATTAAATAATTCTGGCCATAACTATACAGTTGATTGGTGGTGTTTAGGAATATTAATATATGAAATGTTGGTTGGAAAGACTCCATTTAGAGATAAAGCAAATAATTTTAGAAATATAGAATAATAAATTAAAGAATGTCATATCTAATTTCCAGATGATATGAATCAATAATCTAAAGATATAATTGCATAGTTCTTAAATAAAGATCCAACTAAAAGATTAGGTAAATTATTATATTTAATATTAATTAGGACATAAATCTATATAATAAATTAAGGATCATTAATTTTTCAATGAAATTAATTGGGAAGATCTTGCTAATTTTAGAGTTAAATCACCTATTCTAGAAGGAGTTCAAAAATTACAATAATAAATAGCAAAAGAGGTTCCTATAGCTAAAAAAATATTTGAGACTCCTTAATCATTATTGGCTAATCAAAATACATAAAATTTTGAAGGATTTTCTGTCAATCATGATGAATTTTGATGATAAATATAAATGTTTAATAATAATCCTTAAAAATACATAAACAGAAATGATGTCAAGGAAATAAAAAAAAAGTTTGATTGGATTGTTGTTCATTCTGTAAATAGGAAAATTCCAGGTGTCACTTTAGAGGTTTCATAATTTAATATTATAGTAAGCTATGTAAATAATTGCTTAATAAATTGATTCATCTCCTCGTATATTTTCAAGATGGGGTAATAGATAGAATTGTACAAATGTAGCAACTTGGTCATAGATTTTAGAATTAATTGAAACATTTAATCAATAATAGGAAACAGCTTTTGATAATCAAATTTATGAATAATCAAGTTTTTAATTCATAGAAGATAAGTTTATGTAAGTTTTTTTTATTTTTATTTTAAGGATAATGAAACCATCATATTTCTAAATTAATAATCAATAAGAAAAATAAATATTTGTTTATTATATTGAAAATATGTCACTTATCAAATTGAAATAAGAATTTGCTATTCTAATATTTAATAATAAAACTTTAGCTCTTATTAATGTTAACAATTTTAAACCAATATTAGTAGTTTCTGCTTAATCAATTGAAAAAACAAAAAAAAAATAAACAGATGAATTTATGGGAATTTTATATAGATTAGATTAACAATAATCAAAAGACAGTTGGAAAAAATAAATTAATTTTTATAAAAAAAAAAAACCATTAGAAAGTTCTTTTCATTTTGAAAGATTAGACACTAATTCTTCTTAACTTAAAGAACGTTTAGATCCAATTATGCAATGCAAAAAAGATATAGAATATTTATAAAAAGTTGTAAATTTGAATCCATGGGATCCATAATTAAGACCATTGAATCCAGATCCTAAAATGTAATTAGTTAGAAAAAGAGGTTAATCTGAACATTCTAAAAGACATTAAGTTTTTGAATAAGAGAGTTATAAATTAAACACTTCCTTATAAGTTTAATTAATATGCTCTAAAGATAATAATATTATTTTAGTTTTGGAAAATTTAGTATTGTAATATTATTAGTTAGAATATGATTATAATAATGGAGATTATTCTTTACAAAAATATCATGAATTTACTTTAAATGATAAAATTGATTAAATTGCGATAACTTAAAATAAATGGATTAAATAAGATCATTGTTTAATATTGAAATCTAAATAAATGTTAGTTTATTCGATGCCTGAGTTTAAACTATTAGAGAAGATAAATATTGGTTAATCAGCAGATACAATGTTATCAAATAAAATAATCCTCATATGTTAATATGATGGATTGTTTAGTATAATTAAAGAAAATTTAAGGAAAAATAAATTAGAATAATATTAATCAGTAGAACTCTAAAATTCAACCAAATTTAATGATTTTAAACAAAATGAGTAATATCATTCATTAGTGCAATAGAAATAAATAAAATCTAATGATACTAAATAATCAGAATAATATTATTCAGTAGGAGTCTAAAAACAGGTTAAATTCAATGATCTAAAATAATCAGTATCTAGTCTTGATTATTCAAATAAATACTAATTTGTAATATTTGGTAGTATGTGTACATTGGTGAGTATTTATGATATTCGAAAAGGTTAATTTATACATTAATTTAGTGCTTTAAATACAACTTAATAATTTAATTAAATTAATGATAAGATTTTAAAAGTATTTGTATTTGATTCTCAAAATTAATATTTAGTTATTTTTACATCTGGTTAGATAACAATTTGGGATATATAGAGACATAAAAAAATATAAGAATGTATGAAATAATTGCCATAAAATAAAAAATAATAATAATATTATTAAGGATTATTTTTAGAAAATCGTGGAATGTTATTATTAGGAGGATTCAATTTGTAAAGTTGGGTATCTAAAATAAACCCTATTCAAATTTAAGATAATATATTAGATTCTAAATCATCTCCTATTTATTCTTGAATGTGAATATGATTATTTATTGATATGATAGAATACTTATTATTCAATTTTAATAATAATTTATATTTGAATAATCAGATAAGTTTTTTATTGTAATTGAAATAAAAAAATCTTAAACTAAATTTCAATTCTATTCTTTATTTAATCTCTATTGAATCCAATCTTACCATTCAAAATAAGGTTTACCTTCTTTTTAGCATTCTACATAAAGATTCTCTGTATTTACACTATAGATCTCATCAAAATTGTCTGAGTTTATCTTTACACACTACACTAACTAGATTTTAATAGTTTAAATTATTATACAAGTTCAAAGAAAGTTTAATATGGATTAGGTATAGACTTTTAAGGTTGAATCATAATTGAATTAGACCTTTTGCCAATTTATTCCAAATATTATTAAACTCCAACTTATTCAATAGTTTTAGATTTTCTTTATTTTGCTACTGTGATTCTATTATTAATATCTGATAATTGAAATTTTTGAATCTAAGTTTTATTATGATCTAATCTTGCTGTTTAGGAAATGAATTAGGATGAATTTAGAGTATTTTCAATCATAGTTTCTCCTTAAACACTTTTAACTCTATCTCTAAAATTCTCTTTCTCAATCTAATTACCTTCAAATGTAGAAACAACAGGAAAAACTTAACTTTCATTTTAAATTCCTTTTTAAGTCTAATCTGATTATTCTTATCTCTCAGAAACTTCCGGTATTTGATATTTATATATTTATTATCTGTATGATAATAAAGGTAGTTATAATTTAAGATTAGGCTGTATTTATTAATAATTTATATCTAAATTTTAGGTAAAAGCACTATTTTATAAATTTTAATCTTATTCTTCTTGCTTTTTCTCAATCACTTTTTCATATTAAATTATCTAAGGATTGTGAATTTTTCTGAGTTACTCTTTTAATTGATCTATTTAAGTTTCATAATCAATTACAATTTCGTTTTATATTTTCAGATCTTATTCTAATGATTAAATTAAAACATCCTACTATTGTTTTTATAATTTTATTTACGATAAATCATATCTCATTTATTTAATATTTAGATTTAATTCTTCTATTTAATCTTTATAATCACTGATTTCAATTTAATAAGCTTACAAATCTGATTTTAATTTTTGATTCATTGCTTATAATTCTTATTAATAATTTTGATTTTTAACTATTTATTATTCTTAGAGTTATATGATTTCTGTGATGCTTCCATTATCTAATTAGCTTCTTTAAATTTGTAAATTTTAATTTTCTAGTTGTATGTTCAAATTTCTAAGATTTGAAATTTATTGTTCTAGATCTGAAATCTCATTTAAATATTCTTCAGCAATTTAACATTTTTCATGATACAAACTCTATAATAATTAAAATAAATATAACTTTATATTAAATGACTTCTTCTTTTTCTTATTATAATTAACTTTAAAGTTGGTTTCTTTATTTTTCTTGATAATCACAATTTTCTAAGTCTTCATCTTGTTTAGCTTATAAAGTTCCTATTAAAAATAGAGAAATGTAAATTAAATTATCAATAACACTTTAGTCTTGATTGATTTATTCCATCATTAATTAAATCTCATCTTTGAATAATGATTATTCTTACTATTTTTTTCTTCTGGTATTAAGGAATTAATTCTTTTTTCAAAGAAAGACTCACTATATAGTTCTTCTACTTTCCTTATATAATCGTTTATTTGTGTCAATTCATTCATAGTTTAGATTCAATTATTCTTTGAAAAAAAAATAGATAATATGCAGATATATATAATATGTATAATTTCAACAATCAATCAGAATATGAATTTTATTCATTAATGAATTTGTATAAAAATTTTAGATCTAAAAAAGCATCTTCATATTAATCTTCTAAGTCTTATTATTTAGTCATTTCATAAATAGGCTAATGTTTAAATAACTCTCTAATATCTATAATTAAATCTTCTTTATGTTAAGATAAAATAGAAATTTGTTTTGTGAATATTTCAGATTCTTCTGGTAAAAACTCATCCTTTATTGTTAGTTTTAATAATGGAACCGAATTAATAACAATTTTATTATCATCTGTAATTTGTTTTTCAAATTCACTTTCCATTTCCATACATGAAATGAAATATTATCTTATTGCTTTACATAATAACATAACTCCTATTAGTTTTTAATTAAATTCAAAGACTAATCTACCATCTAGAAATTTGTAATATTTTAAAATTTCAGGAAAAGCAATATCCTTACTTGATATTTCAGATAAAAATAGAATGAATAATTATTTACAAAAATTCTACTATTCTATTGTTAAATCTTGATTATTTTATTTGACAATAATTTGTGAATCAAAAAACTTTGTTTTAATACAACATAATTTAGTTTTAGTTCTTTCTGAAGACTTAGATGCTTTAATATATGATTCTACTTTATTCATAACAGTTCCAACAAATTAAGGAATATCTTATTACTAATTAGGTTCTCCAAAAACTTCATCTTTATATAATTCATTAAGTTTTTATTGTAAAGCCTTGAATTTTCTATCATTAATGACAAAAGTTAATTATTCTAATTCATCTATTCTATCTAATACTAATTAAAGTACTGAATATAAGACTGTTTCATCTCTATCTTCAATATTTTTATTTGAGTGTTCAAAATTTAATTAATCAAGTCCTTTAAAATCTAAATAATCAAAATCATTCATTTTTAATTATTATGCTATTGCTTCCATACCTTATTTATCAACTATCAATTTTACTAATTCAACACTTGGTAATATATATATTCCCTATTCTTCTGGTCTATCTTATACATTATATCTACTCTTTCTTAAAGATAAGTATTAAAGTACTTCTGGTACTGGAACATCTAATTAAACGGCTGAAAATAATAAAGTTTTTGCTGCCTTCTTTATTATCTTTTAATGTAATAATTATGCTTCACTACAACCACCATGTTGATATTTATTTATTATTGGACCAGTCAATACATAATTATTTATTCTCTCTAAATAAGAAATTATTAATTCACATTATTTATCTGCACATTTTGCTTTTGCTGTCACCTTATCTTTTAATTGTCTTAGCTTTTTTTAAAATATTATTCCTGAACATGTTGCTATTATTTATTCTCTATGTTAATCCCTTTTCTCATAAACAAGCTTTATCATTTCAAAAATTAATTCTAATTAATTTGTCTTATAATTTGTTCTATAATATTTAATTTAATCATCTGCACTAACATTCTCTCCTACTTTTTACCATAATTAATTTGCTAAATCATCACAATCTTTTAAATATAATGAATATATATATGTCTTCTAAAGTATTTTAAAATCTTGTAGAATTTTTGGTACTGCTACTTTTTTTTCAATTAAAATTGTCAATGCTTACAATATTCTTATTCTACATTATGGCCATTTATATTAAAAATCATCTCGTATCATAGTATCCTTACAAATCTATAAATTCTTGCTTTATTTTGATTATTTTTTGTCTTCTTATTAAAAATCATTTACCATCTATCTTATATCTTCATCATCAAAATCTTATATCAATGGAATTGATTTTAATTTCTCTAAAATTTCATTATTTTATGGATTTTCTTTTTATCTTTTTCCACCATGTTCCTTTTTTTAATAATCATGTTTTTTTATCTCTACACTCTAACTCTTAAGATTTAAATCTTCATTTTAATGTTTAGAATATTATTTATCAAGAATATTTTATTATTTTGATTGAATTTTATGAGATTTATTTTTCATTTTATTTCTTGACATATCTTCTGTTTATTATCCAGATCCTTAATTTCCATTACTTGAATTATTATCTGAATCTGATTGAGAATTATAACTTTAAGTTTAACACTAATTAGTTAAATAGTGATATAATTATTCTTTACTTTTTAACATGAATTTTTAAATGTGAAATTTCTATATTAATTTTAAGAAATCCTAATAATCCTTTAATTCAGAGTAATTTTGACTTTTAAAAACAGGTAATTGATTCGCAAGTTGTGTTGTGGTATTTAACATTAATATTTATCTATCAAACACACAATGTAATATTTGGCAAAATTTTACAAGGATTTGAAACATTTATTAAGATTAAAAAATCAACTATATAAATCATTATGATCAAATTAATCAAAATTATGAAATGACATTTTATTAATAACTAATCTACTCTAATTCTTTTAGAAAATTCTATTTCAAATTTACATATATTAATTCATCTTAATAATTAAAAAACTATTTTAAAACAATTTTAAAACATTTTTTTATTGTTTTACTAAATTTGTGAATCTTTTTCTTAAAAAAATGATGTATTGATAATATTTTATAAATTTTATATTTCATTTTAAAATTGCAATAAGTTTTCTTAAAGGGATCTCTTCTTTTATAAACTCCTACTTTGGTTACTTTTAAGTGTATGTCTATTAAAAGTTTCGTAAATCTATTCTTTCATTCTAATCAAGACAAAATTAGATATTGTCTAATATTGAAAAAAAGGATACCTATACAATCATAATGATTTGTTTGCTTAATTTTATTATTTTGATTAATTTCTTACACATTTTATCTCATAACTTTGTGAAACTATATATTAGAGCCACTATCAATTAAACTTTAGTAATTATTCATGGATATTTTTTCTAATTTAGAAATCTGATATTAAGATTCTAAATTTATTAGAACATCATCTGAAAAGAACTAAGTGAATTGATTATTTCGCTCTTTTGACAGCCATAAAATGAAATCTTTTTTGGTATCGTTCATTTATCCTTGTAATATTTATAAATTAAATTATTAACATCATTTTTTTAAAATCATTAAATTTCTAATAGAATATTATGGAAAATTAAAATAAAATATAAAATTAATTATGAAGCATAATATAGAATATTTTTGAATAAGTTATAAAATCTTAGACCTTAGTTTAGTATGTAACAAATTTGGTAGATCGATATTTTTGATGTTTATCATCAATATTAATGGCTAAAATCAATATAATTGGTCACAATAAACAATTTATTATTTTTATAAAGTAATGACTTAGAATTTACATTAAAGATTGAATCAGGATTATCATATATCTGAAAATTTATAAAATGATCAACGAGCAATTAATTTAATAAAGTTGTAAATATTTTCATAGCTATAATTGGGGTTTTTAGAAATTAAAGAAAATTATTCATATATGAATATTACTCTTTAGGCAAGTATTTAAATATAAATAATATCCATTTAAATTAATATTGAAGTTTCAACATAAATTTAACTAAAGTGACATTAGAATTTAATTCAACTCTACCTGGAAATGATATTTTTTAAATAAATTATTTATGTTCATCTGTCATAGAATTTTCGGTCATTAAAAGTAATTTTATTAAAAAAGACTGTGATGATAGAAAATATTAAATTAAATTTGAGTTTAATATTTTTATTATCAAAAATGTTCCAATTTATAAAGCAATTACAAATTCCTGATCAATATTATCATTTAATTACAATGCTTCATTATAGTAATAAGTTTATCTTGAGGAGTTTCGATTGTAACTTCATCTTTTTCAAGTTGAGATTAAACTATAGATTAATTGAGTATAGTAATATAGGATTTTGTTTTAGATTCTTTAACTTAATTGACAAAGTTCCTAAATTTGAACCTTTTATTATTCTTAATTTATTGGGTATCTCTAAAGCTGTTATTTATAGTTTGGTATTATAAGGGTGATATATGTTTTAGACATAAGTTTATGAATAAATATAAATTAGTTTAATGATTTGTTGATTTAATTTAGTAAATAGTATAAGATAATTAATAAAGGAATCTAATTCTGATTTAATTTCATTTGATTTTGAATATGATGAAAAATATTATATATTAAAAATGTATGAATTTATTAACAAATACAAAAATAAATATGTGAATTATGAAGACTTAAAGGATAAGGCAGTTTTGATAAGAAAGAAGGATAAGATTTATTTTGGGGAGATATTAAATTAAAGGAAACATGGAAAGGGCATAATTGTAAGTGGATAATATTTTTATGCTGGAGATTTTCAAAATGATACAAAACATGGAATAGGTTATGAAAGAAATTAAGATGGAACATCATATGATGGGGAGTTTGTAAATGATTAACATTAAGGATTTGGTACGTATTGGTATGGTGATGGTAGCTTTTATGAGGGAAATTGGTGTAATTCTTTGAAACACGGGGAAGGGTTATATAGGAAAGGAGATGATATTGAATATTATGGAGATTGGAAATTTGGTTAAGTAGATGGAAAAGGCTAATTAAAAACAAATAAATCAAAATATGAAGGAGATTTTAAGAGTGGTTAGAAAAATGGATTTGGTATAGAAACTTTTAAAGATGGAGTTTGTTATCGTGGTTAATATATAAATGGTAAACCTGAAGGATAAGGGTTATTAATTGGAGAGGGTTTTAAATATGAAGGTGACTTTAAGAATGGACTTAAACATGGAAATGGTAAATTAATAATTGATAATGTGGAATATGAAGGTTAATTTTTAAATGATTAAAAAAATGGATATGGAGAAATGAAATGGCCAAGTGGAAGTTCTTTTAAAGGATATTTTCTTAATGATGTTAGATAAGGATACGGATAAATGTTTTGGTCAGATGGTTCATTCTATAAAGGATAATGGCATAATGGTATATAATAAGGACATGGAAGATTGTTTAATAATCATAGATTAATTAGTACTACTTTTAATACTAACAAATAAAATATTGAAGAACCTAGTATACCATAATTATCTACTATCTAATCATCAAATATTAAATAAAATATTACACGCTCTAGAATATCAACTAGATCTAGAATTTCTAGTTCTTGTTCATCTCCTAAAAAAAAGTTTTGCCAAAGAAACTAAACTGTCTAAAATAATTGATTTTTATATTATTACTCTAATAAATATATATATATATTTATATTCTACTTTATATAAGGTTCAGTTTATTTAGAAAATATTATTTTTTGAGATTATTATAAGAGATATATTTCATTTCAAAATGCACAACTGTTTTTTTATTATTTATTATATAATTAACAGATGAACTTCAATTAATAGGTATAACCAATATAAATCGAATCTCAAAAATCATTAAATTCTCCTCATTAAATATTCAAAAATTCTAATAAGAAATTAATACCAAAAACAACTCTTTTATCTAAACATCCTTTTATAACAAATAGAGTTTATACTATAGATGAATTTTAAAATAAGGAAAAAATATTAGATCTTAAACATTCAAGGACTCCTATCATTAAATAATTCTCTCTTGACACAGATCCTTAATAATTTTAGGGAAAAAGACTTTAATCTCAAAAAATTTCAAATGATATTGAAAAGACTTAATTTCTTTAAATTTAAACAGCAAGAAACATACGCACTTCTTAAATTGATAAAAATAATACAATTAAAATACCAGAAGCGCATTAAATTTCAGAAAAATAGAAGAACAATAATTACTTTAAAAGCGAGTCCATTTGTAATGAAAAAATCTTAGATTTACTTTTATTAAATACTCAAGAATTAAAGGGCTTTTTCTAGAATGAGAAAGAACCTCTATTATAACAAAAAGCAAAGCCAAGAATAAAAAATATAAAAGGTTTTCCATCTGATTTCTTTTCTGTGATATGAGTTTAAAGAATATCATCAAATTTTGATTAAATATCCAAAAATACTAATTAATATATATAGATACAATATTATAAAGTTTTATTCTTAAATTTGAATAGAAATTTATATATATTAATATTCTAAGAAATTCTAGATAGATAATAAATAAAAAAATTGAATAAACCTGATCAGATCATGTCTTTATTTTTATAATTTAGTTTAATAAAAAAGGATCAATTTTCATAAAATGAAGAAGCGTACAATTGCTATGATCAAAAATAAGAAATAGGTGTAGAAATTAAAAATAGATAAGAATAATGAAAGCAAATATTTTTAGTCTTAAAATATATTCACTTATTAAATTTATATTTTTTGTGATTACTAATGGCTGATTCTGCTGTGGTGTTAATTTGTATTTAAAACCCAGACTTTATAAATATTACTGTGACACATGTGTACTAAAACTTTATACAATTTGGAACAATTGAAAAAGTAAAAAGAGTAATTTATAAAATTAGATATTAATCTTTGAACGAAACAAACCAATTTGGAAAGCATTAGTATAGTTTGATAGTCATAAATCAGCAGAGAATGCATTGTAATTAAATAATACAATAATGCATGGTCTTTCAATTTTGGTGTATGAATCAAATCGTAAAGGAATTGAATTTTAAGCTCGCAATTAATATGCTAAATGTATTTGATTTGTATTTAATAAGAGATTATATTGCTCAATAAACATAAGGTATAATCCATTCTGCAGAACTGCCACGAAATGATTAGTTTAGTAAATGGTTACCACATTCACAAATACTACCTAAATCTTAAACAGGAATGCCTCCTTTACCTAGTTAATTTGCAGAAACTTTGAATTTTGATAAAGTTGATGGAAATTCTTAATATGATTCAGAGGAAGAAGTGACAGATGATAAATAGGAGGATTTGTAATAATTTATATGATTAATAACCCCCTACAGTTCCTAACAATTTGTTAATACTATCGATAACAATTTGACTTAGCTTTTGAAATTCTCTGATGGACATCGGATTTTTACATCTTAGTAACTTCCAAGTAATTAATAAGTAGAAAAATAAATATTTTAATCTGAGATATTGCCTCAAAGTTTTATTATTTATAATCTTAGAAAAACTTATTACTAAAGTGCTTTATGCAAATTGGTTTGATCCAAACCAAACAACCATGTCAATGATTTATAACATTTTTAGTACTTTTGGAAATATACAAAAAATGATATTTTTTAAGACTAAATGTAATGTTTTAATAGAGTATTCAACTGAAGTAAGCGTTAAATTTTTGTTAACAAATTTTAATGAAGGAAATCCAACACTATTTGGATAAAAACTAAAAGTAAACATCTTTCTAAAATTTTAGGTATATCCATCAAATTATGAATTCATATTCTTTAGAAACTGTGAGGAAGGATAATTACCAAAAAATACTGAAGAAGAAGAATTCTATATGGGTAATGAAGCCTCGTTTAGATATAAAGATAACAATTTTAAATATTTAGTGGCACCATCTTAATAAATAATGTTGACAAATTTGAAAAAAGAATTTTGTGAAGAAGGAATAATATATAATACATTTTCAAAGTTTGGTGCAATTGAAAAGATTAAGTATTATAAATAAAATATATAAAACTAGAATATTTTGTGAAGAGAAGAATAAAAATAAATGTCTAATTAGATATTAAGATATGGAATCTGCAATTTAAGCAATGGCAATAATGCATAATTATGATTTTAATAAGAGAAAAATTTAGATTTTTTTTTCAAAAAATAAATCATGAAATTGCTAACATTCTATTATTTAATTATAATTTATTTAATCTATTAATTCTGTGATTATGTAATATGGTATAGTCTTTTATAAAAATAAATGGTTTTTTAATGCTTAAAAAAAAAAGGAAAGAGATTTGTGATTAGTTTGACATAACATAGTATGGGTGTTATTTAAAGAAAGTAAAAAATAAAGTGAGTTTTATAGAAGAATATGTAGTTGAATAAGTAAAGAAGATTGTTAGTGAATACTATACCTATTATCATTTAATTAAATAATGAATAATAGCTTCAATAATTTTAGGGAGGGTTACAACCTTCCTGGTCATCGTAGTTTCAACTCTTAAAGTGACACCTCCTTGTTTCGAAATAAGTAATAGAGCATTAAGAATGATCGCAATAATCAGCATAGCTCTAATGAAGAATTATTTGCTGATATTGAAAGATCCTGCAACATGAATGTCAGTGGAGAGTCACTTCCAACAAGTGAAGAAGAACATAGTCTAATCGATTAAGCAATCGACTTGTTTTCAGGTATTGGTCTTATAAATCTTCCAAGATACAAAAGTAATATTACCAAAGCAATAAGCAGACATTAGAGATGCATAAGATTAAATGATAAAAGACATCAATCATGTTTTTGTAGATACCTGTTATAAATCATACCTTTCGACAGAAATACTTGAACCTGAATTTCTTGAGAATAATCAATCTTTCAAGGATCAATTCTACGAGAACAATCATAGACGCAAACGTAAAACAATATCTGATGAGGATTCCCATAATTTTATTGTACGAATTGATGGTATTGAAGGAGATACAAGAACAACTGTCATGGTTAAGAATATCCCAAATAAATATACAATTCAAATGCTTAAAGAATTAATTGATTATCATCATTCAACCTCTTATGATTTCCTTTATCTTCCCATAGATTTCAAGGTATCAATATAGTTCTCACTTTTTTTTAGAATAAATGTAATATGGGTTATGCATTCATTAATTTTGTTGACAGTCGTATGATCACATCTTTTCACAATGAATTTCATGGTTAAAAGTGGCCGCATTTCAACAGTGAAAAAGTATGTTCCTCCTAACATTTTAGATTTGTTAGTTGAGATATGCTAGAATTTAGGGTAGATCTGCACTATTGCAACATTTTCAATTTTCTAGTGTGATGAACTAAAAAGATAAAAAACTTAAACCAGTAATAGTACCTTAAAGTGAATTATAACGTATACAATAGATGATTTAAGTATAACTGTTTTTTATTATTAGATGTAAAAATAATGACATAAAAACAATTTTGTTTAGGGAATAATGATAGCACATAGATCTCAATTTTGAGTATGCTCTTAAATCATATTCCCATAATTTAATTAATTATTTATTCACTTTTTTTCTATCTTAATGATAATTTCTTCTTTTCCATATGTATATTCTTAATACTATGATCACTTGTATTTGGAGACTGAAATATAGGACTCTATGTATATCTTGAAACTTTTGACATTAAATGTGTATAACTTTCAAATAGATTTCTTGGTCTTTCTCTTAATCTTGGTAATTATGTATATTATTATTTCATCATTTTTTCTACCAATTCCTTTTCTTTATCAAAATCTCTCATCTACAAACACAATTTTACATTTTTTAATTTCTCTTTTAGAGAACATTAATGATTATTGTATTCAACAATCTCATTAATTCTATCTTTGCTAATTGTATTTGATGTTGTTTTAGATTCTCTTTAAGTTATACATTTTTCTAATATCTCTTTTGTATTTATATCTCTTAAAATAACCTTATTATTTTGTTATCTTTATTTCGCAATCATTCTATGACATTTCTTAACCCAATCTTATCTAAAACCATCACTACTGATTCTATAATCATTTATTCTCTCTCTCATAAATCTATCTAATCCAGAACAATTTTTCTTTGGAAGAAAATATATTATAGTTTCATATGATACTGATTAAGCTGTGTATTATCTCTAACCAGGATTTTTTAAATCAAATAATCCTACAAATTAACCTTCACTAAATTAATTTACTCTCACATTATCAGAACTTATTTCAACTATGCCTTGAAATATCAAATATAAACCATCAACTATATCTCCTTATTTAAAAATTATCTAATTTATAGAAAATAACTTTCTTTAAAAATCAAAACTTAATTATATCACTACTTCTTTGGATGATTATGGAAACATCTTACTTAGCATTCCCAATGTAAAATTCAATTTCTCTAATTTAGATTCAAATATTCTTAAATAATTAGACTTGTTCAAAGCTCCCAAATGTAAATTATCTAATGCTATTAAAGTAGCTGCCCTTGGTTCATTTCTAAACAAAGAAACCTCTCCAAAACAATCACCATCTTTCATAGTATTTACTTTCTTATACAAACATATCATTTAACCATTTGGAAGTTTTTAATAATAACGACTTTTAAAAGGAAATAACATAATATCTTCCATGTTTTAATATTCCTTTAATTGATTCTATAGATCTTACATCTGCTTTTACAATTACTTTATATCATCTCTCTTTTTATTATTTGTCAAATCTTCCTTACATTAATTCAATTCTTATAGTATTTGTTTTTGCTTCTGTATTTCTTCATCTCTTAAATATATTATATTCATAAAAATTACTTTTTTGGAACATACACTAACACTGTTCCTTTTAATATCATATAAAAATAATCTCCTCTCTCTCCACAATGAAATACAATATTCCCTTTCTTTACTTACTTATATTCTAAACTACTAATTGTTTCTTCTATGTAATCAAAATATTCTTATTATTGTTCTAGAGCCTTGAAATAACTATATTGATAATATTTAATCATACCCAAACTCTCTTAGAATGTCTTACATATAGATTCTACTAGCTTATTCATTCAGTTATAAATTCTTAGACATGATATCTATTGCCTTTTCAAATGATTCACATGGTAAGTCATATTCTCTCACTAAACTGAGATTTAACGTACTACGACGAACTGGTAAAGGTCCAATAGAAGAATGAACTATTTCGGAATCATTATTATAATTATTCATTTTATTACTACAATCTCGATTAACAATATTCGTTCAGTACTTGCTAATAAGACTTTCTGATGTTTTAATGCTTGGTTCTATAAGTTAAGCTATTTTAGACATTTTCTATGCTTTTTTTGAGTCTTTTATTTTCTTTTGCAATATCATCTGAGAGCTCCGTTTTTTCTTTGCGTTTAATGTATAGCTTTGGTAAACTATATTTAGCATTGCTTATTTTCATAATTGCTTATTAAATCTTTTAATTATTGTAAGCAATGCTTTTATTTTCTTCAATAGCTTCAAAGGTAGAAACTTAATCCTTAATTTTTTTAATTGTCGATACTACATATAACATACAAATTACATTAACGGATTACAGTTATAGAGTCTTCTTCATTTCTATTTTTTCTTCTTTTAATCTATTTAAGTGAGTTAACATGATTAGCGAAATATTAGCGATGAATTGGATCAGGCAATATTGTCAATTTCATTTAAAATATTAATTATTCAATCAATTTCCATATTGCTTTTCAAACTCTAGATGTTTTTCAAATACTTCAATTAATCCAATTTCATTTTCTTAATAGTCTTCAGCTACAGGATCAGCACTTAAAAATATATTTAATATACTTATATTTATCCTATTTCTTGCCTTTCATTTTCTTATCTATTTAAGAAGTTATGATTGAATTACTTAGAGAATTAAGAAATCTTAAATAGTATTAATAAAAAATATTTACTTCTGATCTCTTTTAAAATATTACTCTACTTTTTCATCTCCTTTATTAAGATAGGGTAATTCTTGATTTCTTGTTGTGTTATAATTTGGACTTGAAACCATGAAATTATATGTAAATTTATGATGTAGATTTTATTCTTTAGGAGTCAAGCTAAAATTTTTTACATCTCTTAAATGTCCTTTTGGTCTTTAACGATCATTTAAATGTCCATATACATTTTAGTTATCATTTTTTTCAATGAAATCTGTAAACAACTCTATTAATATATCAATAATAAAATTACTCACCATGTTTTCGTCTAAAATGGCTGGTATTTTACAATGTTCGATATGCTTGTTAAAATGTATGTTCTTCATTTTTCACTTTAGGTGTTTTCACAAAATTAATCTGATTTGTAACTGTACTTTTATATATGTATTAAATTATATACTTCACTAATCTCACATTACGATATCCCTCTTAAGGTAAATTACTAAACTTCTATTCAGAAACATTATAAAAATCATAATTATTTAATGTATTGCTACGTAATGAATCCCATTTGCTCTTTGGTTTTTATTGTCCTTTTAGAAATGGATTGTCATAACTTTCTTTACAAATCAAAGTATTTGCATTTCTAAAATATGATGGTGATTCTAATGAATTTCCAAATGCATATTAAGGCAATATTTTTTTGCCTCTCTTCTCTTTTAATGGCTCTTACAATTAATAGGTATCAGTAAATGTGCTCCTCAAATATTTTGGTAATTCCTTGCTCTCTTGATTTCCTCTATTAGACTAGACTTTTTTTTAAGCGCATTACTCTTAAAAGCAATTAAGGTTATTCTTCTTTGCCTGTAAGCATTTTATATTGGATGGACTTAATATATTTTTTATTATTATATTTTAAAGCTTTATCTTTATTTATATAAGTAGTTGAATTATTTTGACTAATTTAAAAAATGAAAAATCATTAAAAAGATTAGTATTTTTAAACATCAATTGTTTCATTTTTTCATTGTTTATCATTTAATTTTTGATAATCCTATCAATTTCAGATTTTTATAACTTTACAGGAATCAATCCATAGAATAAATAGGATCTTATATAAATGACAATCTATCATCATTATAATTTGAAAAGTGTTTGTCAACATTTTAAGTTGGTTGTCATTATTCATGGGAACGATAATAAAATAGTTATGATGAGATGAAATATAGTAAATTAAGGTATTTAATTCATTTCAAGTTTAAATATAATCTTTATGATGATTTACCCCTTCCTATTTGAAATAAATGTAATGGAAAATAGAACAATATAATCTTTTAACTCCATTATTATTAATAAATATAGATTCATGATTTACCTAATACTGGACTGAACAAATTTTATAACTAATAAATCAGAAATTCATATTAATTTTATTATAGGATGCTATTCAACATAAAGATATTTTACATTGTTCAACCAGATTATTATCGAAGCATATTTTTGACACACACACACACACATACATATATATATTTTTAATTAAAAGAATTATTAATCAATTAAATTTTAAATTTCTATCATATTTATTATTTTTTTCAAAAAAATATTTGTAAAAGAAAAATAAATAAAAAATGATAATGTCTTTCTTTTTTGTTTACAATGCTATTTAAGTATTGTAAACAAAATTAATTTCTAACATCTTTTCACTAACTTTTAGTAATTTTTATATAATCAATAAAAATTAATATTAATCTGTGAAAGAGTCAAAAATTAACAAATAAAATTATTTAATAATCTCATTTTTCCCTCAATCGTATTTAATCACATAAAATATAAATTTTATTAGGTCTATTGTGATATCTCAAAAACTTTATATATATTAACATATTTATAATCCAAAAACTCTCAATTTTATATAAACTACAAATATAATTCAAATTTTACAATTATCCATTATACTAAACAGAAAATTTATAGAACTAAAAATCATCAATTCATGTTTATTTTACTTCATTCTAAATTTAATAACTAAATTATTAATTATGAATATTCATCAGAAAATCTTTAAATTTTGTAATATAGAAATAATTCACAATAAGACTCTAAACTTATTCAGAAATTTAAAACCACTAAATAGAAAAGAGAGAAACATCAAAATTGCATAATCTTATCATTAGAATAAATAATTGCTACTTTTATCAGTAGATTGACTATTATAATTAATTAATTATTTCCAAAGGAATATATGGAGACAAATCAAGAAATCATACTTCTTAAAGAGTCTTTTTTAGAATTTATCAGCAAAGTGTTACCAATTTTACCAGGATAGGTATTGGAATTATTTAACTCTAAATGGATTCCCTTAAAAAAATTACTATCTGATCCATAGAAAAATGCTAGTGAGATATTCATTCTAGTTTCATCAATGTCTTAGCTTAAAAAAAGCAATTCTTCTTTTATTTCAACCAATTCCCCAAATTCTGATTGTAGCATCTAAAATAAATAGATAGTAGTTGGTTAGTCAGTCAAGAGCAAAGAATTAATAGATTTAAAAAAAGAAATAACAAAAGTAAAAGAATAAGCAAATCCTTTGTATTATAAGGAATTAAAAATTGGTATTAATATCTTATAGAGTCAACATTAGAAATAAACAAGAACTTTTTCCTCAACACACCAAGAGCAAGACCAACTTCTTAATAGGATTTAGAATGCACTAGCAATATATAAGGATATGAAGAAGATATTAAAGCAAAAATTCTTAGAGATGATATCAAATGTAAATTGTTAGTTTATTATCTTTCAATTTAGTTTTGAATGAATTAAGAAATGCTACACCTGAAAAGAGAATTCCAGTAAGTATTACCTTAAATCTGGACTCTAAGATTTAAAATGCTATTTTATAATTTAAGAAAAATAATTCAATTCTAAAGACTGTTCACGAAAGAAGCTCAGAAGTTACAACACCTTAGAGTCCAAAAAATATTAATTATGAATCCCCTCTAATTTATTTACAGAAACCTATGTATTAATACATTCAAAATCCAATCATAAAAGAATAAATAAATAATGGAGGATTAAAAGGATATAGCATTTATTCAAAAAATGGTATTGTTTAACCTATTTAATTTGATAATCAATTTCAAATGATAGTGCAGCAATATAAAAATAATTTCATCTATAAAAAGTTATATTTTTGATNCTACAAATATAATTCAAATTTTACAATTATCCATTATACTAAACAGAAAATTTATAGAACTAAAAATCATCAATTCATGTTTATTTTACTTCATTCTAAATTTAATAACTAAATTATTAATTATGAATATTCATCAGAAAATCTTTAAATTTTGTAATATAGAAATAATTCACAATAAGACTCTAAACTTATTCAGAAATTTAAAACCACTAAATAGAAAAGAGAGAAACATCAAAATTGCATAATCTTATCATTAGAATAAATAATTGCTACTTTTATCAGTAGATTGACTATTATAATTAATTAATTATTTCCAAAGGAATATATGGAGACAAATCAAGAAATCATACTTCTTAAAGAGTCTTTTTTAGAATTTATCAGCAAAGTGTTACCAATTTTACCAGGATAGGTATTGGAATTATTTAACTCTAAATGGATTCCCTTAAAAAAATTACTATCTGATCCATAGAAAAATGCTAGTGAGATATTCATTCTAGTTTCATCAATGTCTTAGCTTAAAAAAAGCAATTCTTCTTTTATTTCAACCAATTCCCCAAATTCTGATTGTAGCATCTAAAATAAATAGATAGTAGTTGGTTAGTCAGTCAAGAGCAAAGAATTAATAGATTTAAAAAAAGAAATAACAAAAGTAAAAGAATAAGCAAATCCTTTGTATTATAAGGAATTAAAAATTGGTATTAATATCTTATAGAGTCAACATTAGAAATAAACAAGAACTTTTTCCTCAACACACCAAGAGCAAGACCAACTTCTTAATAGGATTTAGAATGCACTAGCAATATATAAGGATATGAAGAAGATATTAAAGCAAAAATTCTTAGAGATGATATCAAATGTAAATTGTTAGTTTATTATCTTTCAATTTAGTTTTGAATGAATTAAGAAATGCTACACCTGAAAAGAGAATTCCAGTAAGTATTACCTTAAATCTGGACTCTAAGATTTAAAATGCTATTTTATAATTTAAGAAAAATAATTCAATTCTAAAGACTGTTCACGAAAGAAGCTCAGAAGTTACAACACCTTAGAGTCCAAAAAATATTAATTATGAATCCCCTCTAATTTATTTACAGAAACCTATGTATTAATACATTCAAAATCCAATCATAAAAGAATAAATAAATAATGGAGGATTAAAAGGATATAGCATTTATTCAAAAAATGGTATTGTTTAACCTATTTAATTTGATAATCAATTTCAAATGATAGTGCAGCAATATAAAAATAATTTCATCTATAAAAAGTTATATTTTTGATGGGAATAGTGATAATTGCAGGATAAGTGTAATTAATTTAAATTAAAGAAGCAATAAATTATTTATTCAAGATTATTCTAATAATGAACGAAGCAAATCAATCTCATTTTACAAAGCCTCTTTTTTTTTATTCCATTTAATTTCTTTATTACGATATCTTGTAATCAATTTGGTTGTTCTTACATATATTTCCTTCAATTCTTATTCCTTAACTTCACCAATATATTCATACTTATTGTGCTAAGTCTTAGGTATTCAACATTTCAAATAACCATCTTTCTCTTTCAAATTTAGTCATTTCAACAGGTAATTTGTGTGATCGTTATGATAATTTTCTTTGCAATGAATAATAATCCAAACTTGAACATGGTTTTTGTTAAGATGTGACCTTACTATTTTTCTCTGATAAAATATTTAATAGTTTCTATTTCATATCAGTTTAGCTTTATATTTTAGTATTCGAATTTGACATTAATTAAAATAACAAAGTGATATTTTAAAATATAAAATTAAAATTCCAAAATACATATAAAAGATAAATGTTAAGAATAAAGATCTCATAAAATGATGATATGATTTAAGATTAGATTATTTATTTGTTTGAATAATGTAATGTATTTTACTTATCATAATCTTCTTCCTCTTCTACCACCTGGTCTTCTAGTTGAATCTGTTGGAATTGGTGTGACATCTTCAATTCTACCAATTTTTAATCCCAAACGAGCAAGAGCTCTAAGAGCAGCTTAAGCTCCTGGTCCTGGTTATCTTGTATCAACACCTATTTATTTATTTAATTTATAATATTACCTCCTCTGGCTCTCAATTTAATATGTAAAGCATTTATTTTAAGTGTTTTCAATTTCTCATAAACATCTTTTGCTGCTTGCATTGCTGCATATGGTGATGATTCTTCTCTATCTGATTTGACTTTCATTCCCCCTGTTACTCTTGCTAATGTTTCTCTACCTGTCAAATCTGTTATATGGATAAAGGTATCATTCCAAGTTGAAAGAATATGAGCAACTCCAAAAACTAATTCATTTCCAGCAACATTTGGTCCTAATGTAGCAACAACTTCTTTTGGTTAATCATCTCCTTAATTCTTTTTTCCTTTCTTTCCCTTTGTTTATTATACTGCAGATTATTCTTTATTGTCAGCCTAAATTAAATTCCTTAACATACCATTTCACCNTAAATAAATAATGGAGGATTAAAAGGATATAGCATTTATTCAAAAAATGGTATTGTTTAACCTATTTAATTTGATAATCAATTTCAAATGATAGTGCAGCAATATAAAAATAATTTCATCTATAAAAAGTTATATTTTTGATGGGAATAGTGATAATTGCAGGATAAGTGTAATTAATTTAAATTAAAGAAGCAATAAATTATTTATTCAAGATTATTCTAATAATGAACGAAGCAAATCAATCTCATTTTACAAAGCCTCTTTTTTTTTATTCCATTTAATTTCTTTATTACGATATCTTGTAATCAATTTGGTTGTTCTTACATATATTTCCTTCAATTCTTATTCCTTAACTTCACCAATATATTCATACTTATTGTGCTAAGTCTTAGGTATTCAACATTTCAAATAACCATCTTTCTCTTTCAAATTTAGTCATTTCAACAGGTAATTTGTGTGATCGTTATGATAATTTTCTTTGCAATGAATAATAATCCAAACTTGAACATGGTTTTTGTTAAGATGTGACCTTACTATTTTTCTCTGATAAAATATTTAATAGTTTCTATTTCATATCAGTTTAGCTTTATATTTTAGTATTCGAATTTGACATTAATTAAAATAACAAAGTGATATTTTAAAATATAAAATTAAAATTCCAAGAACATATATAAAAGATAAATGTTAAGAATAAAGATCTCAGCAAATAATGATTTGATTTAAGATTAGATTATTTATTTGTTGAATAATGTAATGTATTTTACTTATCATAATCTTCTTCCTCTTCTACCACCTGGTCTTCTAGTTGAATCTGTTGGTATTGGTGTGACATCTTCAATTCTACCAATTTTTAATCCCAAACGAGCAAGAGCTCTAAGAGCAGCTTAAGCTCCTGGTCCTGGTTATCTTGTATCAACACCTATTTATTTATTTAATTTATAATATTACCTCCTCTGGCTCTCAATTTAATATGTAAAGCATTTATTTTAAGTGTTTTCAATTTCTCATAAACATCTTTTGCTGCTTGCATTGCTGCATATGGTGATGATTCTTCTCTGTCTGATTTGACTTTCATTCCTCCTGTTACTCTTGCTAGTGTTTCTCTACCTGTCAAATCTGTTATATGGATAAAGGTATCATTCCAAGTTGAAAGAATATGAGCAACTCCAAAAACTAATTCATTTCCAGCAACATTTGGTCCTAATGTAGCAACAACTTCTTTTGGTTAATCATCTCCTTAATTCTTTTTTCCTTTCTTTCCCTTTGTTTATTATACTGCAGATTATTCTTTATTGTCAGCCTAAATTAAATTCCTTAACATACCATTTCACCTAAAAAAAATTTAAATCTTTTTTAATATAAAAAAATAGAAATCAAACTTTAATATGTAGGAAATTATATAGATAAATATATTGTACTATGTAATTGCTTAAAACATCATTCAGCTGCTAATTTGTTTTAGGTTTTCTTTACTCTTTAGGCTTTATTCTTTTCTCTTCTATCATTTTACTCCTTCTCTATTTTATCGACTCTAACTTTTTCTTATTTTGTTTCATGTATTGCTTCAATAAGCACTTTCTTGTTTTTATATTGATTACCTTTTGAGGCCAAATAGAATTCATGATATCTATCAAAAATATTGAATTAAACCATTACTATTATCTATCAATTTTTTTGGCAGCTCTATATTTTCTTAATAATCTTCTTAAAACTCTTTATCTACGAATCCAAAGTACTTTAGTTGGCATTCTAGCCTCTCTTGTACCTCTTCTTTTACCAGTACCAGTGTGTCTGCCTAAAATATAAATAGAAAACTTAAATACCTCTTCTTTTGGCTTCTAAGAATCTTCTTGCTCTTGCTCTTGAATGTATTGTTCTTAATCTTCTCATAATAAGACCATCCTTAATTAATTTTCTTATTGACATTCTTGAATTTGCAAGACTAATTTCACTAGCTTCATTTGGATCCAACCAAACTCTATTAACACCTACTTTCAACTATGTGGCTGCCAATCTTTTCTAGAGACGGAGATTAACCATTAAAAAATTAATATCTAAATATTTAAATTTTTATATATTAAATATGGGTACTTGTGGAGGAAAGAATAAAAATAAAACTAAATAATAGCTAGTATAAATTTTTACTTATACAGACTACCATTACTCAATAAACGAACCCTAGAAATGATGAAAAACAAACAACTTAATAGAATTAAAATAATGAATAAAAACTTAAAGGTGCCAATGATTAAGAATAAATTTAGCCATAACAAGTTTAAAATTAAGAGAAACCATAAGAAGTTTTAAATTAAGAGAAACCATTAGAAGTTCAAAGTCTACTTCCATAATAAAATTAAGAATAATTTAAGAAATTAAGCGAAGCTTTTGGGAACAAAAATCCACCATCTGAAATACCTGCTTCATTAATTGTGATTTCTAAATAGAAATATTAAGAAGAAGATCCTGCTCAACATCATTTGGAAGTATTAGATTATTTTGAAATAGTGCCTAAAAAATTAAAATGAAGAAGGCTAGTATACTCTAAAAATAGGTGTGCCTGTTAAATCAGAAAATAAATTTAAAGTTGAAATTGAAGGTTCATATTAATATTAATAAAATAAATGATAAAATCCAGATTTTTTTTTTCATACTAAGCAAAAGGAGTATTTAAGAGAAAAAATCAAAATTTTAGAAGAGAAGATTTTGTGGTTAAAGTATAAAATGAAGATGTTCATTCAAAAAGATTGGCTTCAGCATTAAATTTTGATGAAAATTAGAGTGATCAAAATTCGATTTAAACATAATCTAATTTTTCTTTTAGACAATCTAACTTATAAAGGTTAGATTTATCTGATTTATATCGAGTTGATTTTGATAATAATGATAAAATCCTTATAGTTCCTACTTTAATTGAACCCTTAGAAGAAATAGTCAAAAACCCAGGAATTTATCCAATATCTGAATTCAAAAATCACCACAATTATAATTACTTAAAAGAAATATAGAGAGAGGCTTAAATGAATAAGTTTGATACTTATCTACCACCTTCTAAAGATGTAACCCTTTAATAATTTGCCAAAACTCTAAACTTAAAATATTGGTAATTCCTATTTTTATTTTAGTGTTTCCACAAGTACATTTTCTAATGTACTCAGTTAAGTTTTTTATTTATTAAGTGGTTTTAATGGCCCTGATTTTAGCAGTGTTTTTGAATCTTTCCCTGATGAACCAAGAAAATTTATGATTTCATAAAGAAAACCAACATCAGCATTATTACATAGAGTTGATGAAAATATGTATGCTTTAGATGGTGATCCTGGAATCTTTGAAGAAGAAATTATTGAACTCTTAATGAGTGGTAAAATTGTGGAGAGACAATTAACTTAAGAAAAAGATGAATTTGAAAATAGATAAATAAAATTAGATTCTTAAATGCCAGTTATAGAAGACTTTCATAGATTTATGGAATTAAATAATGAAATGTGTTTAAGATCTTAAATTGATTGCAGGAATAGATCTGATAATCCTTTTGTTTTTGAAATTAAAGCTAGAGGTGCATGTCCAATTAGATATGATTATCCTAACTATAGAGATTATTTAGATTATGAAATCAATTAATATAAAGGATTATTTTAATCTTTTGAAAGAGAATATTATGATTTAATTAGAGGAGCTTTCTTAAAATGGGCGATCTAATTAAAAATTGGTAGAATGGATGGAGCTTTTGTAGCATATCATAATCTACTTGAAATACAAGGTTTTGAATATATTAAATCATCTGAAATATATAAAAGAGTCTTTGGAACTGAAGAATTTAGTGATCTAAGTTTATTAGTTGGATCAAGAATTGCTACTAAAATGTTTGATGAAATTATTGCAGATATTAATGAAGATTTTGAAACTTTAAAAATTGGTATTTATTCATAAAGTTTTACTAAAAAAATTAATTTTATTTGTAGAAATCATCAAAGATAAAACAGAATTTTAAAAAGTATTTAAGTAAGAAAATTTAAAAGATGAATATGACTATTATACTAAGCATCCTTTAAAAAATAAAGTTCTCAAATACGAATTCTTGTTAAAACCTGAATTCAATGGAGTAGAATATACCTATCCAACAATATTTAGAAAAAATGATTTAATTTCTATTCAATATAAATTAAGAAGTTTGGGATAAGCAGATTTTGGAGACTATATGAATTTTCTTCATGATTGTTATAAACACGAAGAAATTAATATAGAAATTAACTATTCTGGAGCATGGTAAAAATAAATGTGAATAATTATAATAATCTCATAAAGATGTCTTATTTATATATTATATTCCATCTTTTATAAAGCTTAAATTATTTTTCCATTTATATTCAAAGTTTTAATTAAATCTTTGTATAAATTACTACTAATTCATATGAGAAACAGCTTAATTTAAGTTTCCTATTAAACATAAACTTTTAAAAATACACTACCTTTCTAAAATTTCATTGTGAAACCAATATCTTTCTATCATACCATTAAGGTTTAGATCTATTTATATCTTAAATCCAGAGTTTTTGTTTTGTAAGTCAAAGATTACTAAAATAAACACAGATTTAATCAAATAAATTGATATCAAATTTTGTAAAAGAAAACCAATAAACCTCATATTTTTTGATTATGATTGATTCAATGTGAAGTAGCAAAATATCATTTTAAAATGAATTTTTGTCAGCCAACAAAAATACATATTTAAAAGTTTATAATTGAAAAATAAATCTCTATAATATTGAAAAATACTTTCCAAAATTAAGAGGATTGTTATTTTAAACAAAAATATCTGATTATCAAAAAGTCAATTTTTAATAAGATAACTAGTTTTCACTAAAAAGTAATGTTAATATCTAGAAGTGATCATTTTGATGATATATGATAATTATATAAATAATAAAAAATAGTTTAGAAAATAAGGAATATAGTATAATTTTTCATTTAATTTACTAATTTGAATGTTATATTCTAAATATTGTTAGTCAGATTTTGATGGTTATGAGAAAATAAAAGAATTGGGAAATGGAGCTTATGGGAAAGTATATTTAGTTAAAAAGGATGGGGAGTTATTTGCTTTAAAAACTGTATATATAAGAGTAACATAGAGGTGCCTAAGGGAATATTTAATGATATAAGTGAATAGTAATTATAGAAGGAGATTCATATTCATAAAAAGCTAGTTCATGGAAACATTATAAAGCTACATTCTTATTATTAAGATAGATAACATGTTCATTTGTTGATGGAATATGCAGAGGGTGGTTCTTTATATTAGAAAAATTTAACATTGGATGAAGTTCAAGATTATTTTAGTTAGATATGTAATGGAATATATTACTTACACTCAAATAATATAATCCATCGAGATTTGAAAGTAATATATATAGGATTAAATGAAAGCCTGAGAATATTTTATTAAAGAAGAATGTAATAAAGTTATGTGATTTTGGATGGTCAGCAGAGGTTGGTTATAATAAATAGAGAGATACTTTATGTGGGACTGTAGATTATATGGCTCCAGAAGTTACTTAAGGGAAATATTCTTTCAAAGTAGATACATGGTCACTGGGAATAATTCTTTATGAGTTAATTCATCATTAGATTCCAACCAATCCAAGAAAATATAATTGTCCGGAATTAGTTTAAGATTTAATAGAGAAATTATTAGTAGCTTAAGATGAAAGACTTAGTATAAGTTAAGTATTATAGCATCCTTTTGTAAAAAAAGGATAAGAATGCAGAGAATCAATTTAGAGTGTGAATTCTATAAATTTTAGTAAATATTAAGTGGAAGGATTAGAATTATTTAATGAATTAGATGTATATTTGGAGTAATAAGATAGAGCAATAATCAGAATGACAGATATTTTTAAACCTAGATAATCAAAAAAGGTTCCTGAATAACAAGTAACAGAATAACCTTCTAAAAAGACTTTATTTAATACAATATTAGATACTTTAGGATGTATGAATAGAAGTAAAAAATAATCATCAGGATGAGAATAAAATTAAATTATATTAATGATAAATAATTCATTTCGTAAAACCCTTGCTGGATATCTAAATCCATTTTGTTGGCTTACAACATGTTATAAAATATCAGCATCACTACATACAGAATCGATTTCTCCAAAAGTAAGAATCATGCGGCCATCCAAATAAAAGTTTGTAATTTCTACCAAAGAATTTGTTAAGCATTGTTAACAGCTTCAGTAAGAAGAATTATCTGATATCATAAAACAAATAAAATTGATTCCTAATCAATCTCCTGATGAAATTTAGGAGTTTATTAATTCAATATAAATAGAAGGAGAAATTAAGAATATTGTTAAGAATTTTGAATTTTTACCTGCAGAATATTAATCAATTTTAATCTCTAAAAAAATAACATCACCTACATCTATTTAATAAGCTATAATACCTTTAATTTTAGAAGGAAGAGATGTTATTGCAATTGCTGAAACTGGATCTGGCAAAACTTTAGCATATGCTTTACCAGGATTAATTCATGCTTAAGCTCAACCAAAAGTAAAAGGTCCTAGAATTTTAGTACTTGCTCCAACAAGAGAATTAGCCTAATAGATCTAATCTTAATATGAACTTTTTACAAGAACATGTTGTGTTTATGGAGGAGTTTACAAAAATCATTAATATGGTGATATCTTAGGAATGAAAGAATCAAGAAATAATATTTAATTTCCAAAAGTAATAATTGGAACTCCTGGTAGATTATTAGATTTTATGAATGATGGATATCCTTTAAAGACAATTACTTAAGTTGTTTTAGATGAAGCTGATAGAATGTTAGATATGGGATTTGAAGATTAAATTTAATAAATCTTAATGAATGTTAGAGAAGACAGATAAACTTTATTTTTTAGTGCAACTTGGCCAAAAGAAGTATAAATGTTAGCTAATTCATTATGCATTTAGGATCCTGTAATCTTATAGCTTGGAGAATAAGGATTAAGTGTTAATAGAAATATTCAACAAGAAATCATAATTATTTATGATAATAAATTTGAACAATTTGTAGAATTAATCGAAAAATTTAAAGAATAAAAAATACTTATTTTTTGTTAAAAAAAACTAGATACTTAGAAATTGGAATATCGATTATCATAACATGGATTGAAAGCTAGATATTTGCATGGAGATTTGAAATAAATTGAAAGAGACTATATTCTTGAAGATTTTAGTACAGGCAAAATTAATTGTTTAATTGCAACAGATTTAGCATCTAGAGGCTTAGATATTTCCAATGTAGATATTGTTGTAAGTCTTTTTATTTCATATTAGGTTAATTATGATTTCCCTTCTAAGATTTAAGACTATATTCATAGAATTGGTAGAACTGCTAGAGCTGGAAATAAAGGATTAGCTATTAGTTTTTTAGAACCTACCCTCATTAACAACAGACTTAAAAACGATTTAATTTAAGTTCTTCAATAATCTGATTAAGTTATTCCTTAAGAATTATTAAATTTAAGGTTATGATATATTGTGATTATTGTTTATATTTTTATGTAAACCTATTCTATATTATCTTCTCCAAAAATAGAATAAAATTGATATTATTATCTATTTTATGTACTAGAATCAACCTATCCAGTTTATATCATGGTTCCTTATTATATTCCTTAATAAGTTCCGATTAGTTAAAGTATATAGTTTTATTTAAAATTTTTAGAATTGCCAGATCATGCTTCTAAATAAGTAAGAGACAGCTATGTCAAATTAAATCGATCCAACTATCAATCATCAAAAATGGACTGATTAAGAAGATCAAATGATCCTTAAAAATGGTCGAGGCAATCATTTTTTAAATGTTTAATAATAGATTTTAGAATGTTTTATTTAATTTTGGAAAATCAAGTAAAAAATAGATTTTATTATACAATCTTAAAAAAATATCAAGGAGAAGGACATCCATATCAAAAAGTTCAATAATGATCTAAATTGTTTTTAATTTTTGTAATTTATGAATTCCTTAAATATAATTAATTTTTTATTTTATTATATTTTATATTATATAATGAATATTAATTTTTTCTTTCTTATTATTTTGACATATTTCCAATTATTATTAAAAACATAATAATTAAAACTTTGATCATTATTTTAATAATTATTATGAATAATTTTTCTAAATATGATTATATTATATCAAGCTTAATTCTTATAAAGCTACTCTATTTGACTGGCAAAAACTTGTTTGGCATGATGTCTTTGTAATTTAAGGGTTGAGGTTAAACATCCAAAAGTCTATAATGATTAAGGTTCTAGATATATAAGCTTAGCCTAATAAAGTATTTAATAAAATAATACAATTTCTAATGAATTTAATTTATTAGCTCTTCCATACTCATTAATATTTTTTAAGAAAAGGTTAATGATATCTTTGTTTTTACACAATTACTCGAAATCACCTTAAATTTATTTTTCAGCTGCATATTTTTCAACAAATTCCTTTTAAGGAACAATGATAGCCACAATTTAACTTTTAAGTGAATCACCATATATGAATGTTTCAGCAACACCTTAAACTCTATTATAAATGGCTTCAATTTTTTCAGGAGCAATGTATTCACCTTATTATAATTTAAATATGTTTTTCTTTCTATCAATAATTTTGACTCCTCCTTTTTCAGTAATAAGGCCAATATCTCCAGTATGCAACCATCCAGCAGCATCAATAGCTTCTGCAGTTTTTTCAGGATCTTTGTAATATCCTTTGAAAACTCCTGGTCCTCTTAAACAAATTTCTCCTCTAGGTGTTTTTACTCCATCAATAACATCTAAAGATGTGTAATTCATATCTGGAACATCTACTAATTTAAATTCTGTATTAGCAGCAGGTCCCCCAAGATGAGCAGACTTTGGATCCCAGGCAGCTGTTGAAAAAGATAAGGCTGTAGATTCTGTTTAACCATATCCTTCAAGAATAGGACAACAAGCAGCTATTTTGAGAAAATCAATAACTTCTTATTGGATAGGGGCAGAACCAGTAACCATTAATCTACATCTACCTCCAAATAAATCTCTGACTCCTTAAAAGGCTTTATCATATAAACCACTAGTATATTTAGCATCTGATCTTAAATTTTCTAGTTTCACTCTAATAGCTCTTTCAGCAAATGATTTTTTAAAGCCAGTTACTTCATTAATTTTTGCTTTAATGCCATCATAAAATTTATTATATAATCGAGGAACCGAAGCAAAAATTGTTGGTCTTAATTTTTAAATGTCTTCCTTTAATAAATTGGGATCACCTCGATAGAAACTATTTATTAATGATGAAATTACCCTATAGAAGCACCAGTGAAGAGCATAGTAAGTATAATCAATCTCTCCATTACATGAGGTAATGGCAAATATGATATATGAACGTCATTTGAATTAATTCCGGCATCTGTTTGTTAGGTACTTGCAATTGCAGAGATTAGATTATCATGGGATAGCATAGCTCCTTTAGGATTTCCAGTAGTTCCAGAAGTATAGCATAAAGTAAAGATGGAGGCAGGTAAAACTTAAGTTAATTAAACAACTGATTTTTTTCCATTTTCAACAACATCCTCATATTTGAATAATTGATATCCTTTATTTTTCAAGTCAGATATCTGTTAATCTGAGATAGAATCAAGCAAAACTAAATTTTTCAACTTATATTTTTCTTTGCATTGGAGCAAAGATTTGGTTGCTTCTCCGCTGATAAACATTGTCTCTATATTGGTTTAATCAAGAATAAAAGGAATTGACTCAGGACCAAGTGTATCGTAAAATGGTACCATAGTATAACCGTAGAGCATATTAGCCCAATCTAAGATCATCCATTCTCTTCTATTTTTTGAAAATACTCCTACCAATTTTAATTTGTAGTGTTAGTATTCTTGGACTTCTTTTACTAAACTCAGGTTAGACATTCTAAAGTTAATTTAATTTTTTACCCACTTCCAAGATGCATGGCTTCTTCATTTACTTAATTGTAAGACATAAACTTAAAATTATCTCCTTCATATTTTCCTAAACATGGTTGATTTCCGTATTTAGCAACACTATTTTTCACCATTTCTTATAATGTTGTGATTCCTGGTTATGGAATCATAAGAAACTCATCTTTGAATTTAACATTTCTTCTGACATTAGTTTATCCTTAATTGTTTTCTTAAGGATCAGGCTTTTCTATTGAGTATGCCAAAAATTAATGTGCACTAGATACACCGCAACCCATCAATAATCAATTATAATTAAATTTTATGTAATCTCCAATAGAAATCGATTATTAAATGACCATATTACATCATTAATTAAACTGTTTTTCAATCTAATTAAGTATTATTAAACTTTTTATTTTTAACAATTTGTATAATTTAAAACACACAATGAACATAAATCAATCAACTTCTTCCATTTTTGATTTGGTAGCTTCGGTGTTTGCATCTTCTTTTTTCTAATAAAAATATAAATAATTAATAATACCTCTAATTATGGAAGTTTTTCATCTTCTTCTTCAATTCCAGCATCATCAATAGATAAACCAAGTTTAATCATTTTATGAATTCTATTAGCAAAATGAGTTGGATCATCAAGACTGAATCCAGAAGTAAGTAGTGCAGTTTCATAAAGTAACCAGATAAGATCTTTAACTGTCTTATCACTCTTATCTTTATCTGATTTCTTCTTTAATTCAGTAAGAATAGGATGATTAGCATTGATTTCCAATGTCTTCTTGGACATCATATAGCTACTCATTGATGGATCTCTCAAAGCCTAAGCTTTCATAATTCTTTCCATATTAGCAGACCATCCATATTCACCTGTAACCAATACACATGGTGATTAATCAAGTCTTTATCCTAATTAAACCTTTTCAACCTTATCTCCCAAGATTTCTTTAATCAATTTACATAATCCTTCAAAGGCTGATTTTTATTCTTCAAATTTCTTCTTTTCATCTTCAGTTTAATCTAAGTCTAAACCTTCCTTGGTACAATTCTTTAATTTCTTTCCATCAAATTCTTTTAATTATTAGATCACATATTCATCAATTGGATCAATCATATAAAGTACTTCATAATCCTTCTTCTTTAAAGCTTCAACAAATGGTGATGCAGCAACAGAAGCTTTAGATTCACCTGTAATAAAGAAGATATCTTTTTAACCTTCTTTCATTTTTCCAACATAATCTTTAAGTGAAATCAATTCTTCACCACTCTTTGATGTGTGGAATCTAAGGAATTCACTCAATTTTGTTCTATTGGCTGAATCTTCATGAATACCTAATTTAAGATTCTTTGAGAATTATTCATAGAATTTCTTATAATCTTCAGCATTTTCACTTATTTCTTAGAACATCTCAATACATTTCTTTGTGATATTCTTCTTGATAACTTTCAAGATTTTATTGTGTTATAAGAATTCTCTTGAAATATTCAAAGGTAAATCTTCAGAATCAACAACTCCCTTGACAAATCCTAAATATTCAGGGATTAATTCTTCACAATCATCCATAATAAATACTCTTCTAACATATAATTTAATGTTATTCTTCTTTTTCTTTGTTTCAAACAAATCAAATGGTGCTCTCTTAGGAATGAAGAGAACAGCCTTGAATTCCAAACCTCCTTCAACTGAGAATTATTTAACTGACAAATGTTCTTCCCAATCATTAGTTAATTGTTTATAGAAATTAGCATATTCTTCCTTAGTAATTTCTTCTGGTTTCTTCATCCATAATGGTTTATTCTTATTAACTTATTCAAATTCAGTACTAACTTCCTTAATCTTCTTCTTCTTCTTTTCTGCCTTGTCTTTCTCTTCTTAGACTTCACCTTCTTCAGCTTTCTTTTCTTTGTTTTCATCTTCATCATCACTTACTTCTTTTTCAGTTGTTTTTTCAATTTATAATTCAATTGGGAATCCAATAAATTCTGAATGTTTCTTAACTAAATCCTTAATTCTCTTTTCTTCCAAGAATTCTAAGTTATCTTACTTCATATGTAAAATGATTGTTGAACCTCTTGTCAATTAAACTGGGTTCTCAGTATCATCATAAACAAAGAATGTTCCACCAGCTTATGATTCCCATCTATACTATTATTCACCTACAGCTTTTGAGATCACTACAACCTTATCAGCAACCAAGTAAGCAGAATAGAAACCAACACCAAATTGTCCAATCATAGAAATATCTGCTCCTGAACTCAAAGCTTCCATGAAAGCCTTGGTACCTGATTTTGCTATTGTACCCAAGTTATTGATCATTTCATCTCTTGTCATACCAATACCTGTATCCTAAATTGTTAATGTATTGCTATTCTTGTCTGGGATAATCTTAATCTTAAAGTTTGGCTCAATGTTCAAACCAGCACTGTCTGGATCTGTTATTGACTTATATCTAATCTTATCTAAAGCATCTGAAGCATTTGAGATCAATTCTCTTAAGAAAATCTCCTTATTTGAATAGAATGTATTGATAATTAAACCCATCAATTATTGGATATCTGCATTGAAGTGGAATTACTCTTCTTTCTTTTACTCTGTTGACATTACTTAATTTTAAACTTAAAAATATCCATCTATAGAACTCGATTTTATACACAATTTCTAATTCTAGAAAATTCTATTTTTATATTAAAATGCAATTCTATAAGCAAATAATACTTATTTTATTCCATTTCTAAATTTACTAATTCTTTTTATTAAACTCTCATCATATCCTTTTTTTTAAATATAGATTTCACTTTTAACTACGTTTTTTATTTCATCTCTCATTTTAAGCTCAATTTTCGTTCTAAATCTCTTATCACTAACCCATACATTTTTCATGCTTTACTTTCTAATTGTACATTTATTCGAAGATATTATAAAATTTAAATAAGTACTATTTTACATATTTATAAATTAATTTTCAGTTTTATTATTAGATATATTAAAATAATTCAACGCAAAAAAAAGGAATTTAAAAAATAGCAGAATCCTGATCCCAAAAAATAAGTCATTGCTTGAAAATACAAAAAAATATAAAATTATTCATATTTGGAAGAGAAAATCTAAAGATTTTCAATTTATTAAAATAAATGTTAAATTTCAAATTAACTTTTATTTTTTTTTATGATGAAATCTTTTGAAGTTTATATAAAATATTATTTTAAATTGATTCTGTTAAGGATAATAAAAGATATTCTATATTTAAGGTCAAGATGTAGTCATGCTTTTTACCTCTAATACTTATTGGATATATGAGAGATATCAGGATAAAGAAAGTAATATTAGAAAAATTATCTTTGTAAGAATAGATTTATATAAGAGAATTAATAAAGATAAATTAAATAATATTGAGAATTAGATTATTTTATTATTGGATAAATCGATAGACGCAAATTTAGTAAAATTATTATGTAGAATAATCATAGTGATTTGATGAGATACATGTTTTTATTAGGTTTAGTTAATTATAAATGATAGAGGAATTGCTAATAAAAATGTGCCTAAATAATTAATAAAAAGATTTAAATAAAAAATCAAATTTTTATCAGGAATGGCAGCAAATAAGTTCTGGAAAAAAACCGAAGTAAGAGTGTATTTTCAATAATGAGTTATCAAATTTGGAATAATAAGTTGGTGTTGCATTGACCTAAATCGAGTAATCAGTCGCAGAAGCCAAGAATCTTAAGGTTTCATCAGTTGTCGATTATACAGCAAAAATCAATGCTAAGAAATAAGTTTATTTAGTATTCATCCCCCATCCATGTTTATCAATCTACAATAAAGTGAGGTATTGAATTGTGTAAATTGCTTAGCTCAAAATTATTACCTGAATTAGAAAAGAGATTGAAGGCAACAATATTAGTTGTTGCAAAGAGAACAATTGAAAGTAAATGGGTTAAAAGTCACAGATCACAAACAAGACCAAATTCAAGAACACTCACATCTGTCTATGATGGACTTCTTGATGATCTTGTTGCACCATCAACTATTTTAGGAAGAAGAACAAGAGTTAGAGTTGATGGCACTAAATTCTATAGAATGTATAATTTAATATTAATTATTAGTTTTTTGGATGATTAAGATAAAAATGAGGTCGAACCAAGACTTGATGCAATTAAAGCTGTCTATAAATTATTAACAACAAGAGAATTAGAATTTGAATTCAGAAGAGATGATGTCTTCTACTCAAAAAGAGGAGGAGCCAAGAAAACAACAAAAAAATGATGAGCAATAATATTTTAGTACAATATAATCAATACATGAAATAAACACTAATTTTCTTCTTTTAAATAATTCATTATTTTATTATACATAATTTAAGTATAAGTAAATAATCACTATAATATTTATTTTTTAGAATATAATACTCTTCTTAAAGTATCAGAGGTCATTCCTCTCCTTCTAGAATTATTTTAATTTTAATGAAAATCTATTAATTTTGATAATTTAAAGATGGTTTACACCTCAGCTCCCAATTTAAAAATTATTTATTTACTCAAATTACTACAAATAGAAGATTCTTAATCATTCTCAGCTTCTTGTAAAACATCATCATAAGCCTTCGAATTATATTATTTATAAAATACCGAATAAATTTTTGAGTACATCTTTGCATCAGCTTATAGATGGTAATGAATTTTATTTGATGTATCTGACTCCTAAGTTATTTCATCCCTATATTTTATTATTAATATACTGTTTTGTATTGTTGCTTCTTGTTCTTTCTTCAACTATTGTTCTGTTGAATACTTCAGTTGTTTTATCTAGTGATATCAAAGGCTTTGGAGCAAAATTGAACATTAATAATTATTACTCAGAAAAAATTACTTCTTTAAGCTTTTCTAAGTCATTTAATTTTGTTAGTATATTAAATAGATCAATTTAATCACTTATTTGACTACTAATAGTCTAAATTATATAATTTACATTGCTTTATTTATCAATTAAATATGCTTTTTGTTTTTAAATACTTTTTAGCATGTCATGAAATTAATTAACATTTAAAAAGTCATTAAAATTGGTTATGATCTTTGAATTAAATTTTATATTTGTAATTAAAAGTATTCTAAACCATTTGTACAATTTAATTTCAATGCCATTGCTTCCTGTTCATATATAAATTTATTTTTTTTTATGTTATTTTCAACTTATTTTTTTTAAAGATTTTATTATTATAATGAAGGACTTATCTAATCACTAAATTTCAATAGCTCATTTTTTGACTTTTAATTAATTTAACTTGAATGCAAAGGTTATATTTCTAAATCTGCATCAGAATTTCGAGGTTTTTCTGAAAATGGGATTTTATCTTGTTTATTCTATATCATTTAATTCACTAAATTTAGATTATCTTAAAAATATTTTTCTTTTTAAAAAGAAACAAGTGAAAATTCATACAATTTATTTGCTAATTCAACGAGAACTGAAATATAATATATTAAAATACGTTAAAATCTGTTATAAATTGTTAGGATAGCTCCAACAAAAAAAATGAAGATTTATTAAATACCTCCTAAATTAGATAATAACTCATCTATTTTTAAATATTTTCTATAGATTTTTATTTTATAAGGACTTTTCCTTATTTAAATTTGTACAAATGATTATGCTTTATTATTTTATAATTCTGTCCTTTCTTTCATCTCCGTTTGATCTATAGTGTAAATCTTTGAATATTCCAACTAACTTAATGGAAATAGACTTTGATCATTAATAACCTCATATTCTTTTATAAAGAGATCCACAGACTTATATATATTTGAGGGTAGAAATCTAAAAAAAAATGAATCATCTAAAAACGTTTATAAATAATTATCTTCTGGCTTATAGGGATTTAAAATCTATAAGATTATTTATTTGATACTTTATTAATAGGAATTAATTTAATTTTAAAAGCACCATTTTTATCAATCTCTTTTTACAACTCTTCTTTAGAAGCACAGTTAGTTTTGTTAGAACACTCTGACACTTGTATTTTTAAAAATTCAAATTCTAAATCTAGAGGAGTTATTTATTTTTTATACTTGAATACGATCCTTATATTGAAAATGATTGGTTAAAGCTATAAATATTATTAAAACCACTTACTCAAAGCACAAAAAGTCATGTAATTTAAATTAATTGAATTAGTCTGTCATGTCTCTTCCAAATTAAGAAAATATTTTATTAAAACGATCTAAAGTACAAGGTATCAACTTAATTTCTTTTTCTGTTTAAATTGTTGACCCATTCAAAAATTTTTTAATTCTTAACTAATCTATTTTAATGTCATAAAAAGGTTTAGTTAAAAAATTCTCTTAATCAATTTACAAAGCGAATAAAAAGAATGAATCATCAATTAATGACAAAGATGGAATTTCTTCAAATTCAGTCAAAACTGTAGCACTTAAATTTTCTTTGTTTAAAAAGGATGTAATGTTTGATGAGAATATCAAAATTAAAATCATTAACAAAATCAAAGAAGAACAACCTCCAAAAACTGTTTTGTATGAGCTTTATCTATTCATTCGTAATGTGATTTATTATCCAAAAATATCCATTTTTGAAATCCCTAAAATTGATTTAAAGAGAATTACATTTTGAAACTCTTTGCATACTTCCTAATATGAAGGTTTAATTACTTAAATTAATTAACTTTCTATTTGGTTGTTTATATAATTATTTAGAATTCATATGTATATCTAAAGTATTAAATAAGAGAAATAGAACATCTTTAGATGTTATCAGTTTTTTTCAAAACATTTATATGTCAAATCTGTTAAAAATAATTAAAATTTTCTATATATTATAGCATAAGTATAAATCATTCAGTATTCTTTAATTTAATTAATCATAAAGAGATTTAAGATCATATTTTTAGAATTAATTAATAATTCTAAATATTCATATTGATTATTAAATTAATTGATTCTAATAATGTATTATAAATTATATATATTATATTATCATTTTATATTATTAAAATTATTAATGAGAGCAAGGGGTCCTACAAAAGATCAAGAATCAATAGGGAAATCTTTAGATAATAACTCAGTTCATAAAAGAAGATAAGAGTTATGGGAAAAATAAATGGGAACAAATCAGATATGCTAAGGATATGTTTCTAATACTCAAGGAAGTGCTGAGTCAGGAATAAAATAGTTTTTATCATCAATGAGAAAAAATGGAAGTTTTCAATAGATAGAAAGTCAATTTAGACCTAATATAACTGAAAATGAAACTGAAACACCAAATAAATCATAACTGAAGGTGACAGACACTTAATTATTGACTCCTTTACAAAAAAATGGACAAAAAAATTAGACCACTTATGATATATTATCTTAGATTTATGAATTATAAAATAGAAAGAGTAGAAATCAATCTCTTTTGGAGGAATTAATGAGAAAAACCAAATAAGCAAATGATAATTTAACGTTTTAAAGAATCCTATAAAGAAAAAAATATTACAAAAGATCTTAGAGATGTTAGTCAGTGGCTCAAAAAGAATATGAATTAGAATAATTGAAAGGATAATTAATTTAAGTAAAATAAGTTTAAGTTCAATAAATTTAAAAGGAATAAACTCCAAAGTAATAAGAGAAATTAGTTCCATTATTGATTAGAAATGATAAGACTAAGAGTCCACCTTCTAAGGATAATGATAGAAAGAAAGTATAGGTTCCAATATGCAAAGCTAAAAAGATAGTTATTGATGATACTAGATTTTGGGATATAGGATTTACAAAATTTATATAGAATCCAAGTTATTAAGAAATAAATTAAATAATTAATTTTTGTAATGGGATATAAGTAATTCCAGCATTACATTAAAAATATTATAAACTTTTTGTTGGTAGAGGAAATAATCATATGATGATAAAAGGAATATTTAATTTAAGACCATAATGGAGTATAGCAAATTCAATTGATGATGATACAGAAATAAATTTTGTATGGACTTAAAAATTTATAGATTTATAACCTTCAGAAATAAAACCAATCCCTTAAACAATAATTTCAGAGGAAATAAATAATTGGATTGATTCTTAATAAATGAGTTTGATTAAATAAGCTTGGGATAAAATTGAAGGGAAATCAAAAAAAAAATTAAATGATTATAATATAGATAGTCCGCCGATATTAAATAATGTAAATATTAATTTATTAATTAAAGTTATCGAATTAAAAAGAATTAACATAACTAAATCATTAGAATATGAACATTCGCATACATAATCATCTTAAGGGAGGTTATCAATTAGGTGATAAAAAATGGTTGTTTCATAATCTCTCTGAATATTGTTCGGAATAGAGTATTGATGTATGGAATTATATTCCATTAACCTATCATATACATGGTCCAACAGATAGAGAATTTTTTAATTTTTAATAAACATTCTAGCATTTGGCTTAGGATAAAGATATTAAAAATATCTGGATTATAAAACCAGGAGAAGATAGTAATAGAGGCAATGGAATTAAAGGTATGTATTCAAATTATATAAATGAATAGTGACAAATTAAATTTCAGAAATTATCTCACATATTTCTCAATAAGGTCATACTTTTATACTTTAAAAATATATAGAAAATCCATTCTTATATCAAAAGAGAAAATTTGATATTAGAGGATATTGCTTAATTACGATTATAAATGGAGTTAAAAGAGGTATCTTATGCTGATAGAAATAGTTTTTTAGTTTATTGGTACAAAAAAGGCTATTTGAGAACATCAAGTAGTTTTTTCACTTTAGAATCTTTAGATAATCAGAAGATACATTTAACTAATGATGCTATCTAAAATAAATTAAATGGATATGGAAAATTTGAAAAAGGAAATAAAGTTTCCTATGATTAATTTTAAGCATATCTAATAGAATAGAACAAGTAAAATAATACCTCGTATAGTTTTGATGAAATATATGCTGATATGAAAGTATATTTATATATAAATAAAATAGGCACTTACTAAATTGGCCACTCAATCCGCTATTGATAAAATAACTAATGAAGATTAAATATTGGGGTTTGAGTTATATGGATTAGATTTTATGATTTCTAATAATTTCAAACCTATGCTTATAGAATTTAATACTAATCCTTGTATAGAGACTGGTTGTCCTGTTTTAACCAGAATTATTACAGGACTTTTAGAAAATCTGATGAGATTCATCATTGATCCTTTGTTTCCGGCAAAAAGAATGGGAAATGATGATTTCATGAATAAAAATGATTTTGAATTGTTATTATCATGTTGAATTATATTATGAAATAGATGTATGTATAACATGAAAATAAATGAATATAAAAGTAAATTTATTTGTTTTACTTTAAGAATTCTAAGTTGAGTTGTAATGGTATAAAAATTTATTGTTATATTAATTTAAATTTCAAATAAATGAATTTCGATAAAAGTCTAAAAAACAAGCAGACTCTTTCTTTCACAGGATTTTCACCATCAAAATCAAATATTAATATTGAGGCATCTCGTAAGAATCTGCAAAGTTCATCCTTTGGATCACCTCATCATGCACAATCACTTGAAGCTTAATTAAAATAAGAATTTGAAGCTTAATATAATGAAAGAATTTTAACAATGCGAAGCTTTTATGATATGAAATATTAAACTCTCTTTGAAACAGTCAAAGAAACTCTTGATAAAGTAGATATTTAAATGTACAAAGTTAGATTATGAATGATGAATTAATTGATACTATGAAACAAGATATCACCTCATAAGAATTTGTATATTAGAGAGTTAGAGAGATGTTTGAAGAAATAATTCTAAGTGAAAGAGAAGTCCTTATAGAAAAGCTATCTTCTTAATATGCATACTTGAAAATGGAATTTGGAAAAATTGAATAAGATAAAAGAAAAGTAATATATTCATCAATTATGTAGTTAGCAATAGAGTTATAAATGATATAGGATGAACAAGCAGATAAAGAAGCACAAGCCTAAAACTAGGTTTAATAAGCTTAAGAACAAATTTCATATTTATAACAGAATAATGATTAGCTGTAATTATTTATATTAAACAAAAAGAAATAACAAAGTTTCTCAATTAGAATTAAAATTATCTTCAGCTAGTTAAACTGCTAAGGAGGTTTAACAACTTTAAACTACAGCTAAAGAATATAATATTCTTAAGGAAGAATATGAATAGTTAGTTTAAACAAATGATAAATTATAATTAATTAATAAACAGCAAGTTTAGGAGATCGAATAATTACATAAAATTAGTGAAAACTTATAGCTAAAAGTATAGTAATTGAATAAAATTTATTAAGAATTAGAAGGAGAAGTTATTTCATATAAAAAAAAATCAACTGATTCAGAAGCTAAAACACAATTTACAATTTCAAATTTATAAAATTAATTAGAAGCTGTTACTTTATAATTTAATTAATAAAAAACAGACTATGAAAAAAGGTTAGAAAAAGAAGCTCAAGCTTTTGAAAATGAAGTCAACAAGCTAAGCTAAAAATTACAAAAGAAAAAGGAAAAATCAACATTTCATAAATCAAATGCTAAGTAGTTATAGATTCGATTAGATTAATTAATAAGAGATCATGCTGAATAGTTATAAAATGAAACATAATAGTTTCAAAGAAAGATTAATGAATTGTAATAACAGAATTAATATCAATTGCAATAAGCTCAAAAATAGATTGATGATTTAAAAGATTCTCATGAAAAAAACATTTATAATATAAGAAACTAATTTGAATAAATCAATAAACAATAATGTGATGATTCAGATAAATAAAAAATTAATTTATTAAATGAATTAGATAGAGTTCAAAGTGAATTAGAATCTGTTGTTTTATAATAATAGTAATAAATTGAAAGCAATTACATCCCTAAAATTTAATATGAATAATAAGTTAAGGAATTACAAAAGAAAATAACTGAGACAAATCAAAAGCTTAGAGAATAGGATGCTTAGATGAAAAAATAATAAGATGAATTTGAAAATTATAAAGAATAATGGAATAGACAATAGAACAAATTACATTTGGATGTTAAAGATAGGAATGAAATTTAGGAATAACTATTAGCTAGAGAAGAAACAATAAATAATCAAAATAAATAAATATTATAATTAACATAATAGGTGAAGATGTTGGAATCCGATTATCAAAGATTATAGGAGAGATCAAAATAATAATTGGAGTATATTGAAGAATTGAAAAACGATGTAAGTAATCGTTAGAGTGAAGTTCTTAAGATTTAAAAATAGTTAAAGTAACAAAAAGATGAACTTATGGAATAATATAGACAATTAGAAGGAGAAAATAAAACAAAAAATGATAAAGTTTAACTATTAAATTCATAATTGGAAAGATTATTAAATGAGTCATCAGAAAATGAAAAATTGTTGAATTATAAAAGCAAAGAATTATAGTAATTAGAAGATGAATTAATGCAATATTAAAATTTTAAAAGAAATGCATAACAATTGTCTGAAGAAAATGAATAATTGAGAGTTTAGATTGATAAGTTGATTAATATCTAGGAGTTACAAGAGTAAAAATAAGATGAAATAAAAAAGTAATTGGAAACTGAATTAAAATAAAAGAATTAATTAATTCTTAACAATGAATCATTGATGTAAAGACATTAAAAATATGTAAAAACGATAAAAGTAAAATATAAAAAAATATTCTAGGAATAAAGAAAGTATATAAAAAGAAGAATTATAAGTGAGCTATAAAAAATAAAATAGGAACATGCAAGTTTAGAATAATATTTAAGATAAATTATGAGAATGAAAAATAATGAAGATAATTTGTTGATTGCATCAATAGTAACAAAAGTAAAAGATTTATGGAACAGAAAAGAAATTTAACATGAAAATGAAATTGTATAAATATAAATGCTATATTAAGTTAAAAATAAGGAATGAAATATTTGATTAGTATAGTGGAAGTGCATCACATTTAAGAACAGCATATGAATAAACATTAGATGAGACTTAAAAATAATTTGAATAATAAATAGAGAATCTAAGAGATGCAAAAGAAAAAATGGAAGATGAAAATAAAGAGTTATTACATGAATTATAAAAAGTTTAAGTGATTTTAGAAGATTAATCAGCTTTGATAACAAATTTAAAAAATGAAAATAAAACATTAAAAAGTAATGGAATGCTCATAGAGAATGAACTATCTACAACTTTGAAAAACATGAATGATGTAAATTAATAATATTATTGTATTTAGATGAAAGATTCTTTTGAAGATTAAATATAAGAATTAACAAAATAATTAAAAAAGTATGAAAGAAAGTAATAACATTAATAAGATTTGAAAGGATAGATTGATAATTTATAAAATGAATTAGAAAAATTAAGAACTCTTAATAGGTCTAATACTTAAGAGACAGAAAATAGAATAGCAAAATTAGTAAAGCAATAACAATCAGAAGTTCAACTATTAGTGAATTAATTTTAAAGAGAATAAATTAAGCTTAGATAAGAGTAATCAGATTTAAAAGATCAAGTATCTTAAAATGAAGAAATTATTCATAAGCTATATTAATCTCTTGATGATGTCAATTAAATTGTGAATTAAAAAGATAAATAATTGTAGAATTTAATTGAGGATATTGAATAAGAAAGAACTTCTGATTAATAAAAAATTACAGATCTTTAAAATAAGTATAATTTTTTAATAAAAATAGATTGAGAAGAGAAGAAGATGAAATTAAAGTAATTAAATAAAAGGGATAGAGAGATATAGAAAAAGTTTAATTATAAATAGCATCAGCCGAATCTGAAATTAGTTAATTTAAGATAGAAAACAAATAACTAAGAATATAATGTGAATAATTGGCAGAGGAATTAGAAAAAAAAACTAAGTAATTTGATTAATTGAATCGTGAATATGAAGATTAAAAAATTATTTAAAATTAAGAAATTGCTGATTTACATAGGTTTTTTTGTATATTTATAATATTTAGATTGCTTAAAATACAAGTGTAAAATGATGACATGTCAAATTATTATAGTGAGAGTAAGGAATTAGCTCAAAGAGTTAAGGAATTATAAAAAATTAATTCATAGTTCTCTGATAGTAATTATCCAAGACGATAGGAATCATCAGTTTAGAAATTTGATAGTTCTAAAAAATTAAATTCAAGTAACAACTTGAAACCTCGCCTAGCTAATTATACTCCCATGACTAAAAAATGAGAATGATGAGGCGATAATTAAATATTTTTAATAAATAATATAAAATTAAATCTGATAATTAAAACATTTTTTTAAGATAATTATTTTTAGAATTAAAAGAAAAAGAAAAAAATTAAAAATAAATATATATAATTATTATTTTATTATAATATTACTAAAATCATATTTTTACTTTAATTTTAGCTTCATATATTAACTTTCGAGAGTATTTCTTAAAAATCATTTATATTGATAAATTAGTTATCATTTATTCTCAGCAAAATTGTAGAATTAGCTTAAAATTGATTTACATTAATTTACCATAAAATATGATGTAAAAGAATAAAAGAAAATACCTATAAGAAATTGATAATTTGTACATGATTTAAATGTGGCGAATAATAAATTAATAAAAGAAAATATCAGATTATATATTTATTTATAATTGTGGAAATATAAATAGGAATTTCAGAACGATTTAAAAATTAATATAAATAATAAATTATTTCTGATGTAGAAAGCAGAGCAAGTTGAAGATAATCAACTTCTGACAAATAAATCTACTGGGAAACCTAATTAACCAATTGAATCTTTAGCTACTTAATAGATGGTTTCATATAAAGAGCTTTATAGATATGCTACTTAGTCAGACAAATTATTAATATTGATTGGGATCATAACATCAGCAGGTAATGGAGTAACAATGCCAATGTTTTCAGTGATATTTGGAGATATGACAGATGCATTTTCTGGTGATGATCCAGATAAAATGGTTAGTGCAGCAGGAGAATGTGCTATGTATATATATAGAATATATAAAAATAGATGGTTTTTAGTTTTAGCAGGATGTTCTTGGTTGTTATCATTTTTAAGTTTTGCTACATTTATGATATCAGGAGAAAGATAAAGTATAAGAATGAGGTAAGAATATTTTGGTGCTATTTTAAAATAAGAAGTGGGTTGGTTTGATTCAATAAATCCAAATGAGTTAAACACAAAAGTAGCAGATGAGACATATGCAGTAGAGGGTGCAATATAAGAGAAAGCAGGAACTTTTATAATGACCTTTGCTACATTTATATGTGGATTTATAATAGGATATTCATAGTATATATAAGATTTAAAATATTTAGTGGTTGGTAATTAGCATTAGTGATAACAGCAGCAATGCCTTGCTTAGCAATTTCAGTAGTAATTATGACAGTAGTAGTGATGAAATCTGTTAAGGCTACATAAGAATGTTATTCTACAGCTGCAGCTGAATCTGAATAAGCTATAAATGCTATTAAAACAGTAAAGATGTTAGATGGAGAAGATTTTGAATGTGAAAAATACTCAAGATAATTAATAGTAGCAGCATAAACTAATGTTAAATTTAGTTTATTTTAAGGTATGGCATTAGGATCAATATTTGCATTTATGATTTGGACTTATGCTTTGGGATTTTATTATGGAGCTAAATTAATATCAGATTAGGAGATGAATTCTAATACAGGAAAGATTTATACAGTTGGTGATGTAATGACAGTTTTCTTTGCTATATTGATGGGTAGCTTTTCAATAGGATAAGCAGGACCCTGTTATTAAGCATTTGCAAAAGGAAAAGTAGCTGGAGCTTAAATATTTCATATCATTGATCGTATTCCAAAAATACTTAATCCTATTAATCCAAAGCCTTTAAACAATTTTAATGGTGAGATTATTATTGATGATGTTGATTTCTTTTATCCAGCTAGACCAGATACATAAATTTTAAATAAATGTTCCTTAAAAATACCAAAAGGTAAAAAAGTAGCACTTGTAGGTGAAAGTGGTTGTGGAAAATCAACAATTTTATAATTAATTGAACGATTCTATGATGTTAATTCAGGTAGAGTTTTAGTTGGTGAAGATAAAATTGATGTTAGAGATTTAGATTTAAAAGATTATAGAACTTAAATAGGTTTAGTTGGTTAAGAACCTATGTTATTTGCTACTAGTATAAGAGACAATTTAATGTATGGTAAAACTGATGCTACTGAATAAGAATTAATTGATGCATTGAAAAAGGTTAATGCTTGGGATTTTGTATCTAAAATGGAAAAAGGACTTGATACTTATGTTGGAATGGGTGGAAGTTAATTAAGTGGTGGCTAAAAATAAAGAATTGCTATAGCAAGAGCTATTCTTAAAAAACCAAAAGTTTTATTATTAGATGAAGCAACAAGTGCATTAGACAGAACTAATGAAAAATTAATCTAAGAAACACTTGATGAAGTTTCATAAGGTATAACTACTGTTGTCATAGCACATAGATTGAGTACAATCTAAAATGCTGATATCATTTATGTTTTTGCAGGAGGTAAAGTTGTTGAAACTGGTACACATTAAGAATTAATGAATTTGCATGGAAAATATGAATAATTGGCAAAAAATTAAATTACTTCCCATTAAAAAGAAGAAGAACATCAAGGTAATTAATTAATAGCCAATCATAAACATAAGTAAATTAAAAATTAAAATGAATAACAAGATGCTGATGTAGGCTCTGTTTTATCTATTAATTAATTTGATTAAGATTAACCGAATGTTGTTGAAAAAGCCATTAAAGAAATCTAAGATATAAAACATTTGAATATTTAATTTAAAAATAATGATTAAAATAATTTTTAAGAAATGAAAACTTAAATTTCATAAAATGATTCAAATGATGCTTAGGTAATGACAAGATTATTTAGTTATGGAAAAGAAGAAAGACTTATTTTAATATTAGGATTATTATCAGCTCTTATTAATGGATGTATATTTCCTTGTTTTTCCTTATTTTTCTCTGATATGATTACTCTACTTGCTTAAAGTGATCCAAATCTTTATCCTAATGCTTAAATTAGAGATTTAAAGATGGAAAAAGTTAAAAATGATTCAGCTGATATAGCATTATGGTTTTTTTTATTCGGTTTAGGATTTTTAGTGTTTTAATCATTAGAGAACTTTTTCCTTTCAATTGTAGCTGAAAACTTAACAATGAAATTAAGAAATTTTACTTTCAGAAAATTATTGAGAATGCCAATAGCATTTTTTGATAAACCTGAAAATAATGCTGGAACATTAACTGCTAGATTAAGTGTAGATTGTAAAACTGTTTAAAGTTTAACTTCAACTATTATTGGATTCAAACTGTAAAATGCTTCTGCATTAATATGTGGTATGTCTATAGCATTTTCTTCAAGTTGGGCTTTAACTTTAATAGTTTTAGCTACAGCACCATTTAGATTTATTGGTATGAAATTAAGAACAAAATATATGGGAGCTTTAAGTGGATCAAATAAGGGTGAAAATTTTAAGGATGCTGGAAATTTAATTATGGAAGCAGTAACTAACATTAGAACCGTCTTTTCTTTTGGAAATGAAAATATCATTTTGAATGTATCTTTAAAATATAATATAATTTAGGATTATACAAAAAGAATTTAAGCACCTTTAGAAGAATGTACTTCAAAAGGTTTATAGGCTGGTAGCGCTTTTGGATTTTCATAGATGTAACCTATGCTTATAAATGCACTTGTTTTTTATTGTGGAGCATTATTAGTAAAGTATTAAGGTTTGGATGTAAATGATATGTTCAGGGCTATATTTGGAATAACATTTGCTACAATGGGAGGTGCAAGAGATTCTCATTTTGTAGGAGATGTAGATAAAGGAAGAACAGCAGCTAAAAATATTTTTGAGATTTTAGATTCTGTAGATGAATTTTAAATTGAAGAATGTAAATCTTTATAATTAAATAATAGAAAAGTAATTTAAAAAATTAACTACTTAAATTAAAGGACATATTGAATGTTTAAACTTAACATTTAGATATCCAACGAGAGAAAAGAATGTTTTTTCGAATTTAAGTCTAACTATTCCATCTGGTTAAAAAGTAGCATTTGTAGGATCAAGTGGTTGTGGAAAATCAACTATAATGCAAATGCTTATGAGATTCTATGATCCTGATTAAGGATAAATATTAGTTGATGGATAAGATATTAGAGATTATGATATACGACATTTAAGAAAATAATTAGCTATTGTTTCTTAAGAACCTGTACTTTTTAATGGAACTATTAAAGAGAATATTTAATATAATATGAAAGAAATTAGCATGACATAAATTGAAGAGGCTGCAAAAAAAGCTAATGCTTACAATTTTATTGTTAATGATTAATTTGAAAATGCTCCTGATGAAAAACAATAAGATTTTGGTAAAGGATTTCATAAAAGAGTTGGACCTAAAGGATCATAAATCTCTGGAGGATAAAAATAAAGAATTGCTATTGCTAGAGCAGTACTTAGAAATGCAAGCATTCTATTATTAGATGAGGCTACTAGTGCTTTAGATGCTAAATCTGAAGAAATTGTTTAAGAAAGTCTTAATAATATTATGAAGGATAATACTACATTATCCATTGCTCATAGAATATCGACTATCAAAGTAATCTATCTTATTTTATAATTAGGATTCTGATATTATTTATGTATTTGATAATGGTATGATTGTAGAATAAGGTAATTACAGTTATCTTGTCGGACTCAAATAATTTTTTTATAGAATGGAAAAAGGTATAGCTATAACCTCAACCAAAAATTCTTGATTTTTTTATTTTTTTTATTACAATTTTATTTTGTACAACTAATAAATATTTCACTTTAACTGAGAAACATAATTAAAATATAATCTTGTAGCTCTCTCTATTAGAATTAAATTCTTTCGACCTTTAAAAATTAATTGCTTCTTTGTAGTTAAATAAAAGACAATACGGACAAGGAAATATTCAAATTTTTTAGAATTATGTTATTATATTGAACTACATCTGTCGATATATCTTAATTAAAATCATTATAATCTTTTTAAACAATAAAAGTAAGATGGGATGTGCAGCAATGTTTTCTTATAAGTAAGATTTGGATTAGTCTATATCTATGAAAGATGGTTAAATTTTATTATTAGACAATCCAATCAAAAACATATATTAACCTAAAACAATCGAATCAACTACTCTATGTAATTCACTAAAGTGGTGTGATGAAGATGATGATTTATAGAATCTTTTTGAAGAATGTAGCAAATTGGAGGAGAATGTGGTAAATACAAATGTGAGAATTCTCAAGAAAGATGAAAAATAAGTTTAAGAGTAATACCAAAATTCATAATCAAAAACATATTCTTAAACATCTATATGTTTGAATATAAGACGAAATCTTATAATAAAACATATAAAATTACCAGATAAGAATGATTAAATTCCAAATAGCATTTTGAAAAGAAAGCGTTTAAAAGAAGGTCAAGTATTTTCAGACAAGATTCAAAGCAAAATAACACATCAAAAGGTTGTGAGATTTAACAAATGTTATGTAAGAATAATTCCAGAAAGCTGAATATCAAAGAACACGATTGATTTTTTTAATTAGTAAAGAAATGATTTAAATAATTAATCAAAATGATGAAATTTTTGTATATCAAAATTTAAAATATTTGTAAATTCCAAGAAGAAAAGAAGTAGAAAAAGCTAATATTGGATACTTAGAGTTTTCATAAATCTGTTTAACAAATTTAAGATATAAATAAATTTATAATATAAATTAATTTATGAATTATAAATCGATATATAAAATACATTATACAAATAAATTTTTATGTACACTGATCCTGTGGCAGAATTATTACGGCCAAAACAATCTAATTTAATAAAATCAAGTGATTCAATAGGATCTTATCGTCCAAAAAGTATTCAATCAAATCGCAGTAATAAAAATATATTTTCTTAATAATAATAACGCCCTCCTTCGTAATAATCTTAAGTAGGAAGTAGTGGTGCAAAACGAATAGTTCATATTGGTAGAAATGGGAAAAAAATTGAATAATTATCAAGTATTGCACCTGCAAAGACAACTAATGATCTTTGTTATGAATTTGATCCATTTGTTTTAGATTAGATAAGTCCAGAAGATCCAATTTGGAGATAAATATTACCAGATAATATGACATTAGATGAATAAACTTTAGAAAAATTATTGGAAGATAACCCTGATTATTTTTATCATCATTTAGGATTTTGTGCATGTTATCGATGTAAATGTGGTAGATGTAGATGTGATGTCTCGAATTAAGTTAAATTAAAAATAAATGGATCTTTTCTAACTATTTATGATAAGGATTTTATACCTCATAAATCAAGTTATAATAATCTAACACCTTTGAATTCTAAAACTTATGCTACAAAATTTCTCGATTAAAAGACAATTGATTTTACTACTTCTCATCAATAAGATTATAAAGAAATGCCTATCCAATAAACTGAGAGTTTCAAACCTCCTTATAGACCTCAATTAGGATCAATGTCAAATTTAACTAGCTACAGAGTATTTTCTTAATTTTTATTTAGTCTAATTATAGTAATTGGGGAAATAATTATTAAAGATTTAATAGGTATCCTCATATAAGTACAAGTACAGATATTAAATTTATTGGTAAAACATAATATTAGGATTCATTTGTTCCACCTAATAGTTGGAAAGTTGAAAGCTAAAATTATTTTAAAAGTGAACTGTAATTATATTTATTAAATTATTAAAGTTCTCCTATGCCAACAGGTCCTTTTGTTGGGATGACTACAAGTTAATAAAATTTTTAGCCTTTTAAAGTTGCAAGAAGTCCTTAAAAACCTACACATCATGTACATTTTATTATATATATTGTTTTTTAGAAATATGAAACAACTCCATCTTTTGATGGATAATTCACATCTACTGGAATGAAGGATTTTACTTAATAATAGGATGACTATTGCCCTGCTAAATAATTTTAGAAAATATTTAGAAAAAAATTGGCATAAAAAGTAGAGAAGAAAAAAGAAAATTTTATTGAACGCAGAATTTATAATGCTATGAAAAATTGATTTATTTATATCTAAGTTCATTTCATATTTAAATAAAATATTTATTATAATAAAATCAAACCGAAAAATTTAAATCTTAACTAATAAAACTTATAACATATGCATTCTCCATTAATTTTTCAAATGGAAATAAAGTAAGTAATTATTTACTTTGTCTGTATTAGTTCTTAACCCTTAAAATTGTCTTAATTGTAATTAATAAAGCACAACTCATTATTATACTTGAAAATCCAATCATAATTGAATTTATTAAAATTGTAGAATAAACCATCTATTTAATTTAATTTGTCAGCAATTCAACTATCACATGAAATCCATATTAAACATATAATCTCTTAATTTATTATTAAGAACTACTAGAAAATTCTTATAAAGAAAAAATAGATTAATCATTCAGATAAAGCAATTACAAAAACTCAAATTAATTTGAGTACAATTCTTAAACAACAAAAGTTAAGCCTTTTTCAAGATTACTTATAGTCTGACATTATTTAAAGCTAAATAAATTTGAATATTCTAAATAGTTATATTGACTATCAATCTAAAACATAATATCATACAATTAATTGAAAACTGAGTCACATATATTATTCGAGAGGATATTATATATATCCTTATTATAACTTTCCTAATATTGGGATAAACTAGTTGTAAGTGACTTCAAGTATTCTACACTCTCATTTTGTCTAGGGATTCCATCAATTATTATTGTTTAATTTAATAAAATAGCTTATTAAGCATAAGTTTAAGCAAGCTCATTATTTATAATTTTAAATTATGTTTTTTCATTTTATCTAGCTGAAACACTTTATAAAGTTTCTTCGAATAGAATATAACTTCCTATATAATAAAAAGAACACATAAATGCATAAATAAAAACAAACAAAAAAAAGAAAACCTGTGCAGAGTTTGTTTCTATTTAATTATATATATTTTTACATACATTTTACAGAAATTTGTTTTCCAACTTTCTAATTTTTATCTAGCTTGTTAGATGTTACAGTTTTTTAATATTAACGCAACATAGTTATCTCAAATTACTCTTCATCTGTTTCATGATTTTTAAACTTTGTATTATTTAATTGGTTATATAGAGAACTAAATTAAAAAAATTACTCTTAAATGACTTCCTTTGAAAAAGTACAAAATAATTTATATATCTTTTTTTTCATTTAAATTATTTTTAAGCATAAATAAAAGTATCTTATTAAAAATAAGATTAAAATAATTTCCTCTATAAAAACACTAAAATTAAAATTTTAAGATTTACAATATTTCTAAATCTATTTATTTATTTGTCGAATCTGCATCTTTAATTTGATTTATTTACATTTTAAATTGATCGGTGTTGTTAGTATAATCTTAATAAAGGATTATTTCATTCATCTTTTAAACATTTTATAGTTATGCCAATATTATTATCATTCTGCTTTTCATTGTAAAGTTTTTAACCATATTTATATGAGGTAATCTTATTATTGTTTGATCTATATCTTTAATATGATCAACAAAAAACTTCAATGATACTTCACTTAATTTTTCAAAACTAAAATTATCTTCATTAATAAATGATTAAGCTATAACAAATTCGTTATAAAAATATGAAAATTCAAATGGCAAATTGTCATAATTTTAATCTTATTTGATGCTTTCAAATTCAAAATACAATATTAAATAATTCACAAAATATCCTATTATAACTAATATATATAGAGAGAATAAAAATGACTTAGTTTGAACATTTAAACCTCTATTATCTGATAAACAATCCTTCATCTATCTTTTTAATGCTGTAGTATTATTTTAAGAAGATCTACTTCCAACAGAACCAGAATTATATTAAAGATTTTATTCTTACATTTATTCTTTTAATTCTGATTCATTATCACTTAAATTATTGCTTTTATCTGATTAATTTAAGTTATTTTTAAGTTCTATAACTCTATCTTCAAATACATGTTCACTTTTTAAAAGTAATCTTTGAGTAGAGTTTTAATTATGAGTTGTATTTATCATATTGATATTTGCTAATTAATTTTTTAAATCTTCAACCATTTTCAATTCTTCAATAAAATTTTCATATTCTAAATCACATTCATTGATTTCTCCATTAAATTATTAAGAATTAGCTGATGCTAAAAGATCTCCTTTAGATGTTATTACTTCATTTTAAGTAGAAGAATTTAATAATTAAGAAGATCTATTTCGTAATTAAATTAATTATTAACTAGTCACTTTTTAATTGAATATCTATTTGTATTCTGGCATTTCTAAAATGATTAATCTAATAATAAATAATTAATAAAAACCTTAAATTGATTGTGGTTAAACTCATAAGATGCAAAGATATTTGATATATAACATTATCTAAGTTTTAGTTTTCAATTGATTTAATAATACTTTATTATAATGAAGATCGACTACAAGCAGCAGTTCTGGAACTTTACATACTTCTGTAAACTTATTTAGATAAATTTGGTATAATTAAATGGCATTCTAATCGTTTATCAAGTTTTTCAAAATTTTCATTAAATAATTGATCCCAAATTTTAGATAATTCAGGAATTAAAATCAAACAGTCCAATCCTTTGACACATTCTAATTCAACTCCTAAATATTTTTCGAATATTTCATCAAATAAATTTTTTGTTAATTCTTCTATTTAACCATTTTCATTTAACATCATATATCCATATGTAAAATTAACAGGTGTAATTAAAGCAGTAGCTCCAAATTCATCAGTACTAGCTTCAAGTCTTAATCTTGTATTAATTGGAACAACAAATTATGATTTAGTTTTACCTAAAATAACTCTTACTGCATTTCGAACAACGTTAATTCTTCCTCTCTCAACAAAATTATCTAAATACAAATCATGATCATTTGCTATAATCTATGGCATAAATCTATTTATATTTTAATCCTAAATCTCTTCATCTTTATATCCTATAGCTTTTTAAAATGTTCTTGTGTATCTGATAACATTTCCTCTAGGTTATAGTAATGTAATTTATATTACACAACTTCCTGGATCATATATTATTCTTTCATTTTATTACAAAAATTATAACATCAATTGACCATCTCTTCTATATAATTTTGGTCTCATCTTATTGTAATTGATGTATTTATGAAATATATTATAAATTGTATCGCATTCATTACTTTATGGATTAGTCTTATATAATAATTATAATTGTTTTTCAAGAACATTAATATTTTCTAAAAGTTTAAATCCAATATCGACTATTTAATCTATATCAATTACTTAAGTTAATATGCAACCATAAAAATCCTTAAATATATTTTTTATATACTTTTTCTGATTTAACTATTGTTAAGAGATTACTTTTTAATATATTTAATGATTCTTCATATTGATAAACCTTTTTAAATACAAATTTCTAATTAACTAGATCATTTTTTCTCACTAATTCAGAAAATTTATCAAGTGCATCATGCTTTAATTTTCTTATTATCGACTATTATTTTAAAGTTTATTCCTTATTAAATTAGCATTATATTGTACTTTTTGTATCATTGATAATCTAATTACTTCATATATTGCTTAAGTTGGAACTTTCTTAATTTAAACCAAGAAATAAATATAAATTAACATCAAATTAATATCTTAGTTTTCAATAATTTCATCTTCCAAAGTTTAACCTATTAGTTCTTTTGCAAATTTTTTCATTTATCCTAAATTCTAGAATGTATCATCAATATCTTTAAAAAAATCAGTACAAAAGCATTTATATTTTAATTTAATATTCTTTTAGACTTTTTTATCTCTTTATAATTTGCAATCTCTAAGATGACTTGAAATAAATGTATAAATTTCTAAAGATTATTTTGGATCCAATAAATTCTATTATTTCTTTAAATCAACCTACTCTTTGAAAATTATATATAATCTTCTTATTTATTTCTCTAGATTAATTTTATTAAAATTTTGATTTTTAAGTTACTATTTCAAAATTAATTAATTTGCAATCAAATATATTAATGGGTAGAAAATCAAAAGTAATAAAACTACACTTATTTTTATATATGACTAACAATATTAACAAAAAAGTAATATAAGTTAATAATTCAAGCAAATTGTTGAAATTAAAAAACTTAATCTAGATATTCTATAATCTACATAAATTTATTAATTGAAACTATATATAATCTTTAATAATTAATTAAATACTCCAAATAATTATACTACCAATGAATTAATTTTAAGAGCAGATAATAGTATTATTCTAATGTTCTATTTATATAAAATATGTACAATAGTTAAAATCCAAATAAGACATGTATTTTCAAAGTTTAAAATTTCCCCAAAAAGTCATATGTCTTCATTCTATACTCAAATTAATGTAAATGAATGAATAATCCAATTAAAATTTACTATGTCATCAATAAAATACTGAATATTACGCCAACATATTCTAATGAATTTAAACTTTCTGTATAATTAGAAATAAATACAAGATTCAATAATATTGACTAATAAAGTTATCCCACAAAATAAATAGGGTATTTAAAGAATTGAGAGATTAATCTAAAAGAAGAATGAAAGCATCCAGTTCAACAAATGTTTATCAGAAGTATTAGATTCATCTAACTAATAAATTAAATAATATATTACCTATTCGATTGTTAAGAATTTGAGTTATTGTTTCTTTTGAATAAATATATTGATGTTCAAAAGAGAATACAATATTAATGTTAGAAATATGCTAGACAAAAAAAAACCAAATATTGAAAAAATTGATCTGATAAGGGTTGAATTTCCTAAAATTGTGTAAAATCTAATAAATATTTATGATAATGTAACCTAGAGAATTCAATAATACTTCTAAAGTGGATCAAGAATTAGTCATATTCAAATTGAATGATATCATTTGTGTAAATAGAAACCATTTAAATGTTTTCAATTATTAGTAAGACAACAGCTATTAGATAACTTTTTCTCCATGTTTCCTTAATATGCAAGAAATCTTTAGTGTAAAATGTCTTTGTCTAAAGAATAATTTTATTCATAATTATAAGAGGTTAATTAATTATTAATAATTGAATCCGAAGGTTATTAAAATCCTATAATATAATCATTATTGATTTTTTATAAACAGAAGAGATTTCCATTAAAAGATACATTTTAAAGTAGTTTATGTTAAATTATTAATGTAATAGTATGTGAATAAAAGAGTAAATAATAAAATAAATTAATTTCTAGGAGTTCTAAATTAAAATAAATTAATTTCATTATTGAATTTCAAAAATTGATTTAATATGATAGATATCTATATTTATAAAGAAATCTTTTATATTCAGAGATTTAGTAGACTATAAAAATAAAGATCTCTTTAATATTGAAATAGAAATTTAATTCATATTATTTTCAAAATGAATATATATGCTAAAATTTTAATGCAATAATCTCTTCTTTTTCTTTGTTGGTCAAGAAATTGAATTTTTCAAAATAGTCATCAACTTTTTGGTTTAAGAACTAAAATATGATAAAAATATCTTACTTATTTTTTAATTTCTCTATCAAATAAAATAGTATCCAAAACATAAATGGATAAATTATTTATGGAATTGTCTTGATTTTCATTTTCTCCTTTTTCATCCTATAATTGCATGTAATAATTAATCAGTATATCACGATAATTTTCATCAAATTAGGATGTAGGTGCTGGTTATAATTCTGAAATATATTTTTCATTTGCTTAATTTTACATTTAAAATAAGATAGTTCTAAAAATATAAATAGAAAATACTGTAATTATAATTGAATAACATGAAAATGGGCCATCTAATTCTGATAATCTTCTTCACATAATTTAATGAAAGCAATAAATTATGGGAAGGTATAAAGTTCAAAGAAATATGCACACTGATAAATATTAATCTATTTTTTTAAAACATCAAGGAAACGATTCATTTCAATAATTAATTTCTTTGAAATAATAAAAGCAGGTAAAAACACCTAAGATAATTAAATTTATTACATTAGTGTTTTGAGTATGTTTTCTTTAATGAATTTCATGTAAAACAGTACCTAAGAAAACAAGAGTATTTCTTTCATTTAAATATTTTTCAAATACATTGTTCAAATCATTTGTTTTTTATTACTATAATTGTTTTTATTTTAGAGCTTCTTATAATAATTATTCATCGTTAGAATTATCCATAACTTATTTATGTTCTAACTTAGGAACATCAGATTATAATTTCTTTATCATATTCTAATTATTAATGTTGTCAAATTTTTATTAATTTTTTTCATAGACTTACTTAATCATTTTCAAATCTACTTATGTAGCTACTACTTTGTCAACTGTTAATTTAGATAAGGCTAAGAAAATAAATGAGAAATTCATACCAGATTTATTTACTTAATTAGAAAACAAAGGTGATTCATACAATTATTTCCATTACAATCTTTAATTTGGATCTGGATTTAACATTCTAATTAATAATTCTTCAGATTCTTTTGATATTTTAACATTATTTCTTGTGAAGTTTGGTTTATCTTTAAGAATATAATAATTGAGAATACTTGTTCTAACATCATTAAGAAAATCATTATAACTTTTAATACTGAATGGTAGTACTCCAAAAAGTAATTGATAATATATAGCACCAATTGAAAACATATCTGCTAGAATTCCATATGGTTGAAATTAAATGATTTCTGGAGCCATCGTTCCTAATGTACCTAATGCTTCTTTAACTACTCCATCTAGACTTTCTAATCTTTTAGCAAACCCTAAATCTCCTATTTTTAGAACAGAATTAGAAATTAGTATATTTGCCAATTTTAAATCTCTATGAATCACATTCATTTCATGTAAACTATTATTTTTTATTCTTTTACCCTCTCATTCCATTTAATATCTATTTAATATACTAAATTGCATCTTCTTCACTTATTATTCTATTTTTTTTCTTCCATAATTATTCAAGATCTCCTTCTAAATTTTTTTAAATTATTTTCTTTACAATTGCAATATTCCATCACTAAATAACAATTATTTTCACTCTCCAAATACTTATTCATTTTAACAACATTTATATTATTACATTAAGCTAGTACTTAAACTTCTGTCTTTAATAATTATCCTACCAATCCATTATGTTCTCTCCTAATTACTATAAATCATATAAATTACAATTTAGTTTTAGGCACTGATTTTATAGCCACAGATTCTTTTGTTATTATGTTCTATGCAGAGAATACCTTTAATATAATATTATATCTCTCTTTACTTATCCAAATGCTCCTGTGCCTAATACATCTACAAGGATGAAATCATCAATCTTTTTTCCAACAAAATTACGACTCTATTAACTATTCATAAAATAATTATTTAGCTTTCTATAGTAAGATTAGAAATAAACGCAGAGAATTATTAAATATATAGAAATAAATGAATTCCTATTTATTATAATGAATCACATCTAAAATTTTCCAGTCCCGTCAGACATCGGCCTAATCTGAGATAATTTTAAATTTCTAAAACTCTTTTTAAGCATACGACTTCTTTTTAAAGTATGTTCAGAATCTTACTCGGAAGTTTTCTGGGATTCTTCAATTTCAAATTTTGGAATTATTACTTATTAATACCTGTATTTCTCAAAAAATAATTCTGGATAAAACATAAATCTTAATAACTTTGATTGATAAAGCTTTAATTTTTCATCGAATACATACTGTTACTTGTAATAATACATCTTCTCCAAGATCTAATCTAAGTTGTTTTATATCTAATAGTATTTATATTTCTTATATGATTCCATCACTAAAGTTTAATCCTTCTTTTAATACTCATTTAATTATTCAATTTACATTTTCAATTTAATTTCCAACATCATCGTATCTTATATATCTTTCTCTTATAAAATTTGCTTTTTTCCATCCTGTATTTACTTTATTCTAATTTTAACTTTCGATAATAAATTTTTCAAAAACTACTAAGATTGAATGATTTCGAGAAATTGATTTATTATTGATTTTGTTTCCTTTTTGTATTTTTATCTTTTCTTAAGTCTATTCATATTGGTAATCATTTGAACTACTCTCTTCATTTTTTGAATATTTTCCTTGGGTTTTTTTTTCTTATACTAATCTAAACTAAATGATACTCTCGCTTAAGTATTTTTTTCTTTTGGCGAGTTTTCTTGATTATCTTCTTATATAATCATAAGATTATTATTAAAAATATTTTAATTTCTTGCTTTGCTCATAAGTGATGCTCTCAATTATTTATCCTCAATGTCCAATAATTCTATTGTCTAGGTTCTTTATTTAAATAAAGTGGCTTTTTTTTTGATAGGAGGAGGTTCCAAATTTACTTTAGAAGATTAATCTGTAACAGGCTAAACGAAATTATTTAGATTTTATGATAATTATATTTAAGGTTGCAAGTTTGGTTCAGTCTACTCTAAGATTGGTGGGATTGGTTATTGATGAATATCACTTTTTTTTAATTATTCTTCTTCTGGTTCTTCATAAAATTCTGCCCATTTCCAATTATTATTATTAAATGAATTTGCTTCTTATTCTATAACTTCTTAATCAAATCTTGCTGCAAAGTATCCTCTTTATCTAAATGGATTTCTTTCATATTTAGAATTTCTATTTTAAGGGTGACTATAACAATAGCGTTTTAAAATTAATTCTTTATCAGGTATATAATGTAATAATGGACATTAAAGAACCCTGTGATTTTTGGAATTACAACTAAAACATTTCATTTTTAAAACACTAAGATCTTCAAATTACAAACTATCATAAAGATTTCTAAATCTTTCATAATCTTCTGGAAAATCCTAAATTACTTTTAAAAAATCATCCCTAGAAAGCATAAGTAATTTAGAGAATCCAACACTCCTAAATCTCTCTTAAGATTATTTACCACTTATGAAACTTATAATACCTAAACTAGAACCTTTTCCAACCTTAAATACTTCAGCAATTTATGGATTTTCAAGTATATGATCTATTGAATCATTTTAAATAAATATTTGTATTTCTCCAAATTCAACAAAACAAACAAATAATTAACCTGGTGGTAATTAAGGAAATATTGAATCAAAATTAATTATATTTTCAGGTTAAATAACTGCTTATTTAATTTTATTAACTAATTTAGATTTTAATGCATCACTAAAATTATTTTAAAATAATGGACATTCATTAAATATTAATTAATTTGATTGATTCATTAATTTCTCTTTTAGATTTTCTGATAATTAATTAATAATTTCATTAAGTTCATCATTTTCAACTTAATTTTATGATTCCCAATAATAATTTAAGTATTCTCTAATTTGGTATTGCAATTAATATTCAATTTTTCTATTTTACATATATGAATTAATTTTTCTCATTTTTCTCATTTTTTCTTATCCATAAGCAGAAATAGTATCAATAATTGCTCCAACAGTACTAACACTGTAACTTAATTGAATACTGCATATCATCATATAAAGAATTGCTATTATTCTTTCTAAATAACTAATTGGTACTACATCTCCATAACCTATTGTAAACATTGTTACTGTCGAGAAGTAAAATGAATATAAATATTAAACTTACCATGTTTCATCTTCGACATGATAAAATTCTAACCAACTACCTTTTTCTGAATATAAGTAACTGTAATAACCAACCTATTTAAATATTATATAAATAAATTACAAAATACCAAAGACAAGAATAACAGTGCAAAACAAAAAATAAAACTAACAGTAATTTAAATAATTCTAATAAAGAACTACTAGGTTTTGATAAATTCAAGGACTCTTCTACCTGACTGATTAATTTTGGTATATTTCTACATTATACATAAAATAATAGCATTAATAAATCCCACCATTCAGTTAATAAATTAAATTCTTATTAGGATGAATTTGATATTATCGCATAAATTATTAATATTAATAAAGATATCGCTTCCAAACCATAACTTTTACTTATTACATTTTTAGCTATTGTAGCTCTATTACTTACTATTTATCCAAATTAATAAATTGAACTATTAAAACTAAGTATAAAATCAAATACTAGTAATAAAATCATCAGTATGGTTGGAATATATAACTCACCATATATAATTTAGTATTTATTCCATGCCAAATCTATAGGAATTGTAAATAGAAAATAGAGTCTACTCATCATCACTATACAATCCCATACTATCTTTAATCTTGATTCAGGGGTAATCAATGGTATCTTCTCAATTTCTTATTAAATTTTTTTTATTAAATCATCTTTACAAGTCTTTAGATGAGTAATTTACTTTTTTATGTTTCTTGATAATTCCCTAATAATTTATATAATGAGTACTTTTTTTTAACAAAATGTTATAACCCCTCTTAAGTCTAACTAAATTAGCTAATCATTGGTTTTAAATTTAATGCACTATCACGAAAGAGTTTCAAATTAAAAGAAGAACCTAAATCATGGATAATATTGTATTAATATAGGTTAAATTATGAATTGATTTTCTTTTTCCAACTTATTCTGTTAATAAATCGTTTTATAAAACAAAATTAGATTACACTAAATATTTATTATTATTGATGGGGTAATTGTTAAGAATCTATAGATTTTTAACTTTTCTAATTCTTTAAAAACTTAGTAGTAGGACTATTAAGAGAAGAATCAAAAGTAACTCTTTTAAATTCATGGGCTTTATGTTTAGAACTTTAACTTGGGATATTGTTATTAGTGTTGACTTTTGAACCTTGAATAGAGAATTAGCCATCTGATAATGAATAATTGAGAAAATCTTAAATTTCACCTATGGGCTCATCTGTTAACATTAATTGATTTAATTTTGAGATTGGCTCTTCAGTGTCTTACTAATTTTAATTCATATTTAAAATAATTAAGTTAAAATCTAATTATCTCATATGTGTATATTTCATTTAACTAGTATTTTCCTGTGATTAATTGAATAAATATATGACTTCTTGAAATAGCAGAGTAAAGTATACTGGAAAACTAAATAAATTTATATTCATTAATTTTGCCATCGAGCTTAATTATTAAATGTATTTTAGACACTCTTATCATTCATCAAGATTTACTACATAAATTGAAGAATTATATAATTAGGAAACTATTGATTTTAAATCAGAGAGACCTTTTAGAAGTTTTGTTTCTAGTAGCTTGAGCTTACATAATCAGCCTTACTTATATACAAAAAGTATTCCTAAATCATTAATAGAGGAAGGTAAGAATTATATTATAAATGCTTTTATTAGGGTACAAATCAAAAAGCATACTTTATCATATGTGTTTATTATCGAATGATATGAAAGTAAAGAACAGAAATAATAGAAGAGATAGAGATAAAACAATTTTATTCACAGATAACATGGAATTATATCATCATAAAATCATTAAAAGAATTAAAGAAATTTGTAGAAGGAGAAGTTGTATATGTGAAGGATGTGGTATAAAAACTAATTTCGAAAAGAAACATGATGATTTTGAAGTTCGAACTTAATAAGCAATAACTTCAGAATTAAAACTACTCTAATTTACTAGAGGAGGATAAAAGAAAAAATAAACAATAATAAAGGAATTTAAAATAAAATAAATTAATGAAAAAAAAATTAAGACTCAATTCTCTTCTATGAATTCATAATTATAGATTAATATTCCCTAGACTCAAAGAGATAATGTTGTAGTTGAAAAGTAAGATACAAAAAGATCTTTACTTAAAACAACAAAAGACCTAATATATTCACTGCCTGCAATTAAAAATATTGTGCCTTTGACAATTATTAAATAAATCTATATATCTGGTAGAAAGTAAAAGCAATGTTCTGTTCGAAAACCCTCTCATGATACTCTAATAATCAAAGCTTATAAACTTAAATGATACTCATAGTTACTTATATAGTCAAATACTATTAGAGATATAAATATATAATGATTTTAACTATGTTAAATTATTCAGATATATATTATTTCAAATTATTTTGATTTTTAGCAAGACCCTACCAATTTATATTTCTTAAACTTCTTTTAGTAATTGTAATTTGTTTTGAATGATTCTCAAAGTACCAAATTTACTGCCTTGATCTTGAATGTACCAAGCTTATTCATATGAGATATTAGCATGGTTTCTTGAGACTGAGATATCTTGGCATCTAATTTCACTATTATGTCCTCTACCGATTGATACAGAACATGTCCCAAAAGCATGCATAAATGTCAAACTTTTTGATAGACTCTCTTGTCTTGTAATTTATTCAAGGATAATGTAGGGACCATCTAATTTTTCGATCTATATCATTTGAAGTGGTTCTGGTTGATTTTCAATGTAAATACGAGCGGGAAGAGGATCTTTACAAACCTAGCTGAATAGAATAACTTACATCGCATTCCAAGACTTGATTCCAATGATATTAAACTGTATTTTATGTTTGTTTACATGAGATTCTATTTTGAAAATTAACCCATTATTTAAGACATTCATAATGAACATATGCCATGAGTCCTTTACAACTGCATAAATCTGATAGATAAGGATTCTTTGGATCTTCTGTTTATTCTTGATCTTCTACAAAGCAAAATCTACACTGTCTTGGAACTTCTTTTTTTTGTATTTTAATATGTCTATCTAAATTATAATGATCTTTGGCCATCATAATTTTATCACCATTGTTTAATTCGGATACAAAATATTCCCTTATATTCAGGGTAAGTTTTACATTCTTCCAAATTTAAAAAGATCACCGACATATAACTATTATCTTTATTTTGGGTCTAATTTAACATAAGCATCTTAAAAGTCTGGATTACTTTTAAAATCTAAAAATTAATAATTTATTTACATATAGCATTATCTTCAAAACTTATTTAACCAATACAATCTAAACTGATTTAATTATTTGATTACTAAATTGTATCAAGATTGTCTTCTATTTTAATTTGTATATTTTAAATTGTACCATTTAAAATTAAGTTTGTTGTGTTTCTAACAATTATTTTAGATGTCTTTAATTCTTTTGATTCATAATCAAATAATCCATGATTATTATGAGTCCAAGTAGCAATCTCAATAGAAACTTACATGAGAGTAATAAATATTATTAATTAAAATATTTCATGACCGAAGAATTATAGGATTATAGAAAAAATTTATAAGAAGCTAAATATGAAATCTTTAAAGTTCTATTAAGCAAAAATAACTAATGGCTTAGTATAAGGGAAATTGAAGATCTGCTTAAATAAAGACCAGATTATGGAAATATTCATGTTAAAATTAGAGATGCTATAGAAGATTCAATGTCATATGATAAAACTAAAGATGATTATAAAATTGTTTGTAATAAATAATCAATAATGAATACAAATAATACTACTGGCAAATATAGACTTAAAACAGAAAACATAGAAAATAAAGAATAATTAGAAGAATATCTCAAAGATAAAAAATCAATTTTATATGTTAATCATATTTGGTTTGAATCTGTATTTTATTATAATTATAGATATTATAGTGTTATCCATAAATGAAATAGGATATTATAACATTAGAATCAGAAGCTAAATTATTGATTTATGAAGGAAGAGATGATAAAAAAACTTATATTTATACAAATACAAGTTTTACTAACTTTCAAGAAAAATTACAATTTAAAAGAGATGAAAGAATTATGCGTATGATTCAAGAAGCAAGGACAAGTAATACAGAAACTGTTGCTTCAAATTAACATTCACGTTCAACACAAATTTAAAGATAAGAATCTGTTAGAAGAAATACTGCTGTTTAAAATTATTGGATAACAGAATTACAATAAGATTTATAGAGAAAATGACTCTTAATTGAATTTAAACAAATCAAAATTTATAATTTAAAATAAACTTATTCAAAATTCATTAGTAATTAATATATTTCTTTCATTTTATTGATTTTATTGAAATATTTGATCTAAGTCGTAATTCTTATGATGTTTTACAATTTCCATTAGGATATTTAATAATATGATATAAGTTTTAAGACTCTTTTGATGGTGTAATACCTTTAACCACACTATTGTTATAACTATTCACTATTGGTTCTTTGCGTAACTTTGAAAATTGATTTAATGATTTTGAAATTGCTAAAATACCTCCATTTGAACTTTTTCTATTTAAATCAATCTTTTAAGGAGACTTGCTAAATTAAAATTAAGAAAACTCTATTTATTTTTTTTATTCTTATAATTAAGTCAACATATTGTTGAGTTGCAATATTTCTTATTCTAATAAAGCCTTATTTGGTTTGTTCTTTGATAAAAGTTACTCTTATGTGTTTTCAATAGCAAGTTGTATAGTATTCAAATTTTTCTGTAAATCTGACTCTTAGCTATAAAAATGATCAATTTTATTTTTAAATTTTTATTCTAATTATTCTATCTCTTAATCAATTTTATTTTAACGCTCAATAAAAGGTTTTTCACTTCCATTAAATTTTTCTAATTATTTTTTTGCATTTATCATTGATTATTAAATATTTTTTAATTCTGGAAGTATTTCTTAATCAACAATCTGAATGTTTATTTTAATTGCCTTATCTTAAAGATAAAATTTTTAGAGCAGCTTATAAGTATTATTAAATTATTCCTTTATAAAATATTATTCATAATTACTTCTTCTTATTCTTGCATTAATTTTTACATCTCATTAAAAGTCTAATCAAGTATAGAGTTATATTCAGTATTACCAAATTCACTTTATATATGATTAAGTTCTTATTAATTCTATTCTTAATATTATTTAAATGCTTCTTAGCTTTATTCATTGATTCTTTCTTAAAATTAATCATATAATCTATGATTAAATAAAAATATACATTTCTCTTCTACACAGAATTGAGGAATGTTCCTCTTCAAATTCTTTTATTTATTATTTCTTAACTTCTACTTAATAATCTATTGTGCAAATTTCATTTGACAATAATTACTCATCACCATATTACTTTAAACTATTTTTTAATTCCTACTTTTATAATGATTAATTACAGATAATTGATTTTGAATTTATCTTTGAGATAAAGATGCTATAATAAATTATTCCAATTAAAAAACAAACTCTTTCATACTTCCCCAATTGTTTCCTTAATTTCCTTATTTAAATAGATTATTTCGAAATTACTGAATAAAATTAGATAGTTTAGTTTGAAATTCAATCGATTCTAGATAAATGAATGAATTTCCATAATAAGCTATAAATTCATTGAGAATAGAATCAGGATGTTACAAATTCAAACTTTTTTGAATGGGTACAATTTTATTTCTTAAAGATTTAACCTTTTGAGTTTATTAATGTATTTAAACTTCTAGTAAAGTAGTTTAATTAAAGGATGCTAATTATTTTTTTTTCTAGTCTTATTAATAATATAACTATTAGATCTGATTTTTTATTTGTTTTATATTTTAAAGAATTTCATTGACCTTTGAATCACATTTATAAATTGATTCGACAACTTCAGTGAGTTAAGGATGTTCATTTTTAATTTATTCAACAAATTCTTCTAATTCTTCTTTTTAACCTACTAACTCTGCTCTTTATAACAATTTTGCATTCAAATCTTCTTATAACATTGCTTTTGTTTCTAAAATACAATTATATGATTAATGAACATCATTTCTCTCTTTTATAAATTATTGGTGTTCCTAAGTGACCTATTCATATTGAGATTTAAGTTTATTGAATTCATTCTCATAATAATCATAAATTATAGATTATTGTTTATCAATATCATTTTACATTTACTGATAGCTAAATTAAATATTTATGGTACTTTTATTCTTCCATACGTAAATCTTAAAGTTTTGTTTATTAAGTTTATTAATCAATAGAGCATTTAGATTCATCAAATAAAATTGCTATCTTTTACTTAATGTTGCATTAATATTCATTAATTTTGAGATCAATTTATTCTAATTAATCTTAAAGATTATCAGATCCACTATTTAACACTTCATTGATGAGTTTATGAGATATATTGCTTTATCTGATTATAGAACAGTATTTTGGAGAATTCTCCTTATTTGAACGTTTATATGATGGACTATCTGTTATCATCAAATTTTAACGATAATTAATAAAATTTTGCTCCTTTTTTTCTAAAGAAATTATAATATTTTTAGTTAAAATTCATAGCTAAATTTCAAATATCATATGCATATAATATATTATTAATTGGATAATTAAAATTTAGAAGAAGAACCTGAAGAGTCTTTTGCAGTGATCAAAATAAAAATAATGAAAAAATGAACTTTTATATAAAAAGAATCAAAGAAATAAAAATATGGAGCAATGTCTGAAGAATATTTTTTAAAAGATATTTTAAAAAGTTAAATCATAAAATTATGAAACAAATTGCAGTATTTTTTGATAGAGAAATATCATGAATGTATAAATGTAGTAAGAAAAAAAGAGAATTTTAAAAGAAAAATATAAAGAATTAAAATTGACCATCAAATTCAAGTATTAGGTAATAGATTAAAAGCTTTATTTTGATAATCTTTATAAAGTAATAAGTAAATATTTATATTAATTTATAAATAATAAAACAGATTAGAATATTTATTGATGTTAAATAATAAAAGTAGAAAAGAAAATGAATAGAATTGAATTAATTTTTAATTTTTGCTAACATTATTAAATCATAATTTTAATGTTTTCATTAAAGGATATAAATTTAGACCTTGATCTCTTGTATCTTCAACTTGTTATTTGGCCCAGTTCAAAAAGATTTCTCTATCTTATTAATTTCTTAACTCCATTTATTTGGATTCTTTAAGTTCACTCATGTATTAATCTCTTCTAGCTTATTTTTTTTATTCCTAATTTAAAATATTGTAATACAATTTAAATTTTCTAGTAATCTAATAATTCCTTATTACGTTTTCTAAGAATGTCTTTTTATTATTCTTCAGTTATAGATAATTATTGCAATGCATTAATTTTTAAAACCTATTCTTTTTTAGCATCAACATCTTCTTTCTCCTTCACTATTTCTTTAAGTTTTAATTATCTTTGTCTAAAAGTTTCTCCTTCTTTTATCATTTATATTATTTCCTACTCTTTTTATTTTGCTACTTCTTCTTCATGTCTTTATAATTCTTCAGCATGTTTTTATACTCTTTGCATATAATTATCTTCCTATTCTTTCAATTAAATAACTCTTATATCATATATCTTCTATTTAAGTTGCATTTATCTTTCTAATTTTTAAGCTTCCTATTTAATTAGATTAAAATTACTCTTTATTTTCTCATTTCTAATACTCTCTCTTTTTTAGTATCAAAATGATCTCTATCTTTGGCTTCTTTCTCTAATTACTTTAATTCTTCATCTTAAATTGATTATTTGACATCCATAAATTTCTGTCGTTCTTATAATAATTTTTATTTCTTCATTTTTTCATCTTCTTTCTTCTTTCTTAAAATATACTTATTAATACTCTTTCTCTTATTCCTCTTCTTCTGCTTATCTCTTAATTAATTATCCTTCTTATTATAATTTTGTATATTCTTTTAATTATTTCTCTTTCATTTCATGATGTTGTTTAGCTAAAACAGTATAAGTTTCTTTTTTTAATTATTCTTTCTATTAAGTCTTCTCTAATTCTGCAATCTCTTCTGTTTATCTTTTTAACTCATCATCTTTTATTTTTTCTAATTCAAGTGTCATCTACATCTCTTGTCTCTCCTTATTAAAACGAACAAGAGCTTCATTTATTTTCTCATTCTCACACATCAGCATTTTTGACTTCATATTGCGTACACTAAAAATCGTTTTTTGAATTACTCTCCCCTTTGACTAAATATCTTGTTATTTGCATCAACAACTTAATCCTACTTTAATTTATCCTAATATTCTGATTCTACTTTATCCATCTTTCTTCTCTCTTCCTCTTCTATCTAAAATTTATCAAACTTCTCTCTCTCCTTTTATGATCTTTATTTCTCTATTCTCTATGCCCAAACTCTTTGATTATTATCAATACTCTAACTTAATATTATTAAGTTATACTTTCTTAGATCTTTATTCTGTTATACTAATATGAGATCTAATTTATTCAAGTTCTGATGCCCCTATCACTGTATGTCCCTACTTTATTTATGGTAATTAAAGAGACTTTAATCTTACTTCACTATCCTCAGATTGATATCTTTACATTATTTATTAAATATAAATTAATCAACTCACATTATTTTCATTTTTATAATTACAACTAAACTAACATATTATCATCATTGATAACAATTAATTTATTTAGCATATCATTCAAACTATTTACAATACTGTAGAAAATTAGTTTAAAAATTTTTTATCACATTATCAAATTATTAACATTTTTTTCACTAATCAAATAAAAATTTGTAAAGTAAAAGTATTGTTAATATCACATTTTTTAATCCAAAAGATGTATATTAAAGATTGAATTAAATAATAATGGTGTAAAAAACCTTATTGCACTATTACTTAGAGTTTTTATTATATATTAATAGTGTTTGTGGTATTTCAACAAAAAAATAATTAAATAAAATAGTATTCTTTAATAAATGTTTATCATATAAGAGTGATTTTATAGATGAATATGATAGAATAATGCTTCATTTAAAGTGATGAGAAATTTTTGTAAAGATTAAGATGATTTTTTATTATTATTAATTGTAGAATTTAGATTTTCGACTATTTTATGAATCCTCAACACTCAAAGCTTGCACTACTTAAAAATAAAGAATTTGAACTACCAAAGATGAAATCTATAACGCTGCATAACTTCTATGGCTGTAGACTTAAGAAACATTAATCACCAGAACCAAAAATTCCAAAATTACAATAGCTAACTTTTCAATCTACACTCATTGTCAAACGAATATAACCAAGATGTAGACAAAGGAAAGTATAAATGCGCACTATTTCTTTGCATAAAATCAATAATGTAGTATAAGAGCATAGCACCTAATATTTTTTGAATCAATCTCTTGATATAAAAGGATGGTCATAGAAAAGTGTGATGGAATTATTTGATATATGATACTAACTAATTAACATAATATAAATTGATTGAATGCAATTTAAAAAATCTTAATTAAATATAATGAACAAAAAGATTACCCTTTTTGTATTATTGGCTTGTGTTGTTTGCATAGCTACACTTATGTTTTCCTTCTCAGCCCAAGGTATTATTTTAATCTATAAAAAGATGGAGAATTAAAAATGAAAAAAAGTCATTCTTTTTCATCATCAAAGAATCATGAATGGATGGATGGATATTGGTCATCTGATACAGATTGCTAGACTAAATGTAGAAATGCTGGAGGTATGAGTTGCGGTAATTACTAATAAAATTGCTGTGTTGGAGCTAGATGCAGAGAAGAGAAGGGAATGTTTACTTCTTCTTTAATTTGTGATCAAAGAATTCCAGTATAAGGATGTACAAATCCTAAATGATATACACATTAAATTAGATATTAAAATATTTATCTGTTTTTTAGATACTAGATGGTTTATTCATTTATTCGATCATTTTGGTTTAATCCTCAAAAATAAAAGAAATTATAAATTATTCTTTAGAAATCATTTTTATTAATATATACTAAATTTATTTTTATAAACTAATTGCTTATATTCTTATTTTAATTATCATTAAATTTATTAATCTCTCTTATCATGAGAATCCATCAATTCTCATGATAATAGAATTATTAATATCAATTCATTAATATACTTTTATTTAGAAATAACAGAAAAATATTTTAAATTTCAGGGTTAACTTAAGGTAAGAGCAACTGAAGGGATACGTTAAATTTATTTTTTTATTATAAATAAATACTAAGACCAAACTCATGTTTAATTTTATAATCTAAAGATATTTTTTTAAATAGTTTTACAAAGATAAAATATCAGCATTATATAATAGAGCTTTAAGTAAACCAAATTCCGAATGAATATTTAACTTTTTTAATGAAAATAGGCATTATTAATTATTCTCTAAGCAGCCAATAATTCTAATTCTTTTAGAGTAAATAAGCATAAAATTTTCTGATTTCTTTAATTTATATATACTTTACTTTTGGTATTATTAGTTTTAGTTTAAAATTATCCAAACCAGTTGACATTAGTGTAATCATTTCATTTCAGGTTTCAATATTTAAATTTTTGTTATATTCAGCTCTTATGCGGCTAATATTAGTTATAAAAGATCTATATATATAGATAATAATGAATAATAATCTTTAAAATTATCTTAAATTATAAAATAACTTTTTTCACTTTTAAAAATCAATTGTTGCAAGAACTTAAAATTTTGTTTTGATTTAATCTTGTTATTCAAAAAATATCTTCAACTTTATCAAATCGATAAGCATATGAATATCAATTTATAATCATAATGGCCAAAATGGAAGTTCTTATAATGTTAAAAAGAAAAATTAGTGTACTAGGTTAATACGTAAGAGAATATAGAAAATCTTAGAACTTTTGGGAAGTATTTAGCTATGGTTTATTATGTAAGGGATTAAAATGAATCAATAGGATTAATAAGATTCTGCAAAAGTTTTTATTAATGTTTAATGTTTAATATAGATAAGAATCATAATCAGTTTTCTGCTATCTTACTTAAAGAATATCCCATATACCCATGTACTTAAATGTATCTTTTTTATTTGCCATATATGTGCATTTATTTATATTCATTTTCATATTGAATACTTTTAATGTGGATAACAATGATTCTATTAAATATTTTGATGATCTTCCATTAGTCAGTATTACAATGTCATCTGCATATGTATTGTTCTTGTTTATATTAAAGTTATTTTTGAATCCTCTTTTTATTTTATTAATTCAGTTTTAGAGCCATAAAAGAGTTTTTGTTCTCCATTCAATTAATAATTTATTAAAATATAGATTAAATAGTATTGGAGCAATTAATGATCCTTAATGTACTCCATTTTTCAAAAATATTTTAATCTTCTTTATTGGATCCAAAAAAAACATTTCCTCATATAATGTCATTAGAAAATCTGCTGCTTCCTTATCCATCCATTTTCTTTATATTATTATCTCATTTAATTTTTCTCTGTTTACTGAATTGTAAGCATTTGATAGATCTATAAATATCATTTATTTATTTGGTGCTCTATTCCTTGCAAATTCAATAACATACCATAAATTTATTTAAGTTCCTTATCCAGGTACAAATCCCACTTAGTCTAATGTATATTTTGTCTTCATCAATCTTTAAATATCTAATAAGTCTATTTATCTATCTGTGTCTTTTATATTTTCGTATTCTCTTATATGTTTCATCCATAAAGGTATAATATCTGATAGTCTCATCCAATCGAATGATACAGCTTTTTTATATGTTTTATATCTATCTCCTAGAAATTATCTTTCTATATATTTATGTAATTTATTTAATCTATTCTATTTTCTTTCTCTTTTATAGAATCAGGCCTTTCCTCTTCAAATTTTGTATGCTTAGAGAAACACAAATAGCTATTTTAAAATTATCTAACTTTAATAATCTATTCCAATTTCTTGTATACTTTTTATGTTCAATTAGTTCTTCTTATATGTTTATAAGTTCATTTGATACTACATAATTAATTTTTTGTAATCTGTTTCTATTTATCCATTTCTATTAATAGCATTGGTAATTTATCCTTCTATTATTCTGCCTACTTTGGCTTTATGTTTTATAAATTTATAATATTCTTTTGAATTATAACATCTTTAACTTCTATCTATGTTTCAAAGTCTAAATCCCATTCTTAATACTTGGGTGTTTTAAATTATACTATCTTTATTTCTTTAGGTAGATTACCACATTATTCTATTAGATCCCATATATTTTTAATTTATTACCTTTTTCCTAACAAGTGTTTATCAATTTTTATCTTGATTAAAATATAGAAAAGATAATCCACTCTTTTATGGTATAAAATTAAATAAAACTCATGAATTTTATGAGAATTTTATTGATAAACAAATTTCTCAAATTTAACTAATATCCCTCCATAAATTTTATCACAATCTCCGGTTAATAATGCAAAATCACATCTATTAGTAACACAAAAATTCTATCAATTCTCTCCTCTATTCATTCCATTAGTTTAATGCTTTTATTACTGCAATCTTAATTACCATTTGAATATCCTTTGATAATGATGATTTATGAATTTCCTTTTTTTTAGATAAGTATCTGAAGTTGTTTAATATGTCATTATTAGTATAAATAGAGCAAACCACAACAAATATAAAATATTTATTGATATTATGATATTTTAATAATAAATATAATTAATTAAATTATGAATCCTTAATGAGGATACCTGTCGATTTGCTGTCAATACAATTCTTTCAATTTGTAATAAACCTATGGTTGCAATTAACTATCCAGGAATTTATTGATGTAGGTTCCAATTTTTATCTTTTTAACATATCCAGCACTTAATGATGATTCTATAGATGCAGAAGTTGAGGTTTCATTTGGTTCCCATACTTACCGAATAAAATCAAGTTCATTCTTGTTTCCAGAATCAATTATTTCCTTTATAATCTCATCATTAGTTTTCTTGGCAGCCATTCTCAAATTAATTGCCTCTGAATTCATTATAATAATAAATAAAATAAAAAATCAGAGATTTTAGTTTTCATCATATATATTCAAATGGATAAATCTTAAATTAAAGAGTTTTTTGAAATTCTTTTACTCTTAATATAAAAATATATAGCTCTATAGTTAAACTCATTAATATCCATGATGAATTCAAAATTATAGGAGATAATTTTATTAGAAAATTTATATTACTTAGATTTAAAATAAAATTTATTTCCATTTATATCTCTAGTTATTTTCCGAATTAGGCAGAATGCCATAATTATGAAGAAATCTAATTTTTTTAATTAAATAAAAAAAAAATAATATGATTTTTTAAATCAATTAAAGTTATTTATTTGAAACCTAGAAAATTAATGTCTGCTTGATAGATAAGTTTTTGATTCTTTTTTATTTGATGATTTCATTTATTTCTTAATGATATTTAAGTTTCTTTCATCTGTACTGGTAATCTATTTTTATAGTTTTAGCGATAAATTATGAAAATTATTTATTTATCTTTTGATTTAATATCTAAAATAATATTGAAAGTTTATAAATTTTTAGATTTTACTATTTAAGTATTAAGGTTCAAAATGTAAAACATAATAATTAAAAGAAATTGTATAAAATTTAATAAATACATATATGTTTTAGTTAGAATTTATTTTTGAAGTTATTATAATACTCTTATCTTAAAATTCATTATTTCTGAAAATTAAGAATCCAACTTGTTATTGAAATGTAATAAAGGAAATAATATACACCCGTTCTTGTTATTACTAGTTTTAAAGAGTTAATAAGCTTTTAAGAAGGAATGGTTAAAAAAAGCATCTAAATTTTAGAATAAATTCTTTTTTTATCTAAATCTGACAGAGGAATTTCTATAGTAATCTCAAATAAAAATTATGATTTTAAAATAATTTAAAAAAGAATTTTATTTTTCTTATATGCTGCAACAACTAAATAAAGAAGTATTATATGAAATGATGAATAGGTTTTATTGAAAAGAAGAGAGGCATTAGAATAAGTGATAAAAAGAAGATTTATTTATTAACCTGCTTTTTCACTTTATGGAGGAGTGGCAGGATTATATGATTATGGACCTGTTGGATGTGCAATAAAAACAAATATAGAATAATATTGGAGAGAACACTTTATAATAGAAGAAGACTTATTTGAGATAGCAGCAACAATTTTAACTCCAGAGCCAGTATTAAAAGCATCTGGACACGTGGATAGATTTACAGATTTATTAGTTTGTGATACTAAGACAGGAACAGGATATAGAGCTGATAAAATAGTTACAGAGGTAATAATATAAGTATAAGTGTAATAGACATTGGAATAGAGAATAGCAAAAGAAGGAGATAAATTAGGAGCTGATGTTAAAGCTAAGTATTTAGCAGTTATAAAAGATGTTGATACATATAAATAGGATAAGATGAAAGAGATTATAGCTGAATTATAAATAAAGGCTCCTGAAACTGGAAATGAAGTAATAAAATAGATAATAAATAATTAGTTAACTGATCCATCTCCATTTAATTTAATGTTACCAACAATAGTAGGACCCTCAACAAAGTTACCTGCTTTTTTGAGACCAGAAACAGCTTAAGGAATGTTTCTTAATTTTGCTAGACTTTTAGAATAGAATGGAGGAAGAGTACCATTTGGAGCAGCTTAAATAGGATTAGGATTTAGAAATGAAATAGCTCCAAGAGGAGGATTATTAAGATGTAGAGAATTTTAAATGGCTGAAATTGAATATTTTGTAGATCCAACAGAGAAAGCTACCTTTAAGAAATTTAATAAATATATCAATTTAGAAATACCTTTATTATCTAGATAACTTTAAGCTGATGCTTTATAACATTAACCTTTTAAAATGGGAGATGCTGTAAAAGCAGGAATTATTAATAATGAAACACTTGCTTATTTTATATGCAGAACATATCTTTATTTAGTTGAAATAGGAATTAATCCAGTTAATATTAGATTTAGATAACATTAAGCAGATGAAATGGCTCATTATTCATCTGATTGTTGGGATGCAGAAATTGAAATGTCTAGTGGATGGGTTGAATGTGTTGGATTAGCTGATAGATCTGCATATGATCTTAATGCTCATTCTAATGCAACTGGATAAAAATTATAAGCTGCCCGTAAATTTAAAGTTCCTTAACCAAGACAAGTTTTATCAATCATATTAGATAAATAAAAAATTGGAAAAGAATTGAAAAAAGATGGAATGGCTTTAATTAAATTTGTTGAAGCATTACCTGATGATGAAAAATTAGAATTATCAGAATATTTCTAAACTCATGATGAAAAGGTATTCAACATTGATGGAAAAGATTTAACTTTAAATAAGTAACTTGTTAAATTTGAATAAAAAACTATGAATGTAATGGAAGAAAAGTTTATTCCACATGTTATTGAACCAGCATTTGGAATAGGAAGAATTTTATAAGCTATAATTGAACATTCTTTTAACTAAAGAGATGATCCTTAAAAAACATTTTTTAAATTCTCTCCAAGAGTTGCACCTGTTAAATGTTCAATCTTATCTGTTGTCTAAAATGAAGAATTTGATCTTGTTATTTAAGAATTAAGTATTATTATACTTATTTTTTAGCTGCATCTCTTAAGAAATTGGGAATATCTTGTAAAACTGATAATGCTGGAGTTGCTCTAGGAAAAAAATATGCTAGAACTGATGAAATTGGAATCCCATTTGCTATCACAGTAGATAAAGAAACACTTACTGCTTAATCTGTTACATTAAGAGAAATTGAAACTACTAAATAAGTTAGAGTTCCTATTGTTGAAGTACCTAGAATTATTCTTGAATTAAGCAGTGGATTAATTCTTTGGACAGATGTTTTAACCAAATATCCACTTTTTGCTGCCAAAGAAGAAGATGCTTGAGTATTATTAAACAACCAATCGTTAAAATTTTCTTTAAATTTCTATTCCTCCTCTCATTTTTAAAAATATCAATTTTTATATAGTCATATTCAAAAACTGTTATTATGTTTATCTAAATTTATTTATATTAGATATAATTCTTTAGTTTTTTATATTCAAATTTTTGGAAGCTTCTACATATTTAGCAATAACATTTAATCTATTCTGAAATCTAATTATCGAAATTCATACTATTTTTATGAAGAAATATTTATTTAAATAATTTTATTATAAAAGTAAATAGATGCAGAAATAATTAAGTGCTTATGATTAGTACAATATTTATATAAAAATATAGATTAGAATAATTGTACTAAAGAAATGATATTGTAATTTCTGATTATCAATCTGCTTTATCTAATTAGATTCTTTTATTCAGCACCTCTAAGATGGATTAAGATAAGACTTTTATTTAAATTTAGACTGATCAAATTTCAACTCAAATAGGTATTCAATATTGAATATTCAGCTACTGTTAATGTACCAAATGCAAAATAAATTCATCTCAAAGATTTGTAAAGTTAAGAATTCACTTAGATATTTTCATAAAATTAAGAAATTATTTTATACTAGTTTATGCATTCTTCTCAAACTATATCAATTAGTTATCTTGAATTTCTTGAATCATTTGCTATCACCTATAATGGATTTACAATAATAGTAGAAAATGAACAAGACATTCATAAATAATAGTATCCTAAATATAGAGAAAGATTTATTTCAAATGTTTCAACCTTCTTTGGAATTTTGTAAAAATTAAGTATGGCCTCTTTTTGTAATTTTAAAAAAGATTTATCTAATAGAAGCTTAATTGGTATTTGTTGCTATAAATCTATATAATGGCTAGGAATAGTTGAACATTATGGTTCAGAAAAATTGTTACCTCCTAATGTAGTCAAAAATTTTTTGTAAAAATATAACTTAGAATTTGTTTTTGTCAAATGCTATAAAAATTTGAGTCATAATTCTTTATAATAAATTTATCAAGAAATAAGAAATTAATTATTGTTTGATTTTAATGAAATGAATAGAGGATCAACGATATATCTATGGAGTTAAGAATAATTTTTAGGATGTTATTTCATTGGGCATAAGCATTATGAAATATTAGAAACTGTCAAAAGAATGTTAATAGATAAAAGAAACATATAAGGACCATTTACTTTTCTTGGTGAATATGATCTGAGCAGAGATGAAACTTAATTTTATAAGAAGTACATCTAAAGAATATTACAGGAAAATTAATAGGATTAAACTTTTTCTAATCTTACTTCTATTATTTTTAATAATATTTTACATGATTAATTTAAATTTAACTTTAAATTTGAAAATAGATATCCATTATCATTTTGCATGAAGCCTACCTTGATAGTTATAATTCCAATAGGTTTTAATCTCACAGGATTAGGATTCGATAGATTATTTTAATCATTGTAATAAACATTTTTCTTTGTCAAAAAAATAAAATCTCCTGACCAAATTACTAATCATTATTAAATTTACTGTTTTGATAAGTGTTTTTGTTTGGATTAATCATTAAAATTAATTGATTATCTAAAAAAAAAGAAAAACATAAAGACGATCGGCCTCTTGTAAGAAAATAATTAATAAAATTATAAACTAAAGAATGGAATATTTTTTCCTTTTTCATTTGATTATATATCTTATAGTTTAATAGAGTCATCAAAAAATTATGATGATTTTTAAGATACTATTAAAATTTTATTATCTTATTAAGATCAAGATATGAAGTAATTACCTCTAGATGAATTATTATATATTTCAATTATGCCAGAAGACTAAAATTAAAGAAAAAATAATTTCTTATGCTCTGAATAGGATGTTATAGAAATTATTTTTAACAAAAATCTTAATATGGATTAAACTCATAATCATTTTTTAAGTTTGAGAAAGAATTCTTCTTTTTTTAAAGATTAAAATTTGTAAGTACTACAGCAATTATTCCAAAGGTAAAGTTTTAAATTAATTGCTGATATAGAAGCTTAAATGAAAATATTTTTGTTAAACCCTAAAACATCAAAATCATATGTAATTATTACAACTGAATAATATAAACCAGAATTGATAAAGAATAGATCAAATTAATACATTATCTCTAATGATAGTTGGAAAGAAATAGAGGATTATGTACTTGATTCATTGGAGTTAGTAAGTTAAAAATATAAATAGAATGAGAGTTTATCTTAAACATTAGAAATTTTAACTAAATAATTTCTAGAATGTGGTCAGGTAGTTTATAAAAATAATTTAAATCCTTTATCAATATTGAATAAACATTAAAAAATGTTTTATGTAAAAATGTAAATTGTTGTAATTGTACTAAATGGAATTATAATAATACTACCTTAAGATTTGAAATTATTTTAGGGAATAACAATTTACACAAAAAAATTAGAAGCTTCAAATATGTTAGATATTTTAAATATTTTGAAGGTGAATATAGAGATACTTTAATAAGAAAATAAATCTGAGAGATTTATTTTAGATTAGTAATTTTAATTTAACAATCAAGATTGGAATGCATATATTGTAAAATTTTAATCACCTGAAATTAATTTTGAGAATTTATAGTAAGAATGATTCATAATGTATATTTATATATAAAAAAATAACTTAAAAAGGTAATTATTATTAGAGATAAATTAAATTCTAATAAATATTTAAAGTCTTTTTCAAAATCATTTTATAATTTAGTTTTGATATTTAAATCCTACAAATATGGAAAAAATAAATTTGATATTAAAATAATGCCTAAACATGTTTAAGAATATACTGAAAGAGTAAGATTTTAAATAAGATTTAGTTTGATTAAGTATTAGAGATGTTAGTTTAAAAGGTAGAAGGAGAAGCTAAATGGGCAGAAATTACAAGACAAATGAAAAATTTGTATGGAATAAATGTGCCTTAGAAACCTATGGTTTAAGCTAGATGGAGAGCTATAGATCCAAAAATAAATAGAGAACCTTTTACATCAGAAGAGATGGTGTAACATTGGCATCATTGTGTAAGATTTAAATGTCATTGGGATGCTATACGAGATTAATATGAATTAATTGGTTAACAAAGAGATAAGACTTATTTATCATAGAGATTTTCTATTTATTTTACTTAAAAGTTATCAGAATTGAATAGAGAAATAGGGAAGATAGCATCATATAATTAATAGAAAATAGATACAATGAGAGATACTACTAAAAAAGAGTTATAGAATTTAACAGTAGAGATCCTTTAAGTGTTTAAGATTAATCAACAAGAGAAATTATAGTGAGTTGTAAATCATTAGTAAAAGTAATGACTTATTTAATTGATAATTCACATCTCTAAGCTGAATTAATGTGGATAGAAGTTAATAAGATAATATCTCCAGCAAAGTTTTAGAAATTATTATTCAATATCTTTATAATGGATACTATTGTATTAATCTCTTGTAATGAATTAAAAGCTATTGATGATACATCTGATTTAATTAATGCTGATGATTTCAGAAAAGGAAAATACATTAAACCAACAAAAATAAGATTTTGGAATAATGCACTTGAATAAGAATCAAGTCCTGAATGTACAGAAGAAGAAGAAATCCTGACAACAGCAGTTCGATTAAGTAGAATGGGGCCATAAACTTAATTTACAAAAAAAGATATTGAAGAAATTAAAGAAAGCTTTATTTATAAATATTGTAATACAGACTAAAATAAAGCATTTTATAATTGGTATAATGAAGCTAAGACATAAAAGAATGCTTTTTCTTCTGACTTAACTATAGATCTTATGGAATTGGAAGGAGGAAGATAATTATTAAATTATGATCCCACTCAACCTAAAAGGAAGTATGTTAAAAAATAAAAATCACAAAATAAAGTTCAAAAATAAATCGTTAAATTTTAAAGAAAGAAAAGAAAGATTTTAAATTAAGGGGAGGGAAAATAAAAAATAAAAACTAAAAAAGGTAGAATTCGAATTCATAAAGAAAGATTTCCTGGACAAGATACTGTTAATTTTAATTAATAATTAGAATAAGAAGAATCTAGCAATGATTATTAATTAATGGATGCAGAATAGATTTATAAAATTAATTAGAGAATGAATGCCAAAAATTTTTAAAGTTAAAGTCAAAATGCTAGTTAAGATAGTGATTGATCAATTATTAACTTATGATAAATTTAAACTAATATTGCTTTCTAAAAATGCTTCAATGTTTTTATCTCTCAATCAAATTTTTCTTTATTCTTTTTGGAAAAGAAATCTTGCAATACTTTAAAATTCAATTTTAAGGATTTTTACCATCAAAATCAAAGTCACAAAAAAACTATGTAAAAATCTAATATTAGATTTCATATAATACAATTAACATATTCGTTTTTAATTTTCAACATTTTCATCAAATCATACACTAAATTACTCATAGTTTTCTTTATTTTTCTTAAATTAATAATAAACTCTTATGATCAGTAAAATGATAAAATTTCTTATTTAGTAGTCTTTTATCATTAAATAATTATATGATTATTTCAGTTTATTTTTCAACCATTTGTTTATATCTAAGGTAGCAAGTATGACCGGACTAATTGAAGTTGGATTCTCAACTATATAAAATTAACAAATATTTACAGATTTTTGAGTTTCAAAATTCAATCAAAAACTAGAGTATAAACATTTTTTATCTTAAAAATTAAGAAGCAAAAACACTTTTAATCATCTTTTAGGATGCCTTCATTTCTTTTAAATCTACTTTTGATTTTTAGTATTTTGAATATTGATCGAATTAAAATTAAATAAATTCTTTGCAATTTCACTGTTAAATATTATTAAAATGAGGAGGATGTTGATGTAAACTATAATATTTTCTAAATTTTTTCTATATCTTTTTTAAGGTCTTTGGATAAATTTAAATAATTTTTTATCTACTCTTGCAAAAGCTTTCTATTTTATCAATTTACATTTCCAAAAACAAATTAATTATAGATATTTCTGAAAATATACTATTGTTCATTTATCAATTTTATATACTACAAAAATGTAAGACAGAAAGAATTATAAAATGTATATTTATAAATATATTTGATTTTCAATCAATTTTTTTCTTGCGTAATCACTATTTTACATAACCTCTAAAAACTTTATCATTTATTTTGCTCTCTTTTCTCTAAGTTTCAGTTAATTATTCTTTTTGATTTTATTAATTTACTTATTCTATTTCCATATGATTCTCATCTTATGAATTTAACACAGAATCATTAATATTGAATAATTATAAAGACTAATCAGTATCTCCATTAAATTAATTAAAATTATGAGGTTGAAATTCCTGAGGACAATTATATGACATCATTTGAAGCAGACATCTAATCCATAAAAGTTTTTTATTTTAGGTACACTTTGGTCTTTTTTCTTTATTTTCTTAAAATTGATATTGAATTCCTCCAAATTATTTTATAATTTCTTCCTTAATCTTTTCTATTACATTGAATGATTATTCGTCATTCTTTATTGCAAGTTTTTTATATTTTTTTATTAAAGATTCATATTCCTTCGATTATTTCTAAAACTTTTCGAATTCTTCAAATACTTTTTCTGAAACCACTACTATTTCCTTTTTTTCCTGTAATTGTGAAAGGAAAGATAGAATATAGTTTTAAACTTCTATGAAATAGTCATTAATTTATTTATCTTCATATTCTGATTATATTTTAATATATGTGTTCTTTCTTAATTTACTTTTTCCTTCAGATATCTCATAAATATGATTAATTTTGTTAATTACATTTGTGATTTGTTAAATTTTATCTATCTGGTAATTCCTCAAATTAAACTTGGCAAACCTAATACAAAAAGCATAAAAAACAAATTATTTCTCTTTTGTGAATGAACATATCATAGAGGCAATATTATTCAAATAATCACCATATTGTTTCAAAGGATCTATAGTCTACAATTTTTTTATAAATTTAAATTTATTAAGAAAACTTTGAACACTACTTTTATCGATGAGTTCTTAAAATCTCTAGTAATCTTCTTTGTATTAAATGTTGTTGTTTTGTTGAATCTGTTGCTGATTTTAATTCATAATTTTAATATTTCCTTTTCGCTTTTATTCATTTATAAATACAATTTAATTTTCCAGCCAAATATCAGATTTCATCAAAAAGTAAAATGGCAATAAAAATTCAATCAATTATCTTGATTCAATTCTCTTTTAGAATGGAACATCCAAACAACCCTTTAAAAATTCATCTATGAAAAATTATAAAATTATATTTAAGGTCAACAGAATAGACTTAAATAAACTATCCTAAGAGATGTTTTAAAGTTCTTTTATAAAATTTAATCAATAAAAATTTTACCCTTTATAATTCATTATTTCTATAAATAATTGAGCATCTAACTCTTAAAGTTTATTAAATCTTTTCCAAAGTTATTAAAATAATAATTTCATATAAAACCTATTATAACGTTCTCAATAACTCAAACAAAAACTTATATATTAATAAAGAAAATTTGAATTATTATTGAAAATTTATGAAAAAGGACAAGGTTTTTATTATTTATTATATAAAATTCATTAAATTAAAGTTTAATTGAGATTTCAATCGATTTAAACTATGTAATACTATTAATAAATCAGAACAAAATAACACAATAAAAATAAATAAGAATCACTGAATCTTGTTGAATGAACAAATACTAGATAAAGTAATATTTTAATATTTACTTTATTGAATTGAAATAAAAAAATGAATGAAATATCAACTAGATCATGTTGAGTTGAATAATTCATTTATTTTTAAATTATCATATCAATAATAAATTACCTAATTTAGTATGGTTATACAATATTTGGGGATGACTCTTGAATTATACCAAGTATTATCTTTTTTTTTAAGTATAGCTTTACAAACATAAAAGATTTTTTCAAAAGACCTTTAGAAGAACAAAAAAAAATTGATGGTGTATGGAATGAAATCTTTTAATTAATCAACTGCATTTAATTATTTCAAATATCTTATCTATATATCAAATGAATTAAGAATAGTTAAATTATTTGATCAGTGCCAGTAATGATAGTGATAATCAAGATCAAAATTTATATAATTTTTAATATATTTTAGTTTGGAATGAGAAACTTTTCATTATTGCTGTTGAACATTAAATTTTTAATTGAAATAATCAACTCATCTTAAAAAAAAGATTTATCAGAAAAAAATAAATATAATGCTTAAAAATTCATTAATTTATTAAAACACTAGAAAATATAGTAAGAAAAAAGATTGATTTTTACAAGAATATTATTTATTTAGAATTTGTTTTTTTTAATAAAGCCTCAGGCACTATTTTTATATTGAGACCACCTGAATTTTAAAATAATATACGAACCAGAATGATGATAAATTAATACAAATAATTAATCTTCTCTGAATCAATCTACTTTATAACTAATTCCAATTAAAAATAATTTTTAATTTCTTTAAATTTAATTAAATTATTTATATAAATTTTTTATGGAATTAGCATGATAAAATTGCTTCTTATCAGGGTGTATATTTTAAATAAAAAAATAATCGAGAATGATAAATCAAATTAAAAGCATTGTAAAATAATTTTTTTATTATGAAATGAGCTTAATTTTAGTGTTAATTTTATCTTTAGTGATATTAAATAATTTAAAAATTATCCATAATTAAGTTCTTAATATAGCATAAATTTTTATTTATTAAAGAAGTTAAAAGAAAATTGAAATGCAGTTTTATATATCAAAATTTATGTGTTTCTATGGCAATTGAATACTTTTAGTGAATGTGAGTTGGATGTAATATAATTATTTTTATAAAGAAAAAAAGAAATCTCTTTATTAATTATTCAATGATCTTACATATATAAGTAAAATGATTAAACTGCTTCATATAGTTCTGCTGAGAATTTAAGTCGTATATAATAATTATAACAAAGATCTTGCAATTTAGAGATAAGATAAATTATATATGATAATAAAGTTCATCAATTGTTATAAAAATTGAATTTTGTCACTTAAATGAAATATCTAACCTCCAACCAGTTAATTTTCGCTAAATATTCCTTATTTTTTTTTAACATTTTTATTTCATTTAATTTTAATATTTCACTTATTTAAAAATCATTATTATTAGGTTTAAAATAAATCTTAATATAAGATTCCAAAATAAAGAAAATAAATTATTTTTACTGTTGTTGATCAAACGATCTTTATTCATATAAAGTTTTTATAAAATACATATATTTTTATATTTTATAATATTTAAGGCCTTAACTTTTTAAAAAATGTATTTATTAGAATATATATTAGAATAGGATTAAATATGAATATAAATTCTCAACTCCTCATTAATCTATGTTATTCATCGAGTATATTTAAAACTGATGAGTAGAAGTTTTAATAAAAAAATTTTGGAATTTGATTTATATAAGAACATTTTTCTTGTTTTCTATTTATTGAAACTTTGATTGATTGTCTTTCCTAAAAAATTCCTATAGTTTTAGGATAAATAATACTGAAATCATTAGTTAAGCTTTGTTATTCAATTATTGTGTTCATTTCTTCTGTAAAATTGTTTTCAGCCTACTAGTTTACTAGCAAGCTTAGAATTTGACATTTCTTATTTATCAACTATTCTTTAATCAGTTACTCTTTGAAATCTATGATATCACTATCTTCTTCATTTACAGTTTTAAAATCCTTGAATTCTTCTCCTAACCTAACAAAACTTTCATTTCTAGAAATAATTTTCATATATATACAAATCATCAACCACAAATAATAGGACTTGAGCAGTTATATTTAAAATTCTATCCCTTTTTTCTTTTTTGTAGACTCTGCCTTCCTTTTTATAAACTTAATATATAGCCTTTATTGTGGATTTGTTATGACCCGTAATCATAGAGACCTTTAAATGATAAAAATCATACATGAGAGGTAGAATACTTGTATTCCTCAATATATTGAATGATAAGTGCCCTCTCATTAGAATTAATGCTCTTGTATTTTGATCTTTTGTTTTTCAACTTTTTAATTTTCATGATAAATTAAATCACAAAAGTGAACCTCATTAACTTTTTTCAATGAGCGTTCTATAAAAGAGAAAAAAACAAAGAACATTTTCATTTTATTTAAATACGATGACCAAATGAACAATATTTTTCAAAAGATACAATATACTTTTCATCTAAATTATAATAACATTCTGTAAATAAATTTAATTTAATTAAAGTAGTAAATAATAATTTGAAAAATATACACCTTAAATAAAACAAAATAACCTTTTCTTAACTAAATTTATATTAGAATGATAGATTATTAATCCATAGCTGGCTTTTTGTTTCTTCCAAATAAAAAATATTATATGATTAATGAGAAATGCAGTCATAAATTGAATCTTAGCCTAATTTTTTATCAATTTCTCTAAATTATAAATGCTACAGATTAATTACAACATATTGATCTTCAAAATTTAAATTAACAAATTTCTGATTAGCACTATAGAATTTTGCTTTAATATCAAAGCCAAATTTTAAATACTAAAAATCTATATATTTTACGTATCATCCTATTTACCAAGTTTAATTTAAGTATAAAGTCTTCATTCTTTATTTAAATTTTTTCAAGAATCAAAATAATCTGAGATTTAAATATTTAAAGATGAGTTTCTGAGTTTCTTAAAATTTTTGATCTGTATTTCTTAAGGAATCAATAAATTCAATTAATATTTTTGTTTAGATGGCTTCAGATAAACTGTAGTGCTTAAGCAAATGTATTTTAAATTGAATAAATAACTAATTTTTTGGTATTATTAAATTAAAATAAGCAGCACATGATTTTAAAATAATTTTACTTTAAAGTTGATTTCTAGATGATTTTTGTTTAATTTTGACAAGAAGAGATGTTAAAAAATATTATGTGAACATGAATAAAGATTTTAATTATTTAATCAGTTTTATCATAAAATCAATTTATTAATAATAAAAAGTAACATAATAAATTGAATTTCATTATTGGAAGTTGCAATGAAAGGGAGAAAATTGATCTTTAACAACAATAAAATAAGCATGAATTATTATTTTTATATTCATTCCATACCAAAAACACCTTCGAGATCATTAAGAACTATTGATCTCAAATATTTTCTCATCATTTCTTCGCTTGTATATTTAGGAAGTTCAAGTCTATTGAAACAAGTGTGAGCTATTGGAAAAGAGTTAGTATTTTTATAATCAATAGGAACTATTTAAAACTTTGAATACATTCCTCTATTTGACTCTAATTTACTAAAACCACTATAAAATTCAAAGATAAATTAAATACTTAACTGGAATTCTATATGAACCAGTGCAATAATGTAAAAATTTTTTTAATTAATCTTAATCGAACTCAGACAATATTTTCCAAAACCATTGAATTTATTGGGAATTCTCAGAATATGGTGTTTTGTATATCGTATGTTATTTCCACTCATCTAAATCAACAACCGAAACACCATAAAGTATCATTTCAAATTCTTCAGCTGTAAAAATATTCAGATATTATTTTGGAATGTATTTGTATAATGAATTTTAAATTTGAGAAAGCTATTCTTAAATCATTTTTTCACTATAGTATTAAATGCTTAATTATTAAAATATTATTTTTACCTTAAGTCTACAAATTCTTATTTGTTTTAGTTAGTGACTAAAATATCAGCTCCATTTTATTTTAATTCAATTATTTCATCATCCTTACATAAGATAAAATATTATTATAATTCATCTTCATTAAATTAATTTTCAAGTAAATATTTCCAACTCAAAAATAGACCTTTGTCATAATATTACATATCTTGAAATGAGATTTCTTAATCAAGTAATTTTTTAACTAAGGGTCTGTCAAATTCAACACAGATAGTCATTCTTTCAAAAAGTGCTTTTGCAATTGCTAAGCCAACTAAATCAAAATATGGACTTTGCTTAGCAATTTTATATGTAACATCATTAGTTTCAGTTAATGTAAAGATATCTTTGCACATTTCTTTAAAAATTAAAGTTAACCATTCTCTTAATAAGCCACCTGCATCTTAAACTTTATCGTTCTAAAATACTACTTTAACTTCTTTATAAAAATTAACACTTTTGGCTGAAAAGAGAGATGATTATAGTAATTCATTCATGTTGACACACAACTTATCAGATCCTAGTTACCAAGGAATACGATATTTTTCAAGTTAAAGATTAAACCACATTTATTTTTCAGGAAAAGACCTACTTTTAATTTCTTGAACACTTAAATTCTATATTTTTTTTAATAGAAAATGTTACTTAGATCTAACCTCCATTAACTTATGATTAAACTCTTTTCCATTGATTATTTTATTTCACCCATATGTAATTATCTCCTAATTAAACTTAAGGTTGAGGCATTTGAAATCCAATATTATTTATTGGTTATTAATGTTATAAACAATGGTCAATATGACTATTAAGTACGATATATGTGGTAGAAGGCCCAAACTTACGATCACAATTAGGGCATTTAGCTTCATGACCAATTTTTTAATGTTAATTATTTGAACTTCTGTTCCCCATATTAGAATTTATTATAATCAATTTAGGGAATAAAAACTCATAAAAAATATGAAATAATTTATTATATATATATATATTTATGTTCTTAAAATTCAAATAACTGTTTAAGTGATTTAGGAATCACATAAATCAGCTTCTTCTACTGTTTAATTCATATTTGAAATTGGTTTTGGAGGGAAGCCAGATATTAACTAAATTTATTTTTGAGGAGGTAAGTTCATCATTCTTAACAAAAATAAAAAAAATACCTTAAAAGATGTTATTGAATGGCTGTGACTCTTGTTGTTGTATTGACTGTCAATGTTATTGTACTTCCAGTGGAGAGTCTCACCAAGATATTTGTTGTAGGTTAATTAGGATTGATTTATATTTAACCTTACTTACTTAAATCTACTTTAACTTATTATTGTTATTAAACAAATTATTATTAGCCCAAACTTACTCCTGATCCACTAAATTCTACATATTTTGGAGGGGGAGGTGGTACAAATTTTTCTTATGTTCTATCTTCTAATTTAACACTCAATCCTTTATGATATTTTTAACGTAAAGCTGTTGGCACATTACTTTCAATTAACATTATTTAAATACCCTTATTTTAATTCAGATATGAATTTTTTGTTTTCTGGATCATTGATATCTTTGAATTCACCATCATTAATTTAAAATCCATTATTCCATAAAGTAATTTTACACCATTCTTTTGGATCCTCATCAGTATCAGGCTTACTACCTCCTTGTTTTCTATATATATTTTATAGATATTATTACGCTTTATTTATTAATTCATCATAACCATCAGGATTTTCGACTGATAATCCACTATAATATTTCATTTATATTTATACCTCTTTTCTCCTCCTGCATAAGAATTACTTGTTTTCTTTTATTTCTCTTCCTTATCACCTTTCTTTAAATCGTCTAAAGTTTTAAACATACCAAAATTTTTAAATTAAAAAATAATAATTATTCAATCATAACATAAAAGTAACTATTTTGCTAAACTCGATAGACCTTCATTTTAAGACATAAACAAAAATTCTATCTGATTATAAAATAGATTTGTTACTTTATTTTTATTTTTAGCAAATATATTTTAGTACATATCATCTCTTATCGTATCTCCAAATTCTAACATTCTTTTAACATATTTTAAAATAGCGATTGATTTATTTGCATCATCGACATTCAAATTAAGTAATTAAGAGGAATAAAAGTTTTCATTTAAAAGTTATGGATAATCATTCAAAAATTTATCATCTTAAATTAGAAATTCCAAGACATTTAAGGATAATTCAGTATATTCAGTATCTAAAGAAATTTGAATTATAAAATTTAAGATATCTTTCTAACAAACATAAAATTAGATATCTTCCCATTCAACTACATTATAAAATAAAGTTAATAAAGATTTAATGCAATTTGGATTATTAGATGTCAAAAATAAATTAAAAATAAAATTATTGATTTCTTATTATTCAAATATTTGATATAATAGATGGGAATCCTTTATTTCTTATAAAATCCTCAAAATTATAGCGGTTAAATTGTCTTAATTTTTTAGCAAATATTTAATTGAATAAAGAACCAAATGATGATCGCTAGATTCCATTCTTGAAATTAGAATATATGCACATTAAAATGCAATATATTAAGGCATCAATTAACATAAGGTTTCTACTAGATATTTACTCAATATTGATTTAAATTCAACAATTTTAACACAAATATGCACTAATAATTTATTATAGGTTTCTTCTTAAATCAAGTTAACATTTTTATTAAGGATAAGCAATAATTCATCATCTTTCATTAAATATTCGAAAACATCAATATCATAATCAGCCAGCAAATTTTGAATGATTTCAAGAACATATTCAATATAAATAGGATTTTTAATATCAACATAAAGTATTTTTAAAAAATCGAAATTAGTATCGAATAGAAATCTAGCTCCAATTTTATCTCCAAATGTAAGATTGCAAAGAATCCAATAAATGGTGATTCGATAGTTTTATTGAAAATTCAATTCAAATTAAACGAGTAATTCATTCATGAGATCTTAATCTACTAAGTAATTATAATATTTAATCATAGCCTTTTGAAAATCGTTTTCAATATTTTCTTGAATGGCAATCATTTATTTTTTGATAATTTTAAGTTTATCATTCAAATCATGATCTTCTTATTCTGGGATAATAATTCTCTTTTTTTTGAGCTATAATTCAATAAACTCTTTTCGAATGACAGTTCTAAATTTTTCCCTTTTAAGATTCAAAATTGATGTAGATTGATCCATTATTAATATAATTGTTTTTATTTGGTATTATTATATCAAATTTAGATGGCTTATTTTTGGAACAAATTTTAAGCCTTGTTGACATCTCCAACAGTGAATAAGTTTTAAAGGTTGCTTACATCAACAGTCTAGAATGATATAATAAGATTATCATAATACTTATTGTTATTCACTGAGAACTGAATCATCTACTACAAGACTATAATTATCGTAATATTTAAGAATGTTTTAGACTTTATTAAGTTTATCTGCTCCAGTTAAAACAGTATTATATCCTTTTTCTAAACCTCCAACAACTATAAAATTAGAGATTCATAGATTTACCTATGCTAAAGTTGGTTACAGTTTATGGATCTCCTGATATAATAACATGTTTAGATGTCTATACTTTTTCACTCAATTTTATTAAGTCTTAATAAGTGTAGGTTTATAGTTATCCATTTTAAACTCTAGCAGTCACTGGCCCTGTAACATTTGGGAGAGTGAGTCGATTGAAGTTCCTGGAGGCATAGACTAATGATTCCTAGTGGCTTCAATAGTTTAATACTCTGAATTTATAGGTACCTGGATAAGAGTAAAATCCAGTATGAATTAACCATTTCAAATTAGCGAATTTACTACTCTTCAGACTTTCTCCTGATTAAGCTTTAGACAAATTAATATTAATAAATACTCTAAGCTGTTTCTGGTACTAAAGTCTTAAGAATTTCAATAAATTTGGTTTCTCCAATCAGTTGATTAGGTGAAAATACAATTCCTTTAGGATTGACTAAACTTATAGTCTTTTCAATTTCATTTGGATCATTGGATCTAAATGGTACTGTAATTACTCCTGCTTTAGCTGCTCCAGCAAATGTAGTAGCAGCTTCACTTGTATTAGATCTACCAAGCATGAGTAATAACTTATCTCCTTGTTTCCAACCTTATTCAATCAATCCATATGCTAATGCATTTGAATGTGTCTCTCAATAATTATTATTCTATACATCAAATTCACCAAATGTCCAAGTTAGATTCTAATTCTCAAATCTGAATCCATTTTTTAATGGATTTTATTTTACTGAGGTTGAGAATCCCTGATATATAAATCGTAGCATTTTTAATAAATAATTTAAATATAAATATAAAAATAAATGTTTCTTCTTAATTGGTTTGGAGGTAATAGCAATTAAAGTGGTAAAAATAAGAAAAAGAAGAAGAAGTAAAATGTTGTATAAAATCTCAATAAAACTTTGATCAATCCTATGAAAGAAATTAAATTATTTGGTCATTCTAAAATGGGATATGGTCCTAAAAAAACTGAATGTTAAGATTCCTATTGTACAATGGAGAGATTTACTGAAGATTGTTATTTTTATGCAGGTTAATTTAAATTTATATATTAAGTGTATGATGGTCATGGTTCTTCCGGTAAAGAAGCATCATAAGCAGCAAATGATTATATTTAAACATTTTTAGAGAAAAATCCAAAGAGAATTAAAGCATTATAGAATGATAAATAAAGAGAAAGCTTTTTAAAAAGTGCTTTTAAAAATGCAGAAGCAAAACTGAGATCATCTGGTATAGATTATAGTAATTCTGGAACATGTGCAATATCTATATTTGTTGTTAAGAACATGTGTTATATAGCAAATTTGGGTGATTCAAGAGCCGTACTATTTAGATAAACTGCAAAAGAGAAATTAGCCATTGAATTATCATACGATCATAAACCAACTAGACCAGATGAGAAAGAAAGAATAATAAGATGTGGTGGTAAGATAGAAAGATTGATACATGACGGTTAACCAGTTGGACCATATCGTATTTGGGCAGATGATGAAGGACCAGGAATTGCAATGACTAGAACGTATTAAAATTAAAAATTATAAATAAAGATTAGGAGATTTGTAAGCTAAGAAAATAGGTTTGATTTCAGAACCTGAAGTATAACATATAGAATTAACCAAATAAGATAAATTCATGGTTATTGGATCAGATGGAGTATGGGATGTGATGAGCAGTGCTGAAGTCTGTGGGTTTGTATTGAAACATGAACCAAAAGAAAGTGCAGCTGAAGCATTGGTAGTTCTTTAGAATTTAAATAGGTTACTGAATGTAGATCTAGATGGGATGAAATGAATAAATAAAAGAAAACCAATTCCAAAATTGGAGATTTACCATATCTTAAATTTGGTTGTGATGACATTACTGCTGTTATTGCTTATTTCACATTTATTGATGAATTAGAAGACAACTACTTCTAATAATAGAGATATTGAATCATAAATATAACAAAATAATATTTTATGATTTATATTGTGTTAAAATATCTGTATCATTTTAAAACCAATCTGACTTAAGGTATTCCCTTTATAATTTCTTAACTCTATATGTTTAATGTAAAATTGATAGTCAAATCAACATATTTCTAATTATTAATAATATTCATACTTATATTTCTAATAGTTTTATTATTGGCTAATCCAAAAAGTGTTTCTTTTCTTCTGGCTTTTTTGCATACATGATATCCATGTATACTGGTTAAGCCTTCAAAAAAACATCTCTAGGATGAAGATCATATTATTAATTCAAAATTTCAAACAACTATCCAAAAGTAGTCTATTTTGAAATTTCATGAGTCCATATATCCCATAACGTTACAGTCACTTTTTCATTGATTTTCTTCTTTGGTACCAACCCTGGTTCAGTAAGTTTCACAAATGGAATGGCAAGATTTACAAATGCATTTTTCATATTAGAAATTTAAACATTTTTAAGAGTCTTTATTAATTCTATTGTTTATAAACCTGCAACAACAGCAGTTGTAGTAGCTAATGCAGGTACAATACGTCCAGCTTTTATTTTTACTGTTAACCAATCCATTGATTCTAATTTATAATTTGCTGCTCTTAAATTGCCAAAAGAATGAATGAAATCTATATGTCCATTTTGATCATTATCTTTTTCGAATTCATCTGATAGTAAAGTAATTGGCAATAATTATCTAAATTATTTAAATAATAGTTGGGTTTCTTCTTAAGTACTTTAGTTTTGATTAGATTCATTTTCTTCTGTTTCTTCTTTTTACCCTTGCTCTTTAACTTTATCAGAGATAGACTAAAAATATAAATAAATAAAATATAAGTACCTTCTTTTTTTCTTCACTCGGTTACCATTCAAGGAAATTGATTAGATTAGCTTATTATGCTACTTATTATCTAAAAGTTTTAGTTCTCCAATCTTTGTCAGTTTAAAGACCAAACATTTTGGCTCTGAGAAAAGCAAAGGTGGATACAAATTATTGATGAATTTCATTGTCAGGATCAAATTAAATAGGTTTAGGAGGACGTTTAGGCATAGTCCAAAATAGATTACCATCTTTAGTTTTAGCATCTTCTGGATAAGTATACATAAGTTATTTGATATCATTGACAAAATATTTCTAGAATTTACCTCTTGCCCATTTTATGCAATCTTAAAAGGAAATTGGTTTATTTTTGAATAATTTAATACTTTCTCTTAAAGGTTTATTATCTTCTAAGCTAGGAATGTAATCATCAGCCATCATTTTTATTATTTGTTTGGGCCTTGCTGAAAAATGTTTACCAAATTTATCTCTTGCAAATTCTACACAATGAAAAGTTTCTTCTGGGAACATTTTTAATGTACAATATGGAATTTCTCCCTCTTCTACAGGATCATTAGAACTACCATAAGATTCAGTTTAAAATGGAATGATACATTATACATGACCTTTTGGTCCAAGAGTACCAGATTCTAAAAGAGGTTTTCTAGCATTTACACATCTTTTATCAACATATCTTCTAGCAGCAACATTATCAAGTGCATTAGCAATTATATCTTAATCCTCAAAGAATTGATCTGTGTATATGTGTTCAGTTGAATCATGAACTTTATCAAGTCTTGCTATTATGTGATCTCTTAAAAATGGATTCATTTAAATTACAGCAGCAGCAGCTGTCTAAGATTTTGGTTTTCTAAGATGTTTTTCTCTGAATAAGAATTATCTATTTAAGTTGCTCACTTCAATATGATCAGGATCTGTAATTGTAAGACAACCTTTTACTCCTAAATTAAGCATAGCAAAATTTTTAAGTAATTCACAACCTATTGCACCACATCCAACCATAAATACTTTAGATTTCTCTAATTTTTCAGAAATCTCAATTCCTAAGAATCTACTTAATGATCTTTCATTTGTTTTAACATCTTTAGGTATCTCTTTTTATAATACTTCAGTGCAATCAACATAAAAGAGTTACTAAACTGGAGTAAATTTGTTTGTTATTCCCTTTATAGCTTCTTAAGAAACAAATCCTCCTAAATAAGCAGACAAAGGAGAAAATTCTCCCAAAGTTGAATAATGTTTGAATAAGGATTCAAAATTCTAATCTTTGATTTCTTTATTATTATAAAGATTATGTAATTATTCAGTATTTTGTAATTTAATGAAATCATATTCTGACATATTGGGATCATAAATTGGTTTATCAATAAATTCTTGATTATAAGGCATGAAAGATAATTCTATAGGTACTTTAACTAATTTAATAGTTCCATTACGAATATATTTGGAGTATCCATTTAATTGTATTTCTAATACTGATTTATTGATAACTTAAACTTTCTATAAGGTTTTATTAATAGAATTTCCATTTGAATCAATCATTCCTTCTATGTTATCAATCATAACTACATCATTATCTTAAAACTCATGTTTTCCAGTAATTTCAAAATGCATTTTATTATCTCCTTTATCAATAACTGATTTTATGATATAATCAACTGTTTGTTCACCATTTTTATCTTCAACAATGAATGATTAACCAAAATCATTAAAAACTCTTCCAAAAACTCCATCAACAGAACTAATAATTAATTTAACCTTGTGTTAACGACATAAAAATGATAATTTGAATAATATATCATTTGGATATGAAGCACAAACAACAATAATATTATATTTTGTGAGATCAATATTAAGTAATTCTCCTGTTTCATAATTTACTCTAACATATGAATTGAGCTGTTGTAATTTTTCCCAACTTACTTCAGCTCTATTTTTACCAATATCTTTTTCTTCAATAAAAAACTATCCATTAAGATCATAAATAGAACATTTTGATTCATCATGAATAGTTAACATTTTAACTCCAGATAAAACAATATTTTTTGCTACTTCAATACCTAAAGCACCAATCCCTGATATTAATACACAGCTATTTGCTTGTTTTTTAACTGCATCCATTCCCATTGCTCCTATGTATCTACTCCATCTATCTAAAACATTTTCATCATTAGCTTCAAATTCCTTCTATTATATCTTTGTATATGTAACATCTACTTCATCTAAATTAGCCATTCCGTCTTTTACATTTTTCACTTTTGGTTACTTTTTAATATGAGTCTTTAAAACTCTAGAACCTTCTAAATCAATAGCAGAAGGTGGTTATATTTTATTTAATTCTTCTTCTAATTCTTTTACAGCTTCACACAATTTCTTATGATATGCTTTCTTATTCTTTTTAAATTCACTACACCAACTAGAATTATGATCGTTCAATAATCCTATATATACAGCTTCCTTTGTATCTGCAAGTTCAATCCATTTATTACATTCCTCTAAGATTTCTTATTTCTTTAAATAGAAATGTCTCCTAATAATGGTTTCAAAACCTTTAGGAGGATCTCTAATTTAATCTATCATAGCATATTTTATATTGCAATATCTCACAATATTTGAATATCCCTCATTTTTCTTTTCTCCTTCTTCTGTATTTGCCTCCTATTCAAATCCTGGTTCATTGAAATATACTTCTTCACTCATTATAATAGCTTAAGTAGATACCAATACTTAAAGTAAAGTAGAGATTTTTGGATCCCAATTTTCTGACGCATTTCCTCTCCAAGTACCCAAAAGAGATAGACATACTTTTCCACAACTATATAAATTTGGATTAAATCTCACTTTTCCATTTCCAGTTGTTGATAAATTCATTTTAGGAGGAGCATTTGGATATGAGTCATCTGCATATATATCAAAAAGAAAAGCACCATGTGCATATGGAGTTCCTTTTGCACCCATAACAAGAGCCTTCATCACATCTACACGTTCTTTGTCAGCTCTTACAAATATTGCATTTGTATGTTCTATTGGTAATGATGTTGACATATCAGCAAATTCTTAAGCCAATCTTACTATTTTATCTTGATTTATTTGAGTTGAAATATTTCCAGAATAATGATGTTTATATCTACCACTTACTTTCATATCTATATAACTGAATCTTAAATCAGACAACAATGTTCTGTATGCTTCTGCTAATTATTTTGATAGAATTTATGTTATTAATTCATTTGCTAACTCTTTCTATTTTCTTAGTTGCTCTGTTTCATCTTCTTCATTGCTACTGCTACCACTATCATTCATTTTATTTATACAATTCTCCATACGTTTATGAGTATCTATTATCATTTTTGCAATCTCAAAAGAATGTTCTTCATCTTCATTCTTCTTTCGATTATTTGAAAAACAATCTAAAAAGATTCTTGAAGTATCTGCCAACGAAGTTAATAATTCAAATAATGATTATGTTTAAGGGGGATAATATTATTCTGGTATCTTTAAGAAAACACTAGCCAATACTTTATGATGAGACATTGATTAAACTATCTTTAAATACTTACAATATAAGTCAAATTCTTTTGATATTTCTAAAAGTGAACCACTTCTAAAGGCACTTTCTAATAAAGGAAGTAGTGCACTTTCAAATAATGTATTTTTTAATTTATGTAATAATTCTTCGCTTGGATGCCAATGTTAAAAATCAAAAAATGATTCAACTATACCTAGTAACCCTATCAATTATAAGGATTTTTGTGTTTTTTTCTCCACATATTCTATGGTATTCCATTTTTAATTTTATCCTGTATTATCACTTGCATATCCTACTCCTCTTTTTTATTTTGTAGATTTTTATAAAGAGTTATTTTTTTAAGGTGATTCCTAAACTACTTATTCTTCAACTACATTTCTAAATACCCTCTTAGTCTCCCTACTAACCAAAGCTATTCTGTCTAAAATTTATTTAATTAAATTTTGTTCCAAAGCCTTTATTCTTACTTCAGGTCCACTACTAGCACTAAATACATTAACTAAAGTAGTATAAATGAATTTGACAGCATTTTATTCTTCCTCTTCTAATTTCTTATTATTGTTTGAATCTGGAGGCCCAGCAATTAAATCAAATAATAAATTTACACATTGCTAATTCTTCATAAACAAATTGAAAAAGTTAGGTAATTAGCAAAATGATTATAATTCATTCAAAAATTAAAGCCAAGCATTGGCTCTCTATTAGTTTTTCCATTATCCAATACCTTCTCTAATAACTGATAACATAGCATTTACTCCATTAAGTTCTTCAAACATTGGAAATATTGTTAATTATTATGGATATGTGAAGGTTGAAGTTTTTGGTTGAATATTGTCGATAAATTCCCTTGCATTGATCACCAATTCAATAATATTTTATTGATTTGTAGGCAATTCACTTAATTTAGTCTGTTTATCAAATAAATTACATTCTTATTTTAAACTATATTTGTTAAAAGAAACCAATTATTTTAATTCACACAATTTTAAAGAGCTTGGTAATTAATAGACAGGAACAACACTGTAATATTACAAAGATTGATTGGTTTCATAATTAGAGAAAAGTAAACTAGTAGTATCTTATGGTATGTTAATTTATGGTAACATTTTCTTCTATTTTTAAGGTCTAATTCCAGAGATATAATATTCAATCTTTAAATTATCTAAGGTTCCTTGATCCTTTAAATTTAAAGATGTTAAATTAATTCTTGAGGGCTCTCCTGTTACATATTCAATTTCCAAAAATACTTAATCCTTATTTTGGAATGTTAAGGTGCCTTACTCATCATATATTTCAATTTAAGCATTTATGTCAATATCTTGATTTACAATTAAGTTATTTTCATTGAAATAAAAAACTTTCATTTTACCCTAATTCCAACTATATGTTAAATCTAATTTATCTGTTTTTGTGCATTTTACATTATGATATAAAATAATAGTTTTGTCTACATTATTAATTCTATAATTAATAATCATCATTTAAGGTGTTGAATTGAAGAATTTATCTTCCAAATGTGGGAGCATATCTGAATCTCCATCATTTTTTTGATAAGCTACCTTACTCCAATAAGTTTCTCTCACATATCCAAATAATTGATCCCTTTATTTTATTGTAAGTAATTATGAATCAAATACTAATTCATCTTAGCATTGATTATTATCAATCTATTTTGTTACTATTAATTTTGGATCTAAAATATATTTACCTTGATCTTCAAATTGAATTTTCAAAAATACATAATCTTCACTGTTAAGAATAGGAACTAATAAAGATCGAACAAACTTCATATCTTTATTCCCTTCCAATCTACCAATATCTCTAATTAATGCTTCAATTATGAATTTTGCATGATATTTTTATACCATGTAACTGATGAATTTTGCTACTAATTCAACTGTTTTATCATCCATTTATTTTAAAATTGTTTTACTAGTAGGTTCCTCTATCAATTGATTGTAAAGAGGTAAAAGATATTTCAGAAGATGATCAGCAATCTATTTATTTGTTGATAGAGTATAAAAGAATTAGATAACATAATTTAGTTCAAATTTACCAAATATAGAGTCCAATTGATTTATAATCCAATCGATACTAACTCTATTTCCTAGTGCCAATGGTCCAAGAACTTCAAAGAAATATGGTTAAGTTCTACTCTTATCCAAAGTAAACTACAATATCTATTCAATTTCTTCAATTTATTAATAAGGATGTGGGAGGTAAGTAATTGTAACAATTAATTTAATAAGTAAATGTCTTGCATGTTTATTATGCAATAATTAAAATAATTCAATTAGATGAATGATATCATTTTTGTTAATATTTAAACTTAATTCTCTTTATTTTAACTTACTATTTTATAATAAAAGAACATTGCAATAAGATTCTATAAAATGTTGAGCTAATTTCTCATACCATAAAAGATCTTATTATTAATGATTATTAATTTGTAGAGCCATAAGTTTTTCAAAAAGATGACGGTGTAATTTTAAGAATCTATCATGGACGTGCTCTCCTTCCAAAATAATTTAACTTAATAATTTACTATGAGATTATTCAGGATATTCCATCAACTTTTCAACCAACCAATCTCCTACCTAATGATTATATTTAGCAATTGCAAGAATCAAAGGACTTAATTAAAATGAGTAAGAATTTAGAGCATTCATAAATTTATTTATATTACTTTAGAGTTACTCCAATACAATTGAATCATTAGCTAAATGTTATAAAGTTTTCTAATAGTTTGGTTTGCAAAATTTAGATAAAATATCAATAGCTGCCTTTTCTTATAAGTTATATATGAAATCAACTTTTTATCTATTTGCAGCATAACCAAGAACTGAAATAAAACTTATACCTAAACACAACTTTTTAATAGTTCTAGACATATCCAATTATTCTACATATTATTATCTCATTCTAAAACTTATGAATTTGACAGATTATCCCATAGGTAGTTGTTATTTATCCATAACTTATGAATTATAACAAAAAACTTTGACTTAAAATTGTGAATAATGTTCATCATTAATTAATTACATTTCAGCAATTGGATATAGTTCTTCTAAGGATTTTCCTACTTCAAGTAAGATGCTACTTGGAGTACCTAATTATTTATCAGCAAAGTCAGTAGTAAATGTTTGAATTCCTAATTTGATATTTTTTATTTCAATTTCATTATCTAATTAGAATACCATTTAATATTCACTTCTCATTCCCTAAGGAAGAGTAATAAGAACTAATCTGCTCTTGGCTCCTTTTTTATGCAATGGCCAATCTAAATTAGAAACATTTTAGCCTGGTAAATTGAATACTTTCATTTTATTACCGAATTCTTCTTCTAAAAATTATACCTATGTTGGCTATTTCTCCTTGATAATTTTATTTATTAAATAATGATAAATATCAGATTAAAATTGTTATGCAACATCATCTGATGTTAAATATTTGTCAAATTATTATTGAATAACTTCTAAAATCTGTGTTGTATATGTATGTGCAGTATATGAAGTTATCTAATTATTTTCATATTAATTCACTATCACATTATCTATGATGTATTATTATTAGAATAATTATTTTAACATATATTATTTACAAGGCAATAGTTCAAATAATTAATCTAATGAATCACTAATCTATTTTAGTAATTAACTAGCATATGAATGCATTGTATTTGCATTATATGAATTCAAACAGTACCATTCAATTAAATGATTCAAATCTGGATTTTCATTTAGTTGAATTAGTGTTTATTCACTTTACACAAGTAAATAAATCATTGATTAACAGAGCTCTAGTTATTAAATCATTTGACTATCAGCATTAATTATTCCATCTCTTCCTCCTATATATGGTAGATACATTCCTATATATTTGAGCAAATTGTTCACATTATTCAAATATATATTTTAAACCTCTTATGAGAATACTATAAATATATGGTTAATGTCAGTTAATCCCAAATGTGGAAGTAAAGCATCAATTATTTGAGAACATGTTTAATTTTATTGCACTTATTATTAAGCTAAATTTAAAGTCAATTATAATAATTCATTCATCAATAATTTCTATTTACATCCTATATATGACTGAATAACTCTATCATATATTTATAATTCATTCTAAAGTTGAGGAGTTATCATCAATATCACTTTTAATACTTTATTCCAAATTTGATAATTCTCTGATTTCTCTAATAAAATTATTAATCTATTTATTGTATCAGGATAGCATATTTAAATATGTTATCTTTATAAGAAATCCTCGAAATCAGTCAATTATTTATTGTTTCCTCTTATTTTTAATTTATTTACCTTTTTAACGCTTCTTGTTAGAAAATCAAATAACAAAAGTAAATTATCAATTGTTAATTGTTCAACATTATCCTTTATATAAGTTTAACAAAAGTAAATGATGTATTTTGATATATACATCAAGCTTTCCTTTTCTATTTGCAAAATGTTATTAATTTGATCACTTAATTAAAGAGTAGCTGCCCAATCTGTATATTTACTTTCCAATTATTTTGGTTAAAATAGCATGTCTAAAAGAGTTTTTAATTTTTCAGGTTATAACAATCCTTTTGTTAATAAATCAGTAAAAATTTTTTGATTAAAGGAATTCTTTATTTGAAGGGCTGTACATTTAGGTAAAACACTCTACAATAAATTTAATCTAAACTTTTTATCATTAACAAGATATTCAAGGACCAATACTAATATTTTTTCATTCTCTGGATTACCATCCTCTGTCAATATTTATTAAGGCATTCTTTATAATTAATTTACTAAAGCTTCATATAAAATGTCATCATTTAATAGAATTAATTATTTTAATGATTCTAATAGTGGAATTGGTAATTAATGTAATAATTTTTTCTTCAAAGTATTTTGACTTGTAATTTATTCTAATATCAAATCATTCCATTCTTAATCTGGAATTTGTTACTTAACTTTCTTTTGAATGAATTATAAAGCTAAATCAGTAACACCTTTTAAATCTCCTAATGATATGATAAGTTGAATAAATTATATAGCATCAGGTACTTTTCCAGATACAGCAATAAGCATTCTCAATAGAAGGGATGAAAATACGGTCAAGAAATTTGAATTATTTTCATAATTTCTTGGAGGTGCAACTTTCAAAAATTCTAATTGAGTTTATTCTATAAGGCTCTAAAGATGACTAGTTTATAATTTACATTTTTCTTTTAATTACATTTCTGATTGTAATTTATAAATAGCTTATTCTAAGTAATCAGCATTTCTCCTTAATGATTTTGTTGACATTACAATGTAATGATCAGTCAAATCAGTTTTTTTATAAACATTATATGAATCCATGAGTATTGATTGATCTGATTAATAAACATAGTATAGAGTATCTCCTAAGGATAAAGTAGTCTTATATCTAAAATCTTCAGTGATTTCTAAAGGACTTAATTCAGCATTTATTAGAGATCCATAAAATTCTGGAATAACAGTTAAATAATTTTATGGTATTTATAATTGAGCTGCTTGTTTTGAGTAATAATTGTCACTTCCCAAAGTTAATTGAACCAATAATTTACGTGCTCTCACTCCATTTAGTGCAATGTGTAAACAATTATAATTATGATAATTGGCACTTTTATGTACATAATCAGTAAATTAAACAAAAGTCCATTCATCAAATACTTAATCCAATACTAGATTATCTACCCAAACCTAAACTCTAAATTTAACGTAATTTGATGTTTATTGAAATCTCAAGGATAACTTTTCAATTTCAAATTCTCCTAAGAGATTGACTTCAAATCTTCTAATTTATTATTTATTTGATAGTTGCATAATTAAAATCTAAGATAGAGGATCCTTTTGACATATTAAAGACTTTTAGTTTCCATTTTATTAAATTAAAGTTTCATCTATTTCTTCGATTTAAACTTGCCCCTAAGGTCCTCCAAATTTAGTAGAAAACAAGAATGTATCTTTATGTTGTTATGTTTTTAATTTTTGTAAAGCAAATAATAAAGATTTCATTGCCATATCTGTAATTTCTTGTGTTTTAAATTTTGCTGTATAGGTGATTAATCCTAAAAAGTATTCTAAACCACTTTCTGTTAAGACTATTTTTTCAATCTTGTTTAATATTTATTATGCCACCTAAATAAGGATATCATGAAATTCATTATGTTATTAGAGTAAACAGAAAAATTCAGTGACTTATTCATTAACATCTTAAGATAAAACATTTCCAAGGATGAATTTATATAAATTCATAAGTTCTAAAACTTTTTTAGATTCTTTCTTCATAAACAAATTAAGAACAGTCAAGGCACCTGGTTTTTTTTGATATACTTATTCAATAAGATTATCTAACTCATTGATTTATAAATTATTGTATTTTTTACCAGTTACAATAATTTTTAATAATTGATATTATGAATCATTATAAGGTTTGATAATGAAATCTCCTGAAAACACAGTATCAAATTCAATTATACCATTACTAGGATATCCATTGATACCTTGATATTTGCATTAAACCATTAATTTATCAGGTAATTCAATTCTTTATCTGAGTTAATTTAATAATTAGCATTCTGATATAGCTCCAATATTAGATTATTCACTTTAAGTTTTAGGAATTTCTTTACCATAAGCAGTAAAACCTTTTATTTCAATAGAATTGGTTTAGAAATGTGCTGTATGATCATGAGGTGTTTTTCTGAAATTAGTAGGTTTAAGCATAATATATTTACAAGGTCTAATAACTTCTAATTAACATATAGCTTCTTTAGAATCAGCTTCAAATTCAAAATATCCAACTGGTTCATTAGCATATAAACATTAATGATTTAATTTCCATTTTTCATATTGTTATTTATCAAAATTATCAAATTCTGAAGTATCGCTTAATTCATGTTCTTCTTTTGAAATGAATATTAGTCCTGCTCCAATAGGGAATCCTCTTAGAATATTTGTAGTTTCACTTTTGATAATAACATGATCTACAAGCATAACTTCATCAAATTGGTTTCTAAAAATAAATTATGTTTTTGGATAGTTACTAGAAAATGGTTTAACATTATCATAAAGCATTTAAGTAACAAATGTTTAATCATTGAAGGCAGCTCCTTTGAATGAATGTACAGTAAGTGCCAATTTTTATGGATCACTAACAGTTAAAGGACTATTCATTAATAGAATTTATTTTGGTTCTTCGATTGGACCTTCAAAAATAGCTTTGATATGAATATGAATGAATTTATCTTCAATATAAAATTTCTATGTATGAATATCATCAATAACAGTTTAAAAGATTTAAACTTCTTCACTTTGAATTATATTATTCTCTAAAATTTCAGCATTATCTTCAATTTATTTGAGTTGATTATTGCTCTCATAATAGATTATATTATCTTTAATATAAGCATTTGAAATAGTTTCTGAAATTTCTGAAACATTTAAATGAGCATCTATAACAAAATTCTTAGATTAACCAATGACAAGACATTTAGTTTTTGATATGAGCAATTTATAATTGAATCCAACTTAAATCAATTTAATAAATTCAATTTTTTAATTTTATGAGATTTCATAAATACTAAAGATTTGATCACAAAGCAAAAATATATACAATCTATTATTCCATATAGCAGTATCAATAGATTAAATATCATGTTCTACTTATATAGCTTTGTGATCAGCTTTTATCATTTCTAATTTCTTAGAATGTTTGCTATATAGAGGCGCTAAAGTTTCAACAATTTATCTACTGGTTTCTGATTACAATAATAGTGAATAATCTTTATTTTTACTCCAACAATTGGTTAAAACACAATAATATCCATCATCATTGATAAAAAATTGATCTAAGTAATTTGAAGAATATGAAATAAATTTAATAGAGAGTATATTTTTATTATGTATACTAGCTATTAGAATAGGAAACATAGTATTATTACTATTCCAATGAATAATAGTTACATGATCAATACTACCTTTAGTAATTTTATCTTTTATATCTGAATTAATTTCTTCATTTTCTTCTACTTCTGCTTAATCTTATTAGATTTATAATTATTATTTAATAATAAATTGTTCAATTTGTTATTCTTCTGGTTTTTATGCTTCACATGCTTCACAATTTTGATTAGTTTCTTTATTTAATAAAGTACATATAGTACATTACCATTCTCCAGTAGTACTACTAACAATATCAAGTGCATTTTCAAAATTATTATTAGTTTAAATAAGTGCTTCTTTACAAGTAGATTCATCAAAACCCATTCCAATTAATTTTTCAAGTAATGTTTAATCATATAATGGTAATTATTCTGTTTCTCCTGTTATATAGCTTTCCAATATTTTATATATATGACTTGGTGTTTCTTCAGATTAAACTTCAATTTTCTTTTTATTTTTTTAATATGGTCCCAATTATCTTAAATCTACATCAATTACTTTAAATAGTTCTGCTTCACCATTATATATTGTTATCTAATCATTATTTCTGAGAGAGAAATAACGATCACTTTTACATGGAATTCTTTAACCTTATGCTGTAATTTCACTTCGCAATATTAATTTAGAATGACTAACTCCATTTTTATTAATTTCATCATCACAATATGCATATTTTACTCCACAACCTGGTTATAAATATTTTCCATATTCTACAACATTAAATGGATTTTCTGTTGCAGGATGATCAGCAAATGTTAATAATCTCGTTTTTGCAGAATCAATAGTTGTAATATCTTCAAATTATTCAATTAATTAAACAATTATTCTATCAGCTATCTTGCATTATTCTATTGAATATTTAAATTCAAATTCATCCTTTTTTTCTTCCTAAATAATATCCTCATTATTAGGTAACATCTATGTAATTTCTTATAATAATTAATCCTTCTTCTATTCTTTAGGTTTACTTTCAAATTTATCTCTTAACTTTCTCATATAATGTTTTAAATACTATCTTACCCTTTTAAGTTTCTTCGATGTTTATTCATCTAATTTTAAATATACTATCTCATTGTCTTAATGATAATTGCAAATAATTAAATTCATCTTTATAAGAATATCTAATTCTGCTTTAAGAATTTATTATCCAAACAAAGGACAATTTCGTACAGACACTAATCGATCTTCATATAAATGAATTTGATTTCTATCTATATCATATTATGAATACTTATTTATCGAAAATTAAGGATTTCGATGTAATATTTCCTAAGTCTAAATGTATACTTGTTCTAAATGTTCTACTACACTTCGATCTTCATATTTCATTGTCAAATACACAGAATTTCCATATTATGATAACCTAACACAAGGGTACCATGCACATTAAACTAGACTTCCTTTTTGTAACCCTTTGTTTGTACTCAGATTTCCATTCAAGTAGAATTACAATGATTGCTCGTTGAAATTAAGAAGCACACCCACCACTCTCTAAGTTGTCGTTTTAAATTCGAATAGGTGTCCCTCAAAATTTTCACTTGGAGATGACTATTTGGATATGCCAATCTGCAATTAGGACTACGCCTTACTTTCACTCCATCTGTATTAAAAGGGCATACGATTTCCCAATAATGAACGCCTTCGCTGAAACATATATTCGCTATTGCTAAACCACTCGAGTCTTTTGACGGATTAAGCTGCTATATTGTTGTGCCTTATAACGATGCCACTGTATGTGGTGTTAATTATGAAAAGAACATTAATTAAATAATTACCTCTGATATATTCTGAACAGGTATTTAGATTAATGTACTAGAATCAAATACACTTATCATTTATTTTTACTAATTCAATACTATAATGGACATAATTGATAACATTTTATTATGGTATCACAAAAAAGAAGACATTTAATATAATATTCTTTTTGAATTACAGCAATTCTATTTATTAAATTATACTTAATGTATATTTATATAAAATGCTTCTATTTCAGTATTGTGATCTAAACATCATTCATTAAATTAAATAATTTTTAAAAATGTCATCGGATTCACCATCGCATAAAAAAGAGGAGGCCAATCGAATCTATGTGACAGGATATTCTGCTAAAGAATCAGAAATGGAAATAAAGAGCGAATTTGCAAGACATGGAGAAATTCAAGAGTTTTCTTGGAAAGGGCGATTTTGTTTCATCGTAAGACATGGACCGTTTGGCATTTAGGGTACAGGCTTATGCCAAGCCTGAAGACGCATCTAATGCTGTTAGATTAATGAACATGTAAGACTTTAATGGAAGAAACCTAATTGTCGAGTTAGCAAGAGCAAAGAAAAAAGATGGTGCATGCTATTAATGTGGAAAATAGGGGCATTTGTAATTATAAATATCATTTTATTTAGTGCCCGAAATTGTCGTCTCAATCGACGTTCCTACTCTGACTCCAGGTATAAGAACATGTGACATTAGGCGCCATTCAAAAAAGAAAAAAAAACATCCAAAGCATCGATCTTCTAGCTCTTCCTCCAGTAGTGAAAAGAAAAAGTCGAAGAAAAAAAGGAGAAAGAGTTCCTCGAGTTCTCATTCACGATCTAGTGATTGATATTAAATATTCAAATATATTAATAGTAAATTATAATATTAATCTCATTCCTAAAACTTTTGATTTGTTATATGCGATAAAATTGTTGTCATTATTCTATCCTCATTTCCTCCTTTTAACTCTTTTTTAAATGTAGGCATCTTAGATAAATTTCTTTTTATGTTTTGTTGGCTCACCTCGTTATCTCTTATGAACATTCTTTTATCCACTTTAATTATTTACATTAAAACTTACAATCAATCACTCCAAAACATTTCTCATTCTGCATAAGCAAATTGCTTTATATCATAAAAGTTTCCAAAACTTTGTGTCCAAATGTAACAAATATTCGAACAGATTCTTCTGCACAATAATTATTGATCTTTTAAGCTATCACATCACTCTCTTGTCTGACAAAAGTTTTAATTTCTGTTTACATTACTCTAGTTTTTAAAAACATCTCATTCAAATTAACAGTTTTAAAACATGATGCTTTTGCAGCACTACTGACTCCATTTTCTTTACATTAAGGTGACAATGGCTCTTAACATAGTAGAGTACGTTTAGGTTTTTAATTATTAATGAAGAACTAAAAACAATTATCAGGTAAAAAAGGATCTAAAGATTATACATGAACAGAAAAGTTCCATAACATAGTTTATTAATTAATTCTATTAATCTCTAACTTTGATTTCATGATATTATGTTATCTATTTTTGGAATCTATTTTTGCCCCATCTTAAAATAGAATAAATAAAATACCTGGACAAACAAGTGCAAAATCTAATTAAAAGTTATTTTTATTAGGAACATAAATTAAGATATGATATTGATTAATAAGACTGTAATAATCTGGAATCATAGGAATATTAAGTAGTTAACCAGTAGAATTGGCAAGAACATCAAAATCATAAGAAACTTATAAGAATCCTTTTCTTTAAGCATGAACTCTGACTTGTTTGAACATTAATCCTGGACAACTATATAATCCTTATTCATTAGTAATGCCAACAATAGGTTCTTAATCTGCTTAATCAGATTAAAATATTTCAAGTCTACAATTTTCAATATCTTTGTGTTATCCACTTCTTAATAGAATATTGTAAGCTCTAAATTATAATGTAGTTTCAACACAACTAACTAAATCGAATTCAATTTTCACATCAGTGTTTCCTTGTAAAAAAACAGTTCTTTTTTAAGAAAAGCAATCTTTTTTACTAACATCAATAAGATATTCTTATTTGTCTCTACCATAAAATACAAAAGCTTATTCATTAATGTCAAAAGTTAAAGTTTCAGTAATATTTTTAGTTACATTAATAGTAGCATCTTCTGGAGCTTTAACAATACATTTGATAACATCATTCCTTTCAACTCTAGTTGAAACATATACAGTATCTGTATTATCATCTAAAAGTTCATCAACATTTAATTATGTTTTAGTTGTTTAAATACAATTTCCTGTAATTTCTATTTCATATGCATTGACTTATTAAACTAAATCAATAAATTTAGCTTCATCAAAACAACTAATTGGAATTGTTTAACTGAATAATTTCACTGTAAACTTTTTCTCAGGAGATTAAGCTCTTTATTTTTAACCTGAGAGATCAATTTATGAAATATTAGTTTATGTCATCCATGCTTATGATTTAGTAGGAGAAAAATAAACTCTTACTGATTTTTCTATATCTCTAATGTTTTCTGTACTCTTATAAATATCTAGTTTAGAAGCGCTTTTTTATGCACTTCCTTATTAACAAAATGAAGTTCTTATGACTATTTATTTTGTTGGAGTTTATGCTGACTATAATGTTGGAGTTTCTCTCTAACGGACTGTAACTTAAAGTCCCTCTAAAATATTTCTTTATATTCCATCTTCACAAACAGGAACTACATTCTTTATTGGACAATCAACATTGACTGTTAAATTAAATTTTCTAAGATGAAGCCACACCAAATCAGCTATTAATTTAGGAGTGATCTACTCTTTTGAAAATTACCTAGAATACAATACAACTGAATGCACTTCAGGCTAATAAAGTTATATTTATAAGTAATGATCAGAATGACTTATTTATTATCGAAATACTTTTATGAAGGGATACCTATCAAATATACATATTAATATTACTTTCTATTGATTGTTTACTTTATCTCATCTAATAAATCTTAAAATGCTTCTTTTGTTTCCTCTACTCCTGTACTCTTATATTTTGGATTATAACAACTCTATATCGATACTGCTAATTGTTATGATTTTAGTTAATCAAATTCAGGAAAATTTACAAACGAGGCTTTATCTTAAACACATGAAATCATATTTCGTAAAAATTCCTTGTATTATAAAGTAATTTTGGTTGTCATTGCTGGTACCATTGTGTCATTAAAAAAACTAAATCTCTACTAATAACTTACCTAACTTTAGATTTAAACTTAAATCTATTTGGAGATTGCTATGAATTTATACTGCTGGTTGTTTAGAACATAATTTTATAATTGATCGTTAAAAAATTAAAAGAGGTTTTTCATTGATCATCATTCATATTAACTTAACTCTACATTCCATTTTAAATTAAAAGAATTATATAATTGAATAATCAATCCTTCAATAACTATCATATATATACGTTTTCTATTTATTTTTTATCAATTTCTTCTTTTTATTTACACATACTTATTATTTAGAAAGCCTTTCTAAATTTATATTTGATATAATCTTAAATATTTTATATATCTATTATATAAATCAAGAATTATTTAGTCTCTGATACTTATTACAATCTTATTATTTATTTGATATTTCCAATCCTTTTTTTTATTTCTCATTTTCTAATTAATAACTTTAAACTTCTATGCTCGAAGCAGATTCTCTTCCTCCAAAGTTCTACATATTATAACTATATATTTCATCTGAAAATTGATTCTAAGGTTAATTTTATTAATTGCTCTTATACTAACTCAAAACAAATCAAATAAACTCGAATTCTATTTAGTAAAACTTAATTATTTTTTATTCAATAAAATTTTAATTAAGATTCTCATTGATTCTTTGAAATAATGCTCCTAATTAAGTTTTTAATACCACCCATTTTGCTAAAAGAACATTTATTGGTACTATACCTATTTAAAATTAATAATCATGTTTTGTTTTATATCAACAATTAATATTGAATATCAAAATTTTTAAATTTGTTCTGATTACTAAATTATCCTTGCGGGGCTTGTGATAAATGTTAAATCTAATCTTTTATCTTTTTCAGATATTTATGAATTAAATAACAACTTTTTTTTTATTGTAATTAATTTGTAAAAATATCAAATTATTCTTTTTAGTTAGCCATCCCATCTTAAAAAGCAAGAGAACAAAATTTATTAAATAAAATTAATTAATTATCATAAAAAAAAAATTTTTAAGCAGTCAAACTTATAGAGTTTTTTGAAGGATATTAGTTAGATCTAAATCATAATAAATTTTTGATTTAGCTATTTAAGATATTTTAATTTCTTTTTCAGTTTTAAGATTGTCTTAACTCTATATATACTTAAACAATCTGTAAATTAAATATTTTATATATTGGATGAAAAAATATCCGATTACGTTAATATCTAATTTATGATAATCAAAATTAAATACTTTTAAGTATCCCCACCTTGAATTAATAAAACAATTTACCAATAACTGTAAAAGATTTTTGCCTTTGATTAATATTGAATTCATAAAAAGTAATAAAGCATATCAACTCTTTTTAATAAATTTCTTATCTTATAATTATTATTCTTCAAATACTACACAAAGATTCTCTTCGTATATATTATTAATGTTAAATTATTTAGTTAAATCATTATGTAAAATGAAGAAACATAAAGTAATTGTATATATATCATAAAAAAATATTAGTACAAGATTAAATTTTGAATGATCAAGGGTATGTTTAATAAATAGACTTTAAAGGAGAATAATACTTTACTTTAAAATTAAATTGGTATTATTTTAAAAATACCTTTTATAAATAATAAATGAAGGTTGAATTAAGTATAAAACATATTTGTCTTTCAGATATAATTTTAAAAAATCATTATTTTGGCTATTTTTTTGATAAATTTTTATTAAATGGCAAATGATTAGTGTGTATATGTAATTATTTTTGAGCATTTTAATAAATGAATTTATAAATATTTGTACTAATATCAATTAACTAAATTTAGGACACCTAATTTTCCATCTGAAGTTCCATAACTTAGTTTATTGTAACTTGTATTATGATCCATAGTCATGATTCCACTTAGAGAACAACAAAAAGAATCAACACATCTATATTAAGAATCATATTATCTAATTTCAGAAAAAACACTAAAATAATATAATTTTATATACCTTCCAGCATTAGCAGCATAAATGAAATTGGTTCTTTTATCAAATTTACATGCATATAATTTACTTACATTTAATTTTGGTAATAAACCTTAAACATTATTTGCATGTTCTGCCCATTCTATAGTCTATAATTTATTTAATGTTCTGGTATCCCAAATTTCCAATTATTTTTCATCTCTATATGATGCAGTAATTAATTAAAATCCTTTTGAATCCATTGCATCTCCATAAACACAAGGACCAAAGATATAACCAGTTGATTTCTTTTATCTTAAATCCCATTATATAACCATTTTATCCCATCCTCCTGTATAGAGTTAATTATGATCACCCTAATTAAATTTCATACCAAATATTCGATTCTAATGAACAGCTGATTGTCCTTCTACAAATGTAGTTGGTGTTTTACTTAATTTTCCACAATCATATAATTTAACCTAACAATCTGAACCACCTATAACAAATTTATCACCATCTAATGAAAATTCACAACAATTTATTTAATTATCTTTATCTTCTAAATTAAATAAGCATTATTTTGATGTTGCATGCCAATATATAATACTTCCATTTGCATATGTTGATAATAATGTATGTTTTAAGTGTTCTACTACTTAACCAGGTCTCCATTTTACACATGTTGCTGGACCTGGTTTCTATTTTGGGTCTAATAATGGAACTATTGTATAATCTTTCCCCAAATAAGCAATATTTATCAAACCATCAGAATTAGCTGAAGCTAAAAATTAAGTTGTATTATCAAATGCACATGAAAGTACTTTTGTTGGCTTAATATATATATACACTTTATACTTCTCCTGTTACAATATCATTCTAGAATTAGTAATTTTTTAATTAGGAAAAACATGATTAAGCAAAAATATCCTTATATGCTGTTTTTATTCTTTCTAAAAGTGTAGAATCCTCAATTACTACATTCTCATTTGTTTCTGTTGATTGTGAAACTTATGTAGATAAATTTCTTTGCCCTTCTTTCAAACTTTACATTTATTTATGATTCAATTGTTTTTTTAATAAAATATCAAATTTCTAACCAGAATATGAAGAAATTAATTTTATATCAACAACAATAAGACAATATTTCATTTATAAATTATTCATCTCTTTTTTTTATTCCAAACTTTTTAATCATTTAATACTTTAAATATTTATTTTTTTTATCTATCATAAGGATAGATATAATAATGCTTATCTTATTTCTTAATCACACATATATAATCCAAACTAAATAGATATATTATAATATTATTACAATATTTAAATTATGATCAATGCTTTCCTAATTTTATAGTATCATAACAAATGATTAGTCATATGCTAATTATTAATTTAATTTGTAAAAACTGATAATAAGTCTTATTTAATGATGTAGCTTCAATATATTTAAATACAATTCAAAAAATCAAATCAAAATTTTAAGTAAAGTGTTTCAATTAAGATACATTATACAATAATTTAGCTAAAATTCTTTTTAAAATTATAATATTTTAATATTGCACAATCTATGTATCAATTAATTTTGATAATTCTATATGATATCATTTTATACTAAGATGCAATTAAAATAAATTATTATTAAAATTTATTTGATATTTTAAAAAAATTTGGAATATAAAAATAAAAAACTTTTAATTAAAAATACTCTAAAAATTAAAAACATAAATTCATAAGAGTTAGTAATTTTTTTTATTAAGTTATCATTTTTAAATTATATAAAATTAGAAAAAAGTATATAATTAGGATAATTAATTTTTAAAAATGAATAAATCTAAATATCATAAATATTTCCCATATTTTATTTGAATATTATTCATTAAAGTACTTTAAATTTCTTTGAGAGTTGATGAGTAACTTTTTTTTGGAATATACATTAATTTAATATCTTCTTCTGCTACATAAGTGAATGTTTCAATTTGATTAGTTACAATACTTTAATCACCAAAATATTCTCCAAGTTTACATAATTCAAATATTTTTTCTTAAAATAATATAATAATTTTACAATTATTTTTCAAAACAGACACTCTTCCTGATTCTATAATAAAAATTTCATTGCTTTTTGATCCTGATTATAGAATGATATCACCTTTTTTAAATTATTTATCAAATAATGCATCACTCATTTTTAATTTATCATAAGGATCTTTAATTTCTTTTAATAAATCCCAATTTTCAAGAAATCTAGATTAAAAATATGAATAATACGTTTCAAATTATTATCTTTTTTTGATAGAAGCTTCCTTGACAATTAAATTAAATGTTTCTCTATCTAATTACCAAAGAATAGCTTTATCACTCTTAACTTTAATAGATGCAGCCTATAAATTTAATAGGAGTATAATAATACTCTTGGTGATTAAAATAACAATGCTAATTCACCAAAGCTTTCTCCAGGATAATATGTTTTAAGAAAAATATCACCTTTTCCATAATTCTTAAAACAATCTAATTCTCCTGAATCTACAACATAGAGAACATTTCCTTCTTCTCCTTATTTAATAATATATTCTGCTTTATGAAAAATCTTCTCTTCCATAGCTCCAACTACAATTTCAATTTCTTTATCATTTAATGCACTAAACATGAATCCTTCTTACATTCTTTATTTAATTCTTTCAGATTGTTCTTTACTTTTAGGAATATATTTAGCTTTAAAATTTTCTTTTTTATTAAATTATCCATAAGCTTCAGCAGAAACTGAGAATCTCTAAAATTTAATAGAAAAATAATTACTTATTTTTATACATCTTTTTTGATTGCAANTTAGGATAATTAATTTTTAAAAATGAATAAATCTAAATATCATAAATATTTCCCATATTTTATTTGAATATTATTCATTAAAGTACTTTAAATTTCTTTGAGAGTTGATGAGTAACTTTTTTTTGGAATATACATTAATTTAATATCTTCTTCTGCTACATAAGTGAATGTTTCAATTTGATTAGTTACAATACTTTAATCACCAAAATATTCTCCAAGTTTACATAATTCAAATATTTTTTCTTAAAATAATATAATAATTTTACAATTATTTTTCAAAACAGACACTCTTCCTGATTCTATAATAAAAATTTCATTGCTTTTTGATCCTGATTATAGAATGATATCACCTTTTTTAAATTATTTATCAAATAATGCATCACTCATTTTTAATTTATCATAAGGATCTTTAATTTCTTTTAATAAATCCCAATTTTCAAGAAATCTAGATTAAAAATATGAATAATACGTTTCAAATTATTATCTTTTTTTGATAGAAGCTTCCTTGACAATTAAATTAAATGTTTCTCTATCTAATTACCAAAGAATAGCTTTATCACTCTTAACTTTAATAGATGCAGCCTATAAATTTAATAGGAGTATAATAATACTCTTGGTGATTAAAATAACAATGCTAATTCACCAAAGCTTTCTCCAGGATAATATGTTTTAAGAAAAATATCACCTTTTCCATAATTCTTAAAACAATCTAATTCTCCTGAATCTACAACATAGAGAACATTTCCTTCTTCTCCTTATTTAATAATATATTCTGCTTTATGAAAAATCTTCTCTTCCATAGCTCCAACTACAATTTCAATTTCTTTATCATTTAATGCACTAAACATGAATCCTTCTTACATTCTTTATTTAATTCTTTCAGATTGTTCTTTACTTTTAGGAATATATTTAGCTTTAAAATTTTCTTTTTTATTAAATTATCCATAAGCTTCAGCAGAAACTGAGAATCTCTAAAATTTAATAGAAAAATAATTACTTATTTTTATACATCTTTTTTGATTGCAACAATTTCATCAACTTCATCATCTGATGATTGTGAATTTGAACTCAAAGCACAATCTACATGTTTTTTTTTGTTAACTTATTGTAAAAAATTAGGACCATTTCTTATTTTTTAAGGATTCATAAATTAAATAAAATAATTTACATGAAAGAATAACTCCTTGGTAAAATAGCAAGATATAGAATATTTTTATAATAAGGATTATCAATACCAGATGAGAATGGTGATGATTTAAGATGCATAGATTTTAATTTTGATAAATACATAGAATAACAGTTGTAGATTGAATCAGAATAAAAATGTGATTAAGAAGAAAATAAAATAGAATAAACAGATAAAAAAATATCAGAATTAGATTTAAAATTGAATGATTAAGATTTAGAAGGATTATTAAAAGATTTAGAAAATGTTAAATTTGATGGTGAAATTGATTTCACTAAATAAAATATTGGAGATTAAGTATTATTTATTTTAAATATTTTATTAGACTGCAATAAGATTATCTGTATTAATATAAAAACTTCCAATATCATCTTTAATTTTAAGTGATACTAAAATATCTTATATTGGAGGTTTAGAATTAGGTAAAGCAATTCCAAATAGTAAATTAAAAAAGCTAATATTAACTAATTGTAATTTAGGTCATAGTTCTAAGTATGTATAAATTTAATTTATTTAGTATATTAATGGAACAATTACATTTTTTAGAAGAAGTAGATTGCGGTATTCTTGGAAATAAAGCTCTTAGATATTTATCATAATAAAAACATGAATTATCACATTTAGGATTTCAAGAAGATTCAAAAGAAGTTTGGGATGTATAAACAAAAGAATTATTTTTAAAATCAATTCCTAAATCTTTATTAAGTATTCAATTTTAGATTGATAATGCAGATCATAAAAAGTATTATTTCTAAATAATAATAAAGATTTATAGGAATAGCTGAAATTAAATGTTAAGAGAATAGAGATGCCTATCTAAGAAAAAGAGCCAATGAATATAAGAGTAAAGATCTTGATCCTGATCATCCAGATTATTATGATTGGTAAAATTAAATCTTATTATTTAGTGATGATTTTAAAGTCAATGCATTTAAATTTAGTGTGAAATCTTATTTATCAAATGTTTTTGAATCATTATTAGATGAATCTCTATATTATTTGGAAAAAGAAAGATAAAATGTACTTAGAGATGAGGCTATTTATTAAGTTACTAAAGAAATTTTACCATAATCTATTATGGAAGATATTTGTCAAGCAGATGGTTCATTAATTGTTTTAGCTAAATATCTTTTAGCCAAAATTAAAAAATGATTATCATTATAAAAATTCATCTTATAAGTATTAATTTCTAATCAAACTTATTAAAGTCTATTTTTAAAACTATCTGGAGATTAATGAATCTCTAAATCTTTTAAACTTTAACCTGAATCTTTACTACCTATAACTTCTGAATTTTTTCTACCATCATCTAATTCATTTGGTACATCTAATCTAATCTAATCTTCTAAAAATCTTTGCTCGTCTTCATTTTTTTATAATATTGTTGTGTAATTTTATTAAACAAGATTAAATAAACTTTTATTCTACATTGCAAATTATATTAATTAATCATTTAATTACCAATTCTTATTCTTATTTTCTGTTATTTTTTAAAAATTGTCAACTAAATCTTATGCATTTTCTGCACCTAATTAAGCTTTAAAAAATCTTGTTAACTTTGCTAATCTAACATTTATTGGAACTAAATTATTAATTCTTTAATACTTGTAGAAGTAGCGGCATATTTTATTATATTTTAATTATTCTCAAAATGTGATTAATTATTTTATTGCTATTGAAATTAATTTATTGATTTAATCTATTTATTACTTGCTGTTAACATATCGAATAATTCTTTTTGATCTGTCATTTAATCCTAAAAAACAGGTGAACAAAATGAATTGAAAAGCATTAATTGATCATCATCAAATAAAAATAGTTTTAAACAATCAATCTCATATAGTTTTTTTAAAATATTTGTTAAATCTAAATCAAATTCAATCTTAGATTTAGCTATTTATGATATAACCAATTCCTTTTCATCTTCTATGTTTTTACAACTTTTGAAATATTTTCTTATAATGTAAAGTAAGTATTGATAAAATGAGTAATTTATTGTATAATCGAAAATCTTTATAAAGAAACGAATTTACTTATTGTAATAGTTTTTTTGAATTTTTTGCTGAATTTTACATATTTCTTGGAGTTTATGATTAATTAACATATGATAATTTTCTTTTTTAAACACTTTTTAAATCAAATTTAAAAACAGAATTCATTAATATTTCAAAAGTCTTATGCTGATTATAAACTTTATAAAATATTTTGATTATTTGCATAACAGCTAAACCTAAAGCAGTAGCCTCAGAAACTGCAGATAAAATAATTGAAGGTAAGTCTTATTGTATTACAAAATAAAATGAAGTATCAGATGAAGCTCTAAATTTTATTAATCTTAATACCTTAAATAAAATGTACATAATCCAATTCCTGAAGAAATTGATATTGGTTCTTATCTCCTTTCTTATCTTTAAACAACTGAACCATTATACAATCTCTCAGAATCTTCTATATTAAACATATCACTAAAAAATTAGATTTTTTCTAATTAATTTTAAATGCATTTTACTTAAATCCATTTATAATGGTTACATATAAATATCTTCATTATCACCAATACCAGTAGTTAATCTCCAAAATACATTATTGGAAAAAACATCAGCAGGACTTGATTAATTCAATGATTATTTAATTTTTGATCCTTTGATAAACATATCCACATTAACACTTTCAATAGTTTTCATTATTACCCTTTGTTTATAAAAGCCTCAATTTCTTTAGATGTTTTACAAGTTTTGCTTGTAGAGTTATTACAAACATTGACAGTTAATTTAATGTAAGAAAAATATGGTTCATAAAATTATCCTTATAATGTGAAATTGCCATCAAAACAAACTAAATTTTGTTTTTATTCTTGAGTCATTGATGCAGAATTAAAATTAAATTATTCAATTTTTTCTGGAGAACATTTAGATTGATTTAATAAACTATAATTTCTTGTAAAACCTATTTTACCTTCAACTCTTTATTATTGAATATATTATGCAGTTAATGTAAAATAACTAAATTTTTTATCCGTATATAAATACTCTTCAACATATGTATTATTGCTCAAGATTTATCCATCTAGAGTAGACAGTTCCATTGAAAATATCGTATTATCATTACTCAATACAAATTCTGTGTTTTTATCACTTTATGTACCAGCATAAATAGTATTCTAATTTTGGATGCTTCTTTAGAATACTCCAACAATATAAAAAGAAGTAAAAACTAATAAGATTATACTTATGAATCCCCCTAAAACTAAAATGATTTAAAACCTATAGGAGTCAAAGATTTCTCTTTTTGTGAAATATTAAATTCATAAGGATCAACAAGCATATCAGCTTTCTTTATTAAATTTCTAATCATAATAATAATTTCAAAAAAATATCAACTAAAGAATAAATATATTGATTTACTAGTTTTCTAATAAAAATTAGATATATAATATAAAATTTAGATATGATTAATAAAATATTATTAATAAAATAACTCTAACTCATGTACTTGTTTGTTCTTTCCTTTGTCTCATCTAAAATTTTATTATATCAGTACTTCATTAATGACAGATTTTACAAAATTAGGATAAACTTTCCATAATAATAAACAATAATCTAAAATTCTTTCATTATATTTATATTCTCCATTATCATCTATAGTAAAACCAATTTCAGATAATTTTTGATGATTAGTTTTGAGATGATTTTTCAATTGATTAGGTTTTTTATAGATCTTTTGACATTTATGATACGGACATTTGAAAGAATTTTTGTCAGTATTATAAGGTTACGATTTATATTGTCTTATTTTCACTTCTTCAAATAAACGTTTAATTTTTTCATCAGTTGTTTAGTTTTCTAATATAAATAAAAAGTAAGAATACTTTTTTCTAATGCTTCCCTTTGTCTTTATACAAATTCTTCAGTTACATGAGGGAAGAGATTTTAGAGATCTTTTTCTGATATTTAAACAGGTTATTCAACATCTTCTGGTTCTTTTTCAACTTCTTATTTTTCAATTTTCTGTGGTTTTTTATTTGGATCTGGTTAAGGATGTTAAACTTATGGTTCAGATAAAACTGGCTATTATTAATCAAATGCTGTGAATTTCATTTTAGGTAATGTTAATGTTTTTAAAAACTCTTATAATACTTTTTTAGCTGCATATAAATTATTTCCTAATTTTGTATACCATTCTCTTAAAAATTTAAATTGAATTTATAACACCTATGTTTCATTTTTATCTAAAGGAATTATAAAAAATATATATAATTACTATAAATTTCTGGAGGCAAGTTTTGGATAGGTTTTTTATTTTACTCTATTTTTGTATATTTAATTAATGATTTTGTCGATATTATTAAAAGGTTATCATTTCCATTTACTTCTATTTCATCAACATCTTCAAGTTTAAAATCAATCTTTTATTTTTATTATTATTATTATTAATATTGATAAGACTATTAAATTAAAACTATTTACAATATAAGGATTCTAAGTTAATTCTTCTTCTTTCTACTCTCTTGGAATTTTGTCAAGAGTGAAAATTTATAAATTTCTATTGTTCAATTAAAATTTCAAGATTATGTCTTACTAATCGTTTGTCAAAGTAGAACTATAAATTATTCATTTAGATTCTTACATGACTGATGGATTAGATTATAATGTAAATGATACTTTTTCTTAAAAGATATCTAAATAATAATTCCGATTATATTTTTACTTAATGTTTATGTACTATTTGTTGTTTATCTAATATTATTTCCTGCTCCATAAGGTACATAAGAATTGTATCGATTTCTTGCAAGAGGATTAGGATTTTTCTGAGATGAATTAAAGGATTCAATAAGAGTTTGAAGATTCTTATCTTAAGCAAAAGAATTTTAAAATTTAGGAAGCATTTTAATATTTATTTAAATTAATACAAATAGATAAAATAAAAGATAATAAATGAATACAATTTAGAGTTTAATAACAAATACAACAAGCTAAGAATTCATTCCTAGATTGATTCTTTGTTTTAAATAAATAGATTTGGATTTGATTGTTGCTTAGGTGTGTTAAATTATTAAATTTATGTTTAAAGTTCTAATCGATTATTTAAAACACTATTAGAAGTATAAAGATGATTTAAGACTTTATAATTATTAGGTTGTCTCTTTTCAGTTTTGGATGAACTATATTAATAAGAATAAAAGATAACCTTTATTTATTTTCTTCACGAGTTCCAGCACGAACTCCAAAATCGACATTTTAATATTATCTAATAACTTTATTTAAATCTTCAATATGTTTATTCCTATTTTCATTATCATTTCTCTAAAAATGAAATATGATAATATTATTACTTCATCGTTAGCAACTTTACCATCTAACATTCTAATAGTTCTAGTGGCATAATTTTTTAAATTGGTATCATGAGTAACCATTATAATTGTAATTCCTTTTTCAATGTTCAAATCAATAATGATCTTCATAATTAAATCTGAATTTTTAGTATCTAAATCTCCAGTTGGTTCATCTAATAATAATATAGATGGATTATTGGCTAATGCTCTTGCAATAGTAACTCTTTATTATTCTAAAATTAAATATATTAATCTTTACCTCCTCCAGATAATTAATTTGGATAATGATTTAATCTTCCACTCAATCCAACTTATTCTAATAATTACATAGCATTATTTCTAATTTCAGCTTTATTTAATGTTCCTTTAAGAATCATAGGTAGTTCTACATTCTCTAATGCTGTCAATGATGTAATTAAATTAAAAGTTTGAAATACAAATCCCAAAGATGATAATCTGAGTGATGCTAAGAATTTATCTTCCGTAGATGCTCTTATTCTTTGACCACAAATTCTTACATCACCCTATTTTACATTAATAATTATTAATTATACTTTTGTAGGTAAATCTATACTACCTAATAGATTAAGTAATGTAGTCTTCCCACATCCAGATGTCCCTAATATTGTTATGAATTCTCTCTCCTAAACATTAAATGATACTCCTAATTGATTTATACCATATTATTACCTCTTAATGCAGTAACACCTTCCAAACCTAATAAGTAAGTTTTATGAACGTTTCTCACTTCTATTATATATTGATCTGGTTAAAAAAGTGGATAAACTGGAATTTCATGTTTTTCGTCTATTTCTTTATCATCAATGTCAATCATCATCTAAATCAAATTTTATATTTTATTATTATTAAATAACAATCCTCAAATATCTGTTTGTGAATTAATTCAATGCTAAACCATATTTATATTCTTTTATATCATTTCATTATCAAATAGCATTCATGATTAAATTAATTTTTATACATTACTGAATCTTTATTATTAATTTCTTATTTTTAAAGAGTTTAAAAATATCAAAATATAAAAAATTATAAAATCTTTATTCCATAATTATAGTCAACCTACCTAAAAGTTTGTTAAATAATTATATATATATTGATTCAAAAATTTTGAGAATAATTCATTAGACATAAAGTTTCTTGGTACTATGGATTAATAAATATTGATTGTTAACAAAGATATTTTTCACTCCTTCTTCTATCATTATCACTTCTATTAACTCCCCATTGCCACTATTTAATGTGAATAAATAAGGTACTAATTTTATTTAAAAATTTAGCCATTAGAATTCCCACTTAATATGATATTATTCCAAATGCATTAAATACATACTATCTTATTTTACTAAAAGTTATTATTATTTGTATATGATTTGAGTTGCTTTCCATTCTCAGCATTAATTAATAATAAATTATCACCACCAATTAGAACATTTTAAGTTTCCCAAGGTATTTATTATATTTTAGATATTTATTTCATTACTTAAATTGTACGACTTAAATTTAATGTAAATTATTATCCAGATTTTTCTCGTTTCCATAATCTCATCCTTCCATCTACTTATGTTGTTATCATTTAATTCTTATTATACAATATTATATTATTAATATAAGATTTGTCAAAGGTTTCCTTAAAATACTATTATAGTAATTACTTAATATTCAACTTTGTACTCATTAATAATACTCAACATAATCAACTTTTTATCTTCTGTTGATATCAATAGTGATGATTCCATGATCTAAGCATCTATGATACTTCTTTCATTAATTTATAATTCTGAATATTTATAATATATTTATTAAGATTCTTTTTTATATAATTATACTATTCCATTTTCTAAACCTATTATTAAAATGTTATTTAATAACTTTAACAAACTTATTTTACATCCTATTTTAATATCTTATATCCTTTAAGTTGTAATAGTGTTTAAAGTTGATAATCCATCTTCAGTTGAATAAATAAATATATTGTCATCTGATATTGTTGAATTCTCGGTTTCAATTTTAATTTCAAATTAGAATTTCTATTCATCTTAAAATTGATTTTCTATCTAATGAACCTAATGTTCTTCATTTCTATATATCAAAAATCCAAAAATCCATGTGCCTTTGCTTCTCTTAATTTTGTAATCTCCTAAATCTTTCATACAGTATTTGGTTTGCAATAATATTTTGATACCTTAAATTTATCCTTTAATTTATAATCCAAATCTAACATTTTCATCCAATAAATCTACATACCATTTATCATTTTCCAATTTTGATATTGTTTCTTGTCTATCTAATATTGAAATATTTTAATTACTTTTATAATAACATTTTGGAACAAAAGAATTTGCTGATCCAATCAAAATTAATCTCGAATGATCAATTTCTTATTGATATTTCTTGTGTGTTGAAATATCATTATAAAACAATAAATGGCTATTGGTTAACACTTATAAACATAATTCTTAAGGATTTATATGTAAACTAAAAAATCAAATATTAAATACATTTATTTTTTAAATATCTATATTTGATTTTTGAAGTTATATCGCTTATCTTAATCTTATTCAAGTAAATAAATTATTGAATTATCCCTCACATAAATTTAATTTCTTGAAAGTATAATTTATTATAATGGGTCCATTGATAATTTTATATGATCTACTTCTTCCAATGTATATTTGTAAAATGATAATACTCCATCCTCTCTTCCAAAAAGTATTATTTATTACTCTTAATCATTTTAACTTATCCTAACTTTGTTATGGCAAACACTTTATTTTTTTATTGAAAACAATACATTAATGGAAGTGATCTATAATTAAAATAATGTTAAATATGATTATCCTACAGATATCAATTGGGTAGAATCAAAATCTTGACAATGATAACTATCTAATTTTACATATCCTTTTTATTTTAATGAAGAATTATAAATAGCAACAAATCCACTATTTTCAAAATAAACATAAATATCCTTATGAATTATTTATACTTTTATTATTTAATTATTGTTATTTTTAAATGGCTATTAAGGCATTACTTATTAATTCATCAATATAATATTACATTATTAATCTTATAAGAAAGGTCCCAATTATATTTGAAGACCTTCAAGAATTGCATTTTATTGTGTAAATATGATAGGCTATTCATCAAAATTAGATAGAACATCAACAATTTGTAATTTACCAATATCAATAACTTGATTCTTCCAAATTAACTTTTAATCAATTTAATAACATTCTGAATTATATACTTTAGTAATATTTTAATGATGTTTTTCTAAATCATCATATAAATTTCTAAATTCTAAATGTGAGATAATTTCATTTATTAGTAATAATTGGCAATCTAATTTTCCACAAATACCTAGAATCCAAAATTATGGAAAAGTTAAAAGATCTATATCAGGTTATTTGATAATGATTACTTCATCTTATAAGAGGACTTTTAATAATAATTCCTATTATTTCTAATTCTCTATAATAATATAAATTAATTAAGTGGAATCGCTAGGAATTTCAAAAAAACAAATGTTCTATAAATTTTATTGTTTTCTTATCTTTTGATCATTTTAATAGATATCAATATTATTATCAGAAATAATTGACAAGACTTTAGTTTTTTTGATCAATTTAAAAGTATTTCTGGAACTTTTTAAATCAATTTCTTCATTGATTCCATAATTGATATCAAGAGTATAATATTATTCGTGTTCAACTTTGATAGATCCTTTATTTAAGGAATTGAATAATATTTTAGCATGACCAGAAGTATTAGTAGTGCAAGTGATAACTTTATTGGAAACAGAATCACTAATGATAATTTTAGCTTTGTTTATTGTAGAATCTGTAAAATAATCAACAACGTACATTTAACCTACTTCAAGAAGAGATAAAATTTTTAAATTGATTTATTATGGTGGTTTAATAGTTTTTTTTTTCTTAGATATGAAACTTGAATTGATAATTGTTTGATTGGTATTTTAATTAAGAAGAGCAGAAATTTCTGTTGATTTATTTGTAATTTATATTTTAATGTTATTGTTTCCTCCATTCAAATCAATAAATTAGGATACAGTTTCAAAGCCATATTTACTTACAATAATTGTGTATCTGCCTGGTTCTAGGAATCCTTAATAAATTCCTGAATTTTCAGAGACTTCTTTAAGTAACATCCTTTCTGAATTCTAAATGACGTTGACTTGAGTATCAGTAAAAGGAATAATCACATCTGTTTATTAATGCGGACCAAATACTTCAACTGTTAATAAGGCTAATTTAGGTTTTAATAATTTAATTTGATGATATGCTCCATCTGTTCTGACTAATTCTTATAAGTTTACTATTTCATTAATAGGTAAATTGTTAGTGGATTCTTGAATTAGAATTTCGTATCGATCAATAGGAATATTGAGAAATAAAACTCTTCCTTAAGAATCAGATTTCTCACTATATCTGATTATATTACTAGATTAAGATAAAGCTCTTTATCTATGAAGGGATGTAGATTTGCATGATCTATTTTCTGATAATCTACTTTAAGGACGCAAATGTTAACTTGATGAAAGTTATTTGTTTAATAGAGATTGCAATGTTACATTAATTCCTTTTAAATTTGTATCTTCATCATTATAGACTAATTAAATTAGTAGATTAGTTTTTCTAAATTGTTAATGAATAGCTTTAAGAATGTCATTAACATTTGGCCAAGATTTTGATTACAATTTGCTAAATAATTGGGACTGTTAACCGCTCGATTAAAATTGAACCTCGAAAGCTCCAATACGTTTTTAGAGAAAGAGGGAATTAATAGTTTTATCATTGTCAAAAACAAGTGGTTTTAGATAAACTTTGATATCAGGATAATTGAGCAGAATAGATTGTTTAATAAGTAAAGCATAAGATATATACTGTTCTTCATTATGACGAGTTGATCGCTAATGTTCTTTGCAATTAGTGCTATAAAGTTAAATAAATAAAAATGAATATAGATACCAATATTCTATCGTAACAACCATTTCATCTGATTTATCTTGAAATTCAATAAAAGGTCTCCAGTTAGCTTATTTTGCCATAATTTCCTTGATGGAGATATTTCGCTGTTCTAAATCTTGATAGTTTTTAAGTTTAGTGCAATTAGTTCTAATTTCACTTAATCCAATGTCACTATAAACAATTTATTTTGAATCACTAATAATTAAATCTTAGTTACTTTAAACCACAAGGGAGAAATGGAGTGGAATGTAATTTAGAATCATAATGATTATCAATATACCTTGAATTACTCCATGTACGTTTGCTTCTTGATCGAATGCTGTAAGTTGATAAATTCATAATTATTAAATTATATATATATACATAATCAATCACTCATGTAATCCTCCTATTATTTTTATTATTATTATGAGATGATTCTATTCTTAGGATTTAAAGGACAGTTAGCTTAAGTGTGATGAGTGCTATTACAAATATAGCATCCACCACCATAAGCATACAATCCTTTAGGATTTTTAGGACAATCCCTACTAATGTGTCCAGATTCTTTACAAACAAAACATGTTGCAAATTTCAAAGACCCAGATTTAGGTTTTTAACAGTCTTTAAGAGTATGTTTTTAAGAACCACAATTATAACAAATCACATCAGTTGTTGGTTAAACATTCTAGAATCTAAATATTATTTATACTTCTCTACAATGTTAAGCTGTATGTCCAATTTTTTTACATACCAAACAAACTTTATCTTTTTCTTTCATTTTTATTTTCTTCTTTTCTTTTTGTACTTCCTCTACTGCTTGTTATTTTTTAGATAACTTCTTTTAAATTCTTCTCTCTAAATCTTTTTATCTCCTCTCCTCAATTACATTTGGATCTGCATTAGATTTACTTTCATACCAATTAACTTCACATTTTTTTTTAATTAAGCTAACTCATGATACAATCTCTTGCGCTTTGTCTAATTATCTGGACCTTAGAGTTCAGCTATCCTCGATTCTAGATGTTGAATTTTCTCTTAATATTATTCTTCTGACATATGTAAAATTCTTTGGTTAGACTCGGGTTTAGGATCTTTTGCAATCTTTTTGTTTACATTAGATTGTTTATATTGCTTAGTTGAATTCTTGCTGATTTATTTTCTCATATAAAAATTAATAACCACATATTATTATCATTTATTTGGTACACGATATTCTTCACCCAAATGTTCCGGTGGTTACAAAGGTATGTTCAAACTAAATAATACAGAAACTATTCATACACATTAGATTAATCTAACTTCTATCCCTTTTCCAAGAAATACTCTCTAGTATATTTATAAACAGCTGGTTCTGTCTTACATTAATAATTCTTAGAATAATCTGCATAAAATTCTGGTTTTCCATACTTCTATAAAACTCTCTCTTCAAATGATGCCAATTTAGAACATCTTTCAATCTTAAGTAATATACAAATTTATTACTTCCTATTAAATCCACTCTTTAAATTTTCTGAAATCTCCATATCGAGTACAATTTACTCTAAATGGAGCTTTCTCTTCTTAATTCCAGAATTCTTCAAATGTAGGCCATCTTTTCTTTCTATAAATAGGCTTCAAATATTATTATTTGTTATAAAATTATTCTGATCTGTTGGGTCCCCAATATTTAGTTGTTTGTTTTGCATCATACCTTGAATATTGATGTAGGAATTATACAAACAAAATTTATCCAAATTTGAATCCTCAAAATCAAATTCTTTTGTGGCTAATCTGTTTCTCCATGGATCCATTCCCATTCCAAATGCATGAATTAACCATTTTGGTGATAAATAAATTTTGCACACCACAATTTCTGAATATTCATCTGGTTTGTAATATGGATCATGAAATGTTGTCCAAGCATAATAATCAGTTAATGATAAATCAAATCTAATATATTTAACTGCTTTATTACTTAGGACGATCATAAATTGCTACACGCTTTTACTTTGGCTAGATCACTTGAATCTCTTTTTCCTTTTCTGCCTTTACTAATTTAGTGTATTTTAAATAAGTTTCAAAATTGTAATTTGTAGTGTGCGTATATCTTTCCTATTTAAGATTTTCATCTAATAATCCACTTTATTCAAGTTGTTATTATTTTTCTTTGATTGCTAATTATAGTGCTCTTTTCTTTTGATTAACATTTTTTGGAGGCGTTGGCTTGATAAATCTGCTAAAGATTTGAGTCATGTAAAATCGAGGTAGGTATAATTACATAATTTAATATTTTAATTTTTTTAATTCTCATCACAACTCTAATTTATCAACTGCATCCATAACATAAGAAATTGTAACTATTAATAGTGGTTCTATTTCTATCTACCTTTTTATATTAAATTATGCATTCTAATTTTTACACCAAGATATTCTTCCTACACCATTATTAACATCCCATTAAAGTAATTTATATATTTAATTATCCATAAAACATCATCTTAGTTCTTCTAGACGCATCATCTAAAATAAAAATATCTTAAATACCTGAACCATCTAATACTAATCCACCATTTATCACTTCTCCCCATCCTACTTTACCACCATTAAGTAATGCACCTAAGGTGTTCCTCTATGAATCTCTTTAAATTGCCATATCTGCTGTGAATTAAGAACCGTCATATATATCTGCGTTCTCTCTAAATGGACTGTGTTTCCAGAAATATCATGATGATCTCTTGATAATACCATTGAAATTTGAATTAACTAAAGTATTCTATACCTTGACTACCTATTTAACAATATCTTCCTGCAGCCATTTGTCCATACATAGTATTACAAAGCATAATGTTTTTCATAATGAGATTAAGTAGAATAATTAGGAATTATAATTCCATTACTTAAGACAATATTTGGAGTATCAGGATGACTTGGAAACAATCTTAAAGAATGACCATTATTCATTTCTAATGTTTAATGTTCAGTAATTTAAGTGAGAGATTACATAGTTAAGTGATATTAAGTTCAATTTTAAAAGACACTACCTTTATATTTAAATAATAATACTTTGTACTGCTCATAAGTAATTAATTAATGTGAAAACATGATTAAGTCTATTGTTATCATATGGATGATAACTTAAGCTTATTTAAATTTGCAAGAATATCTACAAATTAAGAAGATTATTACTTATCATATTAATATGCTTTAATTTCATGATTTGGGATTAATTTATAGATATAAATAGTCCATAAGTTTATGATTCATATATTAATTTAGATGCTAAGTTTTCATGAAGATATGGATGAAATTATCTTAAAGCATTTTTTAATACTAATTTTTATTTGTAATGTCTGATTTAGTTTTTACATATTTATTTAAAGAGAGATTTTGGCATGGAGTTGATTAATCTCTCATATAAAGAGTCTTTTATAAATCAACTTCAATTCCTTTCTTTAAAGTTTCTAAAAATGCGTAATCGATTTACATATTAAATAATTTTTATGATTTATTCTTATTTATATTCACTCCTTAATCATGCTTCCACCATATGAAAAATCGTAATAAATTCTACCTTCTGAACTTGCAGTATCAAATGAAGCTATAGTACACTCAGTGAATTCCTATTAAGTACATTAATTTATATAAAATACTGAATCAAAATTAGAAGTATCCTCTTCACTTGTCAATTTAGGTCTAAATGGTGCTTCTACTTTTTTTTATAATATGTAATCCCAATTTACTTTTTCAAACCATGGATGTGATTTAATTTCTTATGCTCCATTGTATCCCAATCGTTCTAAATATATTTAAATTATTTTAATACTTTCTGGTTATTTTTAAAATAAACCTTCTAATAGATTCTTTAAAACAGAACTTAAACTCTATGGATATTTAGGAAATGAGAATTTAATTTATTCAAATAATTCGCTCCTTTAATTCGAATAATAAGGTGGCATTCCAGTTATCATTTCAAAAATAATACATCCCAATGTCCACCAATCTACTGGTTTACCATGTCCTTATTTCATTAATATTTCAGGAGCCAAATATTCAGGTGTTCCACATACTGAATATGCATCTTTATCTTATTTTACATTCTTTTTAGATAATCCAAAATCTGTTATTCTTATATACCCATCTGCATCCAAAATCACATTCTCAGGTTTCAAACTAAATTTTTAAACATTTATATCTTACTCTCTATAAATTATATTATTTTCATGTAAGTATTCTATTGCCAATATCATTTAACAGACATAGAATCGACATCTTTAAAAAATATTTATTCTCTTACTAATCTTCTGTCAATTTCTTTTTCTTCTACAATAAATTGAACAATTCTCCGCCTGGACAATATTCTAAAACAAAGTATAATTTTCTCTCATTTTAAAATGAAAATGCCAATTTTATTATAAAGGGATGATTTGCTGAAACCAACACATTTCTTTCAACCATTATATGTTCCTATTTTATTTTTATATTATTATTCCATACCTCCTATCTCTTCTATTGAATGTACTTCTTTTTCAAAGCCTTTATTGCATATAATTTCCCTGTATCGTTCTTTCTTACTAAAAGTACTTTTGCATACGATCCTTTCCCTATTACCTTTATTAGTTAGAAGTGATTAATTGTTAAATGGCTTGACTACTCTTACTACATGCGTAAATTTTTATTATTTATTACTTTTTTCAATATTTATAAGCAATCAAATTAAGATTTAAAATTTTCTTTTTTTTCATCAACTCCTTAAAATACATAATATTAAATTAATAATGTTCCAATTACTCAATTGTCTCAAATATCTATCTCTTAAGACAGCAACTTTGCTTCTTTAATTTCTCATCATAGGAATTGTAATTGGCCTTTGTTCAATCGTTCTTGTTATAAATCGCAATATGATGGATGCACTTATATCTGAAATTTCAGACAAACTCTTATTTAAATCAAACTTTTAATAATATGAACTTTAAACTGAGATGCTTAAATAATAACTTAATTGGCCGATGTATCAAAGATTTTCAATGATGCAAAGTTTTAAAACTTTATACTAAGATTTTATTCCCTTTATATAAATTTAGAACTTTAATTATCCTATTGAATGTCCTCCATATTAAGGTTAGCCCCATGGATCAAATAGGATATTATTTTCATTACCTGAATTCTGTATCTCTTATAAAAATAAAACCAAATTTGTTGAAAATGGACAATTATATCCTTTCCTAAATTTTCTTAATTAACTCATAATCCCTTTAACTTGGACTCCTTTTACTGGATTTTACATGACTAATACAGATGAAAATTATTACTTTGCTTCTAATCCACCCATTTTTAATTATCCTTCCTACAATCCTTAAATCAGACCTTGGTATATTAATCATTTAGAAAAATCTCAAACTTCAAATAGCTAAGCTTTTGTCTCTTATATCTATTAATAATTTGGTTATGATGAATATAGTTTCACAATTACCTAATCTTTATTCGATAAAGAACAATAAAACTAAAATTAAAAACCTAAAATTTAGGCAATAATGGGTTATGATATGAATTTTAAAGAATATGCAAATTAACTTTAATTTTAGTAATTCATCTTTATAATAACAAATCCACTCGGTTAAATAATTTGTACTAATTCTATAGAAGATTTAAGACTTGATCTAAAAATATATTATGTTTATTAACAAAATATAACTGGCTTTACAGATCTAGATTGGTAATAAATAAAATAATCTGCACTTTAATAATCCTATAATAATAGTTGTACATTAAAGATTAATCACCTCTGTAGATTTAATATGAAATACTAAGAAGATATCATTCTTCATGTATTCAATATCCATTCAGATTTTTTTTTGATTATGTAATTATTTATATTGACTCATAGCTTCTAAAACGTTACTATACAGAAAGAAAATATAGAAATTGCTGAAAAAACAAAAACGAATGTAATTAAAGAGTTTGGTCGAAATCTATCATATTTAGTAGGAACATCTTTAGCCCTTCTAATATGTAGTTGGATTGGAATGTACTTATTTTTTCGTCCAATAAAGCAAATGAAATAAAAAATGGAAACTATTATTAGAAAGAAATTTTCAAGTCCTAATTGGATGTAAAAAATCTATAATGAATTTAATGAAAAGAATACAAATTACCTTAAAGATGCTTTAAATAATTTGAAATAAAAAATTACAAACATTAAAAGAAAGAAATGTTAAAATTGTTATTTGATTGAAAATTTTAAATATCCTAGAAAAGTTTTAACTATTGAATTTTACTAAATTAAAAATAAAATTAAAGAAATTATATAGGATTAAGTTATAAAAGAATCAATAAGTGAAAATAATATAAAAATTGATGGAATTATCAATTCTGGAGAAAATTAGAAAAAAATTTCATAGATACTTACAAATAAAATGTATTCTTAAACATTGAATAGTGAAATTGATGAAAATGTTAACTTATTAAATAGTACAGAGAGGATATTCTGAAAATGGTAAAAATATAATTTGTGATTATTTGATTTATTATTTTAATACTATGTAAGAAAGATATAAAGAATTAAACTAAAAATAATGAAATATTAGATTTCAATTTTAATTTTAACTTATTCTCATCATCATAGATTTGAATTCTTCAAATGTTAACTAGAATAATAAAAAAAAAAGAATACTTTTCCATCAGAATTCTAATCAACTTCTTAAATCATCTATTTCCAAACTTCTTCACTGATTCCAGAGTTTTGACCAAAAGCTAATTTAATTTCATCTTTTGTGATAGCTCCACTCTTATCTTTATCAATGATTTTAAAAGCTTAAAGTAATCTTTCTGTAGCTAATAGTTTTTCTCTATTTATAGTAGCATAAACGAATTCTAAATAAATTCAATTTAATACCAGAATAATCAATAGAGCCACTACCATCAGCATCTAATTTATTCATAATTTCATCTACTTAAGTTTCAGCATCAATATCACTCATAACTTTTTTGTATCCATTGACTAATTCTTCTCTACTTAATTTTCCATCATTATTTGTATCCAAAGCTTAAAATTATTGTAATAAGTCTCTTTTTTCTTCTTTGGTTGCAATAAAATTGACCATAAACATAAGTGCTGCTTCTTATAGTTTTTTTTCTACCTAAAGATCAAATATATATTACCCTGAATGCTTTAATTCTTTATAAAGCTTCAGTAAGTGAAGGTAAATCTTCTTCTTTCTTTTAACAATATGTTTAAATCCAAGGATGATTCATAGCATCTTTTGCTGAGATTCTCTTTTTTGTATCTTTTTCAATCATTTTCATAACAAGATCTTTTGCTTCATTTGATATTTTCTTCCATTCTTATTCTTTGAATTTAAAAACTCCTTTTCTAACTGCTTCCATAATTAAATAATCATCATCACCATTAAATGGAGGAGCTTTAATAATCATATATAATAATAACCTCCACATAACATTATATATAAAATTACTCCACATGACCAAATATCACATTTTTCATTATATTTTCTATCTAATACTTCAGGAGCTATATAATATGGTGTTCCAACTCTTTGATCCATCTTCTTATCTGGATTGAACTTTTAACTAGTTCCAAAATCAGCTATTTTTATTAAAGAATCAGCATTATTAGTTTCATAAAGAATATTTTCAGGTTTCAAATCTCTGTGAACAATATTTTTTTCATGACAATATGTTATTGCACTTAAAACCTATTTCATAACATCAGCAGCTTTCTTTTCAGAAAAATTCTTTTCTTATATTATTCGATCAAATAATTCACCTCCTTAACATAATTCTGTTACTATATAAAAATATTCAGAGTCTTAATAAAACTCATAAATTGATATTATATTCAAATGATCCTAATAAAAATCAATTTTATCATACCAATTATTTCAATATATCAACTTCTCTAGTTAACATTTAACAATCTTCTTCTGTCATCAGCTTTTTCCTTATTAATTTTATTGCTCTAACTTAATTTGTAACTTTATGAACTCCTCTATAAACTTCACCAAATGCGCCTTTTAAATTATCATTCTATATAAATACCTTTTCCAAGGCATGGTTAAATTAAATTATAGTCAGCAGTGATTTTACCTTTTTTCTCAGTAACGAATCCTTGATAAGCAAATTTTGTGTCTTCTATCTTAGTAACTTAATTAAAGATGATCATTACTTATACCTTTGTTTGAAGGTTCCTAAATTCCATTAGATGATCCACAACCCATTAGTATAAGAAAATAAGTTATCTAAATTAAATATTAAAAATTAATATTATGCTGTTACATAATCTATGAGTAACAAAACCTTATATTATCTCTACTAGATTTCTAAGCTAAATCTATATTCTTATTCCACATAATTGTTCTTTCAAACATTAAATTTTTACATGAACTTAATAGTAATATTTATATTTTAGATTTTCTTAATTTCGTATTCAAGATTCTAAAATCAATTTATTTTGTTAGTATAAGAAAAAATAAATTATATCAATCTTTTTATTCAAAAATCTAATCTATTATATTTTTTATTTTCTAAATTAAGATGTTTTAAGCCTATTAACATCTATTTTCTAATTCTATTAGATTTTATTTAATGGCTTATAAATTAGACAAATAATTTAAAAAAAACAAAAAACTTCTGATTGTTATTTTATAAATATAATAAAACTATAAGAAATATTATAATTAATCAACATGATGAAATAGTTTATTGTTAAAAGTTTTGATTAATAACTAGAAAAATAAGGAAAAAGATTTAAGCAGTAATCATTTTATTTAGTTTTTTATAAATTTAAAAATAATAAAAAAAAAGTTAAAACATTAAACAATAACATATTTGTAAAATAAAGTTTTATGAGAAATAATTTATGATTAACTTTAAGTATTATAAAACAGAATATAAATATATAAATGAACTTAAAAGACTTTTGATGTTTCTAAAAGGGCGAGAAACTTTCAGATATTGAATCACTAAAACGAAGAACATATAAAAAGATCTTAATGTATAATTATGTTTAGTAATTATTTGGATGTCTTTAATGAACAAGAACATTATGAAGTATATTTAGAAAACCTTTAATTAGATCCAAAATATTTGACAATTGAATGTCTTATTGAAGAAATCAGAACAACTCCATTAAATGAATTTGTATGGTGCTACTATTTTAGACAAAGATAGATTAAAAGAGCTTTAAGAATTATTAGGGAAAATAAAATAGATGATAGATTAAGAAGTAAATTAACTTAGTAGTGATCAATTAGTGGTAATTAATGTTTACTAAAGATAATAATTAATCAAATATTTTGTTTTATCTCCTGTTGAGAAAACATATATTAATAAAATAGAGGATGAATTAGTAGAAACTGTAAAGATTAGAAATGATATTTTATTTTTAAAATGAATTTAAATCGTTGATAAAAATTTATATTTTCATTTTATAATGAATAAATTGACCAATCTAATAATAGAGCAACATAAATAAATTAGATGAACTAGAATTTTGTCGGTTTGATTCAAATTTATTTTCTTTCTTTTTTATTTTTTCAATTATCATTAAATTTAAAGATTTCGTTGTTCTACTACAAAAAATATAAAAAAAATAGAACTATCAAATAAATTTTTATATTGATGATGCATTTTAAATGAAAAACTAGTCCTAATTATCTTAAAAAAAAAATCAGATAGTTTTATCTATTAAATTCAAAAAGATCATATTATTTAAGATATTTTACTACTTTAGAAAAAATTTCTTTAATTAAAAATTAATCCTTAAAATAGTTTCTAACCTCTTCTGTAATATCTCTTATTATAAAAATAATTTGAAGAAAATTTTTAACTAAAAATATTCTATGCTATATGCTATGGAGATGTTTTTGACACTTGAAGATATTTATGGAAGTAAGAGATATCCCTTAAATAGATTAATAGAATCTTATAAAATTAAATAAGATATTTTAAAAATAATTAATAATAAACTACTTATAAATTAAATTTATAGATGAAATGGAGATTTAAATCTTAATAGTTTAATAATATAATAACATAAAGTTTATTAAAATATTTTATTCACTAATAAATATTCTTTAACTTTAAATGAAAAAATAGAAATTTAATTTGATTAATTACAATTGTATATGAAATTTTAGATTAAATCAACTAAAAATATTAATAATTAAATTCATATTTTAAGAATATGCAATAATATCAAATAAAGCACTTACATTTTCATAATTAAACAATTATTAATTAAAGATTGAATTTTATGAATAAAACTTTAATAAAAAAAGTAGAATGTTGTTTATTTTTTGTCTCTAATTAGATGAAAAACTTTTATCATAAAATTTTCAAACTTTTTTCTTTTTATGGATATTAATATAAATAAACATTATGATTTCTATTAACATATATTATATAAACATTTAACCCTAAAATGTTTAAGTTTAGGTTGAACTTGATAAAAGCACTTTAGTAAGGGAGCTATTTGAACTCTTCTAAACGACTTATAAGTAATTACAAATTAGATATTGATAGTATTTAAGATCCTATTGATTAATGGACTTGTTTTTCTTCTATTAGATAGTTATACTTAAAAACAAATGATCAGGTTGGATTTTGTTAGAATGACACTTTAACAATTAATACAAAATTTATTCCTCCTCAAGAGCCATAAAAAATTTTCATTAACCTTTATATTAATATCACAGATGGCTAAATGAAAAAAGCATTTCAAATATAAGTGGAACAAAATAATTCTCTTGAGGAATTAGCCTAATCTATATTAGCTTATTGTTAATTATCAAACTTGTAGTACAAATATAATTAACTAGTCTAGAAATGTAGCAACAGTTGATCTTTTCCTATTTAACTAACCTTATAATGATAAAATTAAGAGACAAAAAACATTAAAAGAATTACAACTTAAAAGTGATATCACAATAGAAGCCAAAATTCGATGGATAGGAGGTTTATGAATTCAATAATGTTAAATTTCTAAAAATAAATCATTTTTATTCTTTAAAAGCTTCTTTTATTACTTAAATTGAATATTTATTTAATTTCTAAGTTCTTATCTAGATTTACATACCTTTAAAAAATATTATAAAAGAAAACAGAATATTTTATATAATTTTATAATACCCACTATATAAATACTTTAAAATAATCTAATATTCTCAAATAAAAATCATTTTCTATTGTTTTTTTTTTTTGAAGAAAAATTCATTATAAATTGTAATTTGAAATCTTTTTTTATAATTGGAAGCAATATTATTTATCTTTTAAGATTTATTATTTAATAAATTATTTTTTTCTAAAATCTCATAAACTATTTGCAATGAATAAATATTTAGGAAATTTTGAAGAACGTCATTTAAAATCTATGTAAATTAGGAACAAAAAAAATGAAAAAGTTTAACAATACTATTTTATTTTAAATAAAAATCAAAAACAAAAATATAAGTAAATGTCAAGCTAGAACAGATAAAATTTTCTTCATATTATATTCTGATTTTATAAAATAATATTTTATATTTAATTTCATAGGATTTTTTTAAATTAAATATGATGAATTCAAGATACTAAATAAGCATATAACCTAAAAATGATTTAATTGAAGTTGAAATTGAGTAAAACACTTTAGTAAGGGAACTATATGAACTCATTTAAATGACTTATTAGTAATTAAAAATTAGAAATTTTATAGATTTGAAGATCCTATTGAAAAATGGACATGTTTTTCTTCTATTAGAAAGTTATTCTTAAAAACTACTGATCAGGTTGGATTTTGTTAGAATGACACTTTAACAATTAATACAAAATTCATTCCTTCTTAAGATTATATGCAAATTTTTATTAACCTTTATATTAATATCACAGATGGCTAAATGAAAAAAGCATTTCAAATATAAGTGGATCAAAATAATTCTCTTGAGGAATTAGCCTAATCTATATTAGCTTATTGTTAATTATCAAATTATTAGTATAGAATTTATTAACTAATTAGAAATATAGCAACAGTAGATCTTTTAATCTAAAATTAACCTTATAATGATTCTGTTAAGAGAGGAAAATCATTGTTTTTATTGTAAATCAAAAATAATTGTACAATAGAAGCTAAAATTAGATGGTTTGGAGGGTTTTAAAAATGAGTAATATAATTTAATAATTACATTTGCTCAATATTTTATTAGAACTTTTTTTGAAATATTTTTCATTTATTCTTCTTACATTTTTAACTCAATAAAATATTGTACATTAAGATTTTGTATTTAGAGAAACATAAATATAAATTTATGTTAAAACTCTTCATTTATTTTTTTATTGTTTAAAAACCATATTTAAAATGTTATTTTAAGGATAAAAGGAGAGAGAGTTAAATAAAATTTATAATCTTATAACATTTTTAATTTTATTAAAGGTTTTTGGTTAACCTAAATATTAAATAAGACTATTTTAATTAATTTCAGCTATTTCTAAGTTAAATTTATTATAAGATTCATCTTAAAAAATATAAATAATGTCTCTATATAAGGATTTCTGCTTTAATAATAAAATAGAATTTAATTAATATAAAACTTTACTAAATAATACAACTTAATTTATTTAGAAATTGTTTAATTGAATAGGAATTAGCAAAATAAAAAACTAGAAGAGGCACTATGAATATCAATTATATATTAGTATGAAGAATCAAAATAATATATATTTAGAGAACTTTCTTTTTTATATATAAAAAATCCCAGAAAAAAAAAATTATAATAATGTATTAATGTAGGAACTAAACATTGATTTGATAATTAAGTTTTATATCTTTGTCAATTAATATAAATGATTTAAATGGTTATAAAATTAGATAATTAAGCTAACTTCAAATATTTTAAGTTTAAAATAATTTAATGAAAACTATTAATATTTCTGAAGTATAATTGAAAAAATGATATTTTTTAAAATAGAAAGGAGGGGTACAAATTCAAATAGAAATATGGATTACAATGCACAAAAATCTTTGAAATTCAAGTAATCTCAATTTTTTTTGATTTAAACAAATCTTTAATTTAAATATGTTGTAATCATTTATTAGGATTGGAATTTTGTAATAATAATCACTATAAGATGTACAATATTTAAAAATTTTTTGAATTAAACATTAAGAAAGGACTTAAATTAAAATAGAATTTAATTAAATATAAAATATTGAATATAAAAATTTTCTAGATAATTTCAGGTAATTTGAATTCTCATTGATGAATTTGCAAAAGTTTTTAAATATTTTGATGTATTTAAATATAAGGTAGTAATTGATTTATTGTTAATATTAGGTTTAATTGAAGAGAGAAATTTGAAACTTTAAAAATACAATAAGATAAGGTTATTTTAAAATAAATTCATATTAATATATATATATTAATTTTAATAAATAATCAGAATAATAATATAATTTCTATGCTTTTATAAAAAGAATATTTAATGATTTCGAAATATAATTATAAAAGTAAAATAATTAATAGATATTTTTAAAATAATGAATTGGCGCATTTTTTTGTATTTAAATAGAGAATTTAATTTGCGGGAAATGATAAAATAATAATCATGTTCACAAATCTTAGATCTACAGATAACACAATTAGACAATAGGCAGAATAAGAATTATACGCTTAAGTTGCAGCAAATCCAATAGGAATTCTTGAACAATTTTTGATAGCTATGTAAAACAAAGAAGACACAGAATTTGTATCAATTTTGTTATCTAAAACAATATTTGAAAATGAAGAGAATATTGGTAAATTAGAATGGAGTCATGTGGAAGCTGTATTAAAGTTCTGTATTAGCGAATTGAAATAAGAAAATAAGTTGTCACATCTTAAGAGAATGTGTGATTTGGCGGTAAAAGGTTTACTAAAATTCACAAAATATGATGAAATGATTATGTTACTTTTTGAAATAGGAAGAGGTGCTTAAAGTTTAAATTAAAAGTTAGCAACAATGTATTACATTGAAATCATGTGTGAATTTGCTTTATGCGATGAATAATTAATAAAACATAGTTAATAGTTGAATGAAATATTTTCAGTATTTCTGAATGATTAATCTCCTTAAGTGAGAGCAGCAACATGTTAGGGAATCAGTAGTTTTTTAGTTTCGATTGAAGAGGAATCCTTATTGAATAGATTTAGTAGTAATGCAGTAGTTTTATTATAATAATTTGCATAAGTGATGTAAGTTGATTAGGAAGCATCAGTATAAGCCTTATAATCAATAAATGAATTGTTAGAAAATCACCCTAAGTTTATGAAGAATCTATATGGAGAATTATTAAATATATATACTTAATTATTGGGATCATAGGTTACATTATCATTAAAAAAGGCTGCACTTCATGGTTTATAGACTTTATGCTAAATAGCTCCAGCTTTTATTAGAAAGAGCGATTAATTTAAAACAACATCTAATTTAATGATAATGAAGATGTTAACTGAAGTTGATCGAAAAGATTGGGAAAATACTTTTGATGACAATTGTTTATAATTAAATGATTTATCAAGTGTTGCAGAAGATTGCCTTGGTAAAATGGTTCGAGATTTAGGAGTTAAATATTTATTACCAATATTTGTACCATTAATAATGTAAGCATTGAGATCTCCAGTGATAAATGAATAACATGCTGGTTTGATTGCTATGGCAACATTATCAGATAAAGCAGCAGATCATTTCTAGAATGAGTTATCAAGCATTATGGAATTGATTTTACCATTATCTCAATCATAAAATAAATTGATAATTTATGATTTATTAACATGTTTAGCATCTCTTTGTTAGGAATTCACACCAAAGATATAAACAAATTATGGATCATAGATTCTACAATTAATTGTAACTTGCATGTAATAAAAGATTTCATAAAAAATTTAATACATTTCTATTGCTTGTTTAGTAGATTTCACTAGAGAATTGGTAGAAGATAAGGAGGCAGCAAAGAATGTATTGACTCCAGTATCAACATTTTTAATAGAATAATTATATTCAGTGATTCAAGCTAATCTGACAGGTTCAATAGATTAATAATAATAATAAATATTAGAATAAGCATTATCAGCATTTAGTGCCTTAGCAACAAGTTTACAAGAACATTTCACTTAATATTATGATTAAATGATGCCATATATGATGTAAATGATGTAGACAGTAACTGTAAATGAAGTGAAATCACTTTTATTGGAATGCATAGGTTGTTTTTTAGTTTCTATTAGTACAACTAGAAGAGATTAATGCAAAACTGATTCAAATTAATTAGTTACACATTTTATATAATTGTAAAATAAAATGGAAACAGATGATCCTGCTCACACATCTATATTCTTTTTTTATACTTAAGTGGCTACTGCATTAAGAACTGAATTTGGATAATATTTAGAATCTATATTTCCATTAGTTGAAAGAGCTATGAGATTAGATGTTGGATTCTCTGTCAATTCATAAACTGAAGGTAAAAATATTACTAAAGTTAAATTGGATCTTAAATTTTTAGGAGTTAAGAGTTTATCACTTAATACTAGTGCTCTTGAATAAAAAGTTGAAGGAGCTCACACTCTTGTAAATTTAGCTGAATAATGTGGAAAAGCTTTCTATCCTTATATTTCTAAAACAATTGTTTTAATGAAAGAATTCATCAATTATAAACATAGTTCATAAATTTAAAAGTCTATGGCTAAATGTGCTGAATATTTGATTGCTTCATGTACACTTGAAACTGATATGGCTTAAGTACTTATTTAAGTTACTCCTATGCTAATCACTGAATTCACTGTTTTCCTTAATAGCAAATCATTTGAAAGAGCTGCTGAAATCGCAGAAGTTTTAGCTAATTGTTTAAATTAAGTTAAAGCTCCTATTTTAGATGCTACTACTATCGATTCAATGTTCTAAAGTTCAAACAAAGCACTTACTGCAATTATTAAAGCTAAAGAATCTATCACATACGAAGATGAAGAATAATTTGAAGCTGACTGTGAAGAAATTGATTTATTACTTGATCACATAACTAATATTACAACAGAATTGATTTCTAATCATAAATGTGAATCTGTATAGACAATGATGCCAAATTATTATTCATTCTTAAATAGTAAATCAACTAAATCTTAGACTATTAATTCTATTGCATTTTTCAATATGGTATTGCCACTATGCAATGAATCAGTATTTTAATAGGCTTAAAGTGAAATCTTAAAATGTTATTCCACATTTGCCAAAACTGCTGATCTTGAGTTAAAATAAAATCTTCTTTTTGGATATGGTAACATTGCCAAAAGACTTCCAACATTAGATACTACTTAGATTATCGAATTAGCATAAACAATTATAGATTAACCAGATTGTAAACATGTTGATAAAGTGGCCTCTTATGAAACTGCTTTGACAACTTTGGGTAAAGTATCGATGTATTGCAATATTCCTTAAAAAGAATAACTTTTAAATAAATTTTTAGATTCCCTTCCACATGAATATCAAGATAATCAAGAAACTCATTTAATGTTTATTAAAGAAGTAATATTATTTGTTAATATTTAGATATAAAATAATAATCCAACATTGATGTAATTCAAAGATTAAGTCATATAGGCTTTGAATAGAATTAAAACTTAAGATTGTAATAATCCTGAAAATGAACTATTATGTGATGAAGGTAGAAAATTGATTTAATAAGTATTATGTTGAATGTTATTAAATATAAATTAATATATATTAAATATAATTTTACGATATTTAAAACTAAATTTTAAAATGATTTTGCAAATAAAGAATTCTGAAAATATTTAAGTATTGAATTAATTTATATTAATTTAAAATGCCAAGATATAATAGACTATTTACAGAGAGAGTAATGATTATGACATATTTAGTTTGATTAAATATTATCCTAAATGGTTGAAGTAGTAGGAGAAGCTAGATGGGCAGATATTACTAGATAAATGAAATAAATCTATGATTTTGATATACCTTAATAAACAATGGTATATGCAAGATGGAAAGCTATAGATCCAAAAATTAATAGAGATCCATTTAATTAAGAAGAAATGGCTTTACATTGGAAAATGTGTGTTAAATATAGTTGTAATTGGGAAGAGATAAGAAAAGCTTATCAAAAATAAGGATAATTAAGAGATAAAGGTTATTTAGCATCTAAATATTATTAATTATTTTGGTTTAAATTAAGCGATTTAAATAGAGGTATTGCTTTTTTATCTGATTATAATTAACCAAAAATTGATTAAATTAGAGATGTTACTAAAAAGAGAATTATGGAATTAAATGGTAAGGATGTTAAATTTATTAAAAATAAATCTGCTGTTGCTTTAATTAAAGGATGTAAGACTTTAATTAAAGTTATGACATTTATGGTTGATAATTATAAATTAGATTAAAACTTATTGAATTAAGAAGTATTAAGAATTATAACTGTTGAAAGATTCTAAGAGGCATTATTTCATGTATTTACTATTGATACTATGATACTTATATCTCTTAATGAAATCAGACCGAATGATGATTTTACTGATTTATTTGAAATTAATGAAGAAATCAAACAAAAATATAAAAAACCTACTAAGATTAAAACTTGGAATAATGCTTTAGTTGAAGCTTCAAGTAATGAACATACAGAAGATGAAGATATATTATAAGTAGAAGTTAAAGTTAATAAATTTCTACCTAAGAATCAATTTAATAAAGATGACATCACTTAAATAAAAAATAGTGATATTTATAAAATGTGCAGCACTGATTTAAATCACTTATTTTATAGTATGTACAATTAAGCTAAAGATGAATAAGCAGATCTTATTGTTAATGTTAAAGAATTTAATGAAACAAAAGAAAAAGCTAAATAATAAGAGTTATAAAAACCAGAAAATCGTTGGTAATTAAAAAAGAAAACTCCATATGTGGCCAAAAAGTAAATGAAAGCTATTGAAAAAAAGAAAAAGATGATTTTGTCTTAAGATTAAAAGGAAAAAGAAAAGATTAAAACAGTAAGAGGTAAAATCAAATTAGATAAATAATTATTCCATTGTCAATACACTAAATTCTTTGATAAAGAATCAAGCGAAAGTGAAGTTGATGAAGATGATTATCATTATTCCCTTGTTGATGCCGATTAAATTTATAAATTGATGATGAATAATTAACATATATAATGAAATATATATATATATTTATATATATTTAATTTATTCTTAAAAACTAGAAATTTAGGAATTTTGTATTAAATGAATTAATTCTACTATCGTTGAGAGACTTAAGCTATTTTAAAAGATAATTAAAAAAATAAATTTTATACTTTAATAATCAAATAGTCAAACACAAAAATGCTATGAACTCAGTATCTAGCTTATTAGAGATAATAAAAATTTTGGAATAATTTTTATATTTAAAATAAATTTTAAAAAGTAGTAGAAATCATTTCATTTTTATAACACTTAGTGGATAATTAAATTTATTATTATTAAACGAGTAATTGATATTTCTTATTTGATTTACTTATTAATAGTTATGTGAATAAATTAATTCATATCTTCATTATTAAGTATAGGCATTCATTAATCAGAATTCAGAAAAATTAAATTTATCATAATTATTCATAAATAAGCAATTTTATTAGCAAGTATTAGTATATAATATTTTATTTTTTAAATATAAGTTTATTATAAAAAATTATAATTCACATTAATTAAATAAATATTATGAGTACTAAAGGGCAATTATTAAATAATTATTTAATCTTTAAATTTTTAACTTTAGGTTTGAGTAATCTATACTAGTAAAGGAACTATATGAATTTATTTAATAGGATTATAATCAATTTCATTGATAATGACAAATTAAATATTTATAGATTTAGGGATGATATTTAAAATTGCAATTGTTTTTGTAAAAGGAAATAGTTATACTTTAAATAAATGATCAGATTAGATTTTTTAATATAACACTTTAATAATTAATACAAAATCTGCTCGTTATCAAATGTGTAAGACAATTAAACTTACAAAGGGACATCAAATGTTAAAATTGAATAGATTGATAAAAAATCATATCATAGTAATTTAAAATCCATAAAAGGAGATATTAATAAAAAACTTTAATAAAATTTTTCGTATATTTCTAAGAAAATCACAAACAAATTGATATTAAGAAAATAATAATCAGATTAAAATAAAAATTTCAATAATTAGATTTTTTATTTTAAATAAACGATTACGTTGAGCAAAGTTTAAATTTGATCAAAATGAAAATTATAAATTAAATTTAATCTAATTATTTAATTATTTTGAAGCGAAACCTTTAGATAAAATTTCTAAAATAATAATAGGAAAATTAATAACCAAAGTTCATAATAATGATGAAATAAGATCTTAAATGTTAATATAATTGGACATAGTTTAACAAATTAAAATGATTTAAGATTTTACAGACAAATATGTTGAATCAGTAAAATATTAAAATATTAATAATGAATTTAGCATGTTTAGTTATTTTACCTTCTATCACTAAAATTTTAGTGATAGAAAATGATCAATAGATAATCTTTTAAAAGAAATTAAGAGTATTTAAAAATTTATATTTATTTACTATTTAGAATTTCTTAACCTATTGAATAATGGAATTGTTATTCAGAGTAAGGAAGTGAGCATATTTCATAAGGATTATAAAATAAAGTTATTTTAAATGATGAATTATTTTCATGGAGAAATGATATTAAATTAAAGAACAATTTATTTTAATTAATACATTAAAATTATTATCTTTCTGATTTTTGTTATAATAGATTAAAATAGCACTTAATTAAATTTTTTATGATGTTAATATTAACTATTGGTAAAACATATTCATAATGAAAATGATAGAATTTAATTTTATATTTTTTAATTTAAAAATTTTATGACTTAAGAGTATTCTGATATAAAAATTATCATTAAACCTTCTGAATAGTAACTTCAAATAAGTCTTGATCCATCAACTACCATTATTGAATTATATGATTATATAAAAACAGAGTTGAAGTAATTTAAAGAAGTTAATAAGATTATTTGATTAATTTGAAAAATGGACTTGTAAAACATAAAATGGTGTTTAACTTAAACTTGATGATGTTATTGCAAATAATATAAATCGCACTTTGATAATAAATACGGAAGCATAACTTAATTTATTAATTTGGATAGTTAATGGATAAAAATTGAAGTTATTTCCTTCAAGTTATAATCCTATGACAACTATTGAAGAGCTAGCACAATAACATTTAGAGTATTTTGTAAATGAAATTTATCAAGGGTAATTTATTTTAATGTAAAAATAGAGATTCAAGTGATATTGATATTACGATTTCTTAAACTCCATATAATGATTCTGAGATTAGAAAAAAGTCATTATAAGAACTTAATATTAATGATTATTCATTAGTTGTAATCAGATGGATGAATAAAGACTTGAAATCTCAATAATAATTGATTTCTACAGTTTTTCATTAAAGTAAAAATTATAATATAAATGAATCAAATACTAATGAAAATATATAGTAAATGGATTGTGATCCTTAACAATCTATTTAATTAGAGAATGGATAATTAATTAAAAAATTTCCATTTAATGAATTTAACTATCTTAAAGATTTCATTTAAAAAATGATAAAAAATATGGAATAAAAAATAATCGAAAATTTAAAATCATTTGAAAAAAAGTTAATTGAATATGTTATTTAATTAGAATAACATATTCCTGAAATCAATATGTTAGATTAAAATGTCTAATAATAAGACTGTTAATTCATAACTTAACTAAAAGGATAATATTAAAAGTATAACTAAACTAGAGATACTCTCTCATAATTAGAATTATATTTCAATTAATTTATTGAGAATCTCAAGAAAATTTCTTTAAATGAAAATATGATTACAAAGGGTGTGTATTTATCTTCAGAAAATTAAGCTATAATTGTATAAATGAATTAAGATTCTACAATAACAGATTTATTTTATGAACTTAAAAAATAATGTTGGTTTTATTTTATAATATTCTTAGCATAAGTGTGCCCTTAGAAGATTGGATTTGTGAATAATAATTGAACAAAAAAGATAAAATGAACATTAATCAACCAATAAGTGAGATTGAAAGTGATGTATTGATTATTTAGTATAAAAATTAAGAAGTTGAAGCAAAATGATAATTAATCATTAGCTATATACATTAATATAAAGTAT